GTTAGCTGTTGTTAGTTGTTGTTAGCCGTTGTCAGCTGTTTTAAGCTATTGTTAGCTGTTGTTAGCTACACCAGTTCATATCCAAATATTTTATTTATTCTTATTGTTAGGTGTCGTTAGCTGTTTTTAGCTGTTGTTAGCTGTTGTTAGCCATTGTTAGCTGTCGTTAGCTACACCACTTGAAAACAACGCATATCACAGTATTTCACTCTTACAAACACCATAGTACCATGTCCACAGTTCGATGTTGGACAGTCCTACATAAACCACTGATTTAATTTCATATAAACAAAACAGAAGTGCTGATAAATTAAATATTAAAGAGCTTTCACTGTTAATGTTTACTGTTGATGCACGGCGTTGCCATCTTGGATTATGGCGCTGTGGTCAAGTCGGGGTCGGTGAAAATCTGACTATCTGAGTTGGAAATCGGGGGGGTGTTTCTAGATGAAATTTTAACTGGGAACACAGAAAATCTGACGTCCAGATACATCTGGACGCAGCATTAGCTCTTTTACGTCGGCTTCCTCCGAACATCGCTTTCCCAATTTTTGTGTTTAGCAACATTTTCCACGTATCCAGACGTGTTTTCAAGCCTGACAAACCTGAAAAAACAAGAAAAAGGTGTTTCTTTTGTGTTTAACTTCGCTCTCGATAATTAGGAAGCAGCGAGAGTTTGGTAGCTGTAAGAGTCCCTGAGATGCTGCACTGCCCCCTGCTGGTGAGGTGCACAGGCTGCATAAAACGTTGACTCTTTAGTCAGGCTGTGAGCCACACCGTTACTTTTATCTGGTGCTTTCTACAGTCAGTACGTGGGTAAAAAGTCCCGATCAGTCATGGTTGCAGACCTTCGGTGCTCCTCCTGGTCCTGGCGAGATCGTCAAAATCCGACTGTCTGTGATTCTAACAGACTGAGTCAATATTATCTGTCTGTCCCAACAGGGAAGTGAATCTCCCTCACCCTGTTTGTTTCACTCTTCGAAGGAAACCAAGATGACCACCCCACCCCACCGACAGCCCTCTGTCATACACACAGAGCCAGTCTCCGTCCACCACAATGGTGTTGTCATGTGGTGGGACTGTGTTTGTATGGGCAGGGCCGGGAGTTTGGTCTCCCTGCTGTTTGCTGTGGGGGTGTTGTGGCTCCATGTCGGCCTCGTCTAACCCTCTTCTGCTTTGTCCTCCGTCTGCCCTGCCTCTGTCACAGGACACACACATGAAAGCCCATGTGCACATTTTTCTGGGATCATATTTACGCTTTTAACTCTGAAATTTTCAGCTTTTATTGGGGGTAAACTGGCACACTGGGCGTCTGTGTTTCCCTCGCTCTCCTCTGGCGATCTGTGCGTGGTTAAATCATGGTCGAGACCTGCTCTTTTCATTTAGCCAAGATTTGAGCTCTTACTGTATTTAAGAGTTGGTATTTGGACTTCTACTGTCCTCATCGCAGAAATATGAGAGGAACCCAAAATAACCGAACAATATCAGGTCCTCCCTGTGATTTCACAACACCTCACTGAGGATTTCTCCTCCGTATTCGTCGTCTTTCTCGGTTAAAACACCATCTCCTGGTACTCGGCCTTCCTGCACATCATCATCCTGCACAGTTTCCTGTCGTCTTACGAGGAGCTGAAGTCATGATTCCTGTACGGTCTGAGTGGGAGAGAGAAAAACTCTATAAAGAGAAAGATCAGCGTCTCTCCTCGATGTGTCAGTCACTCAGAGTCACTTTGACTCTCCCACGGAGGAGGGAGTCACGCTTTCTTACAGTATCTCACAGCTACAAGTGTCTTTATAAGGACGTCATTTGTGTCCTCATGATTCTGCACGTTGTCCTCTGGGAAATTAACTTTCCTGCACTCAGGGTTTCGACCGTGCCCTCACACTCGCTCTAAAACCACTTGAGGGGAGTTTATTTGCTCTGGGATCTGGAGTCAGTTCATCATTAACCCTGATTTCAGTCCATGTGAAAAAAAGAGAAAAGAAAAGCTGGATCGGCCCCAGATCCAGCAGATCAGGACAGCTCCAAGTATTTTAAGAACAGGTTTATTTGTCTCGGGGCTCTTGGTTACTGTAACTACGCATTAGCTAATTTCCAGATATCCAGTGAGGTTTACAGAAGTGAAACGAGAAGTGCGTGCTCCTCCATGTCCTCCTCCCATCCTTTTGTTAGCAGAGAGGCGCTAAAATCCACTTTTCCCTCCTGTAATCCTCTTTTTCATCGAGCTGCTCTCATCAGAACACCCCGACACTTGTTCTGCACAGAAAGAGGAACCTTTTGTTTCCTCTAAACCAGAACTATATTTGTCTCTGGTTTGTCTTTTGGGGGATGTGGTGTAAGGTGGCCCCCCCGTGTCGCAACATTTTGCATGGACTCGTTTCCTCAAAAGACACCCACACACTTTTCCTGATGGTTTGTTTTTGCAGAAATTGTACCATTGATTTTTTTTTAAATATATGACCAAATAACCGAGAATAACCCCGAGTCACGGTTCTGTCGCTCATTCAGCTCTTTTCTCTCTGCAGGAATTGTTGTGAATGTGTGGGAGTTAAACACTTGTGCCATGATTAGGAACGAGTCCAAGTCTTTAACATCCACGCCCGCTGTTTAATTTTATGGGTGTGGATTAAATAAATACAACTACGTTAAAAAAACATTCAGTGGTAGCTTAATACAGCGAAAACAAATGAAGAAGGAATCTGCTTTAAGAGTCGTTGATTCACTTATTTATTCCTGGATGTGTCTGTAAAGGTGAAATTAAAGGTTCTCAAAGGTCAAACTACAGCAACACGACATAAATCAACATTTTAAAAAGCCTCCTCTGGTTCTTTCTCCATGGGACATTCATGGAAATCTGCTCTGGTACTTTATTTTGATGAAACATGACAAACACGTAAAGAAAGTTTAAAACAGGTCCCTCTGCATGGATATAACATGATATATGTATGTTTGGTCTGAGAGCCAATGCTCAACGAGGGCTTCCAGCAGACAGTAGCTTTAATATTTTGAATATCAATGTGTTTTAATCATTTTGGGGTCTTTGATAATGTCGATAAAAATCCATCAGAATCAAGTCTTACAGCCCAGATCTGCCCAGAGGACCACCGAGACGCCCTCAAAAATAACTGTATGGCAACTATCCAAAACAACTTAGTCGCCGAGAGCGGTCAGCAAAAAGTAGGGCTTCACCGCCTCTCCATTCATCCACTAAACCCATCAGGTGAACAGCTGACTTACTACGACAGGTGCTGATGTACCACCTCCACCCACACCACGTGACGCTCATCCCCGTACATGACCACACAAACACAAATATTATAAAAGGTCATGACTACCACAAAGACCTGTCATCTACAAAAACCTGGGGGGTTCCCTGAGCTCGAGGAGCGACTCTGTTGTGAATCGATCAAGTGCAAAAAGGAGAAACATGAAAATGAACTCATGAATCACAGTTTTCTGGGCGCTGGTGCACCGTGGTACAGGTTATTTTCCAACAGCTGACGTATACTTCAATATTTTTAGTTTGTATGTTGGTAAATGTTCTCGTCTTTTAGCAGAAGTCTTGGAAAAAAGGTCCTTTTGTGTTTCCACAGCAGGTCTGACGGATGGTTTTCAAACTGAACCACGATCACGTTGGTCTTAATGTCCACCTACTCTTATTATAAATATATCACCCTGAGAACAGTCGGACTTCTTCGTCTCTCTCTTTCGTCGCTCAGCGCTCTCTCTCTGTCGTGACCCTGAACCCTCTCCGCCGGCCTCTCGGCGTATTTCCCTGCAGCTCTGCAGTCACGCCATAGTCTGTCCTTATAGGACATGTTTGTACATGTGTTGCTGTTTTCTTTTTAAATGAGAGTGTTTCATCTCGATTAAAGACTTCCTGGTACTGAGTGATCAAGTCTAGCTGGTTAAACCATCAACATTCAACGGGTCATTAGACACGAGTCAGATCCTTACAGAGCAGCAGGAGCCTGGAGACACGCTGAAGACACTGAAGACGCTGAAGACGCTGAAGACACTGAAGACACGCTGAAGACACACTGACGACACACTGAAGACACGCTGAAGACACGCTGAAGACACTGAAGACACACTGAAGACACACTGACGACACACTGAAGACACGCTGAAGACACTGAAGACACACTGAAGACACACTGACGACACACTGAAGACACGCTGAAGACACGCTGAAGACACGCTGAAGACACGCTGAAGACACGCTGAAGACACGCTGAAGACACGCTGAAGACACGCAGAAGACACGCAGAAGACGCTGAAGACACACAGAAGACACGCAGAAGACGCTGAAGACACGCTGAAGACACGCTGAAGACACGCTGAAGACGCTGAAGACACACAGATGACACACTGAAGACATGCTGAAGACACGCAGAAGACACGCTGAAGACACGCTGAAGACGCTGAAGACACGCTGAAGACACGCTGAAGACATGCTGAAGACACACAGATGACACACTGAAGACATGCTGAAGACACACAGAAGACACGCAGAGGGAGGTTTGTGTGTTTGGTGCATCTCGACCTTGGATGTTCTTTTTACAGAGTTTGGGGACCTGAATCCTGCGTTTGTATGTGTGTGTCTGTGTGTGTGTCTGTGTGTGTATGTGTGTGTGTGTGTGTCAGTGTGTGTGTGTTAATTTGCATACTCTCTACCTGTCTATAAGTGTGTGCATGTGCCTGCATATCATCAGTGTGAGGTCAGTGCGGTGGAAACTCTGACAGCCGAGGAGAGCTGCAGCCTCTCAGGCTCCAACTTATGTAAGAAACCAGGTGTGTGTGTGTTCATCACACTGTCGCTGCACACACACACACACACACATACACACACACACACACACACACACACACACATAAATATTAACGTGAGAGTCAACATATAAATACACGAGTTAAATATGAAATGAAGATATCGTTGGTGAAAGTGGAATCATGTGATAAAGTGAGCGATGTTTTACAGAAATAGAAGAAGAAGAAGATGAAGAAGACTGTGGTAAAGGTGAAGAAGAAGAAGAAGATGAAGAAGACTGTGGTGAAGGTGAAGGTGAAGAAGAAGCTTAGAAACATTTTCGAACCCACAAACAAACTCTATTGAGCTGAAAATGTTCCTTTTTAACATAAAGTAGAAAAGGAAACACTGAAAAATCTGAAACCATAGTAAGTTTATTTTTTCTGTTTTCATTAAAAAATACCTCAGTATTCGCCTCACTAACTAGATCAGCTCATAAAAATATTGTGTTTTAATTACAAACAGAAAGAGAGTCATGAACTTCTTATTAAAGGTTTATTTGCTTCTTCAGTTTCTTCTTTAAATGTTTTATTTCTTGGAGTTTCTGTCGTAAACTCTAAAGTCAGTTCTGAACTTTCATTTGTGTTTCATTTGACTCTGATTCTCTCTGGCATTTTTGATCATTTTTGATCATTTTTGATCGTTTTTGATCATTTCTGATCATTTCTGATCCCACAGCAGCTGTTTAAGAATCTTCATCAGTCGTTTGACTGACAGGATTTTCACAGATGATGTTGGATGTCTGCCTGTACTTTAATAAATAAAGAATAAAAAGACCCACAATTTTGCAATAAGAGGACATCAACGCTGACGTGTCACTCAGTCGAGTCACCACCAGACTTCTCGGTCCTTCTCCGTCTCACTCCTTATTTCAGCTGACAGATACGAGGACAGAGTCAACGCTCCACATCCTCCCCTCTCTGCTGCCGGACCACCGCCCCACCACCGCCCCACCACCGCCCAGCCCCTCTGTCTGCTCCTCTGGATGTTGACAATGACATTTCTGTGAGCAAGTGACTAAGACTCAAAGAATGTGTGTGTGTGTGTGTGTGTGTGTGTGTGTGTGTGTGTGTGTGTGTGTGTGTGTGTGTGTGTGTGTGTGTGTGTGTGTGTGTGGTACTGTCACAGGCTGTCAGGGCTGGAGACAGAGAGAGAGAGATGAGACTGACAGCAGGACTGGATCTGAGTCCTCCATTGTGGCCGAGTCGGGGTCACGAACCTGGAGGACATCAGGGAGGAGGAGCGAGGGAGGAGGACGAAGAAGAAAGACGAAGAAGAAAGACGAAGAAGAAAGAATAATTTAGACTTTAAAGAGCGTGAATACAGCGGGTAACAAGGCTGTAAAACATTCACTAACGTAAGATGACGATAAATACTACAGTCGTTGGTATGAGGTCAGTTTGTGTTCCTCTGAATAATAAGAACACAAACAGGACGGACTCGGCTCTGGTCTTGAACTCAACATGGACCTGGACTTGGATTGGGAGGATCAGTGACCCGGACACCCTGAGGAGGAAACCCATTTCAGCCGCTTGTATCTGCGATCTTGTTCTTTCGGTCATTACCCAAAGTTCATGACCATAGGTGAGGATCGGCACGGAGATCGACCGGTAAATCCAGAGTCTCTCCTTACGATTCTCATCCCAGCCGCTTCACACTCGGCCGTGAACCGCCCCAGCAGGAGCTGAAGGTCACTGCTCCACGAAGCTAGAAGAACCACATCATCCACTAAAAGCAGCGACGTGATCCTCTGCCTGCAGAACTGAACCCCCTCCACCCCCGACTGCACCTAGAAACTCTGTCCATAAAGGTTCTGAACAGAACCGGAGACTGTACGGTAAACAGTCACCTGAAACGTCATTTCCATGAGGATGAAACGCTGATGTGACAAAAAAACTTTTGCATTTCCTCCTGCGTTTATTTCCGTGTAGAGGGACATCGGTTAAGATGAATGAATGAATGAATGAATGATGTGGTCAGGAAGTGAAAGGCTGCAGGTTTTTGCACCTGAGAGAGTACGAGGACAGAAGGTCAGAGGTCAGAGAGCGCTCTGTAGAGATCTTACTTTATGACAGTATGACGAGACAAAGTAAGTCTGGAAACAGTTTATGGTCAGAGGTCAACATCATCGTCATTCTGTGTGTGTTCTAGTCCGACATAACACACATTTACACCTGCACAGCTACACTATGTTTGCAGTGTGTGTGTGTGTGTGTGTGTGTGTGTGTTTTGAATCAGAGCAGTGTTTTCCAGCTCCTCAGACAGGAAGTGCTACCTAAGCAACATGAGGAAAACACAGGAAGTACAAAGTGCGTGCTTTGAATTCCACCGTTTTTCTTACAGCAGAGAGAGAGAGAGAGAGAGAGAGAGAGAGAGAGAGAGAGAGAGAGAGAGAGAGAGAGAGAGAGAGAGAGAGAGAGAGAGAGAGAGAGAGAGAGAGAGAGAGAGAGAGAGAGAGAGAGAGAGAGGGAGGGAGAGAGAGAGAATGAGAGAAAGAGAGAGACAGAGGGAGAGAGAGAGAGGGAGAGAGAGAGAGAGAGAGAGAGCGAGAACAATGAGCAGCACACAGTTTCACCAAAAAGACACAAATGTTCAAACTGGAGAGCTTGAGTCACACAGATGGTTGGACAGACACAAAAGGTCAATTATGAGGCTGTGGAAAGAAAAGACAATTATGGGTGAAAACGCACGTATCTGCAGCAGCAGCAGGAATGTCATTCCTGTCTCACAGCAATAATAAACCAGATGCACAAACAACATCCACGTGGACCTCAGACAGAATCCCAGGAATTCAAACCCGGGTCAAAGTGTAAAAACGACCTGCTGCAGTTTCTCTGGAGATCCACATTTAAGGAAGAATTCACCTTTTTTCAGCCGTCTGAGGGAAATCAAACAAACGCCAGAGGGAGGAGCTTGATCTGATAAAAGTTAAACTTTGGTCATTTTCAGAAATCGATTTTGTTTTTTTGTTCGTCAAACTTTGTTTTTATTTAGTCTCATTTATTCAGAGTATTTTTTAGTCTAATTCAAGTTAACCAGCTTCATCATAAATCATATTACAGAAGGAAAAGGTCGACGTGTGCAGTGAGGTGGCTCAGCTAACTAAGTCAATTATTGGACTTTGTAACGAGGTCTGTTTAATCACTTACAGGTGTTCTGATGAGTTTTGCTACCTTGTCAAAGGATGATACCACAGTGAGTCCGTGAACATCAGATTTAGAGATAAATTTTCACCTTATGCGAAATGGCAGCGAAAAGGCCGTCAGCGCCGATCGCCGCCAATCGTTTCCATTCAAGTCAACATGTCAAATTCTTCGTCTTTTCGCTCTTTCCGGCCCCCTGCGGTTCAGCGGGCTTCGTAGCCGATCGCTAGGGTTCTATATTTTCTGGACGCCGCAGCATGGCGGATAAATTCAGCACAGATTAACCCGTGCTGGAAAGGAAGTCGGGCACAGACACAAAATAAAACATCAAGCTTCTTTTCAAAATAAAACTCTGAGCTTCTTTTCAAAATAAAACACTCCAAGCAAACGTGGTTGTTTGGTAGATAAAGATAAATATTACACTGACCCGTGGTTAATTCTCAATCTCCACAAAAGTGTCTGATCTACTGGTCTGGACAGGAAGGACACAATCTACTGCTTATATGTCTATGTGTCTGTCTTTATAGAGACGACTCGTTATTGAGCGATTGGATGTGAATTTGTGGGTTTTTGTGAGTCCCTGCGATTCCTGCTGTCTGAAATTCACCATGAATTTCGCCTCATGGAAACGAACATCGCTGCCATTCTGAGTAAACACGTTAACTTCACTAAAATCAAACTTCTCATATTCGGATTCGTGTCCCAGGATAATACGAACTGAAACTGACCGTAACATTCTGCACACGCTCCTGAACTTCTCCTGAGGAAAAGACCAGGATGTGATTTTCAGTATAAAGTCCTGAGTTTGACACCAAGTCAAACCAGACTTCAGTGTTTACGTCATTTTAAGGTCTTTTCCTGTTTGAGGGTTTCTATCACCACAGCAGACTCAGTCAGGATCAGTCCCTTTCTCTCCTCATATTCAGTCTCTGCTGCGCTCTGCGTTTCCTCCCTCCATCAGCTCAAACTCGTTCTCCCGTGACCGTTCTTGATTGGATTCTGCTCTCCCATCAACACCTATAAACACCTCCCTGTACAGCTGCAAACATTAGGTCCACTTTATCTTTCCGCCAAGTGAGTTTATCACCTCATGATGTTGGAGGGAAAACTCTGTGTAAGCTGGAAAAGTGAACTTCCCTCGACCCGAAACTTCACGAGTTATAAACGCTTCTTTGCATCGTGGTCATCAGGATAAAAACACGTCTTCTGATGTAACGAGGACGGATACAGACGAGTGTTTCAGGTCTGAACATTAACATTAGAGTTGATGAACTAAACTGAAAGATCCCACAGGTGGAAACTGATTCTTGACCTGAACTGAAGCTCACACCCAAGGTCATGGAAAGGTCAAGCGTTCCCTGTGTTAGTCCTGGTCATGATGCCTCCCAGAACTGTCAATCAAGAATCTTTTTAAAATCAAATATGTGGTTAAAACTTCATTTCTCCAGGGTGGAGTTTACTACCTGTACTGCAGCCCATCAGCAGGGGGAGCTCTACCCTTACTATGTCCATTTTAATGTGCAGACTAAGAGCGACCCGTTTTGAAGGATCTGGAAAAGTTTTCAGGTATGACGACCACATTTCTCATTAGCACTGAATGTGGATTTTGATGCTCCGTTGATTAAAAAAACATGAGAACTGAGACTTCGACACCTCTGGAAACAGAGCTACGAACGATCAGGCAGCTACAGGTGGAGAGAGGAGAGCAGGGAGAGGAGCCGGAGGAGGCGGGTGGAAAGTTGACTAACATCTGTCGGGCTAAAAAGTAAAGAAATCCAGATCATGATCAAATATGAGATGAAAAATGAGAAAAATGAGATAAAAATGTGACATTAAAGCTTAAAAACACTGAATATCTGCAGCCTGAGCTGTAAAAATCTTTATATGAGAATTATCACCAAACAGAAGTAGACTGGGAGTAGAGAGGTGGGCTAAACTGATCATTTTATTTTGTTTTTATTTTGTTTTTAACTTATTTAAGATTTGTTAAATTTGTGTAAAAGTTTGACGCAGATGTCAAACTATGAGTAACTGATTTTGATTTTGTCATGTCAGTCTGAGAGGGAAACTAATCAGTAAATTTCTTATAGTGGCTTTAATAAAACTGTTTCTTTGTGTGGCGTTTATACCTCCTCTTCCTCTGGCCTTGTATCGCCTCGCTCTCTCTCTCAGCTCCCGTCTCTCTCTCTCTCTCTCTCTCTCTCTTCTCTCTCTCTCTCTCTCTCTCCTCCTCTCTCTCTCTCTCTCTCTCTCTCTCTCTCTCCCGGCTCATGGCTGACATTATCATGTCGGCGTAGATAAGTCCCGGCCTAACGCTGACTGGATTTTCCTCTCAGCTCCTGCTCTCCTCCTCCTCCTCCTCCTCCTCCTCCTCCTCCTCTCCTCATTACTCGTCTCTTCTGGTTATCTACATCCATCTCATCCAGCTTTCCTTCCCTCCACGTCTTTCACTCGTTCCCTTCGCTTCATGGAATTACCCATTTCCTGTTATCTCCACCTGCCTCCCTCCTCTTCCTCCTCTTCCTCCTCCCCTTCACTCACTCATCACTTTCTGCATTTTCACTTCCATCTACATCATCTACATCTACGTTCAGCGTGGACTTCTAACTCTTTTAAAGTGAAGAAGTTTCTCACAGCAGAGGGAGGCGACAGTTTCCCTCCATCACGGTGAGATGGAGTCAGGTGGATAAATCTGGTTTTTCTTCTTGTAGAATAAAAAGTTGATTTAACCAGACCGGACTTAAAGGTTGGTCATCTGATCCAGATACACTTTCTGTTATTCTGGTTAAAATGATCGTTTTGTTTTCCGATGGCGATCAATAAATGATGTGTTCTTAAAAAAGAGCGAAACAGAGCCGCCATCTTCAGCAGGAGTAAAACTGGGAAAACACCGACCAATCACATCGTGTGGGTCCCACATTTTTAAACCAATCAAATCCCGCGCTCACCTCCTGCGCGTACATGTCACCAACGTGTATTTGCCATGATTCAATACGCATGGAGAGGCTGAGAGGGATGAAGCTACGCTGGAGAACGTCAGAGAAACTACCTAAACCAGATTAATGGAGGCGAGCGCTCCTCCTGAAAAAAACAAGAAAAGAAAGACAGAGGCAGAGACGGCCGAAGAAAGACACGAAGGTCAACATCAGGACAGCTTTTCAGCGATGGAGAGAACTGAAAGAGGTCGAGGGCTTTAGAAGTGACGCCATGGTCGCTCATTTTCAGGTGGAAAGGTACGCTGAGGGTAGATCACCTTCTCCAGGGCGAGAAGATTTTCCCGATCTAAAGTCCCGAAGTTTTGAGTCTGTGGTTTTAAATCAGCTGACAGCGGCGCTCGTGCGTTGGCTCCAAGGGGAGGGGGGAGGGGCTAGACGAAGTCCTGAGGAGTCCTGATGACCAACCCTACCTTTAAAGGGATAGTTCGGTCTTTTTACAGTAGAAACAGAAGTTTCATATCTGCACTGAAATGAAGTTATCAAACACTTCAGGGTCCTACAGTTTAGAGAATCAAACACAAACACTAACGTTGGTCAAAGTGTTGAATCTGTTTGGACGTTTTCAGAACTTGGAGTCTGTCCTTCACCTTTACGAGCAGACTGAGACTCAGCAGACCGGAGGAGAGAGAGGAGAAGAGTCTGCGTTATCTCTCCAAACCTCAAACTGAGAAATCTGCTTAGACTGTAATTCCACTGGATCCACTCTGTGCTCATAGAACCCCACTTTAAAAATCTGAACTGTCCCTTTAAAGTGTTTTTGTCTTATCCCTTTTGGCCTCTCCTCCTCTCCTCCTCCTCCTCCTCCTCCTCCTCCTCCTCCTCCTCCTCCTCCTCTTCTTCTCCCTCTCTCTCTTTTGCTCTCTAAAACTCTTTCGATCAACTTTTATTTTTGGCCCACTTTGTACCTGCATCCCTCCCACCCCCGCCTCCCCCCGTCTCCCCCGCTCTTCGTCTCTCTCTCTCTGTTCTGACAGCGTGATCCATGGGGGCATTATCTTTCCATTATCAGTCCATCCCATAATCATTTCCCTCACCTCGCCCGGCGTCTCTGGAGAATATTAATCAGCTCGCAGACAAGTCCTAATCACTGTTCTGGGGCTATAAGAGGAGCTGCAGTCCATCACACACACACACACACACACACACACACACACACACACACACACACACACACACACACACACACACACACACACACACACACACACACACACACACACACACTCTCCTCCCTCCGACTCTCTGCTCTCATAAATCTCAACATAAGAAGTTCAGCTCTTACAGACGGACTATTAGACAAACTGAGGAGACGAGCTCATGCACTTCATCAGGTAAACCTCCACCTCCAGACTACATCTGAATTCCAACAGGTTATTTACAACACCATCATGGTGTGAGGTAGAAGACGAGCAGACGAGTGTTTGTAGCTTCATTTATCTCTGAGACTCACCAGGTCATTTAGAACGACTGAAGAGTGAAGAGAAGGGCTGCAGGATTATTAATCACAATCAGATTATTTAATTATGACCATGTTCAAAAAATTAAAATCCACAAATCAATTTTCCTCTCTTTCATGTCTGGTGCCTCCAGGCCATAGACTCCTCCTTCCTGTGTAAACAAACATGGCGTTTGCAAAAGAAGGCGATAATTTCGTGGTTAAATAGGACAAGAGTGAGTCAGTCGTGTTGAATTGGTACGACTTCACAGTTTCAGATGAAGAGTAAACCACTCCCCGCTGTAAAGTCTGTCTGAAGGCGGTATCAACCCGTCACCATGGAAACTAATTCAGGAGGAAACGCTAAAGTTTTTTGTCGTATCGGCGTTTCAGGTGACTGTAAACGGTACTTTTTAAAAATGGGTCAGAGAGTGAATAAATCTGTAAACGACGACCATTTCATCTCCGTGTGGATCTCTATCTGCATCTGTGGAAACGATCATGTGACACACAGACTGTATTTACTCTGGACAACTTGGTTCCGCCTCCCGCCTGTAAACGGATTTGAAGCCAAAGCGTTTTCGGTATTTCCGGGTTTTTCTCCACTTCCTGAAACCAACATCGTGCAGTAGCTTTGTTTGCATTTGGCAGGAGAATCGCTGTGATGACGTATCCCCCGGTGATCTCCTCAATCTCTGTCCTCCCATTGGCTGTATCAGGTGTCAATCATAGAAAACATGAACCCCCTAATAACTTTTAAAAACGGAGCTGTACAGAAAAAAGAGGACTTGAGCACAAACCAGTCTGACAGTAACTACATGTCAACATCACATCGTTTGTTTCAGGTCGAGTGTCTTTTACTCTCTTCTAACTCAGTGAGTCCACGCGACACAAACTCAAAACTTTCGTACAAAACCTCAAACATTTGAAGGATCTTATAGACTCCCCCGGACAAGGCCGGACAGCCCCCCAAAAAGAGGACATGTGGTCACACTCGATAAGTCCAGACTGAGGATTATAACTGTAGTTTGATCCCAGAATAAGGCTGCTAATATTTAGACCTGAGCCCAAACTGACTTCGATTGAAATCTGTGGTGAAGTAGTCGTAGTTCACCTTCAGACGAGGGAGTGAAGCACTAAAGTTTCTCCTCTTTTCTAGGATGTCAGAGGGTGTGTCTCTGACGCTCTCTGAGGCAGGTTGGGAAATGTTGGATCTCTGAATGCTTCCAGGAACATAAAAGTGATTTTGATTGGAGTTTTATTGCTTCAATTTCAGCAATTAGTCTGAGCCGACTGCAGTGAGCATCTATGAAACTGAGAGGAGATGAGAGGAGAGGACATCTATTCAACAGCTCCTTACCTATAAACTCTAAATTCAGCAGATGAAGCAGACTACTTCAGCGCGGCGCGGTGAGGATAAATATTAGGATAAGCATCTTTTTGCTGAATTAGCATTTTCTCTGACATGCCCTTTAGTCGACTCTGTCAAACCGAGGCTCTGCTATCCTTTCATTTCTCAGACTCTGGATATCTGAGCGTTCAGGATCACGATGAATCTCACAGACATCCAGACGTTTCCCCATAAATCTCTCTGCAGCTTCTTTAATAGAGCAGATTTTAATCCAAATGGCAGAAGGAGAAAAGGGCAAAAGATGAAAGAAGATGATGTTTTTTTTCTCCCTCGACAGAATGATCCTGATTATGAAGAGCTGCCCCGAGGAGGAGGAGAGGAGGAGGTGAGGAGGAGGAGGAGGAGGAGAGGAGGAGGAGGAGAGGAGGAGGAGGAGGAGGAGAGGAGGAGGTGAGGAGGAGGAGGAGGAGAGAGGAAGCTCAGAGGCTGAGGAATGTTTGCAATGGCTGTGCACGAGAAACACACATTAGAAACTATGAATGGACACATGCATGAGTTTGCACACGTACACACACACACACACACACACACACACACACACACACACACACACACACACACACACACACACACACACACACACACACACACACACACACACACACACACAGACGAACAGCATGAAAGGAGGGATGGAATTATATGCAGAGCGTGCAACTGCAAACACTGTAAAGTGCACAGACACACTTTGTGCACATTATAACACACAAACAGCTGAGTGTGTGTGAGTGTGTGTGTGTGTGTGTGTGTGTGTGTGTGTGTCCTTTAAGCAGGTTGAAAGTGGTGGAGGAAGAGTCAGGGAGGGGTGTAGCGTGAGGTGGGATGTTGTAGGAAGATAAGGGATGAGAGGTTACGTGAGGAAGTATCTAATGTGTGTTTGCATGTGTGTGTTTGCATGTGTGTGTTTGTGTGTCTGTGTGTGTGTTTGTGTAGATGGGCCATAAATCTCTGGAGGGGACTGCGGCAGACACAGCTGTTTCACACCCGTCCAGATGTCAGAGGAGAAGGAGAGACAGAGTTACATGCAGAGGGAGAGAGACATGCACAGGCCTATCTATACTGTACACATCAAAGACAAGGGAGGCGCACACATGCACGCACACACACACACGCACACACACACACACACACACACACACACACACTGCAGATGGCAACTCATTGAGAGCATCAGAAGCTTTGAACTGAATGAAGAGCTCCTCTCACTGACTGCAGAGATGGAGTTTCTTCAGAGCGTTAGAGTCAGACTGCAACATATAAAACACTCAACTCTGCAAATTCACCAGCAGAGGAGAAAGAAAATCTGAACATTGAAGGAGAATTTAATCCATTTGGTGGAGGTTTGTCATCTGTCGTGGCAGGAGCATATGTCTGATGGTCAACAAGCCCTTATGCTTCAGTTTGAATAAGTTGGTTCAACACCAGAGGACTTTTAGATCTCTGAAGTTTCTGTCAGACTCTGGGAAAAATCCATTTTGAATCAAACTTCATCGTCTAGCGGCACCGACAACCTTTGAGTCTGCCTTTCTCATTGATTATTGTAGGTATTCAGTCAGAAGAAGAGGCAAATCTAACATGTTCGATATTTATGATGCCAGATTGTGGCGGTCCAGACTGGGTTGGATGTCGATACTAAACCTCAAATAATGAGATGCACATTTAGATGTTTTCTGTCAAATTTAATGGAGCAAAAAATAAACACCTGATGTGGGACATGTCAGGAACACCTCTAACCGGAGGCGTCCAGAAGGCGTCCTAACCAGATCCCCGAGCCACCTCAGCTGACTCCTCTGGACGTGGAGGAGCAGCGGTTCTCCTCTGAGCTCCTCCCGAGTGTCCGAGCTCCTTCCCCTATCTCTAAGGCTGAGCCCGGACACCCTGAGGAGGAAACCCATTTCAGCCGCTTGTATCTGCGATCTTGTTCTTTCGGTCATTACCCAAAGTTCATGACCATAGGTGAGGATCGGCACGTAGATCGACCGGTAAATCCAGAGTCTCTCCCCGGAGAAGGTGATCTACCTTTCTCAGACTGAGGACCATGACCTCGGACTTGGAGGTTCTGATTCTCATCCCAGCCGCTTCACACTCGGCCGTGAACCGCCCCAGCAGGAGCTGAAGGTCACTGCTCGACAAAGACAGAAGAACCACATCATCCACAAAAAGCAGCGACGTGATCCTCCGCCTGCTGAACTGGACACCCTCCACCCCCGACTGCACCTAGAGATTCTGTCCATAAAGGTTCTGAACAGAACCGGAGACAGAGGGCAGTCCCGGAGGAGTCCAACTCTCACCGGACCGAGCTTGTGCTCCTTTGGTAAAGGGACTGGACGGTCCTCAATAAGGACCCTGGTATAAAGACCTCCTAGAAGACTTTGATTTGACTCTAAAAACTCCTGGCAGATTTTCTCCCTTCATGCTGATAATTTATTAAACAATGTGACACAGTGAGAAATGTGTCTGCAGCGGAGTGGTCCAGTCCCCGGCCTGCTGACTGAGTGGATCTGCTGTTCCTGAGGATGAAACAAAGCTCTGTTGTATGTGATGAGGGCGAGCGTTGGAGCAGACACTCCAGCTCTAACAAGGCGTAACGGCTCTGTTTCCACCGAGGGCCTGACACCGAACAGGAACAAAACATCTGCGTTCAGCTGCTGATACTGTACCACCGTGTGCCCACAGAGGATCGGACCACTTCTGTTCAGATCCTGCATCTGTGGTTTTAGACCACAGAGAGGAAACCAGAAGAAGAAACCACACCGGGGTTTATAGTTAGGTTCAGATTTTAGGAACACAGTTTTACTGAATGACTTGATGCACGACCAGCAGAGCAGTCAGGACAGACCGAGTCCAACCATCAACACATGGACAGTTTTCTGTCAGATTCAATGGAGCAAAAAACCATCTGCAGACTTTTAATGTCAGAGGACGAGCAGACCGGAGGGTCAAAGTTCAAACACTCTCAGTCCGGCTCTTCACACATTCAGTCCCACTATGAGAAGAAACCACAGCAGCCCGTCTGAACTGACAGCATGACTGACTTCCCTACATGCAGCTCACAGCAGAGAGGTGTCAGCAGATCCAGACCGGCCCGTCACGTTTGGACATTTCATGACAGGAAACACAGAGGCAGAGGGGACCGGCAGGGGGTCATGGATCTAAGGTTGGACCCAAAGATTTCTGTTGGATTCACCATTTTTATGACCAAACTGTTCGTCCTTCACTTCAGTAAACTGGGAGTTGTAGTTCTCAGAGCGGTTTAAACCAAACAGCAACAGTTAGTTTGAATATCAGATGAGAAGTCCTGCTGCCGTATCTGAGAGCCCAGAGTGGAATCTTGTTTCCAACTCCATCTAAATCAGGAGGACTCTTCATTTAGGGCCTGTGTCCATTTGTCCACTCACTGATATTTTCTAGGGCCCGACCGATCTATTGACGAGCCGATTAAATTGGCCAATTTTATCGGCCAGAAATAAAATGCGGAGAATAAGATTCGGTTTCACTTCAAAAATGTTCCGCCATTTGAAAAGTTCCCCGACTTATCCAGTAGATGGCGCTACAGCGACCTCATGCCAATCTTCATCCACTAACTCCCTCACAGCACAGCAGAGTGACGGATCTGAAGCAGCAGCTCAGGGACGCACGGAGGAGAGTGGTCCGCCTCAACGGTAAATAAACCAGTTTGTGAAAAACACAATAAGTCAACAAGTTTCAGTTCAACCCACTTCACCATGTTCCCCGCTGTGCTGGTCTCAGTCACACCAGTTAACGCTGAAGCACCATGGGATATGAAGCTAAAAAAAGACCTTTTCTGGTCCGAGTTTCATCAGTCGGTCTTCATGTCTGTGTGAAGAGCAGTAGCCTACAGTATATCTACGGTATATAGTATACTCTAGATATCTACAATATATTTTATTTTATAACTTAATGAAAAATTTTAAAAATTAGCCGATTAATCAGTAATCGGACACCCCAATAATCGGTATTGGCATCACCCCCCAAAAATCCATATCGGTTTGGGCCCTAATTTTATCTACCAATGTCACCAGCCTCTACAAAAACCAAATCAGTTTAGGGTTTCCTTGGGTTAGTGCAACATCCTGGACATCCCAGGTGCCTAAAACACTCTTAGAGTTATCTATTTATTATGGTTGCTGTTATAGTTCAAGATCAGGACCAATCAGAATCAAGAGAGCGGCATTTTAAAATCGACCCTGATAACGACGATGGCAGAGGTCTGCAAGGAGAGATAACGTCTCACACTCATTTCCAGGTCTAGATTTAGATCGATTTCTACAAATTGGTTTCTATATTTTCTTTGTACAGCGAGTGAAATCACAGCAGCTGAAAGTGCCAGTGTGTCAGTGGACACAGGCCCTTATTGGTGCAAATAACGGAAATCACCAAATCCTCTCATGTGAGAAGGTGGAATAAGCAAATGTTAAAAGTTCCTGATGAGTTTCTGAAGCGATTACCTGAATAGACTTCCATAATATTTCTATTAAGTTTAATTAATTTTAAAAACCTGTTTCTGAAGCTGTTTTCTTGGTATTTCAGTGAAAAAAAAGACCAGGTTTGTTGTTCTTACGGGTCAAACATGTCAGTTTGTCCTATTTAAGAGTTTCAAGCTTAAGTGGTGGAGGTGGTTAGTGAGTGAAAGAGGATCCCTGTTGATAGGGGATGATTGCACTTTGGCTCACTTCTGTCCTCCACACATGCTGAGGGTTTCACTGAAGTCAGAATCTCTTCCCTCCTCAGGATGTTTGGAAAGTAAAAGTGGAGCCTCTTCGGTCTTTTTCACGAGTGTATACAGGCACACAGACACACTCAACACGACCTGCATCCGCCGCCTCTGACAGGCACAGCTGCAGGCTGAGGGCTGTAAGAGAAGACGACACAAACACACATCTGAGGGCAGACAGAGGGAGTCTCCTCTCTGAACCAGAACGGACTTTAAGGGTTTCTGGTAGTTTGACGTTCGTGATGAGAGGCGTGCGGGGCGATCGGGTTTAAAGAGCTCAGAAACTTTTCACATGTGCTGTTTCAGATTCAGCCTCAGCTCTGCAGTAATCCTCACTTGACCATGCTGATACAGGACAAAGTCTGAAGAGCCTGACATAGTATAGAAAAGTTGCACGGGACAATTCCAGCTATTGTGAGCCGAGGTCAGATGTCAGATAATGTAAGATAAGCTGTTTATGTGGAAGTCTGGCTGATGGTCTGCTGCGAAAGGAACCAATGAAGGTAAACATGTACTGAATTAAAGTACTTAACATCTGTGCATGAGTCCAATACTGTAAAGGCACTTACAGACTAAGACGGATTAAAACTAATCCACCAAGAAGGTAAAGGTTTAATGAGAAGCATCATTTTCAGCCTCTCCTGAGGAGAAATCCTGGATCAGAGTTTTGATCCCAGGACGTCAAACTGTGGAGGTTTCTGCTGAACTTCATCCTGCTCTCGGAGTCAATTAATGATTTATGTTTTGTCTTAATTAAACACTCTTCTCCTGGGTCCTGATGTGATGAGTGACGGTGTCATTTTTGTATAACTTACTGTTTTACTGACAAGAACTGAGTCGATGTCAGAATCTGCTCTCTTCTAAATTCATGATAAATGATAAAATAATCCTCACATATTTCTTCTCAGGGTGAATTTAATCTTGTTGGGAAACACAGAAAACTAAATCTTACTGCCAAACCTCCTGTGAGACTTAAGACGGCAAAACAGTAATCCAACTAAATCTTTACCAGATCTTAGTTTCGGTTTATTCCTCTCTCAGGATCAGGCGATATGCTGACGATACCGTTCTATCCATGCTAACGGTTTCACCCCCGCCATGTTATTTCTGCTTATTTCATGGTAACAATAGGTTAGCATAATTAGCAAGTACAATGTGGGGTGTATCACAGGTTAGGACTATAACTGAAAGTGTCGGTGACGTCACCTATTTGATTTCAAAGCCGAGTTTTGAGGCGTATCGTCGGCGGTCGCCATATCGGTAAAACTAACTCAACCTCGCTTTTAGTCAACCGACTAGAGACGGGTCTCTGACCTGAGTGTGGACACCTGGACTGAGGGATTTTCTGACAATAAGATCGCAGATCACAAACCACTTGCGAGTATGAGAAACCATACAGAAACCAAAGTATCAGGGTCAGGAGCTGATGAGATCACTGCGAGAAAAGATCGTATTAAATTCAGACCGCAAAGACGCCATGATTCGTGTAATTAGTAGTATGTTTAGATGTCAGTATCCCACACTACAAAGTAATGGACGACACCCCACTGAGCAGTAGACGGTTATTAGACGTCTGTATATTTTAAAACCTAATTTTAACCTCCTAGATTCTGTATATCTTTAGACAGAATTCAGACGCTGCTCTTTAACCCGTTTTTTAATAACTACTTATTTCAAAAGGCAGATGTGAGTCCCATCACTGATCTCTAATACTTAACCAAAATAATGATGATAGCTGTTGAGAAACAGACAGTGTAGTATAGCTAAAGCTCTGTTAGCCGGCTAGTCTAAACTTAATTTAGACGTGTAAAAAACCTTCATTTTCAGACCTGTGGTACCTGATCCTAGACCAGTCGTCTCGACTACATTTAGACGTTTATTAGACTCTTTTAGACCAAGAAAAGCTCAGTGGTTGGTTGTTCCCTTTTGGGTGACCACTTGAAGCAGATATATTCATGCTGTAACCCTTTGGTACTAGATATTCTGCCTTTCGGTCTTTAAATCCTGCAGACAGAGGCTGCAGCCGTCAGGTTCAGCTCAGGAGTTCACAGGAGTTTACCCGTGAAGGAGCTCCATCATGGCCTGATAAAAGGATCTGTGGATTCAGCTGTGTCACTGTGAGGCAGACCACAGAAACCAGCTCAAACACACCTCGGTCAGAGCAGCGCAGATATTAAACCGCCCCCAAACAGCTCTGAGGTGTGAGTCCCTCAGTAGTTTATCCACAGACGGCCCATCAAGGCCAGCAGCTCATTGTACGGGCCAACCCTAATTACAGTTTGGACCGTCATGAAAAAGCTTCCGCTCCGACATCAAATACAAAGTCACTGAAGTACAAAGGCTTTCATTTTCCCCCTTTGTTTCAGATGCCAGCACAGCAGAAGGAGCGGAGCGGCGAGGAGGAGGAGGAGGAGGAAACGGCAGAGAGATAACGGGATTTAGGGAGAGCCGTCAGCCAGAGACAATGGAGGAGACAAAAATGGCACAAGGGGACAAGGAGACAGACAAGAATGAAGAGAAACACGATAAGAATGATGGATGTCAGAGGAACGAACAACACGCACATCAGACGGCTGGAAACGCCGTAAAGTTCGGCGTAGAGGAGCTGACACAGATCGGAATAATTCAGGAGTTTCCCACTTTGACTGAGTGAACATGAGAGTGAGAGAGAGAGAAAGAGAGACTTTTACAGCTTTCCTGTCTCTGTCAGTCAGTGTTGACAATAGACTATTGTGTGTACCACTGGTCTGGAGACTGACACACCCACAGACATGAGTGTGTGTGTGTGAGTGTGTGTGAGTGTGTGTGTGTGTGTGTGTGTGTGTGTGTGTGGGTCAGGTTATTCCGATGACAGTGATGTTGTGTGACGATGAGAAGTGTCAGTTCAGTGTGTGTTCCTGTGTGTTGGCGGGTTGTGTGTTGATGGGTGTGTTACCGCACACATGTGTGTGTGTGTGTGTGTGTGTGTTTCTTTGTACCTTTGTTCTCTGACCCACATCCATCTGTTTTGTCTTCAGAAGAGGAGAACGTCTTCGTCGGTGGAAGGATGACAGTCGACTTGGTCACCTTCACGTTTGGACGGACACACACACTTGATCTTATCTCACTGAAATATTCGAGGAGGTGAAATCAACTGTTCCCAGACCAGCTAAGAGACACGGTGTCTCCAGGGTGTCCTCAGTCTCCTACCGGTGGGACCTGCCCTGAACACCTCACCAACGATCAGAGGCCTGGGCCAACTCATCGGACTCCTCTGAACATGGAGGAGCAGCATCTCCACTCTGAACATCTGACCCTGTCTCTGACGGGGCGTCCACACCGAGCGCGAGCAAAACCATCTGAATCCAGACGCATGAATTAAAAGTATTTACTCGCTTCAGTCGTGTGTCAAGGTTAAAATCAACGGTACTTCCTGCCAATTCAACCATCAGGATAAAGTGATAGACAAAGTTTTTTATAATTTACCAGGTGGTCTGACCTCCTCACTCCCTCGCTCTCCTCCAGACGAGCTCCTCTTTATTTAAAAGCAAAGGTATCATACGGTTCAGAGCGCCCACACACCGACAGTTTGTCTTCCATTTTAGATACCGGTGAACATCCATCCGTCCCTCTTTACGATCAAAGACCTGTGACCTGCTACGTCTGAAACTTAACGGATAAAAAAAACTACCATCCATGTCATCGTCCATTTCACTGATTCTTCTTCTTCTGAATGAAAACAGAAACAAGAACGATAATAAGGTCTGAATGTTCACTGGATTAAACTGAAGTAAAGCTCTAACTCTGATATCTCAGTTTTAAAGATACGAACAGAGGACCACACTGTCAGAGCGCCCCCTGCAGCCTGAGACGACGTCCTCGATATTCAGCCAATAACTTCAATAACGTTCTGAGTGAATGAAACCGTCTTTGAGGAAACGAACACGTCCGTCTTCAACGATGGTTTCTTTGGAGGAAGCTGAAACATCCGACACAGAGAGCAGTTTTCAAACGGTCTCTGTCCTTCTCAGTGTTTGAACTTTTTATGTTCATCTACAGATTTCAGCTCATTGCTAAAGGCTAAAATTAAACTGTCTCAACCGATCTCAACAGCTACAACCAAACATGTTTCTACTCCAGGACCAGAGGAAGGTCATGAAGCTGAAACTGTAATAAACTGTAAATGTGTGGAGAGAGAAGAGTCTCAGGTTTTACACAGATATCGTCTATTTTGTCGTTTTTGTGTTTGTGTTTTTCAGTTTATGCCTAAAAGAATAAAAATCCCCTCTAACTCAAACTCTCACACTCATGGGAATAAAAAAATCCCACTCACCAAATAAACAATCTGCCCGGTTTACTGTAATCCAGAAAACTGATTTATTACTCTGAGCCTCTCACTGTGGGCTCCTTTCAGAAACCTCTCTGCTGATTCTTCACTCCCCCCTCTGTTTCTCTCTCTCTTTTATTCCTCACCCACCACCCACCCATCTCAGCCCCACACTAACTCATCCTCCTGTCTTTCATATCAAAGAGAGACAGATTTAAGATGCAAGCGGAGACATAGAGACACACACACAGAAACACACACTCCTCACACCAACATCTCAGGCCAAGTTCTTGACAACAGACTCCCAGCAGTCTCGGCCTCCTCCACAGCTTCAGAATCGACCTTCTGTGTGTCTCGGACCATCTGTGGACCTCCCTCCACTCGCCCCGTTTGAAGACGTACAGCGCTGCTCACTGGCCCGTCTCCTCTCCTCCTCTCCTTCTCTCTGCCCTCTCTTTCTCCTTTTCAGTCTGCCGTTCCCTTCAGAGCCTGCAGGACTAAGTGGAGACGACAGTATCGAACAATTCCCCCATAAAAACACACACTCCTCCTCCTCCTCCTCCTCCTCCTCCTCCTCGTCTCTCTATTGATGGAAAACTCACTGCAGCGTTGTGCTCTTTCATCCACTCACTGCTGCTCTGATATATTTTTTCCATTTTAGCATCAGGAGGTCCAGAGAAACTTCCTGATGACCCGTTACTGCAGAGATCTTCAGGAGGTCGTTTTCAGAGACTCTCACCTGCAGGAAACTGCTGATGTTGTTGTTGGTGGTGATGGTCCTGATGCTGACGGCTCCATCCATGATGATTCTGCTGAAGATGAACTCTGGCTCTGCAGCATGTCCACTCATCTGGCACCTTCACGGATCAACAGCGCCCCTCTGTGGTCAGCACTGAGAAGTTCCACCAGGAGAGAATGATGCTGCTGTAGGTAGTTGGGGTCATATTGAGGGTCATACTAAGGGTCAGGTTTCTCATGCATGTTCTTCTGTGTGTCACTGATACACGGGTCAGAAAAATGTCAAAAGTCTGAGTAGGACCGTCTTCGGTCTGAGTCTCAAACACACGACTGAAAAGAGTCAAAACATCCTCATCAAACTGTCTGTATGATAACTGAAGCTGTGTGCGTTTACCAACGCCGTCTCGTTCTCTAGAAGGTCAAAAACGTTTTATTCAGACATGCAGATACAGTGAAGGTCGTTAGACACGGTGAAAATGTGAAATATTCGGTTTACGCCTTTTCTTAAAGACGCCACAGGAGAACAGAAGGGGAGAGGGAAGAAGGAGGAGGAACAATGGCGGCTACATCCTCAAGTGATGATGACCTGGTCGTGGTTGTAAGCCGAGAATCGAAGTGTTTGAGTTCATCCAACACTGACCTTACAACAAAAGATGGAGGAGCTCCACAACGATCCAGGAGCTTCAACTGTATCCTGAGAAATTCTGACAACAGACCATTTCAAGAGCTGCTCCATCAGCTGATTCATGTTTACAGAGAGAGAGGACAGATTACAGAGAGCCGACTGATCCAGAGCGACGCCTGCTGCATGTCTGAGGTTAGATCTAGAACAGGCTGTAGATTTATACAGCAGTGAATGTTCACAAACTTCGACAAAATTACAGACGCTTTTTCGCTCTGCGGGAGTTTGCACTGACTTTATGGGTTTTTAAAAATGAATGATTGGATTTCAGAACAGGCAGCATGTGAGAATCTTCACTCAGATATCACCTAAAGTTTTTCTCTTCAGACCCAAACAGAAATTTCTGAGTTAAGACTGGAAATACACCAAAGATTGACTCACAGCAGGATGAAGAAAAACATCCAAGGTAGAAAAAACAGGATCATTTTCAGCAGACGAGTGAAGACGTCTGAACATCAGTCTGCCTTCAAAATAAACAGCAGGTCTCTGAAAATCTAACATGTAAACACTTAAGTTTCACTGAAGTTGGATTTTCTCAATCAGACAGAAACTAAACTGAAGGTTTTGAGTTGAAACGTGTCGTTAGGACGTCAGGTGGTTAAAGGAAAACTTTAAAAGGACGTAAAAAAGACAGAAACAGAACAGAGCTGCAGAGGTGACGAGTTTTCACTGTTTCATACTAACGCAGGGTTTCTGCAGGTTCAACGAGTCAAATTTAAGACTTTTTAAAGACTTTTAAAGACCTTAATGAAAACAATTTAAGATCTATTTAAACATCAAAGTAGAAAAGACATGAAGTGAAATCTGAACACTTTAAACAAACTATTATACATATAAACTAAGTTATTGGATTTTAGAGGTTTTGAGATTTCTGAAGACCCCGCAGAAACCCTGTTTACACATCAACAGGATAGTAAAGAGTTTAACAAACGTATCACCTCCTCCTGAAGTAAAGGTGGACACACTTCGATCAATAATTCAATTCTTGTCCAGTGAACATGATCCGGGACAAGGACAGCAGTTCAGTTCAGACTCAGAATTGAGCTCTGACTGAAGCTTTCTTTACCTACACCTGTAAACAAGATCACTCTGACGGTCTCTCCATCACATCCCACCTCTTATTTCTCTCTGTCTCTTGTTCAGGACTTGTGAATCTGAAAGTTTTAAGGTCAGTGCCCTGGAGGATCTGCAGAAAATTTCAGGAGTGAGGAGAAAGTAAAACGGGTTCCTCTGTCACTCCTATCACAGCTCGCTTTTTTCTAGGACACGCTTCTTACTGTCTGTTTTCTAAAGATTATTCTGTTGTTCTGTGTTTCAGAGAGGACGCTGACACAGGGATGGAAAGTGTGGGGGAAAAAAAAGTTACACAAAACCATGAGCGGTCCAACAGCGCCCCCTTGTGTCAGGATCACAGAGCTGAATGGTGTCATTTAATCTTTACTCTGCGTGTACTTCATCATCTCCGTCTCTCTTTTCTGTTTCCTGCACTCCTCCATTTGCCTGTTTTATGCAGTATTTTCAGGTCTGTGTTGGTGATTCTTCTCTCTGCGGTCATGAGTGTGGATGAAGTCCACAGACATCAGTTTGTGTTTGAGTTTGAGTGTAGTTATGTCTCTAATATCTGCAGATGAACTGAAGAGGAAGAAACGATGTAAACAAACCTGCATTCACACCGACAATGACTGGAAACACAACTCTGTGAAATCTGTTACTGCAGCAATCATGAGTCCCTGAGCTGTGAGCCAACTCTGCAGTACTCCACTCTGACCAGAGGGGGGCAGCACTTCACAGTACTCCAGCTGATCCAGGAGAGGATGAACACGGGAGAGAGGAGAGGGTTTATGTAAAATAACTCAGACTCCTACAGATCAGATAAAAGACAAACGTGCAGCTGTGAGCGGCTCTGGATATCAGCAGGTTTGTGGATGAAATCAAAAGCATGAAGAAAAAAAAGAAAAGACAAACAAACTGAAGTGGAAGATCAGATCAGATCTGAGGTGAGACCCTCCGACAGACTCCTGCAGACAAGTGTAAAAGCATCAGTGTCCAATAAGAAGATGTGAAAATGCACAAAGTTTGATGACCGGAAACGACCAGATCAACTTTATCATCTTTATGTCTCTGAAGGCCACCGTCTCTTCACCAAGAGAGACCCTCAGTGCAGAACCGAACTGCTGAAAATCACTCCATAAACCCACTCCTCTTTAACTTTTGACATGTTTGTACAAAATAAACCCTTTATTCATCTTTACAGAGGTTAAATATTGTTGAAGAGTAACAGTCAGTGTGGCAGAAACTAAGATTTATGAGCATTTAGTCCCTAAAGGTCAAAGGTGACTTAAACGAGACTGAGTGAGGACTTCCAGTAAAAAGGAATTAAAGATACTGTAAGGAACTTTTTGTTTGTGTTTACCTTTCATTTTTAAAAAGAGAGAAAGTCAAAAAAGATTCATTTTTCAGCCAGCTGTCAATAATCAAAGTATTGATAATAAATCTGACTGTTTGAAAATGTGGAACCAAATGACTAAGATTTATGAGCATTTAGTCCCAAAACGTCAACAAGACTGAGTGAAGATTTTTTTCTACAAACTCGATTTTTGATTTTTTATTTAGTGACGACTTCATCAAACTTCACTTATATGTGAATTATTCTTATAATAAAGTTTTTCTATCGTTTTTCAAAACTAAACCACTGAAAAAGATGTAGTTCATATGTCAAGCCAGTAAGTGGCGCTGTAACGCTGAAGAAGAGTACAGAGCATGTGTATAAAGGTTGTTTTGGCGCCATAAAAGAGTTCCTCTGTGTGTCACATGATCGTTTCCAGAGATGCAGATAGACATCCACACGGAGATGAAATGGTCGTCGTTTACAGATTTATTCACTCTCTGACCCGTTTTCAAAAAGTACCGTTTACAGTCACCTGAAACGCCGATACGACAAAAAACTTAAGTGTTTGTTTACATGGTGACGGGTTGATACCGCCTTCAGACAGACTTTACAGCGGGGAGTGGTTTACTCTTCATCTGAAACTGTGAAGTCGTACCAATTCAACACGACTGACTCGCTCTTGTCCTATTTAACCACGAAATTATCGCCTTCTTTTGTAAACGCCATGTTTGTTTACACTGGTGTGTGTGGGAACTGGGGAGAGCTCCTGAAACATGATAGAGAGGAAAATTGATTTGGTGATTTTGTCGATTTTAACATCGTCGTAATGAAATAATCTGATTAGTATTTAAAGTGAAGTTACCGAGCAGCCCTATCTTGTCTCATCTTTTGGTTGATTAATGACATTAGTGTGAAAACTCGTTGGATCAGCTGTTCCTCTCCACGCTGAGTCAGTAAATGAAACGGTTCAGATTCTTGGTCACAGGTTTGGAGACTCGATCACCTTTCTGAGGTGAAACAGGAAAACGTTAAAGACCAGGACTAAATTTACCTGCAGGTTCATTCTCCTACACAGGTTCCTGTCTCCTCTGACTCCATCTGTTCCCGTCTACTTCACCCTCCTCACCCTCTCCTCACCCTCTCCTCACCCTCTCTTCTTCTCTCTCCTCTAGTTTTTCTCCCGTCAGGCAGAAGTTACGTAAATCTTCTCCTTCTGAAAAAGCAGCGTAACACTTAACTCCACATGTACCCACTCAGAACAGCACTAGAGGAAGTTCACACACACGCTGTGATGTCACTTCCTCTTTTTTACAGTCGGCAGGTTTTTCTCTCTCATCACTCAAACATCTAAATTGTTTTTGGAGAGGCTGCTGTGGAGGAACCCACTAAAGTTTGAGATGAAGTGAATTCTGTGAGCGGTGAGTAACCCAGCTGATTTCAGACTCGCTCTGAGGGTCTTTGCTGCTGCTCTCCCGGCCTTTTCATGGACGAACATGAAAACAGAGTCACACTGCGTCCAGTTTCATCTGCATGTAAACATAAATAACTCATTTATTCCACTTCAGCCTGTTCCAGTGAAGGTTCACGGTGTTCTGCAGCTCACAGACTCACACAAACTTCATCTGCATCATGAAGCAGAAACAAACATCTAAATTCTAATTTTGGTCAAAGGTTGAGATGAGAAGAAGCTGCACGTCCCTCTGAAACAGAGAGACTGAGGATGATCGACGGAGAGACACGGAGCGTGAAAGAGAGCGAATGTCAAACAGGCGGAGCGGGTCAGATCGACGGAGAGGGATTTATGAAGAGACAGGAGCGAACGCTTCTCCAGGAGGTGATGCAGTCGGCCTCGCTGAGAAGATTAATCGCTCCTCAAGATTGAATCTGATTTAGTCAGATCCAGGAGGCGACCAGCCGACAGATGAACAAAGAGCATCCTTCACTGTTCATGAGACAAACACGTGACTTATTCATGCAGGAATCACTTCAAGGAGACCAACGATGGGCTTCTTTAGACTGAACTAAGAGAAATCAGCTGATGCCACAGCAGCTCCTGTATGCTAACGTGGCTACATGCAGAGCTAACAGCCTGATCCGTCCCAGAAACCCGATTTGTACCGCACATGTGTGAAACGTACGTCACTTCCTCTACTAGCCATCTTTGCAACAGCAACTCTTTGTCCCTCGCGGTTTGCGACAGTTTCGACACTTCGACAGCGACTGAAGCAGAGCGGCGTAAAGTCAGAGAACGGCGCCCAGTTTCACGATTAAAGGTCCCTATCACAGCTTGATTGTAAAACTGCAGCGTAGTTCCTCCTCATGTCAAAATGTAAGTAGAACTTTTCATCTGTTTCTCACAGACCCTTTAACTGTCTGCTCGTATTCAGGCTCTAAAGTCAGTTTGTACTGAGAGCGTTCGACCACGACCACGACCACGACCACGACCACGGCTCCTTTAATAAGAGCCGATATAACCGTAAAGTTTTGACACATTTAGGAAGTTAAGACTAAAAGTTCAGACTTCACCCGGAGGTTACTCTCCACCTCGCCGTCAGTGCGTCCTTGAAGGCGACCTGAAGCCCGTCTGCTGACTCAGCGTTTTCCCGGATGAAAGCATCAGAGAAATGTAAGAGGAAACTGTGACAGCGGGTTAACGCCACGGCGGCTGAGATGGGCTCTCCCTTTTATCACAACAACAACAACAAGAGCGAGGACGGAGCGATCCCCGAGCCTGGAGCGGTGAGGACGTCGAGAGTGATCGTGGTCGTGAAGCGCGGCTGTTATACGGCGTCACGACAAACAGCTGAGTGTTTTTTTAACTTTGACAAAGTCGCACCGAGGTCAGCGAGCTTCACAATCCCTGGACTAATGAAACGCTGACCGTGGTGAGGGGAAATGAGGGAAAACGTGATTATATCAAACTGTAACAAATAGAGTGATCTGAGTTCATGTCAGGGTGTTCAGAGGTGAAGTGCTGAACCTCACAGGATCAGATCATCACTAGAAGATCCATTTACACCTAAAAATCCACCATCAACACCTCAGCGTCCCGGGAGGACAGCTGAGCAACAGGAAAGGGTCGACTTCATCCTGCTGCTAAAAACAGCCTCAAAAAGACGTCCTCTGCAGAGGGACGGTAAAAAAGTCACATTTCTGTCAGATCGATTCATCAGCCTGACTGTGATGTGTCTGACAGACGAGAAAAAGGGTAAAAACACCTGAAACTTCCACAGCGCCTGAGAGACGCTGTTCAGAGAGGAGGACGAGGAGAAAAACTTCAGATTACAGATGAAGAAAAACTGTCGTGATGTGGATTTCCTGAGTAAAACACCGACACACCGAGAAGATGAGGATTCAGGATGAGAACGAGACAGAGGGGATCGACTGAGCGGACTCTACGTCAGCGATCGGATCTTTTTCACCGATCAGTGAACGAATCAGGAGAAACGTGTCGTTTTAACTTTCTCTCCGTCCTCCAGCTCCTCACCTGTCTTTCCCTCTTTGTTACAGACTGGATGGGGTGGAGTCACGTCTCTGACGTAGGACAGCATCTTAAAGGGACATGAGACCATAGCCTACCTACACACATCCAAAAACAACTTTGATTTATTTATTTATTTGACATTGAATATACTGATATGGGCAAAATGACGTCGGTTATTGTTCCAAATTTTCGGATTATCGCCCAGCCCTACTTTTAGGTGGTGTAACCCTGGATCTCCACTGCATCCGGAATGGCTCTGATCGAGACGGCGATTTTCGCTGTTCGCCAATTCCTACCAGATCCATTCGTGAGGCAAATTTCATGGCAGAGTTCACAAGAACTCCCAAGAACCTGCAGATTCACGTTCAATCTCGCGATAACGAGTCGTCTCTCTAAAGACAGACACATAGACATATAAGCAGTAGATTGTGTCCTTCCAGAGGAGGAAATCTACTTCTAGACTTCTAGAATCAGCATCTCCTCATCCATGGTGTCATCGGGGTGAAATGACGTCTAAAAACCTTTCACTTGTTCGGATGTTTTATTTTGAAAAGAAGCCGGATGTTTTATTTTGTGTCTGTGCCCGACTTCCTTTCCAGCACGGGTTAATCTGTGCTGAATTTATCCGCCATGCTCCGGCGTCCAGAAAAAATAGAACTCTTGTGATCAGCTGAGGAGTCCGGCGATCCGCAGAGGAACGGAAAGAAGTCGGTGTAAATTGACACGTTAACTTGAATGGTTACGATCAGCTACGATCGGAGGATACGACCTTTTAGGAGACGATCAGGATGAAGGTGGAGATCGGGGGTTAGATTTCTTTGCCCTGGGCTGAGGCTCACAGGCTGACACACCTGTCTGCACCTCTAGTGTAAAAATGAAAGCATGAAAAAGTGAAGGAGTGATGAAATGACTTTATTAATGAGTGAAATGTGACGACCATGAACTGACAGATGGCGTGCATGAATACTGATTATGATCTTTCCTCCCCTCGACCGTTCGTCCCTCAGGCCTCAGTGTTGTAAACAGATAGGTCAGAGGTCAGGGTCATGTGCAGTTCCCATGGAAACTGATTGACAGGTCTGTTGATTTTGCCCTGCTGACCTCTGCTCTCCTTGATCATCAGCTGGACGTCCTCGTCGTCCAGGATGCGGATGAGGTCGCCCTCGGGGTCGCGGTAGTTGAGGGCGATGTCGTCCTCCTTGAAGACGGTCCTGCAGACAGACAGATGGACGGAAACAGAGAGACGTCAGACCTCGACTCTTTTCTAAGGTTTGGTTGTTTTTCATCCTCAGTTTGTTCTCAGGAAGATAAACTTTCATTTGCAGCAGTCGAGGACTTTCATGTTAAAAGCAATAAAAACTAATTTAACGGGGACATGATTAAAAAAGCTTCCAGTGAGGGGAACGTGTGCCCTCTGAAGGCCTTCGTGGATGTGTGAGGGTTTAATTAAAATTTGGCTCTGAGAGTTATCACCGAGAAAACATGTGCTGGACCGGAGAAACACCGGAAAGAGGAGCAGATATGAATCCTGACAACTCGGAGTGAGGAGAAGGTGAAGAAGAGAGAGACAGAAACAGACGCAGCACATGAGCTTCACTGTCCTGGAGGAACAACATGATGAAACGGTTCATCAGACGACGGAGATGCAAATAAAAAAACAGACAAAGTCACTTCCTGCCACCAGCAGTGAGAAATAAAATACAGGGAGGTTTTAGAGGACCGGTTTTCCTCTTTATCCTGGTCCAGGAGAGATTTCATTAAAGCCCGACTGATTCTTCTGATGACGGCGTTCAGCTCATTCAAGAGAACGGAGGCTGCGTTCAAGAACACAGAAAACTGTATTTAACTGATTTTTTTAATTAATCACATGAATTCATCGTCAAACTTCATGATTTGGTCGTATCATGACCGGTTTCAAACTCCGTCTTTAATGTGAAGTGACTGTTTGGACAGAAAGAGAAAAGCACCTTTTTGAGTTTAATCTGAAGCTCATTAAGACTCAAGGGAAACTCATTTTGTTTTCATTTACTTCTCGAATCGTCCAGAAACATTTGGATTTGCTTCAGTCCCTCCTTCTCTCCCTCCTTCTCTCCTCCTTCTCTCCCTCCTCTCTCCTCCTCCCCCCCCCCCACAAACTTTATCAGAGCTCAGACAAATTAAAACCCGAGTCTCATCCATCCTACTCCGGGGCACACTCGGCTCAAAAACAATAATGAGCAGATGAGCGGAATAAATGAACTGATTATGAGCGGGAACGGCGAATCATGGAGACGCTGACTGATCTAAATGAGCCGATAATGACGGATGGAGGGAGAACGAAAGAGAGAGAGAGAGAGATGGAGAGGATCAGACTGCAGCTGAAACATGCGCCCTGGAGGTGGACTGGACAGGTAATGGACTTTTACACATGCTCGTTTATTCAGGAGTTCACACACACACACACACACACACACACACACACACACACACACACACACACACACACACACACACACACTCCAAACGTTCCCTGCCCTCCCTGCCAGCGCCCAGTTACTTCTGGACACGTCTTCAGCGATGGTCTTTCAGCATCATTCTCCCTCCTCCAGGTGACCCGGCTGAGGTTGATCGTAGGGCTGGGCGATAAACCGGAAATTTACAGATACCGTAATTTACGGCAATAACTGACGTCATTTTACCCAGATCAGTACATTCGCTGTCAAAAAATAAATCAATGGTAACACTTTACAATAACCATAATCAATAATTGGTGAATAGCAAGTTTAACAATATTTAATCATTATTTAAAAACAGCATGTAGATCAATTATAAATGGCAAATAGATAGTTTATTAATGTAAGTTAATAGTGACTTTACCATTTACAAGCAATGAAGTTATGATTAATAATGTTCATTAATTATTATTGGACTATTGATTAAAGGTTTATATAGGGTTTAAATGTTGGTTGTAAAATATCTAGATTCAAATGTGAGTCAGTTTGTAAATGATTAATATTTGTTTATAATCCATCTATAAACATTACTCAGATGGTTATTGTAAATTTAGGTATTAAAATTGTAAAATTTATAATTGATTAATGGTCTGTATGCCATTTATAAATGATGATTAAACATTAATAAACTATCTGCTCATCATTAATAAGTTCAGGTTATTGTAAAGTGATACCAAATCAATAAATCAAAGTTGTTTTTGGATGTGTGTAGGTAGGCTACAGTCTCATGTCCCTTTAAGACGCTGTCCTACGTCAGAGACGTGACTCCGCCCCATCCAGTCTGTAACAAAGAGGGAAAGACAGGTGAGGAGATGGAGGACGGAGAGAAAGTTGGAGCGGCTGAAGTAGACGAAGTTAATGTGGGAGGGGGTGAGCAGCTGGTGGAGTAGTTATCGTCTATTTATCGTTATCGAGGTGAACTGATCAATGATGATATCATATCATATACGTATTTGGAGATCTTCTTTTTCAAAGACTTCTTCTTCCTCTGGGACTTGAAGCTCCAGCAGGGCTCGTTTGGTGGATCCAGGCTGGTGAACTTCAACTGTCCCTTCCCGAGGTCAGGATGCCTGTTTATGATGTTCTCCTGGTGGGACGTGGCTAAGGGGGTGGTCTTCTTGGGTCGGCTCCACTTTGCCCACTAGAATCCTGTGCTGGTGGCTTCATGGACGGCCTTCATGGACCTGATCATGTTCTCGTCCTCTTGCTCAGCAGCTTCTCTTGTTGTAAATTTCCTAAAGTGTCTCTTTTGTTCTGCATGTTGAATAAAAATCACCTTCACGGCTTTTTCTCGACCACGTCTGTGTTGTTTTTCCACTTCCTGTGACCTTCTTTAAAGTCTAATTTATCCAAAAACATGCTCAACACTTCCTTGACGCTTTAAACAGTGGAGGTCAAAGGTCAACAGGTAAAAATTAGAAACACGACTCTGAGGTAATCCTGTCACACAAACACCAAAAACAGAAGATTTTAGAGCGATTAAAACGACAAAATACGAGGTTTTTCCTGCGCCTGTGAAATCTGTCGGCTCCATTAACACGTCTGTGTTTGTCGTCGACTCACAGGTGTCAGGATGCATACACTCATTTCCCCTCCGCAGCTACACAACAGCCACAAAAAACATCCCACGTGGGTGCAAATGAAAAACTCAGCATGAAACTCAATAATCATTTTTTTACCCCCCAAAAAATCGGTAAAAAAAAGACACAAAGTCGAGGAAAAGGGTGGAAAAGTTGTGAACACACAAACCTCATTCGAGACAGGAGGTCCTTGTACGTCGGCTGGATACTGAGGTCCTCCTGAACGCACACGTCTCTGTGGGAGTGGGAGGGAGGAGACGGTCATCTCTTTAGAGAAGGTCTACAACATTTTACAACCGAGGAGAACATTCGGAGAAATAAAGGAAACGAGGAATTTTTCTCTCAGAAAACAAGAATAAATATGACTGATATGATTATTAGTGACACATAAGGAAAATAATAAAACTTCAAGATTCAAGTTGGAGGAGAATAAAGTCATTACCAAAGAAAATACAGTCTTAATAAAGTCATTTTATTACGACTTTATTCTTGTAATTAATTATTTTATTACAACTTTATTCTTGTAAATAATGATTTTATTACAACTTTGTTTTTGTAAGTAATTATTTTATTACAACTTTATTCTTGTAATTAATTATTTTATTACAACTTTATTCTTGTAATTAATTATTTTATTACAACTTTATTCTTGTAATTAATTATTTTATTACAACTTTGTTTTTGTAAGTAATTATTTTATTACGACTTTATTCACTATAGTAATCACTTTCTTAAGACTTAACTCTTGTTAGTTCTGACTTTATCCTCATAAATAAACAAATTTAATCCCAAAGTCCTCAGAAATTATCTTTAAATACGGAAAACTCTCACAGATGAGTTAAAATGAAGGTTTTTAAAGTTTTCAGGCTTTTATCTTTATTTTTATTCTGACTTTTATTTTCAATGTGAGTTTAATTTTTATTTGTTTTTAAGTTAACTTCAGTTTTTATCTACTAAAAATGCTTCAGTGCATTGATTAGTTTAAGTTTAAACTCAGATTTTGTTACATGTGAAAAACTAAAAAAGAAAAATTCTAATGTTTGTTTTGACAGATGTTTAATAATAATAGTAATAATAAATGTAATTTAGTGGTGAGTGGGCTCACATACTTCACGCCACCCCAGCAGTGTCAGTGCCGGGGTTAGGCCACCCTGATCTAAACGATGCGGACACGCCTCTGCTCGCTAACGTATATCACAGCTGAGATCTGAACAGACGGTTCTGTTCCTGGATTAAAGGACTTTTATATCTTATATATCATCAAATAACCGCCTATCACAGCTTCATCTCTATATTAAAAAAAGGACATAATGTCGATATGTTGCTGAAGTCAAACCGAACTTACATAACCTTTTCCTTGATGCTGTTTTTAGGGGTATGAATAATTTTAGGATTCTCAAAGTAATTACATAACAATAAACAGAAACACCGATGTGGGCAGTCCGTGTTTTTCTCCTGCAGATTAATCTTTACAAAACCTTCAGATTCTGCTCCTATCAAGAAAAATTCTACGTTGTATTCAGATCACTGATAGGAGCGCAGAGAACCATTTATGTTCCCAGTAAAGTCTGTTACACGATTTATATTGAATTCTGAAACTCACTCAGAGAAAGTTCATCGAAATGAGAAAAACTACGAACAGCAGGTGTGTTTCTGATCCGTGTTTATCTTGATTTACGATAATCTTGGTCTGAGTCTTTCTTACTGACCTAGTCTGAACTCCAGAGGGGGTCATGAGGAAGCAGCGCAGGCAGCTGTAGGTGTGGCCTTCACCGTCTCCTTCTGCCTCGCTGTCTGGCAGCGGTTTGATGATCTTCACAAAGGATTGTGGGAAGATGCCCGTTTGGTTGTTGACGGTTCCCTGAAAAGACGAAACGTCGCCAAAAGAAAGAGAAGAAGAGCGGAAAGATGAGAGCAAATAAAAAGAGATAACGGGAAATAAGACGTGAGTGAATCCCCGAGTGACGGAGTGATGTTGGTCTGATGAGATGATGAGGTGGTTAATGATTTCAGGAAGAGAAACAATCATGAGAGGGGCATCTAGAGGGACGTTTACCCTCTAATTAGCCTGTTCATAATATCCTGCTGATGTTACAGGCCTTTTAAAACACCCCTGAGTGTGTGTGTGTGTGTGTGTGTGTGTGTGTGTGTGTGTGTGTGTGTGTGTGTGTGTGTGTGTGTGTGTGTGTGCAGCACGAGGCAACAGTTTTATGTAAGAGCGTCCATGTGATCAGCAGCAGTAAAATCAATGATCATCTGGGGCTGGAATCAGAAGAGTTTCTGATGTGCAGAGGGAAGATCTACTTTTAGAAGAAGCAGAAACCATCTGAAAAGACCTGATCGTGGTGATCAGCTGACATCACTTCCTTTAAAATAAACTCCTGATTATAAATATCAGAAATGCACGAATCAAGAGGCTCTTGTGGTAAAAATACGTTCTTCAGGCCCCTCCCCCTTCACCTCACACGCCCCCACAGACACCATATTGTGAAAACTATTCGCTCACTAATTACTCCAATCGCTTCCATGGCAACATGTGCAGAGAATCAAACATCGAGGTTGTGGCCTTCAGATCAGCTCAAAGAGAGCAGCAGGCGAGCAGCTGCGCCCGCGCCGCACATCCCAGAGTGCAATGCAGTGGTGTAAAGCACGGCGCCACCGGACCCTAGAGCAGGAGGCTTGTCCACGGGTTCCTCCATCTGGAAATCTGATGGAAGAGTCTGGGTTTGGTGGTTGCCGGGGCAACGCTACTTGTCTGAAGAAGGAATGGGCATGATCAATCGATGATTGATAAACTGGTTGTTAAGAATTACGTTGATCACGCGTGTTATCATCACTATCATCACGCAAGGATTTTGAGATTTTACGAGGGGAGCGATACAGCGTCAGAGAGCTTCTGTGGAAGTCGAAAAAAAACATGGAGAAAGTGAGATGGTGTAGGACCACCCGACTGAGGTCAATGAATCCTCCGAGAGCTCTCAGCCTCAGCCGACCATCAGCAGAGAGGATCTGCAGGGAGACCAGACGTCCTGATTTTGAGGGACAGTCCCTGTTTTGGATGGTCTGACCCCGGTTTTTAAGTTGTCGTCATCGTCGCCATCCAGAAGGCGTCCTAACCAGATGCCTGAACCACCTCAGCTGACTCCTCTGGACGTGGAGGAGCAGCGGTTCTCCTCTGAGCTCCTTCCCCTATCTCTAAGGCTGAGCCCGGACACCCTGAGGAGGAAACCCATTTCAGCCGCTTGTATCTGCGATCTTGTTCTTTCGCTCATTACCCAAAGTTCATGACCATAGGTGAGGATCGGCACGTAGATCGACCGGTAAATCCAGAGTCTCTCCGTACGGCTCAGCTCTTTCTTCACCACCACTGATCGGTTAAACGTCCGCATCACTGCTGACGCCGCTCTGATCCGCCTGTCGATCTCCCGCTCCGTCCTACCCTCACTCCTGAACAAGATCCTGAGATACTTGAACTCCTCCACCTGAGACAGGACCGCCCCTCCGACCTGGAGAAGGTGATCTAAGTTATATACGACTGAGGACCATGACCTCGGACTTGGAGGTTCTGATTCACATCCCAGCAAGAGCTGAAGGTCACTGCTCGACGAAGACAGAAGAACCACATCATCCACAAAAAGCAGCGAGGTGACCCTCCGCCTGCAGAACTGGACCCCCTCCACCCCCGACTGCACCTGGAAATTCTGTCCATGAAGGTTCTGAACAGAACCGGAGACAGAGGGCAGTCGACTGAGGGACTGTCTTAAAAAGCCCACTCCTCCTCTGAGTGTAAAGTTTGGTTGTTTATCGTGTTCGGTTGTTTTTCAGCAGCTGGACTTGTCCTCTTAGTCGCAGTGAAAGAAACTCTGAGTTCTTCAGCAAACTAAGAGACTTCAGACTGTCCTAACTTTGTGGAAACAGTTTGGCGATGACCACTTCCTGTTCCAACATGACTGTGAACCAGTGCGCAAAGACATCGATGACAGAGAGAGAGAGTTTGGTGTGGATGAACCTGATGAACCCCAAAGAACATCGAGGAGCCGGGCCTTCTCATCCAACATCTGTGCAGCCTCACAAACTCCTGAACTCTGGAAGAGTCTCCAGGTCTCTGTGAAGTGGCAGCAGAGACCTGGAGACTCTTCTTCACAGCTGATCATTTCAGAGACGGAGTGAGGAGTTTATGTGATCCCTCTCAGTCCGTCTTCTCTGACCTCGGGCTCAGGAGGAGCTCCTCTCATGGTCTCTGAGGAGCCTCTAACTCCTCAGGTCTCCTCCTGAAGAACATTCACCTTGATGCTCCAGTCTGCCAGTTGGATTCGTCACGTTTTCCGCCCACCGCCGCTCTGTCCGCTGACTAAATCAAAGGCACTCAGTCAACTTCTTTACCAGTTCTAAGTGTTGCATTAACCTCACCCCCCCCTCAATAACACAAACTCTGAGTTATTATCATGGCGGCAGAGCTGGCAGAGAGGACCAACAGGACGCTGTTGTTTCATTAGAGAAGCAGATTATCAGCGTTTTCAGATTTCAGATCCCTGTAGAAGCCAGAGGCAGAGTAAGTGCTTCGTCCTCCTCCTCATTGTTGATTCTCACTCTCTATCTCTCTCCCACCACATCAGCTTCCACCTCCTCTCTCTCTCTCTCTCTCTCTCTCTCTCTCTCTCTCTCCCACTCACCCACTCTCAGCTTCTCTCTCACACTCCATCTCAACACCTTACACATTTTTACACAACATGTTTCCTGACCTTTCTTTAAGCGCTGATGTGACGATGCAGAATTTCGGTGAAAACTCTGAGGCGGCGCCGATGTTCCTGCGTCGTCTTTTTGTGTTAAACAGCTGATTAAAATGTCCCACATCGAGCTCCTCGCCGTGTGTAACCAGGACATCTTGTTCATTAGGTAATTACCCCCCCTGAAGGGAAACCAGAGCGGGACACCTCCAGTTCACTCCTCTGCAGCCACAGAGAGACGACAAGAGTCCAGATCTTTGAAGTGTTACACGGTTATGTAATTAACTTTTTCACTGTTGCAGCTTTTAGAGGAACTATTTTCAACACTCCTCTCTCAGAATAGAACAAACTGCAGCAGATCCTCCATGCTAAAAACACGTGGACACCAAAATAACGGGTCTGAATGTGCAGGAGTGTTAGTCCACTTCCTCCTTCATGATTTCAGACCTGATCCACGCCGTAGTTACGGGGGTGCAGGGTCTGGATTTGGGGGTCAAAGTGAATCGTACTTCATGATCTCGACTTTTAGGCTCATCGTTCAGAAAGACGCTGCAGCTGCTGCACCCGTCAGATCATGACTGAGTGGACGTAAACAGAGTCTTCATTAAAGGAAATGCTGTTATTTCCTGACAGTGATTCCTGGTTAATGCGACACTTTTCAGGAGTTCCAGTCTCTCTGTTTCATACAGATCCTGTTTTTAGGGCTGAGCGGTTTATCCTTTTCAGACAGCGCCATCATGTGATCGCCGAAGCTGCGTTTTTTGTTTGTTTGTTTGTTTGTTTGTTTTTGTTTTTGTTGTTCTGCGCCCCTCACTGACTCAGGATCTGTTGTGTGTCAAATATTTTACATTTACCGTATTTTTCATGCACGGCTCACTGTGACTGACGTGTCTGTGTTAACACATCGGATGAGCACCGGATTGTACGGCGCATTAATCACCGGCGCATTGACTGCTACTCCGAACCCGGGCTGCTTCACATGAACGCACTCCTAGTTCAGACATCACAGTCAGGCAGTCTTGTAGACTGCTCAGGGGTCGTGTTACGAGGCTGATCAGGTCGTGAAACAGCCTACAGTACCACATAAAATCAGTCAGTAAGCTCAACAAAGTAATCATCCATAAGGCGCACGGTCGATTTTTGAGAAGATTTAGGGATTATAAATGCGCCTTATAGTCTGAAAAATACGGTACATGCCGGCTCCTCACCGTCCGGCCAAAATCACCAATCAGAAGCAGCAAAGCTTCTCATGGAGAGGTCAAATTAACCAATCAGTACTGACCCGCTCTCCGTGTTTTGAAACATGAACGTCTTTTTAAAACGGCTTCAGCGCAACTACAAGCAGAGTTTTGTGATTTAATCCCCGAGAAAAGAAACACGGCGGTCATCTAGGAGACGACTACTGTGCAAAACCTGACACGCCAAAGTCGCTACATCGGAGCGGAAAGAAGACCGACTTATACCAGCACTTAAAAAACCACCACAGGCTCTTGCAGGACAAAAAAGTGAAAAGTCGAAACAGCGATTTAATCTTTTTCTTAAACTGTTCAGACGCCCAACACTCGTGTGTTTGTTCACTTCGACACTGTGAATCATGGAGGGGTGAGTTAGGGGGTGAATGATATTAGTGCATTAGTTTAGGGATCAGTCGGGTCACTAGAGCGCCCTCTGCTGGATCATATGAGAAGCTACTTCCTGCTGCAGGTGTACTGTTTTATAATGAGTTTAACTTCCTGTCAGAGTGGGACAGATGTGGACGTGGACATCACGACATATTCTCATTTCTACACACATGAACCTCAGGGGGGTCCCCATGGAGACGGATGTTCGGTGAACAGGAAAGAGTGGAGGATCAATTTCTCCGCCTGGCTCTTTATGCAACAGGTGGAGTCTCCCCCTGCTGGCCAGCTTCACTTCAGTCGCTCTGAAAAACATCTGGATTCTTAAACTTCGGAGAGCGCTCCCCTTTTCTCTCTCCTCTTTTCCTCCTCTTTTCCTCCTCTTTTCCTCCTCTTTTTCCTGTCCTCTCTCTCTCTCTCTCTCCACCTCCATCGCTCTCCCCTTTCCTCCTCTGTTCTCTCTCGCCTCCGTCATCCCAATCAAGATGCCTCCTTCTCAGTTTCCATTTTTTCTTTCTTCTTGGCTCACGTTCCCTCTCCCCCTCCACCTCTTCTTTATCTTTCCCTTCCCTCCTCTCACTCTCATCCATCTTTCGCTGCTTTCCACGCTCCTACTCTTTCCCTCCCTCCCTCCCTCTCTCTCTCTCTCTCTCTCTCTACAACTCCAACTCTCTCTCTCTCTCTCTGTGTCTCTCTCCGTTCTTACCTCCAGCCAGTCGGCGTTGACTCGCTGCAGCAGGAAGATCACCTCTCCCTTCTTCAGGTTCAACTCCGCCTTGCCGTTGCCGCGAAAGTCAAACATCACCTGGGACACGCAGACGCACGCATTCACGCGCACACACACACACACACACACACACACAAACAGGGCAGAAAGCACACATACAAGTCAGTGTGAGGAGAGAGGAACAAGGGAACGAGAGACGGAGACATTCAACACGAAGAGAGAAGAGACGGAGAGAGAGGATGGGTAAGAGTTACTACACTTTCTACAACAAGTGAGTGACAGGAGAGGAGAGAGAGAGAGAGAGAGAGAGAGAGAGAGAGAGAGAGAGAGAGAGACAGAGAGAGACAGAGAGAGACGACAGAGAGAGAGAGAGAGAGAGAGAGAGAGTTTGATAAAGTTAGTGGATGAATTGAGACACAGAGAGAAGCAGAGGATTGTTGAGGAGTGTTGAGCTCTGAGGATGTGTGCCTGGATGAGAGTGAAAAAGTGAGAGATGGAGGTGGAGGTGGAGAAGGATGGTGCTTCTCATCTGTGTGTTTGGAGGAGCAGAGAATGGATGTGCAATAATGTGCAACAGTGGAAAACGGAGACACAGAAGTGTGTGAGTTCGGACTGCGGCTCATGTTCACAGATCTGCTGCGTTTTTATGAAGAGTTGGAAAAGTGTGAGAAATGATGGTTTTGGTCAACAGTCCAAACATGAACCTGTAGAAGATCTGAAGATCCTCCTGACAGGCTGATTACCTGCCTGACTGTTTCTGCACAAGTTTGTCAAACTTCAGTGTTCTGCAGCGGCTGAGTTATAATGCACGGTGTAAGTGTGTGAAAGTGTGTGTGAAAGTGTGTGTGAAAGTCTGTGAGAGGTGAAGTAAAAGCATATACGAGGAGTTTACAGAGTGGTAGAGCCTGAGGCGACGAGAGTGTGTGACTGTGAGAGATGTTGGAGCGTCCTGGTGAGCGTCAGCGTGGAGATCTAAAAGCCTGAATTAGAATTTAAAGTAGAGCTGAGGAGAGTCCTCATCATCGCTGCTCTAAAACACACACACACACACGCACGCACGCACGCACGCGCACACACACACACACACACACACACACACACACTCACACACGCACAACCACACACAGCAATAATTATCTCATAAAGACGTGAGTGATGACTGTAAGTTTAACGTTTGTCAATAAAAAACAAAAGAGTAAGAAGTAAATAAGAAATTAGAACTGAAACAAGGAGAGAAAAATAATCAGTGAAAGAAAGAATAACGGAAAAAAGACAAAAAAGAAGAAAAGAAGAAACAAGACAGAAAGGAGAATGAAAACAAAGAGGAGAGAAAGATTTAATACAGTTAAGAAAAGGATGAGGGGCAAAAAGAAAGAGAGAAAGAAAGAAAAGAAAATAGAACGAAAAAAGAAATAACGTAAGGAGGGAAAAAGGAAGGAATGAAAAAAGAATAAATAAATGAGAGGAAAGAATAAAAAAGCCAAAAAGAAACAAAAAGAGAAAAAAAAGAAAAAAGGGAAAAATAAAGGAGACAAGGAAAGAAAGAAAGACTGTATAAAGAGAAAGGAAAAAGGAAAAGAGGATAGAATGAATGAAAGACGAAAGGAAGAAAAAAAAGCCAAAAAGAAAGAAAGAAAAAAGTAAAAAAGAAATAGAAAAAAGGTTGAAAGATTGAAATAAGAAATGACAAAAAAAGAAAGAAAGAAGGAAAAAAGTACAGAGGATAAAATAAGGAAAAAGAGAAAACAGAAAGAAAGAAAAAACAAAGAAAAAGGGAAATAAAGTAAAAAAAAATAAAAAATAAGATAGAGAAGATAAAAGAAAGGAAAAGGAAAGAAAGACAGAAAGAAGAAAGTAAAGAAAGATAGACAGAAAAAAAGTAAAGAAAAGAAAAATGGAAAAAAGTAGAAAATATGACAAGAAAGAAAAAAGAAAGAAAAAAAAGGAAAAAGGAAGGAAAGAAAGAGAGAAAAGGAGAAAAAGAGTTATGAAAAAGAAAGGAGTAAAAGGAAAAGGAAAGAAAAGAGAGAAAAGAAAGAAGAAAAGGAAAGAAGAAAGGAAAGAAAAGAGAGAAAAGAAAGAAGAAAGGGAAAGAAAAGAGAGAAAAGAAAGAAAAAAAGGAAAGAAAAGAGAGAAAAGAAAGAAGAAAAGGAAAGAAGAAAGGAAAGAAAAGAGAGAAAAGGAAAGAAGAAAGGAAAGAAAAGAGAGAAAAGAAAGAAGAAAGGGAAAGAAAAGAGAGAAAAGAAAGAAAAAAAGGAAAGAAAAGAGAGAAAAGAAAGAAGAAAAGGAAAGAAGAAAGGAAAGAAAAGAGAGAAAAGAAAGAAGAAAGGGAAAGAAAAGAGAGAAAAGAAAGAAAAAAAGGAAAGAAAAGAGAGAAAAGAAAGAAGAAAAGGAAAGAAGAAAGGAAAGAAAAGAGAGAAGAAAAGAAAAGAGAGTTGTTTGTACTGAGGAGATCAGAGGGAGAATTTCTGCAACAGTAGGAGAGCGATCAGCAGAGACGGAGAAACGAAGAGAGAGAGTTGGAGTATCTGGAGAGGCAGAGAGAGACCAAAAAAGAACAGGGAGCGGTGAAAGCAGTGGGAGGGAGGTGAAGAAGAGGAGGAGGAAGAGGAGGAACAAGAGGAGGAGGAGGAGAGGGAGGAGGAGGAGATAAGAAAAGTGTAAGTTAAACAGAGGTGCAGATCTGCAGAGGGCTGACTGATGACCGCCACTGTCATGTCGTTTGAGAGCGAGTTAATATACGTGATAATCCTCACAGGACAGTGAGAGAGAGAGAGAGAGAGAGAGAGAGAGAGAGAGAGAGAGAGAGAGAGAGAGAGAGAGAGAGCGCAGAGAGGGTCAAGAATCACACTTTCAGTAAAATGAGAGAAAAGAGAGAAAGTTCTGATCAAATCTGGAGCAGATCTACATAAACCAGAGTTACTCATGGACCTTTAATTTCTGAGAAACACTGCAGAGACACTTCCTCTGAGTTTGGCTGTTCGGACTCACAATCTTACAGTTTCTTCTCACTACTCTCTTCACCACTCTGTCCAATCACACCTGGCAGCTCAACAGAAGAAACTCTGATCCACGCTCTGCGCCCAGAGAGTTCATGACTATCTGATGAACAAACCGAGTGTTTAGAGAGCTCGTCTCTCTCTGTTGGCTGAGACAAAGGCAGCGCTAAAAACCACACTGTGTGAACGCTGGAGCACGCTCAGAACGCCGCCACCACTTTCACTCCCATAGAGTCGTTTTTTTAACATGTTAGCCTGAGTTTGAGAAGTCTGGTTTAGTCCAGTTTCAGTCAGACTAAGGCTGAATCTTAATTGTCACTCTTTACTCTTTCCCCCTCTTAGAAACGAGACGCCACTCGATTCCTGCTACGTCATCATGACTTCCTGTTTGCAGTGAATTTGTCGGTCTGACCTCAGTGTAGCTGTCAATAGCTTTAGCTTTGTTGGTTAACAACACTCTGCAGAAAGGAAAGTCACTAGTGACTGTCGTAAAAGTCGCTACAAGTCGCTAGATGACGTCAGCGCCTGATTTGTATAATTTCTCAGGCAACCTCCCTCCCCCCATTGGAAGAGTAACATCGATAACGGCTTTCATGTCAGAGTCACTAAACTCCAGAAAAAGTCACACGATCTGAAAACAAAGCTCCTTTCACACCAGGACGTTATTTTCGTGCGATTATTTCAGACGTCAATATTTTTTTTTCGAACCCGTATCCTGTCAATACAAGCGTTCACATCAGCGACGTTTTCCCGTTCTGTGATATTTCGGCATTCATTTTTCCGGATCACGGTCGACTTTTCTAAAGTTTTACAGACTGTGTGTCCACTTCTGACCAATCAGATTTCGTGTTGTTGTGATGTCAGATTCACCGGTATATCCAACATGGCCGACCGGCTGATTGTTTACGTGTCGGAGAACAGAGTGATTTTTGATAAAAGACACAAACATTACAAAGATAACGACCTGAAGGACGACTTGTGGAGAGTCATAGCGTCGGATTTCTCATCTGACGATGGTTTGTGAGCTTTAACAGTTTGATAAACGTCTTTGTTTGAACTTTCATCTGTGCTAAGTAACTTTAGCTCTAAGCTAACCTGTTCAGGCCCCGGTGTGTAAGGACCTTAACTCTCTGGGGAGGGTCTGAAAAGTCCCTAAATCAAGCGTCAAAGCTGCTAGGTTGGCAACACTGCTCATACTGCATGATTTTAAAATGCAAACAACTCAAAACATCGCTAATATTCACGGGGAGCAGCAAAGGATTGAATATCTGAGAAGAAATATCAGCGTCATTACTATGAAAATTTGGCTTTGAAGTGAGGTCTCGGTTTGTCTTCGTTTCTAGGGCTTTGTACCTCTTACCCTTAACCTTACGCAGAATTAGGACGTCCCTTTACTTGACGTGAACGTGCAAAAACAAGGGCTAAGGGGTAGAGTTGAGATTGTCCCGAAGTTTCAGGTTGTTATGATTGGGCTACCTCAGAGGTGTGTCACACACCAAAACAATCGACAAACAAGTTAGATTTACTGTTTCTACCTCAAACTGTGAAGATACAGACAACTCTTCAACTTTCACGTCAAAACCTGGTTTGTAAATCGTGCTAAAGTTCGGTTTCAGCGTTTTTAAGCATGTTTGTAGTGGGCGAGTGTTGGACTTGTGGAGGCATGTGATTGGAGGGATTGGCTCTATTAATAGATTTTAATTTCATCATATGGAACAAAAAACGTAGTTCCCCCATGGGGCTGAGGAAACCCCATCAGAGCCGATAATAACTGCACATTTTAATTAACAATGCTAATTATATGACTGCAAATTCTTCCTCAAAATCAGGTATTATTAGGGGCGTGGTTTAGTTGACTGACAGGTGGGCACAGGCTGATGGTTGGTCAGTGTTTACAGTATGGCAGCTGCTACCTTTGGGGTCATCTCAGGTGTTTTTAGGAGAGAGGAGAGACAGTGGATGGGGTTGGGGAGGAGGGTCCAGTCTAGTGACCTCGTGGCGTTGGATTGACCCTCTGAGTTCATCAGTGATGATGACAGACAGCATAAAACTTCAAACAAACCCCGCCTCGTCAGGGGCGGGTCTAACCTCCTAACGCCCTCCCATAGAGCCAGGACTGCTGCTTAAGTAGTGAGTGACACATGCATCTGCACAGACGGACGTCTCCCAGGCTAACTAAAGAGGACCTCATGTAAGTACCTCTCATTCTGTCGTGGAGTAAAAAAGTTTCATATTTTAGATGCAGTTTTACTTTAAATCATTTCACTGCTGTGTTAAAACTCTGAAAGTAGAAACATTAATGATTTATGTCCACGTTCGATTTAATTTTACAGGAAAGTTTGAAGTCAGGGAGCGTTTCTCTAATCTGTTGTTAAAGTCGACGTGGTGCCAGGTCTTGTTCCTGTTCAGGCACAGACACCAAAACTGAGTAAAGAAGTTTGGGAAAGATCACGGTTTGAGTTAAGAGTCGTGTTTTTATTACATAAGAAACGTTATGTAAAATACTAAACTGAAAAGGTCATCATCGACTGGAAGTTTCTCAGAGAAAACTAACTCTGCTCTCCTGATTTTAAGCATCTTCTCGACCATCCTGACCTTTTCCCCGCACAGACTCTCTCCCTCCTCTTCTGTAAACATGAACATGTGAGCATGAAAGGCTGCACGTCTCAGAGTGTGTGCGTGCAAATGAGCGTGTTTAGATCCATATGCAGAGAGAATAAGTAAGGCTGATGGCAGATTAATGAAACTGAGGGAGAGGGATTAACAGATTAACACACGCTGAAAAAAAAGCACACATGCACTTTCTTAGATTTCAAAGCTGCTATTTTTAATACATTATCCAGACATAGTTTTATTCTACTGTTGACCTGCTGTTGGCTGCAATTCATGGATGATGTGAAAATGTGTTGGAGGCGATAAGATACTATCTCCAACACAAACAGAGTCATTCCTTCTGTTTATACTATATCTGCTTCCTCTCCGTCCCTTCACTGATACAGGACATACATTTAGGAGTTGTTGGTTCCCTCTATTATTGATCGATGATCAGTCTTCTGTTTCTTTTATTTTGGCTGAAATTAGTTCAGCAGACACAGACTCACAGTCTGACTTGACTCCGAAGTTTTGATTGTGGACGCCTTAATTAGCTGTCAGAAGAACAACAGCAGCCCACTTTGGTTTAATTAACAGCTCCACGAACCCCACAGGTGTTTTCCACTGTTATTAAAAACTTATGTGCTGTGCTGCACGAGGGGAACTGATCACTCGTTAACTGTAGTTAGTCCCATCCCAACAGACGCAGCGAGGTGAGAAGTAGACGATCAGAGATGTGGACCGTGTCACAGTTCATCACTTCATCTTTTCTTATGCTGGGTTTGCTTCCATCACTGGTGTATGAGTTTTCACTCTCCATGTTTACATGTCCAAAATTTCTTAATTGCAAAATCTAATAATCTGATCATGACGTGTGTAAATATGCACTAAGTCGTCTAATTTCGCTAAAACAACCACAGAAGAAGAAGAAGAGTTGTATTTACGTCTGCACTGTCAACAAACCAACAAACGCTGCAGTGGATCACTCCGTCCAATTCAGGATTTTCCCCTCTGTTAAATGTCGTCTCTAGATGGCGCCCTTGTGTACTTATTTTACGGTCCTGTCAAAGGTTGCTCTGTGCGTACAGATGTGACATCATCACGCTGTTTGTACGCCTCGTTATGTTACCGGAGGAGCAGACACGACACCTGCGGTCAGAGTGTTCATAATGAAATCTCCTGAACTGACCTCAATAAATCAACGAACGCTAAAGAGTGAAGATCGAGTCAGGTTAGAGAGTCACGATCGGAATAAGTGTCTACATGAACGTGTTTCGGAATAACGATCGGCATAAACCACTCCTCTTGATCGGAATACAAATTCTTTCTAATTGAGCCGAATTGGATCGGAATCTTCCGATCGACATGTTAACATGACACTTTTTTATTCCGATCAGGCGTTTATTCCGATTCTTTGTGTCCATGTAAACGCAGCTGTCAAAATCGCTCCAAAATGACGTTTGAATATTCGTTCTAAAAATAACACGTAGGTTCGATCATATCCGAATATCTCGCTCACACAGCTTAAATATAACTTTATCTCGATCAGCATTTTTCTGTCTACTGTGTCCGCCAAAAATCTGAAGAATTTCCAAACGGAGCTTCGAAAGTTCGTTGGAGTCCAGACCGCTCTCTCTGATTTTGGCCCCGAACATCCCGCCATCTCTCTCTGCGTGTGCCACAGACGGTTTTTGTGGAGTCTCACTGCAGGTGCAGATCCCCTGACCTGTCCTTGACCTGTCCCTGACCTGTGGTTATAGTTCGCTCACTCGCAAAGCAGCCGCTGTTTTTTTTTTTTTTCGTTTTTTTCCCACTCAGTTTTTTTCCAGCTGTTTATTTAATATCTTATAATTTTCACACCCAATATATATATATATGTATATATATATATATATATATATATACATATATATATATATATATATATACATATATATATATATATATATATATTTGACTTTATAATATTCATCGACAGCCCTGATTCTTATCCTTCTCTGTTCTCTGCCGTCTTTACTGATGCTATCCCCGCCTTGTCTTCTTATGTCTACAGACGAAAAGTGGGGGAGGTGTATGTCGCAGGTTATGCATGAAAAGTTCACAAAAATCAGGGCCAGCAGATAAACTATTAGATTTGATGTATAATTGCTCGATAAATTTCTAACAGGCTGTATGTTGCCGATCTTTCTCAGGTCTCATAGTTTTCACACCGATGTCATAAAAACAGAGACAGGAAGCTGTAGGGGACGGATAAAACCTGACTTCTGACCTCAGTAGGAAGCAAAAGGGACGTTGTTATGCAAAAATCTCTCAACAGGACCTTTATAGGCGAGTACCGATGCTTAACAGGAGCTTTGGTGCCTCCGTGACAACGATGGTCGTCACTCAAACCCACTTATGGTGATCCAGGTCAGCCACATTCTCAATAAGGTTTAATATCTTTTTTATCTGAATAAAAATATAAGGTTGGGAAACAAACAGTCGGCTGAAATATCAAAGAAATGTCGATGAAGTTTATCTGAGACACGCTGATGAATGAGTGGATGAATAACGATCGTGCTAACCCTTTAAAACTGGAGCTTGTGGTCACAGACTCCGGAGTTTGGACCTCGATCCGATGATCTGATGATCTGATGCTCTGGTCGTGTTTGATCGGAGGTACAGTGATCACCTTCTCAATACCAAAGCAGAGTTCATCTAAATCAGTCATAAAGGAAGCAGCCTTTACTTTAATATTACTCAGCTGCTCCTCTAAAATCGGTCTTTGACGTCCTCTTCCGACGCTCAGAGTTGGATTATTATGTCTCTGTCCGGTTTGGTTGTCTACCTGAGTCGGTCCCACAGAAGGTTCTGTGTGCCGGTCTACCTCCTGTGCCCAGTAAAGAGCTGCACTCTAAATCGAGCCACACAACCCTTGGGTTCAGCCGGGCCCAGGAGCAATCAACTGGTTCAATTAGACCGGCGCCGGCTCCACCTTAATGAGCTCGCTGAACTCTCAGCTCGTTAGTTTGGCGACAGGGAGGTGAAGATTTGAATTTAGATCTTTTTTTTTCCTCCTCGTCAAACAGAAGAACGTCTTTAAGTACGAAGACTTCTGTAAGAGAGGGATCAGAGGAGGGTACGCACGTTTAGGGGACTTTAACCTCAATCCCAGAACAATCAGAATTAATAGGTTTGCAGCTCAACTGTGCAGGTCTGATCTTTAGTACTTCCTCCAGTTCAGTTTGATCCAGTCTGAACGTGATTGAGGGGGGGGAGGCTGATCTGACTCAGAGGTGATGAAGTTGGAGATGTTTCCTCCTCCTCTTCCTCGTCTGGGTTGGTTTTCGGTCCACAAAGTTTGGTGATGAAACTGAGAATATTTCAAACTTAAATTTGGAGATGAGTTTCTTCAGTCCCAGAGAAAAGTTTTCGGTCTCATGAACCGTCGTTATCGGTATCAGCCCAGACAAACGAATATCAGTCTAAAAGGACCACCTGACAACCAAAGTGGGTCTTTACTGGACAGCAGTGTTAGCGCTGAGCTGTTAGCAGTTACCAAACGACTAGGACCGGACGATTATATGATCGGGATTAAAGACCGCGATAAATATCAATTTGATCACAGTGATCAGCTGTGAGCGTGTTTACTCGATCAAACATGGCGGAAATGTGCGTCACAACAGAGAGAGCCGAGGGCAGAAAAGTAGATGTCAGCCACGAGTCTGAGTCATCCTCAGTCCCAAGATGTCAGATCCTCAGACGCCATCGTTGAGAAGAAAAGTTATTCAACTCCGTTTGTGTGTCGGTGGTTTGGGTATCTCCAAAGTGACGTCGAGTAATTATACAGATGTGTAAAGTATGTTGGCGGTCGGTGCCTCAAAAACCGACAACACAACAGATCTGTTTAATCTTCTGAAGAAGTTCTTCCTGTTTGTCTGACTGATAATCCGACTTTCACCTTAAACAAAGATCAGAGCTTCAGACAAAGACGTGGAGAGAGAGCCGAGTTTCATCACTGAGCAGAAAGGTCACCACAGGGAGGGTGGAGGATGTTGAAGTCGGGTGGGGTGAGGTGTTGATCAATCGTGAGTGTAAGAAGATCATTGTTGAGAAATCAGTGACTTCAACAGGCTCAAAGGTTCACTCTAAAAAGTGATCTGAGTTCATGAAAATCTCCTCGTTCAGAGTTTATGATCCTCCAGTTTGACTCTGTGTGATTTTCACGACCATCCCTGAACTCTTGAAGATGATATCAGCGGTGGAGTTGAACATCAGAGCGCTGTGGTCGTATTTCTGCTGCTGTGGAGACGGACTGAGTGGACCTGCATATCTGACAGGTCTTTATCTAAAACTGGATCTGGTCTCTGCCTGGTGGCTCTGAGCCTGAGTTGATTAGGGACCTGCTGGATTTTCAATTTTCCAATTCGGAGTTGCGTTTTTTTTTAATCCAATTTTGCACCTCATCTCTTCTCCTCTTTCTCTCCTCCTCTCCACCTCTGCTCCTTCATCTGTCCCTCCTTCATTTTGTCACATCAGAAAAAGAAAACCGGCGTTCTGCTTCTGCTCGGCACATCGACCTCGTTTGACGCTTACTTATCCTACAGTTTGAGGTTCAGCCTGAGCGAACATGAAATCAAGTGTTGGTGCATAAAAACACAAGCGTGCAGCAGTGAGGGACATGAACGCAGTCTCCTCGTGTCCATCAGGCACAGAGCAGACACTGATCAGGGTTTGGACGGAGACTAAGAGACACAAGACTCAAGACAGGACCAACACAGCCACACAGAGGGGGGCCGGTTTTTTCTGAGAGAGAGCGAAAATAAATGTTGAGTAGGCTGACTGCTTCGTGAGTTGTGCACACCACTGTTTTACTTTTGTGTGGGAGAGAGAGAGAGATACAGAGAGAGAGAGAGAGAGAGAGAGAGAGAGAGAGAGAGATACAGAGAGAGAGAGAGAGAGAGAGAGAGAGAGAGAGAGAGAGAGAGAGAGAGAGAGAGATGTAGCTGCTGCTCTTGGTTTTACAGTAAAACACCGCTGGAGTGAGCAGCAGCAGAGAAACAGCGAGTTTGTGTTTCATGTGTGAGCAATCGCTGCACCTTCTTCATGTGTAGAGCGAGGTTAGGAAGAGTTAAACGATCCTGCAGAAGGGATAAAGCGCACAGAGTTCAAGAGCTGCAGAAACCTGCACACACACACACACTTCACCTGCAGACATGTTCTCACATCACAGGGTTTATCAAGAGCAGACGTGACCCGCAACACGGCGGAGCAAAGGCGACAAACACGCAAACACTGAGCTGTGCTGTTACTCAGGTATCGCTGTTTTCAGCTGTGTCCTCACATCCTCCGTAGAGCGAGTGAAGACAGAGTTACAGAGGAAAATAACAACGAGATTAATCTGGTTTATAAAACTTTAGGGGGGATGAGAATCATTAACACAGATATTTAAGTGAGAGCAGTAAAGGAACAGGAGATTTGGTGTCAGCGAGATGTTTCAGAATCGTTAGGAAACCAGTTTCAGAGTCACCTTTGTCATGTTTCATAATCCACCAAGTGGTCATGATCAGGAACTGCAGGTGGACCAGTTCAGCGTTGTAAAATGGAATAGAACATGTTGCTTTGAAACGTGTGTATGTTGCTCAGCATCCTTATAAACGCTGCATTTATTACATGTCTGAAGATGATTTAGAAACTTCTCCAGGCTCTGATTAAAAACATCCTCTAAGTAGGGCTGCATGATTAAAGCCAAATAGTTTTTCTCTGAAAACTTCAGTGTCAACTTCACCAAACTTCACTTTAATAAAAAGTTTTTCTATCGTCTCTATGAAAACGATGTAGTTCATATGCCAAGCCAGTAAGTGGCGCTGTAACAGATTTATTCACTCTCTGACCCGTTTTTTAAAAGTACCGTTTACAGTCACCTGAAACGCCGATACGACAAAAAACTTTAGCGTTTCCTCCTGAATTAGTTTCCATGGTGACGGGTTGATACCGCCTTCAGACAGACTTTACAGCGGGGAGTGGTTTACTCTTCATCTGAAACTGTGAAGTCGTACCAATTCAACACGACTGACTCGCTCTTGTCCTATTTAACCACGAAATTATCGCCTTCTTTAACAAACGCCTGCAGGAAGGGGGAGGAGCCTACGGTGGCCTGGAGGGGCGAGACATGATAGAGAGGAAAACCGATTTGATGATTTTAATTTTTTGACATCGTGATAATCAAATAATCTGATTATGATCTAAAATCGATTGATCGTGCAGCCCTACCTTACAGGTTCTTTCTTCTCGTGTGTTCGGACAGAGAAGGATTTCAGCTCCAGAGCAGGAACTCAAACCGTAACACCTGACCTGCTCTCTCTCCACGTCTTTGTTTGAAGCTCTGATCTTTGTTTAAGGTTAACGTCGGATTATCAGTCAGACAAACTTCAGGTTAAAGGTCACTAAGTCGTAGTGATGATGGTTCACGTCATGCCATCAAAAGGACGGAGGTGAAAAACTGCTTACAGCTGAAAGCACATTTACAAATTTGTCTTCTTGGATGATTAAACAGATTATTGTCCCGCTAAACTCTGTAGTTAAAGCTGTTAGAGCTACACAACCTTTACCACGAGGTGAGACGACAACAAACGTGTATCTCTGCACCGGGTCAGTGTTGGAAGGGAGGGTGTGAAGGGAATCAAAATGAGAGAGAGCGAGAGAGAGAGCGAGAGAGAGAGAGAGAGAGAGAGGTTATTATGATGGAGAGAGGAACACAGGAATTAAAAATGAAGTGAAGCGAGGCGGAAACTATTGATGAGGTCGACGGAGTCACAGGAAAGAGGGAGGAGAAAACGTGCGCCGCAGCGTTTACCGAGTGAAGCCACCCTCCTGAGTCGATGCGCGGCTGCGGTGTGATGTTTCTGTCGGCGTGTTTTTCCTCCGCCGTGTTTGTGGGTCTGACAAAATGTTGAAATGCAGTGGGCATGAGGTGATGGAGTCATGCCAAGGGTGCTGACAGGATCATGTGATGTTTCTCGGGGTGATGGAGTGCACTCTGCGTGGTCGTTTGACTTTAAAAAAGTTGTTTCTCTGTGGGTGGCGATGAGGATCGTAACCAAAGCAACAACAACCAAAAAAAAGAGAAGTGTAAATACCTCGGCCCTGGGGGAGGAGAAGAGGTCCATCTTTGGTTTGACTGTCTTCCTAAAGAGAGACAAAGAGACACTGAGTGTTAATGATCAAACCTGAGGGAACCCTCACTCATTCACATGATGTGACTCAGCTGTTTCAGACTCTCATGATCAGGTGACTGCTCCACTACCTGGATGTAAACATTCACAGACGACAGATGAGGAACAACACGACTTCAGCTTAAACGACTGAAACTCAATTATGAACATCCTCCAGACTTTGAAGCTCATTATGGTTTATGAGAAACTCCAGACATCCAACAACTACCAGACGTACGTTCCTGTCGATCAATAAAGTTCCTGATCAACTTGTGGTGAATACTAGTCAGTGCGAGTGTCAGCTGCACCAATCACGATCGAGCTGAGAGTTATGATGTTTGTTTACTCTGAAGTAGGGCTGCACAACTTATCGATTTTAAATCATAATCGGATTATTTGATTATGACGATGTTAAAAAAATCAAAATCCTCAAATCGATTTTCCTCTCTTTCGTGCCTCCAGGCCACCGTAGGCTCCTCCCCCTTCCTGCAGGCGTTTGTTAAAGAAGGCGATAATTTCGTGGTTAAATAGGACAAGAGCGAGTCAGTCGTGTTGAATTGGTACGACTTCACAGTTTCAGATGAAGAGTAAACCACTCCCCGCTGTAAAGTCTGTCTGAAGGCGGTATCAACCCGTCACCATGGAAACTAATTCAGGAGGAAACGCTAAAGTTTTTTGTCGTATCGGCGTTTCAGGTGACTGTAAACGGTACTTTTTAAAAACAGGTCAGAGAGTGAATAAATCTGTAAACGACGACCATTTCATCTCCGTGTGGATGTCTATCTGCATCTCTGGAAACGGTCATGTGACACACAGAGGAACTCTTTTATGGCACCTGCGCGAGTCCGACTAAAACAACATTTCCTGTGCAGCGTTACAGCGCCACTTACTGGCTTGGCATATGAAGTAGATCGTTTTCAGAGAGATGACAGAAAAACTTAATTTTAAAGTGAAGTTTGGTGAAGTTTTCACTGAATAAAAAAAACAAAAAAATCGAGTTTTCAGAGAAAAAAAAAAAAATCAGGATTTTTTTTTTTATCGTGCCGCTCTGCTCTAAAGTCACACTGACTGTCAGAAACATGTTTAAGATGATAAATCAGATTAAAAACACAGAATTAAAGCTCCTGTGAAGATTTTTGGGTTTGTGTTTATTTTGGCGCCCCCCTCTGGTCAAATAAGTCTTTGCTAATGTTGACCTGTGCGAGCCGCAGCTGATCTTTGAGTGAAAATCTAAATATTGCTGATGTCTGATCGTCACATTCATCATTTATTTAATTATTCAACATTATAAGGACAGAAGAAGTGAGGGAACATTCGCTTTCTGTAACGGACACAGAAACAGAGGAAGTCCTGAGAGTCTAAATTTGCATCACTTCCTGTTGAGAGCGCCCTGCTTTACCACATACCCTCCTGGTGTAACCTGACCACAGGGGGGTGAGCCAATCAGAGGGCTGGAAGCCGTTATGAATGAGGAAGTGTGGCGTGAAAACGGAAAACAGGAGTTTTCTCTGTGACAAACTGAAGAGCGTTTTCTGCTTCAGTGCTTCAGATGAAACATCAGCGGAGCGTCTTCACTCAGAAAAGACTCGTACTGAGGTGACAGTAGATGTTAGTGAAGGAACCTGAGTATCAAATATCACTGAGGATTAGTCTGTATTTAAAGTCTTTGCTGCTAAAATCAAAATAGGTTTTTAAGGCTTGAATCTAAAAGGTCGTTTGACTCTTTTCTTCCCCGTCGTGGTCAAAAACTTGGACGATGGACTTGACTTCATTGATCTTATATTTGTCCTCTAAAAGTTTGATCAGCTGCAAACAGGAAGTTCAAACCTGCTCAGTCTGCTGCAAACACTCGAAACGTTTCATAACCTGTTTGAGAAAAACACGCCGAGCGTCATCCGTCCATCAGGGAGGAGACGCTGAGAGGCTGTTGGAGGGGCGGGTAACTGACAGGAAACGTGCTGCAGGTCGATCAGCTGTGACAACTACCAAAGAGGTGTAATTAAGTGACATTATTCAATCAATCTAATCAATAATATGATCACGCACACAGAGACAGAGCGTGCATGTTACGCTCCACTCTCTCTCTACGCTGAAGTCGTCTTTCTGAATCACTAAAATCAGTTCACTAAAAAGATTCGTTCAAAAGATTCGTTCACTGAATCACTGACTCTGGTTCAGGTTTTAGTGGTCCAAAGTGGGTCACGAATTAGCAGCTGTCACCTTCAAAATCAGGAGGATTTCCTGAATCAATGATTGTCAAGATTACAGATTATGGTTCAGTTCTTCACACAGACCCCCTGCTTGTTAAGCTACTAGATTGATTTGACTATAAGGACCCAAATTCAGGAAATAAAAGCTGAACAAACTGACAGACAAACCGGCGTTCATCGATATTTCAGTCGTTTCTCATTTGTTCAAAGCTGCAAACAGGATCTAATCCAGCTTCTAACCTCAAATGTTGTTTGTGTCGGTGAAGTTTATGTATCAATATCACTAATTATCATCAAAAATCACTATTTTTAATCATGTTATTTATCATAGAGCTGGTTCATCAGCAGGAACACACCTCGTTAACCTCCTCACATGTTACAGAGACCTCAGGGGCCGGATCACGACCATAATCATAACCATCATCCATCCTCAGCTAATATCTTTATCTACTCTGGGATTTAAAGGTGTTTTCACTGGAGGTCTGACCGTCCAGAGGAGACAGGGGGGGGGCCTACTGAAGCTCTGTGACTCAGCTGACCCCCCACACTCCTCGGTACACGGAGGTTCATAAAGACTCCAATAAAGGTCTGGACCCCCGTTAACTCTGAGTCTCATTAGCTCTCTTTTAGGGAACAGTTTCTATGAAGCTAAGGGGGTCCGCCTGCATGTTGAGCGTCTCTCCCTGTCCCTGCAGGGTCGGGGGGTGGGGCTTACACTTTTCGGGTCGGTGGCCGGAGACGCCTGAGGGCTCTTGGCTGGTGCTCACTGTCCTGGTCCGTCTGGTAGAAAAACATCCTGAGAGCCTCGTCCAGCAGAAACCATATCGGCTGACCCAACAACCCCTGAGAGCGAGAGAGAGAGAGAGAGAGAGAGGGAGAGAGAGAGAGAGAGAGAGAGAGAGAGAGAGGATGGGAGAGAGAGAGAGAGAGAGAGGGAGAGAGAGAGGATGAGGTGAAGTGAAGATGTGGCGACAGGTAAGATGGAGGACGGAGACAAACCGAGTGAATGAAGTCCACTGAGACAGAAGGGTGTAAGGAGAGTGGGAGAGTGGAGTGGTGGGAGATCGGCGCCATAAAGATGGAAGGAGTGATGAGATGAGTTAGAGGAGATGAAGCGAACAAGATTACAAGAGCAAGGCGAGCGAAGGCGAGATGAGAAGCATGTAGGTTGCGGGGAAAAAAAAAAAAAAAAAGAGCAAAGCAGAAAAGAGAAGTGAGTGAGTGGGAGAAAGAGAAGCTGATGGTGTTTTTAGCGATGGAGCAACAGTGAAACATGTCAAAAGTCCCGCAACTACAGTCAGTCAGACGTGATGTGGGCACAGGGCAGAGCAGAGAGAAGAGAGCAGCTACGCCTACATGGTGAGCTCCATCTGCAAACTACAGCTGAAATATCCGAGTCAGTGCTTATCCACCTACAGCATCGCTCAGCCCACCAAGTTTGGAGGCTCCTGCACTGCAGCTACAAAAGACACGCCAGCATGCCAACGATTCAGAGAGAGAAGAGCAGCAGGATGAGAGTCACATGATTACCTTCATGTACATGTTGAGATCAGGGATCCTGCTCTCTGCGATCTCCTGCTTGTTGCCGATGAAGACTTTCCCTGCAGAGAGGAAGGTGCAGGGTTTAGATGTGAGCGTGCACAAACAGATGTTTTCTGGAGCGTGCACGGAGAGCTAAAACAAGGTGATCATCTTCATCATGCATGCAACGGTTATTTCAGACTCCTCAGTCAGTGTTTCCGCCTGGCTGCAGTTCAATGACTCTTACAGTCTGCAGACCGTCAAACTCAAAGGTTCCCTCTGGAGTTTCAGAGATGGACGAGCTTCCAGGCGATCCACGACTCGGCTGACTGACAGTTATTGACAGTGATGAGTAAAGATGCTCAGACACACAGAAATCTGCCAGCAGGTTAAAGGACTTGATGTGGTTTTTTCCCTGCTCCTTTAGAATAACGCGGCCCCTTCAATCTCCACATTTCCAGCATATATAACAGGCAGGTGTGAGTTTTTCTTTTTCTCTCTCGGTGCATCAGGATTAGATCATGAGTGGGAATCGCCAAAGTGGCGCTCTGGTTCGGTGAAATGAAAAAGCAGCCAGAGGTAGTGAGACATCCTGGTATTACGGAGGCACACTTGGTCTGTTCACAGCGGTCTGAGATGGAAAAAGTCATTTTCTACGTTTGAGAGAAAAACAACATTATGATGGAGGTTTGTGACGTGTGAAAAAGGGAAACTTGCAAAAGAATCGTAATGATAATGATGTCTGTTTATCACTGTCCGATTACTGCTGATATCAGCAAGTTTTTCTATCGTCTCTCAAACTAAACCACTGAAAATAATGTAGTTCATATGCCGAGACAGTAAGTGGCGCTGTAACGCTGCACAGGAAATGCAAAAAAAAAAGACAGAAGAAGAGTACAGAGCGCGTGTAAAAAGGTTGTTTTGGTCGAACATGCTCAGGCGCCATAAAAGAGCTTCGCTGTGTGTCACATGATCAGAAAGGAGGAGGAGTCTATGGTGGCCCAGAGGCGCGAGACATGATGGAGAGGAAAATCGATTTGAGGATTTTAATTTTTTTAACATTGACATAATCAAATAATCGGATTATGATTTAAAATGGATTAATCGTGCAGCCCTGACATGAAGTTTAAGAATTTGTCGTCACCAGAGTGTGAAACACGACGATAATTTAAAGTCCTTTTACTCAATTCTTCACTCAGACATCAGTACACAGACAAAGACCTACTGATAATAGAATCAGCTGATTTCATTAAAAACAGCTCTATAGTTTTTATGTCTATGCTGTGAGCAGACTGGGACTTCTGTTTCTGGCTGCCGGTCTCACGAAGCGAGTGGGTTTGCAGCGAGTCGCTACTTCAATCATGTGAACTAACGCTCCAGATATTTTCAGGAAAACTTCGTTCCTGTTTATTTCTGACACCACAGCAGGTCCAGTTAAAACGGACCCCCCCCCCCCCTCCACCTGACTCTGCCGTTAAATCCAGTTCAGCACCGTCTTAATGACCCTCGGCCGCAGCATCCAGCCCTGCTCTCCTCTCCTCTCAGTTTCCATCCTCTCGTTCCCTCTTAAGCATGATAAGTCATTCACTCACTGGCAGGCACAGATCCACTCGTTTCCTCACTCACAGATGAATCACTCACTCATCGCTCACCTTTCACCATCAGCCGGGACCTCGCTGAAGAAAAAAGAAACGCTCTCCTGACCTTGAATCGATCGTACCAGAGCTTCTGTTTTGGATTATATCATCCATATGATATTCAGCACAAAGGTCACATTATGAGGATATGAGCCGGCGTACAAAGAGAAGGTCTGAGATGATGAAATCTATTAACCGACACTGAAAGAGGAGAAACATTTGCTATAGTTGGTTTCATAATTCAGAGTTTATTCAGGTTTGACCGCACAGATCTGTCTCCTTTGTTTTTCGTCCTCCCCTCTGTTTCCCTCCTGTCTTTCTTATTCCCTCTCTATCCTGATGAGATCTGGCAGTGCAATTAAACCCATCAGATCTAATATTACCCAGCAGACTCCTCGGTGGCAGACGCTTAATCAGTTTGTGGGAAAAGTAGAACTTTCTCTAAATCAAAAGCGACAATGAGAGAAACTGTCGAAAAGAGTTCATTATAAAAAAACAACAAAATCCTGGAGTTTCAAAAGTTCAACAGTTTCATTTAGGAATAAAGAGTTTCAACAAGGACCACAATGATTTTACAGAGACTCTAAAGACTAAAATAGGATATAGGGCTCATGCGCTCCTACCAAACCAAGCGAGATGAAACGAAGACCAAGAATAAGAATCATGTGGACCTTCAGCTCCGGTTTGGCACACAGCTCATGGAGGAAACACGGGGGAGACGGAGTGAAGAGATCAGAGCACAGCAGAGGCTGTGATTGGACGGTCGGGTTTGGCAGAGGACCACCAAGAACCACGAGGAGAGAGAGAGAGAGGAACCTGCTGGGATACACAGCAAATCTATTTCCTTTATATCTATATATCTTCATTTTCATTTTCTCAGTAACAGCCGTAACACCTGAAACAGACGAGTTTACAGAGTTGGTCTTAAATATCCTAAATATCTGTGAGAGGCTTCAGATGACACCAGAAATTCAATGTAACGTGCAAATAGGGCTGAGCGATATGACCTCAAATCAATATCCTGATATATTGATCAGTTCACCTCGATAACGATAAATGGACGATAACTACTCCACCAGCTGCTCAGCCCCTCCCACATTAACTTCGTCTACTTCAGCCGCTCCAACTTTCTCTCCGTCCTCCATCTCCTCACCTGTCTGTCCCTCTTTGTTACAGACTGGAGGGGGCGGAGTCACGTCTCTGATGTAGGACAGCGTCTTAAAAGGGACATGAGACCATAGCCTACCTACACACATCCAAAAACAACTTTGATTTATTTATTTACATCGAATATACTGACAAGGGCAAAATGACAATGTCAGTTATAGACGTAAATTTCTGTAAATTTCTGTAAATTTTGAGTTTATCGTCCAGCCCTACCTTCAGCCATGTTTGTTTGTCATCGGGGTGAAATGACGTCTAAAAACCTTTCACTTGTTCGTCTCCGCCCGTTTGCGGATGTTTTATTTTGTGTCTGTCCCCGACTTCCTGTCCAGCTCGGGTTCATCTGTGCTGAATTTATGTCGTGGCGTCCGGAAACTTTGAACCCCGGTGATCGGCGATGAAGCCCGCTGAACCGAAGGCGGCAGAAAGAAGTCGGTGGAATTCTGACGAGTTAACTTGACGTTTTTTTCGCTGCTGTTCGACATGCGGTGGAAGTTTGGGGATGACTCCTCCTCTTTTGACATCTCGCTCCCTTAAATACTAAACCCCAGACTTATTTTGTTGGTTCTTGTTTCTTTTGTAAAGTATGAAGTATAAGACACACGTTTGAGCACATTCATAGATGGATGGATGTTTTCAACGACTTCATCTCTCTTCTTCTTCTGCTGGTTATCATCGTGTATGAAGGAGGACTCCTGCTGACCTCACAGATCTGTACCTCAGGGCGGTTACAGAAGACGGATCGCTCTGCAGAGTTTTGACATTTATTGTGACAACATGTCAGTGAGCTGCAGGTATTATTAGACTTCAGCTGTTCTGAGAGGATTTCAGGGCGTTGAAGGGAGTTGCATCAGGTGAAGTCATTTTAATAGAAGGGGAGTTTGTAGAGAAGTTGACATTTTCCCTCAGTGGATCAGGAGCTCATCATTAGAGATGTCTTCAGCTGATGTTCTGTGCGGTTCCTGGATAGGTCATATTTAAATGGATGGGTATTAGCCAACTCCACGCCTGTTAAAACCTGATCTTCTGGGTTTTGTTTTGCACATGTCAGCCTGTCAGGAGATCTGTCTTCATTAATGATGGCGGCTCAGACCGCAGCCGTACTTCGGAAAAGTGAGAGTGAAGATTTTAAACATTCTGGCCTCACAGTGAAACAGAGAAGTAACGGATCTCCTACTTTTACTCCTTACGTTTCTATGAGGAGCTAATGTCTGTCTAACGTGCTGGTTCAAGGTTAAAGGTTAAAGGTTCAAGGTTCAAGGTTCAGAGGCGTTTTATGATAGCTATAAAAGTAAAGAGTGCAAAGAGGTAAAACACATGTGCTTTTATTCCTCCTTTAATATAAAGTTTTTCCATCATCTCTATGAAAACGATGTAGTTCATATGCCAGGTCAGTAAGTGGCGCTGTAACAGGAAATGCACCAAAGACAGAAGAAGAGTACAGAGCATGTGTATAAAGGTTGTTTCGGCGCCATAAAAGAGTTCCTCTGTGTGTCACATGATCGTTTCCAGAGATGCAGATAGACATCCACACGGAGATGAAATGGTCGTCGTTTACAGATTTATTCACTCTCTGACCCGTTTTCAAAAAGTACCGTTTACAGTCACCTGAAACGCCGACGATACAAAAAAAACTTTAGTGTTTCCTCCTGAATTCGTTTCCGTGGTGACGGGTTGATACCGCCTTCAGACAGACTTTACAGCGGGGAGTGGTTTACTCTTCATCTGAAACTGTGAAGTCGTACCAATTCAACACGACTGACTCGCTCTTGTCCTATTTAACCACGAAATTATCGCCTTCTTTAGCAAACGCCATGTTTGTTTACACTGGTGTGTGTGGGAGGAGGAGCCTACGGTGGCCTGGAGGCACGAAAGAGAGGAAAATGGATTTGAGGATTTTAATTTTTTAACATCGTCATAATCAAATAATCAGTTAATGGTGCAGCCCTACAGGAGGACGTGTTGCTAACTCGAAGTAACCATGAACCAACAGGCCGAAGGGCGCCAACATCGGCACAAGCTCATCTGTGATTTTTATCAACTTTATTTCCATTTCAAGTCAAGATTTCATCCACAGAGGAAATGTAGAAACGCTGTGACTCTGACGGCCCTCCTCCTCTTCCTGCTTTTACTCTAAAAAGACTCGTCGCCTCTTAAATCAATCTTCATATCAACAGTATGAGTTTTAATTTAGTTTTTCTGCTGTATCTCCTGTCCTCAACTTCACATGAGTATGCGGCGTCGAGTTTCTTAAATGTGCGCTGAGTCTACCCTCACAACTTCAGCGGTATCAGAAGGAAGTTTGTAATCCGATCTGCACCCCCCACAGCAGCTCTGATCCTCTGTTAGAGCGCTTCTAAACTCATCCAGACAAAGAAGAGAGCGCTGCACGCCGTGTTTCAGGGACGATCCTCCGTTTAAGGATGGAGTTTAATCGCTCTCATCTCATCCAGATGGGTCACAGTTTCCCCAGACATGTAAAGTACATCTAGACAAAGTACGTCTAGACAGCTGTGACCACCATCTCCGTCTGTCTCTGTGCGTGTGCACGAGGTCAAGCGGTGTAAGTGAGCGCGTCCCTGAAGGTGAGAGCTGAGATGATGCAGCAACATGTTTCCTGAGTTTCCAGGCGGCAGCAAAGCCCTGACTCAGCAGATTCATCCCGTGAAAAATGGAAACGACAGTAACCCTGGCAACCGCACTTCATCCTCACTCAACAGGAGAGTCATGCAGCACTCATTTTAGAGCTACAGTTTCACTTCAGTGAAGCCGTGCAGCCTGAAACTGAAGGATGGACTGACGGTTCACAGAGATCACGTGGAAATGTGAGCGTCCTTGTCGGCGCCGCGTTAAAGCTGACGTCTTTAGGCTTCAGAATAAACTACAGCTATAAAACAACAACAATAATAATAATAATAATAATAATAATAATAATGAAGCATCAGATTTTATAACCCTTTTTGTCAGTGACCTCAAGGCACTTTACATTGAATACATCATTCATTCGCTAGCCAGTTTGCGCCTCCACCTCTCTGACCAATCACACACCAAAACAAATGAACCTCCAATCAAATCCAAGAAAAAGGTCATGTGATATAAAAAGACACGCCTCCTCTGCTTCTCTTTGAGCCGTGCTGCAGGAAGAATAAAAAGTGATTTCTGCGTGTTTGAGTTTGTGAGCCGATTAAACACCAGATCAACAGTTTAATCTGAACCGACTCAGTGTACCGAGTGATCTGCAGCACCTCCATGTAATTGATTAGCCAGTTTATGAAGCAGGATTTGAACCCTGTTTGCTTCACCATATAACCAAATGACTGACTGTTTCAGTGATCGAGCTGTTTGTCTGTGAAGCTGAGACGTCTGTTTTTACCTTCTGGATCTCTGCTCTATGTTGGTCAGTTTTCTCAGCGCCTTACACTACAATCCCAAACCGCCTCTACACACTCTCCCTCCGCCATGTTGAAGGACGTCCCAAACCACAGAGTGAGGAGAGGGAGTGGACCGTTCAGCCCTTTAATAGCGAGTCTGCAGCGGTGCACACTCAGGACAGGATTTGCAGGTCGTGCGGCGGCAAAAATGAAGAAGGAGGAACAACAAACAAATCTAAGTTCCGATGTTTCCACATTTGTCTCACTGACAAAAAAAATCACAAAGATGATGTTTGGAAAGATCAAACTGAAGTCAGAAATCTTCCTCTGTGCTGAGGTTGGATTGGTCAGAAACATGTCCAATAGTGAAGGAGTTCAAAGACGTGGAATCACTAACAGTCAGAAGTTTAATTCAGCTCCTGTCTCTGTAATAGTTCCTGGATTCATGATTTTACTGCGAGGATGAAAAAACGAGGCAAACAGAGCAGCTCAGAACTGAACATGATGTCCGTTTTTATCACGGCTTTCAAGTTTGAAGATGCTCCTCCATGTTTTTTACCTTGTTGACCCTGTTCATGATCATTTCACACAGAGTCCTAACATTAGAGGAAGTCAGAGACCTGTGGTGTTTGGGTTAGACTCTCCGCCCTGAGTTCTCTGCTGAACTACGAGCCCCTAACAGACATGTATGCAGACAATGTGAAATCAGACACTGTGATCAATATTGTGGCCCAGCTGCAGGTACTGGTGCTGAAAACTCACCTGGAAGTGTGGGCAGAATACAGGTGTTGGGACCAGGTTTTTCAGGGTTTTCAGGTGAGTACTTGGACTCCAGGATCTGGTGCAGGTTGAAGAACTCTCTGTACCTTCTGTAGATGAGATATTTACTCCCTCCTTTAGTCCTGACCTCAATCACAAACCTCTGGGAGAGGAAATCGAGACAGGAGTGAGGGTGAGGAAGGGATCTGAAGTCATTTTAATTCAAAGACAGAAAGATTTGTTTTCCTTTTCTTACATAATAGTCGATGAAACCTTTCTTCTCCTCAATATCGGCGATGGTCGCAGAGACAGCGATGTTATGAGGCAGCTGATCGAAATCACTGAGAGAGAAAAGAAACTGGTGAGATATTCACGCAACTTAAAGGGATATTCTGGTGTGAAATAAATTTAGGGTCAAACACACCGAGTTAGACCCCCCCTCCAGAGATGAATGTTGTCGACCGCTTCCTTCTCTAGTTATACCAACTTTAGTAACGACCGCATGATAGAAATACAGAGAGGTCTGAGGAGCCATAAACAAACCTCAACCAAAACGCCACTCTATAGACACAAATAATGCTCAGAACAGCACCTAACTTCATCAACAGGACATATAGGGTCACAGACATAGTACTATATTCAGAGTTGTTCGAACTCCTAAGAAAACATAAACTTAAGCGGGGACGTTTCTCCACTTCTGTAGTCTATAAGCTGGGCCAATAAACTTCTACTGTAGTAAAACGAAAAGGTAAAGGTGTTTTTATTGAGCCGAATCATCAATAAAATCATGATTTTGTTAACAGGTATAGATTTATGTTCTGTCGAGTTAATATATTTGAACAAGAGCACAGTAAAGTTAAATCAGCTAATTTTCCAATGAGGTTCTGTTACTGAACGGAACTACACCATGATCTACTGAGGTTAGTACATATAGGGTCACAGACATAGTACTAGACACCAAACATCTTTTTAACTTTGACTCATTTCTTTAACAAAGAGACTAAACACAACTCACCTACTCTCTTCCAGCAGACGCTTGTTTGAAGCGAGACCTCAGGCCAGTCCATTATGGACTACAGCGGGGTGCCGCAGCTCAAGGAAGAACATTTAACTAACTAGAGAAGCAAGCGGTTGGCACCATTCATCTCTGGAGGGGGGGTCTAACTCGGTGTTAAGGTGTGTTTGACCCTAACTCAATTTTATGGTGGAATTTCCCTTTAAATCACAAACAAACTTTCAGGCTGAATTTTTCAATCATCAAGTCTTAAATTCAAAATTCATTGAACAAAAATTCTCTGAATTAAAGAAAGAGAAACAAGAAAGTCGAACTCATTTTCAAGAGACAGAAAGTCTGTTTCTAGTTTCACTTCTTTGTTTCTTTATTTGAGGATTTCTGCTGCAGCGATTATCAAAGAACAAACTCAGGCCTGTAGAGTCCTGATAGTGTCCTGATCCTGTTGACTGTCAGTATGGAGTCTCTTCACGTCCTCAGGCTGTTTCTGTTTGGTTAGGGTTAGGGTAGTTTCTACAGACTCACCTCTCGTCTCGGAGCTGCTGCATGATGTCGTTTAAAGGTGGATTCAGTCTGAGTGAAACGGAGAGCCGTCAGTCCTCCTCCTGAGCTCTTCTCTGAGGTCTGCTCTCACACCCTGAACTCTCAGTCTGTTCTCATGTCGAACTGTGCGGAACCAGACAGACAGGAGGAAGCGAGAGTTCCCCAAAAAGACCGGAGGAGGAGGGGGTTTCATTGGGCTGCAGGGTGAAGGAGTCACGTGGAGGGCGGGGAGCAGGTGTGGCACGCGACAAAAACCCTAAAATGAACCGAATAAACGGGGAAGATGGAGGAGAGGAGAAACTGAGGCTTCACTCTGCAGATTTATGGGCTGAGATCCTCAAAAATACAGATTTATTTACAGAAAACCGTCAGAAGTCTCTCTGAACATGTTTTTTTATTTTATAATATCTACCCATCAAACCTTTCAGCTTTGAAGAAACACATTTGTAGGTCATACAGCGACAGTTCAACTCCAGTAATACTTATGATAGGGGAGGGTGGGGTCGGTTGATCCACCTCCTGTTGGTTGGAAATGGTCAAAGAAATTGATCATGTGACCAAATATTGAGGAGATGGTCATCAATTCATGGAGTCAGTGAAGGTTAGAAGCTCATGGGTGAAGGGGTTAGACATTTATTTACATGTTTCACTCTGTAAGGTGAATTTAGTCTTTAGTCTTCAGTTTGATTAGAACTGTACACGGGGTGACCCTCCCCACTGAGCATTAGTGCTTCCATACACATTAGCTGTCTTAGTTTCTAGACAGAAATTCCCTCGTCTATAATCAGTCTATATTTTAGCCCGATCGAGATGATAGAATTTAATCCATTAATTATAAAAAACAAATGTAAATTCAATAAACGGCTAGTCAAAGCTTGGAAAATCGGTCAACCACTGAGCGTTTTTTAGCCGAGACGTCAAGGGACCTTTAGACGTCTATTAAACGATTTTTAAACCGAAAACTGTCGTTGGGTACTTAATAATATTTAATGAATACAGCTGCTGTTGGGCTGAATCTATAAAATAAAATTCTTTGTGTGGTTATTAAGTAAAAAATCGGAATATTTAAAGCTCCTGTGAGGAACTTTGTGTGGTTTTTGGCGCCCCCCTGAGGACAAAAGAGTTCCACTTATTTCTTTACCAATTTTACCCAAGCAGCAACCTCTGGTCTTGAGAAATGGAGGCAAAGCGTGGGTGCTAAAAACTGCAGTTCCCAAGGTGTCCAGTAGAGGCTGACTGCAGAAGCAGCAGGAAGCACAAACCTGGGCTTGTTTGCATTTAAAAATGTTTTGTGTATTTAATAAATGACCAAAAACTCCCTACAGGAGCTTTAAATTAAACGTGTCGCTTCTTCCCACTTTTTACTCGTTTCTTATCGCTCTTTTTGAAGATGATCAAGTTTGATTTTTTAAGGTCCCATCACGGCATCAGTATCAGTTCAGTCTGAAAACCCCTCACAGGAGCTTTAATCACATAATTACAGCAGCTTTTAAGGACGTCAGGAAAGACGTGTTTTTGACGTTTCTCTTCCCTCCTTCATGCATCTGGTTCGTTTCCTGAAATCTAGAGTTTGGTGTCTGAATCTTCTCCAGTCAGACTGACATTTGTTTTTGGAGTAAAGCTTGATTAAAACTGTCCTCTGTTTCTCTCGTAGGGGTCACTGTACTAAAATCATCAGCTGTAAATGAGTTTTTAAGAGCAGCTTTTAAAAATAGTCGCCCTTCGGGGTTAAACTCTGTCCTGGGACTCTCAAAGCACTTCACACAAAGCAAACAACACTGATTGTATTTCGTGGTCTTCAGAAGCTCACACGTGTTCAGCAGCCTGAACACCAGCGGAGCCAGAAGCTCCGTCTTTACCATCGGTTCATCACTCCCACGTCCAATTTGACTGATTGGCTTAAATACCGTAAACAAGCAAGATGGCTGTTGTCTAACCTCCCACGCTGCGGCGCACAATGAAGGACTCATTTATGTCAGGAAAACAAAAAGCACAACCGTACTCCAGTGAAGACGGTCTATTCTGATGGTGCAGGGAGCTTTTGACGTTCTCTCAATGAGAAACTTTGAAGAAGGAAAACAAAGTTCAGAAGAAACAGAAATCATCATGGAGAGAATCACAGACGTCTTCTCATCCTCGTTCTTTTTCCAGCTCTTTGGATGCTGATGATCCATCTGGGTGAACCTTTGTGAGATACAGCAGATGGAAAATGAAGTTCACCATGTTAAAGGGACATCTTTTAGCTAAACAGTTAACGTCATCCTCCAAGCTGAGCTGCTTAAACTGACCGGTTTGCTCACATTCCCCAGAGTCCTCCTGCCTCAGTCCCAGTCCTGGTCCTAGTCCTGGTCCTGGTCCTGGTAGTCGCAGCGTTGGACCAGCCTCATTAGATAGAACAGATGACACAGTATCATGATTTCTCTGTAGCGTCACAGTTATTCCCTCTCAGGTCATCATGAGTGGGACCCACACCTGCGTGTTGAGGAGATAACCGTCCTCCTCCACCCGTTAGGTCAACAGAGACTCCTCTTCAACACTCACACATTCTTTCTTCCTATCTTCTCGTCTTATCTCGTCTGAAGCTGTAAGTACACATTCTCTCATCACACGCACACCCTTTCACAAACATGTCACAGAGTTAACCCTTTAACCGAGTCACAGACGAGAACTGTTGACTAAAACTTAAAGCTCCAATAGGGAGTTTTTAGATCCTTATTTTATTGCCTTAAACTCAATTTTTATTCATCAATCAATTTTTATTCATCAATCAATCTTTATTCATCAATCAATCTTTATTTATAGCCTCATTTCACAACAAGAGTTATTCCAAAACAAAAGTTAGTCTAAACCGTACTCCAGATTCACTCCCATCACATCTTCAACATTATGATGTAGGGCTGAACGATCAATCGATTTTTGATCATAATCAGATTATTTAATTATGATGATGTTAAAAAAATTAAAATTGTCAAATCGATTTTTCTCTCTATCATGTCTCGCCCCTCCAGGCCACCGTAGGCTCCTCCTTCCTGTGTAAACAAACATGGCGTTTGCAAAAGAAGGCGATAATTTCGTGGTTAAATAGGACAAGAGCGAGTCAGTCGTGTTGAATTGGTACGACTTCACAGTTTCAGATGAAGAGTAAACCACTCCCCGCTGTAAAGTCTGTCTGAAGGCGGTATCAACCCGTCACCATGGAAACTAATTCAGGAGGAAACGCTAAAGTTTTTAGTCGTATCGGCGTTTCAGGTGACTGTAAACGGTACTTTTTAAAAAACGGGTCAGAGAGTGAATAAATCTGTAAACGACGACCATTTCATCTCCGTGTGGATGTCTATCTGCATCTCTGGAAACGATCATGTGACACACAGAGGAACTCTTTTATGGCGCCAAAACAACCTTTATACACATGCTCTGTACTCTTCTTCTGTCTTTGTGCGTTTCCTGAGCAGCGTTACAGCGCCACCTACTGGCTTGGCATATGACCTACATCAAAATGGTGCAGCCCTGATCTGAGTGAAACACTTTGCAGCATTTATTAAGTTACAGCGGAGAGGAAGAACTTCCTTTAACAGGCAGAAACCTCGAGCAGAACCAGACAGATGTTGGACAGTCATCTGCTGAGACTGAGGAGAGTTCCTTACATGACCTTTAAGGTGACTGAGAACTGTGAAGTATGAAGTATCAACAGATTAGTGAAGATGGTCATGTAAGAGTGGTTCCTGTCCAGTCTGGGGTCAGTCTGACATGTTGGGGTCGTAGGGATGGAGGTCCATGGCAGCAGTGTCAGACCTGCTTGTGCAGAATCTTGTTGTGTTTGTCTGGATGCTGCAGATGATCCTCCTACATGTTGTGAGGAGGGGGAACAGTCTATAAGGCATTCACCATGACCGGTCCAAATGATAAGGGTCCTAGAATTGTAATCCCAGAGACGCAGACCTGGATCTTCAGCCCTGGATCTTCAGCCCTGGATCTGCAGACACATGAAACTCAAAACACCTGGAGGCAAAAGTGGGGACACAGCTGATTAAAGGATCAAACACTAGATGTCAGCAAAGTCTTTCCTGTGCCGTCTGTGAGAGAGTCGATCATCACTCAGACTGAAGTACTTCAGATAAAATCCAGGTTTTCTAAAACACTCACGGTTTTTAATCAAACATGATCCAGCTGACGTCTCTTTAGGGTCCTGGATCTCTCAGAGACTCCACAGCTGCAGCAGGGTCTGCTGTTCTGCATCAGCAACTACGGACACACACACACACACACACACACACACACACACACACAGATCGTAAAGTAGACAGTATCTGCACAGGAGTGTGATGGTGCATAAAGGAGTGTGTGTGTGTGTGTGTGTGTCACATATTGACTCCATGTCTATTCCTGAGCAGCCTCTAGGACACTGCTCATATATCAGACCAGCTTTGATTGCAGAAAAACTCTTCAAGGGTTTCTTTCTCTGCAGATTCAGTCATCATCGTCTGCAAAGTTTTGTGTATTCATGTGTGCGACAGAGAGAGAGAGTGTGTGTGTTTGTATGTGAAGGAGGGTTTATGCATCTGCTCTGGTGTGTAATCTTACACTGTTGGAGACACCAGGGCACTGTTTAAAGTCTTAAAAGGAAATATTATAAAGCTGCAGAGTAAACCAAACACACACACATATATATATATATATAGCAGAGAGTGTGAGTAAACAGTGTGTGTTTACCGCGCTGACAGCTGGATCCTGTAGAAACAACATAGAGAAGCTAAAAGAGGAAGAGGTGAGCATGAGCAGAGAGCTGAGGTCAGAATAATCTGACGTTAACTTCCTGTTTCTCTCAGTATGATGATGACAGATTGGCTGAGTTAGATAGTTATGCTAATTTTACTAAATATCAACGATGCGTCCCCTCAGTGAATCGACCGAAAACAGGAAGACGTCACAAACTGAAACTGAAAGGACTCAAAAGTGAAGAAAAATTTAATAGATTTAAATACAATCAAGAGAAACTTACTCTGCCCACATTTTCAGATAATAATACTACTTATTATATATTTTATTATTTATAAAACTTTTTTTTTGGCTTTATGTCCTCCCTCTGTGCAGCTCAACATATTCCAAACTATTATTTTTTTATACACACACATATATAAATATATATTTTTTTGCTGATATATATTTATTTATTGTTTATTATTTTTTTATATATACAAATGTATATTTTTTGGTAATATATTTGTATATATTTTTCTTATTATGTACACACATATATTTATATTTACTAATATATTTGTTTGTTTATCTATTTATTTAATATTGTTTTTATATACACACACATATTTATATTTGTAATATATTTGTTTATTTATTTTTTCTCATTAACTATTATTTTTTTGGGTTATATATATTATTATTTTTGTCTTTGTTTCTGAGTTGAATTGTTTGACTTTATGCTCCTGTCTGTTGAAAAAATGTAAAAAAAATATTGTTAAAGAAAAAACATGATACCGTACGGTAGATAATACAGCAGAAAATTTACAGTAATGCAGTTAGAGTATTTAGATGCACATATGAATAGTTTGTCCATTCTGGGCCACGATATTTTGCAGCCTGATCTTTTCACTGATTTACACGTATTATAGTTCTGCTAAATGCTGCGTACTGTACCTTTAATATCCCTATGGTACAAAGTCGTCTTTGTGTCGGTGAACAGAAATAATAATAATCCTCTACAAAGCTGCTCTTTCCTCTCAGTTGAAGGTGTTTATGAGCAGCCCCCACATGTCCAAGGAGCAGCACCTCCATCTCTGTTGTTCTTATGAAATCTCTGCAGTGAGTCTGCTGACCTTACGTAACTCTCTGCAAAACTCGGCTCAACTCTGACCTGAGCAGAAGTCTGTTTTAAAGAATCACCAAAAACGCTCTTTAGGGACTGCAGAACAAACAGTTAGTATCTCTGAGAACAGGACGTGTTCAGTCGTGTTTTAAAATGAAGCTCTAAATGAACTTTTCACTGCAGAGGATCCGTCTCAGTCTGATTCTTGTCTTCCTGTCCTCTGGACATGCTGCAGATCCACAGAACCATCAGGATGACTAACTGGAATCTACCAGGGAAATGTGGATTATTATCTGCCTCATTATTTAACAGGTTGACTATGTAACAAGCCAAACTCCCGGCAACTTGGTGTATTCCTTTTAAAACTCACCGTCTCCCACACACACGCCCACACACACCAGCCGCAACATTAGCACTAAATATACCACAATAACCAGAGCCTGCAGTGCAGTCATGCACATTTGGCAAAGACTCCAGCTTCTCTCTCCCACTCCACGGAGCATGTCAGCCTGAACCCGGCTCATGGGGCTGTGCAGGGTGTTGGAGTCACCAGCATTAATGGGTACAAACTGAGGTTCGAGGACTCAGCAGAGTCCACGTTTAAAACCTTCTCTGGGCTCAGCGGGGGGAGAGACTGAAGCTTTTTTAGATGTTTGACTCACAGTGAAAGTGTTGTTTTATAGTTTTATAGAGAAGTATCTATATTTCTAACTAGATCTAGATCTACCAGATCCCCCCTGCTCATGCACACATTAGATGTTCCTCCACGGTCACTGAGTTCTCCTACAGCTGCAGCTTAAAGCTCCTTCACTTTGATGATCTGAACCGTCTGCTGCTCAGCGGACAGACGCTCATTAAAAACTGTTTTAATTGTTTTTATCGTTTTAACAGATCAGGCCATAAAAGGACACAGTTTAGTGAACTCTCAAATCAGTAAGTTTAAATATGAAGCACCATCAGTTTTTCCTCATTAAAGTCTCAATGATATAAACATTGGTTTGGTTAGAGGGATTAAAGGATAGAAGAGAGTTGACTTATTAATAATTGATCAATATTGTCTTAAAGTGTAAAAATCAGCCCTAAAATCTACATGACAGTGAGTCTTTTGTTCTGGAGGCCTCCATCTTGGACCACCGTATTTCTACAGCGGTGAGAGGTCAGAGATTTGGTGGTAGATGAAAAAGACAAGAATTGATGATCAATCATAATGATGGACTGTGGGAGAGGGGTGAGAGGGGTGAGAGGGGTGAGAGGGGTGAGCAAGGGAGCGTTTCAGTCTTGAATCGGACCACCAGACACGACAACTTCTGGGTGGGTTTAGAAAGACTGTTGGGCTGAGATGATATCTCACTTTGGACTTTTTTGTTTCCTTTATTATCCACCGGAAACCTCGAGGAGTTTCCTTCATGTCATTATGACGATTTGTGTTCTGGCAGGGTCGAATAATAAGGAAATCTGACTGTCGATGATCTTAACATGACTATAATATTCATGTCTTCACTGCGACTCTGAACACAAACTTCATCATCCTCATCATTCATCTGTCCGTCTCCAGTCGTGTCCTCGACCAGCCTGCTCCTCCTTTATTATATACATGAACCCATCCTCATGTGTCTCTCTGTCCTTGTCTCCTAATATAAATCCTTCAGGTGTTGGCGGCCTCAGTTGTCTCTCTACAATAAGTGCTGATGAGCTGTAATTCAATAGTTGGGACACTGACAGAGCGCCGGGTCAGCACGGGACATGAATACGAGCAGATCAAGCTCCCAAGACTGATAAATGCACCGACCATGAATGAATCAGGAAACATCAGGAACGACTCGAAACGAATGAAAAGAGGATCAGAGCGAGTAAAGAGAGAGAGAGAGTTACACAAGCTGTCAGTGTCCTGACAGGAGAGATGGATGTGAGCACAAAAGAGGAGGCGTGAGCAGATATGGATGCAGAGAAAGGGAGGTCGGTTTGATGTTTGATACTGGGGAGGAGGTACGAACAAGAAACGAAGAGGAAAGTCAGAAGGAAAGTTACAGATGAGATGAAACTTCCTGCTCTAAAAGAAGAGTGTCCACCGATGCAAAGGAGCTACAGGCGTCCCTCTTTAAGGCTGAGTCTCATCTCTCACTATCTAAACCTCATGATGAAGGTGAACGAACGAGTGTAACGGACCCTCAAAACACTGAAAACTGGAGTCAAGATTTTAACTGAGGGTTTGAACGTCTGTAAACCTCCGTGTTCGGAGCTGCTGTGGGATTATTGTTGAACTTCCTGTAAAAGTTAAATGTTAACATCACTGACACGACCTCCAGATCAACGAGGACACAAGGACTCCTGGTGAGGATCCTTCATCTAATCCTAAAATATCTCATAAACTGAACAAAGTCAAAGCTTCAAATAAACACTTTTACTGGATTTACTTCCTCTGGAGGAACGGGGGTCAGGGGTCGAGTCTGCAGAAAGAAGCAAACACACAAAGCACACACTACCACAATGATGCCAGGTTCTCAACAGACACAGTTCAGCTCAGACCTGACACCTATTGGCATCTATGTGGAACTGCAACTGTCAAATCTAAACCAATGACATTATTGGACTGAATCAATGTATGAAAACCAACAACTCTGGAACTGAACCACTGAAATTTGGTCCAAGTCAATATTCTAAACAACAAACTGATATATTTTATGTCCATCCAGATGCATCTGTGTCTGTGTGAGGTTGTATGTTTTTCCTGCAGCTGTTCAGTGTCTCTTAACGGAGGGGATTCTGCAGCACAGGTGATAAAATGGTTCATGTGTTCAGTGTATTTTATAGTGTTTGACCTTTTAAAATGGATCAAATCTGAAAGTGACTTTCACTCTTTCAGCTTCATGGTCAAACACTGAGTGCAGAGGCTTCCTACAGTATAACACACACACACACACACACACACACACATGCAGCTGGACTCCTAAATAAGTCAAGACTCTTGAGACTCTTGTGTAAATATATAAATGAACATTGTCTCTCCTGAGCTCCTTCACCATCCCTGTATGAACGTCGGAGTTATTCCACCGTGTTAACCAGGGTCACAGCGCTCTGTGTGCTTGTCTCCTCCAGCTCATACAGACTCTTTCTCCTTTATGCATCTCCGACCTTTTCTTCACTTTTAGCACAAAGAGGTTCTTAGACATGTGTTGTTTACCGTTTGAAGACTCATTTTATCTTTTGTTCCAAGTTTTCCACCTTTGCACTCAAAACTCTGAAGTGTTTTAGTTTCTTTCTCACCTGTCTCCTCTCTTCTCTTGTGTCCCTCCCCCCAGCTGGCAAACTGACGATGACAGATCTGTTGAAGCCAGAGGACATCAAGAAATCTCTTGACTTCTTTGCAGGTGGGTGTGTTGCAGGAAACAGGCCTCAGAAGGTCTCAGAGTTCAGAGATGAGCAGTGAGATGGTTTTTCCTGTTCTGTTTGTGTGCTTGTATGATTTCTCAAACATCTCCTGTCTTGTGTTTCGCAGGAGAAACGTTCGACCCTAAAAAGTTCTTTGAATTGGTGGGGATGACGGCGATGTCAGCTGACAGCGTCAAGCAGGTCTTCATGGTCCTGGATGTGGACGGTAGTGGCTTCATAGAGGAGGAGGAGCTCAAGTGAGGACACGAAAATAGGGGCTCACAGAGTTTGAACGTGTCTTCATGTTGGACTGTGCTGCAGTGACGCTGTTATGTGCTTTACTCAGGTATGTACTGCAGGGCTTTTCAAAGGAGGGCAGAGAACTGACCGACGACGAGACGAAAGCATTCCTCATAGCCGCAGACAAAGATGGAGACGGAAAGATCGGCATTGACGGTGAGAGAGCAGAGGAAAAACACAGAGTGAAGTGTTCAGAGTGAGGAGGCTGGAGTGAAGGAGAGCCGTGTCCTACTCCGTGTAACTGACTAACATCTACAGAGTCTCAGATACTCGCTGTCCTGATCTGATAGTGAGGTAAACTACGGTGGTGGTGTTTTAGAAAGCTACAGGCTTAAACCAGAAATATATACTCAGTATTTTTACAGAGTACATTATACTATTATACTCAACTCGAAGTAAAGTTACTTTAATGACATTTGACTGAGGCAGGAGGAAAAATACCGGTGTGATCAAAAGTATCTAAACTGAAATGCATGTAAAAGCGCCGAATACTTAAACAAGACACGCCTCCAAAATGACGATGTCGAAGCATCTTTTCCTGAATTGATTTTTGTCATGTGATCGACAGCATTAATGTGTAAAATCAGTCTGAATCTGGACTTTTTCAGGTTTGAGTTTTTAGATGTTTTTACACCATTTTTCTCCAGTATTGCACTTTGTCAGTTCCTACACACTCCAGTTACCGGATCGTTTGTGAGGAGCACTTCAGTCCACCACAAATTATGGAAGTGGCCAATAAAGCATAGAACATCCTATAATATCGAATTAATCACATCAAATCAAATAATCACATTGTAGTAATTAATCGTATCATATCAATAACTGTGTCGCATCGAGTTAATCTTATCGCATCAAATTAATCGTATTGTATCAAATTAATCTTATTGAATTAACTGTACCATAGTGAACTAGTTGTATCGTATCGAATTAGTCGCACTGAATCATATAGTATCATATTGTTTTGAATCAATCATTTCGTATCGAATTAATCGCATTGTATCGTATTTAATTAATCATATTCTATCAAACCAATTGTGTCGTGTCGAATTAAATGCATTAAATTAATCGCATCGTGTTTAATTAATTGTATCACACCAAATTAATTGTGTCATATCAAATGAATCGCACCAAACCGTATTGTATCGTATCGTGTTGAATCGATCGTATCATATTGTATTAATCGCATTGTTTCGTATCAAATTGACCGTAGCATATCAAACCAATCGTGTCGTATCGAATTAATCGCATCAAATAATCACATCGTATTTAATTAATTGTATCACACCAAATTAATTGTGTCGTATCAAATGAATCGTATTGTATCGATTGAATCATATTGAACTAACTGTATCATATTGAATTAATCGCATTGAATCTTATTGTATTGTATCAGTCGTATCGTATCAAATTAAACATTTTGTGTTTTTCAAGAAAATTTCATCTTTTGAAATCTTGGAACAGGGTTTAGGTTTGGACCTGTCAGGTCATCAAAGCTTATAAAGAGTGGAAGAATTACAGTGTTGTGACAAAAAATTAGACAAGTTGACATTTAAGGTTTGAGAGATTTGAGGACTGGCTGTCATGGAGTTGACGGACAGCTGGTTGATTTTAGGGATCTTTTTATCCCTAGGGGAAACACTTCTCAAAACTATCGTTTGTTACAGTGTTTTGAGCAGATGAACGTTGTTAATTTCCACCCCTGAATGAATCTAAGTTTAGGTTATAAACTAAAGTTAGTGAGTGTTTTTGACAGAATATTTCCCTCATGAATGTGGATCTTTATCTCGGCAGCGTTTGTCTGATCGTCTGTACGAATGTCTTTATTCTCTCTTTCAGAGTTTGCGACCCTGGTGCATGAGTAGGGGATGGATGAACGCCCCCATTTTTCTTTCTCCTCCTCTCCGTCCCTGCATTCATATTTTGTAACTGCCACCTTCAAAGTCCTCTCACCTTCCTCGGGACCCTGAACATGGAGTCAGACCAGGCCTGCTCTCTATGAAACACTACAGAAGCAGAGCGACAGGGAGTTAAACCATGAGGAGGCATACACAGGCACCAGTTCCATTTTTTATATATATTTAATCACACATGCTGTATGGGTTTCAGAATCATTGGAATGAGTTCATGAAGATAGTTTGTGGTTTCTAAAACAGGTGGTGCTAGTGCTGTAGGTGTAGATGTTACAAAGACTTCTTAATTCTTCATTTTCCTTCTTTGTGGATTTCCAGTTGTGCTTTTTTTGTCTGATTGGTTTTACTTCTTGATGTTCACATATCAGTGCACTTTCCTCCCACTCCTCTTCCTCATCCACCTTTCCTCACCTCTCCTCACCTCACCGCCTCTCCTTTCCTCTATCTTCTCCTCCTCCTCCTCCTCCTCCTCCTCCTCACTCCCTGCCCCCGATCAGATGATGTAGTAAATAAACAGATATATAAGGAGAGCTGTGAAGAGAGTAAGAAATGATGATTAAAAAATCTTGAATAACACTCGTCTCTTTAATTTTTGTCACTCGCAGCGACAGACACAGAAACTAAACTCACATACAGTTGAACACAGGAACCAAACCTGCTGACTACATATTTACAGCTGGGTGATGAGCGGAGGAGAGGAAAACACGACAGTCGCCTCGATTAAAGGGATATTTCAGTGTTTTTGACACAGACATAAGCTAAGCCACAGTTTTCTGCAGACGGGGTCAAATCTGTGACCCCATTCAGCTACATTTGAGAGATTTCCACCCAAGCACTCGTCCTGGGTTAAGTGTACGCTTTACCCACTTTGCCGTCGGACAGCCTGTTTGCTTGTTCAGCAGTTCTAAGGTGTTGGAGTCACAGACACAGGATGAATTTTGATGTTTTATCATCGAGCAGACGCCATAATGTTATTTCAAGTTCTGTCATAAAGCAGTAAAACAACAACAAGGGCAGACGACCGACTATAAAAACGCTCCTCTACTTGGTTTTTTGGTTCTGATTCATCTGCTGAGTGGAGCCTGTGGTCTTGTAAGAGCTGAAGGTGTATTTTTGACTCCCAAAGATACAGATGTGCTGTTGTTACCTGCTCTCCTGTTAGTGTTTGAGTTTCTCTGATTTTTGACACACAGAGTCACAAAAGTCCATCTGTGTGTTTTATCCTTTAGGAGCAAAATTAAAGACTTTCTGATGGCGAAGTAGGGCTGGGCGATATAAGAAAAAGTTTATCACGATATATTTCTTTCATATCAGTCGATATCGATATGAATCACGATATTAAAAAATCACTTGTTCATCTTAAATGTTCTCTATTGCTCTGTTAAAGTGCTATGGTTGGGTGGAGCTGCTGTCTGCTACGACGCTGCAGTTGGTTGATACTTGGTTCTAATTCAGAACATGATTGGTTCAGACCCGGAGAAACTCCCCTTTTCATTGGCTGTTCGTATAGTCGACCAAAACATGTCAGAATGACGACTATTGAAAAGAATATTGATCATGTTTGATATCGATATTGAGAGAAATTAATTTTTGATTTCTATCATTATCGTTTTATCATCCAGCCCTATCTCTAAATAAACACTTGAACTGAACTGATTTCTACATTCAGCTAACTTATTGGTAGACTTGATCCCATCTGCAGAGACCTGTAGCCTAACTTGCGTGTCCCTTTCCCAGCATCCATTGTGGCTCCTGCACTTAGTTTTGATGTGTAACTCATAAAACCTCACTTCAAAAAATGCTGAAATATCCCTTTAAAAGAAGGTGCAGCATCTGGTCTGTGTTTGGATTCAGATCTACATAACTGTAGATGTACGACGGTAGATCTGAGGCAGAGGAAACGCTCTGCAGCGGTTCTCCACTGCTGTGAGCGTCATGGATGTTCAACACAAAAACAGACCTATCTATAAAAACCTGAAATACTGTACAGAGGGTTGAAGAACGCCTCTTTTCTAACTCTACAGCCTCACTTCCTGTTTGAACAAACACTGTACAAAAGTACGAGCTGACCCTCCACTACAGTTTGAGAGTATCATGGTGTTCTCCTGAGACTCAGAACAACACTCCACAGCCCCGTCCGGCAGCCTCACTTTGGATCGGATCAGAGGATTCGAGGAGCCGATCTGTCGTTGGTCGTGGTGGGGCGCAGCTTCACGGTGGCGAAAGGGTTTGTGCCTCTGAAACGAGAGGATGATGGAAAATGAAACACGAAGCCACACGAGCATGATCGCTTTCTGCCGCGCGAGCACACACACACACACACACACACACCTACCAGGAGGAAGGGAAACTAACACCTGACCCCAAACCAGAGGGAGATCTCAACTGAGCATGCTCCATCGACCTGATACATGATCACTCATACATGCATGAAATCATGAAGTGATGCTGAACAGTCAGACTGTTGTGTGTCTGCAGCTCATGTGGAGAAGAACCACAGCTCAGTCTGCAGAGCTCTAAGTTCTGCTCTTATTCCTCATCAGTAAAACCAGCGCCGACTTTTATTCACGCTCAGAGATTCACGTCAGTCTCCAGATGAAAAGGTGGTCGTGATACTTTAATCTAATGATTTCTCTGATACGACGCTGACTTTCTAAAGTCCTCAGTCAAATGTGCAAACATGGTGGACATGTCAGGAGGCGGCGGTTACCTTGGAAACAGCGGGTTCTCAGGTTGTCCATGTGGTGATAATGTCTGGGAAAAGAAAAGCAATGATGTGATCTTTCTTCTGTTTCAGGTTACTGAGGAGAAACTTTGGAGACACTTTATTAGACGCTTATCTCTATAACACTTTATTAATATATGTATAATGTGTTATAATCATGTTATAACACTATATAACTATAGTTATAAACACTCATAAATGATCATAATGCTTTATAATAATAATCAGAACACATTATAAAACATTTTATCATGACTTACGATGTCAGGTATAATAATGTGTAATAACTGTTAACAGCAGTTTCACTGCCTTACCTCTGTGGGCGTGGTCAGTGAGTTGTTCACAGTTAACACATTATAACTCTAATTAAGTGTTACAGAAACTTTTAACTCGTCCTCAGATCAGATCTGTTCGTGATGAAACCTGCGGTACCTGAGCGTCAGCAGCTGACTCACTCTTCCTGTCAGGATGAGGAGAGATTGGTCGAAAGTCCACGGAGCTCCTCCTTAGATTCTGACTTGGAGGCGGAGGAGGCGGCGGGGGAGGGGGCGGCGGTTCGTTGTAGGTCTTCGTCTGACCTGGTTTTACCTCCACGGTGAGTTCCAGTTTCTTCTCAGGGAGAGGAGAGACGGCCCGAACGTCTACTGAGGCTCTGCGGTTTGGTGTGACCGGAGGCGGGACGTCGCCATAGCTCTTGTTCTCTGATTGGTCAGTGTCCAGCAGGTTGTTCATACTGTGGCTTCTTATAGAGCCACCGCTGAGGGGTCAAAGGTCAGAAAACAAGGGTTACTAATGACTCAACACATTAAACCTCCCATCGTGTCATGTCACAGGATTTCTGTGTTCAGAGTCACGCTGCAGACCGACCACGAGTCCTACCTTGTCAGTAAGTTGTTGGAGAAGTCCTCCACGGGGGCCACATAAGCAGCAGGAAACCAGCCCTGACTGAAAAGACCGTAAAGACGGAGATCAGCGAACAACACAATAAAATCTGGGACATCACGAGCAGGTGTGAGTCGAGTCAGTCGTCTCCAAATCTGAAGGTCAGGGGTTCAAACCAAGGTCGAGGCGTCCTTGGGCGAGACATTTGACCCCACCTAAAGTCTAAATAAAAGGCTGTAGAAAGGTCATACGTAGGTCTCTGCTCATCACTCCATCATCTATCTTCTGCTCTCAGACGTGTTGATCCTTCAGCTCAAACATGTGAGCTGTTGTCACTGATAAAGACACTCGACAGTTTTTCCATCACGGCTTCTTTTGTGTCCCTTCTTATCCACAAACTTTTCTATTCTGTTTTGACAAAGTGAAGTCCTTGTGAATCGTAAAAGGACAAAAGGACAAAAGGACAAAAGGACAAAAGGACACACAGCAGCTGTTGTGTCTGTCTGTAGCAGCGACACTGAAAATGAGTCTATAAGCTGTTGGACTCAGACGCTCACCGCAGGCTGCTGTCTGTGCGTCCGTACAGCCAGCCGTTCCGCGGCTCCTGGACCAGAACCGTGATGGTCTCGCCCCTGTTGAAAGGGAGAAGCTTCGGGTTGGATGAGGACGGGTGAGACACCAGGGCCCTCATAGCTCTTCCTCCACCCAGACCCAGAGACTCCCCCACTGAGCTGGAGCGAGAGCGGCTCGGGATGGGAGATGGTGCTGAAGAGGAGGGCAAAAAAAAGAGGGACTGATAAGAAAGTCGGGCTGAACGATGTTGGCCGGAAATAAAATCAGATTCTTTTCTCTCTAAAAACTCAGATTTTTTATTTTTTAATTCAGTGACGACTTCACCAAACTTCACTTTAATAAAAAGTTTTTCTATCATCTCTCAAAATGAAACCACTGAAAACAATGTAGTTCATATGCCAGACCAGTAAGTGGCGCTGTAACGCAGAAGAAGAGTACAGAGAATGTGTATTAAGATTTGTTTTGACCGGACACGCTCAGGCGCCATAAAAGAGTTACTCTGTGTGTCACATGACCATTTCGTTAGACGGAGATGAAATGGTCGTCGTTTACAGATTTATTCACTCTCTGACCCGTTTTCAAAAAGTACCGTTTACAGTCACCTGAAACGCCGATACGACAAAAAACTTTAGCGTTTCCTCCTGATTTCGTTTCCATGGTGACGGGTTGATACCGCCTTCAGACAGACTTTACAGCGGGGAGTGGTTTACTCTTCATCTGAAACTGTGAAGTCGTATCAATTCAACACGACTGACTCGCTCTTGTCCTATTTAACCACGAAATTATCGCCTTCTTTTGTAAATCAATTTGACAATTTAAATTTTTTGACAGTCATTAAAAATCAGTTAATCGTGCAGCCCTATAACACTTCAAATCCACTAAGAAATAAATGTGAACTTATCTGAAACTTGTTGGTACTAAAGAGTTTTTAAAAAGGGTGAATGAGGCTTCATATCTTTTACAAAACAGAGTCTATGTCCCACCTCTAGAGGGCACTCTGCCCAGCGCCTGCTGCTCCCTCCTGGCCCAAGACATGTCTTCATCTCTGGCCACGGTCTGTAGCAGCGAGCTCACCGACCCCCGCAGCTGATCAGGAGGAACAAACACCGATAAATCAAACCAACTGAGGCAGTGAGGGTCTGTGAGAGGCAACAGAAGAGCTGAGAGGAGATACAGGCTGACCTGCTGAACACACCTCCTCTCTCTGTTAACAGACCGACTTCTGTCACTCACTGATCGATTCTATGAGATAATACACACACCAGTAAAACGAAACCCTCAGCCCAAACTTCCACTTCTCACTTTTTATGAAGACTGTCAGAGAAGTTTCTTCTTCTACATGTTTATTATGTATTTCTGGACTTTAAGAGACATTTTTAATGTTTACAAACACAAAGGGGAGAGAATATTACATGCATTTCTCAATTTAATGCTGCGCAGTAAAGCGGCCGCTGAGAATCCAATAAAATCCTTCCAATATATTGAAAAAGGTGAGAGCGCCGAGCCGAGCTGCTGGACCCGAGCTCCAGGGCAGACAGAAAAAGCAGTTCTTACTTGTGTATAATAAAAAAGTAAAGTTATAAAACAAGAGAATTATGCATCAAGGACCGGCCTGGTGCTGCTCTGTTTCAGAGAAGTTGCTTTTCTTTCTCTAAATAATAAAAAGGAACAAATATTTATTCACTTTTAGGAGTTAGAAAGCAGCAGAGTGAGCGGTTTGCATAAATCATGTCACTGCAGCCATAAAAACACTGATGCTGCAGCTTCTTCCTGCTGCATTCAGGGGCCTGATCATCGCTGCGTTTGTTCAAACTCTCTGCAAAAACAACAACAGAGTGCTTTCGGTACCTGCGCCTCTTGATCCAAGTGAGTGGGAGTTCGAGGTCTGGACCCCCTGGTGTCGTTCACTTTCTCCTTCCATCCATCTGCCTTTTGCTGGAGTGAAGCACCGGTCTGAAAACAGAGGAGAGGAGAGTCCGGTCAGGTGAAGAGGAGACTAAAGGTCCGTTAAAACCACCTGATGTGTGAATATACCTTGTTTATGAGGAAGAGCAGCGACTGAGTTAGGCCGCAGTGCTTCTCCGCAAGGAAACGATACCTCCGCTCCTCCTCCTTCAGGATCTCCTGCTGGCTCTGTCTCAGATACACCATGTAGTCACTGTTCTCCTAAAGGCGCACACACACACACACACACACACACACAGAGGAAACTGGGTACACATGCGGTTCAGTGAGTGATGGGTTTGTGTTTCTGTCTAACTATCTACCAGAGAATCCCTGTAAGCTCCTCGTCTCAGCTGTTTCTCCAGAGCCTCCGCCTGGTTCCTCACCTCCAGCTCGTACACTCGGCGACTCCCCTGCAGCACAGGAAGCAAGTTTCATAATCTGTAAACAGTTTTCATGTGTACAGGTAAAAGACTGTCTTTTATTATTAGTGTGCATGTTAAAGACTTAAACTCACATCAATGTACTCCTCATCCAACTTCACATTCTTGTCCATGGCCTGCAGCACTTCCACCTGGAACCATCGAAACTGCAGCAAGAAGGAAAAACAAGGTGATTGGTGGGGACTAAGGAAACGCTGTCCTCATTGGTCCGTGTTGTCGGCCAATGCGGACACTTCAAGCCACTGCAACGAGGGTTCGTGTAACTCCACGAGTGTAAACCAAGCAGTGAAATGTAAGCAGGAGTTCATGACTCTTCATCTCTGTGAAAGGCTGAGCTTAAAGAGACGCACCTGTGATTTACTGGATCACAAAGTCGGTGAGTCTATGAGGAGTTTTTATAAATCAGATAACAGAACTGATATTATTCTACAGTCACAGGTGTGTTTCTGAACAGCCTCTAACATTATCACCATCAGACAGGTGATCACAGCGCTTTATATTTATTAGAAAATACACGGTGGGTGGTGATGGTGTACTGCAGCGTTTTATATTGAAGGTGTTCCTTGTATTTTGGCCATGTCATTTACAAGAAAAGAGAGAGGGCAAAATATTAGGAACACTCCAGTCTAAGTTCAATCAAGAAGAGTATCATTGCCTACACAGCAGAGTTTATATTGAAGGTGTTCCTTATATTTTGGCCATATAATTAACAAGAAAAAGGAAGAGGGCAAAATATTAGGAACACTCCAGTCTAAGTTCAGTCACTAAGACTTTAACTGCTTACACAGCAGTGTTTATATTGAACTGTGTTCCTTGTATTTTGGCCATGTCATCAACAAAAAAGGGACAAGGCAAAATATTAGGAACCCTCCAGTCTAGGTTCAGTCAGGAAGTGTATCATTGCTCACACAGCAGAGTTTATATTGAAGATGTTCCTTATATTTTGGCCATATAATTAACAAGAAAAAGGAAGAGGGCAAAACATTAGGAATACTCCAGTCTAAGTTCAGTCACTTAGACTTTAACTGCTTACACAGCAGTGTTTATATTGAACTGTGTTCCTTGTATTTTGGCCATGTCATCAACAAAAAAAGGGACAAGGCTAAATATTAGGAACACTCCAGTCTAAGTTCAATCAAGAAGTGTATAACTGCTTACACAGCAGAGTTTATATAGAAGCGGTTCCTTATATTTTGGCCATATAATTAACAAGAAAAAGGAAGAGGGCAAAATATTAGGAACACTCCAGTCTAGTTTCAGTCAGAATGATTATAATTTCCTCCACAGCCACAGAGACACACTGTCTAAACGTGGCCTTACCCAGTGAGAAGATTCAGACATTAACTCTTTAAGTCTGTCGTCCAGAACAGCTGGAGAACATGATCATGAGTATAGAGAGAAGACGTGTACTAACCACTCCTTCCATTTCCGCTGTGAGCCGTCTTTGTGTTTCTGATATCTGGATCAGGACGTCTCCTGTTTGGGGTAAATCAGACCAACATCTGCTCCATGATTCACTTTAAAACCATCAAAATACTGAAACAGCTCACCAAACAACAGAAACACTGTGGAAACTTTAGAGAGGTGTGCGATATATCCCTAATATCTACATTATACTGTATGAAACTTGATATTTAACTTTAACACGATACAAAGCTGAGAGAGATTCTTCTAATCAAACCAGCCGGACTGTGGAGATAGTGGAAAGTTAGCTAAGCCCTCGGTATAATAGGTGCCTCTGGTCTCGTCTTTTGTCCCGGCCTGTTGCTGAGCTAATGAATTGAGTGCAGCTGAAAGACTGTCCACATCTATAATTTAGGAGCTGTCATCCAATAGGGCCTCCTGGTCACACTGCGGCTCCCTGACCTTCTCAATTAGCCGTCCTAGCGGCGCCACGTGGGTGATGATGAGCTGGCACCGGCGCTGCGAGCCCACACACTCCGTAGGGGGACGTGTTAGCATGACAACGCTATCACACGTCCTCGGGTCGGAGTGAAAGTGGAGCTAGTGGAAAATATGCTCACACGATGACACGGGTGGAGGGACGGGGATGGAGTGTCAGTGGAGGAGGTAATTTCAAAGTTGTGGAGTGTGTTTGGTGTTTTACAACGCTCAGGCTTGACATTAACTTGATGGAGCACTCGGCGGTCTCTGCAGGACAATTCACCGTCAGTAATGAAGGTAGTAAATTAAAGGTGAAACCTGTAACGGGGAGGCGGAGCAATCAATCACAGATAATACACACACACTCACCGAGAGAGCGAGATGAAAGTGTGTGAAGGGCTTGGTCGCCCATCTTAGCCACAGCGCTGAAGTAGGCCTCACTGCAAACAGCCAAGGCTGAAAGGAAGCAGAGAAGGACACTTCAGGTCGTAATAATCGATGCTAATGAATCTGCACGTGACTGGATGAATCTATTTTTGCATTTATACACCGTAAACTGAAGAAGTGCTGAGATGAAGTCTGTGATTCAGTCTGGGAGTAAATCTGCGTCAGTTAGCGTAGTTTCACCACTCTGCAGTAAAGATACGGAGAGGGCTGACACCGTGATAACACAGGATTGGCTGGAGGTGGAGCAAAGAGAAACTAGACGGATGCACAGGATGGAGTCTCCAAACTGAGATTCTGCAGTAATGCTGCGTTCTAGTTGTACTCTGAGTCAGAAATTCATCTGTAACTCCCCCCTGAAGAATTTACAATCGTTTAGATCCACAGAAGACGTCGGATATAAACAATTTCTGCCGACTTTGCAGAGTCAGCTGCAGAATTATCGGCGTTCTGAATGAACGGCGCTTTGAAAAGTCCCGCAGCATGTGTTAAACGTCACCATCTACACATGGACCAATCAGGGGCTGCCTTTCCCTGTTGTCCGGGGAACAGTGGAAACACAGTCACTGATTGGCCCGGTTATTTTCTGGTTTCTAATACTCGCTCCCAACTGGCCGAAGTCCAGACTGTTGTGGGAAGGAAACGGCAAGTGATTCACGCAACTGGATGACCCAGCCAGGCTCAAGTATCATGATAATATCGTATCGTGGAACCACTGGTGATTCACACCCCGATGATTTTGGGGGAGCGTGTCCTGATTGTAGACTTGTCCTCTGCTGTTATGAGTGTGTATCTGTTTCATTCAGAGCTAACTGGACCAGTAAGAGGACACTGGAAACTGAGACAAACAAGAAGTTTCTTACTTTTACACAACCCCCCAGATTTCATCCTCACAGTCTGAGTGTGTTCAGAGGACTGAGATGTTTTAATCATGAAAATAATTATGTTGGAACCAAAAGTCGCTCAGAGTTTGTGTCCCAGACAGTCGGCGACCTCGTACATTGAGAGAGATCTGCGTTATTGTCTGCATTTATTCAAACAAGCCAGAAATCATCTGTTCAAATGTCTGCAGGATCATTTTTCCTTCAGCTCAGCCGGAGTTCATCAAAGAAGCGACAGACTGTCCATCCTAATGTTTAGAGGAGAAGAGGATTCATTCTACAGATTTCAGACCTGGACCGACATAAAACCTGTTTTTGGTGTGAAGTTCACAGGATCACTTCACTGTATGGTTACAAAAATAAAACGCTCCACTAGGGCTGGGCGATAAAACGATGATGATATACATCAAAGATTAATTTCCCTCAATATCGATATGAAACACGATCAATATGCTTTTCAATAACCGACATTCTGCTGACTAAAAGAACAGCCAATGAAAAGAGGAGTTTCTCTGAGTAACTCTAAATCTCAAAGTCGGGGAATACCTCAACTCTTTTTCACGCGCCACGCCGCAGAGCACGCACAATGCAAAAGGTTACAAACCCAGAGCGGCTCAAGAGCGAAGCAGCCCACGGCGCCGAAACAGCCGACCATTCAGTCCGCTTCCTCTAGCGCAACGCCTTACGACAAAACGTCAAAGAGACAAGATTATAGTTTTCAAATGAATAATTTTTAAATGTATTTGTGTTTCTGTTTGAAAATGTTTGATGTTACATTTAAGATTGACAAGTGTGTTTTTTATATATCGTGATATGTAACGATAGACTGATATGAAAAAGATATCGTTATAAACTTTTTTCCATATCACCCAGCCCTACACTCCACACACACCTGCATTATTTTACCTGTATTCACACACACACACACACACACACACACACACACACACACACACACACACACACTTCATGCACATCAGGTCCAGAAAGAGAAAACTCGTCTGATCAAACTCGTGTTTATTCTCAAGGTCTCTTTGCACCTCTTCATCACCAAACATACAGCATTCATCTATTTTATAACCCACACAAAACCAAAGTGAAATTAATTAAGAATAAAAGCAGAAGCACTCTTACCCTGGAAAGCTTTGACATAGCTGTTCCCCAGAGCGACGAGCTTCTGAAGGCCAGGGTTGAACTGCTCCATCAGGCTCTGCAGTAACACACACAGAGACACAAACAGAGACACAAACAGAGACACAAAATAAAGTGATCGCTCTCTCTGTGAGGACTTCATGAACAGATGCTGAAGTAGAGGATGAGAGGAGGGTACAAACTCACCGCGTAGACGGTTAAAGTTGATCTGTGCAGCTGGTCACTGGTGGCTCCAGACATCGTGTCCAATTTCAAAGACGGTCCTGACTTCAAATAGAGAAAAAACCCTCAGAGGAACGAGAGAGTGGAGAAACTTCTAAACGGGGTTTGTGTTCCCATCCAAACTTCTGATGAGGCGTCGTCTTCGGCTCTCCCTCGTCCTTTGTGTGTTAAAGCAGAGAGAGTCACCTTCACTGCAGCCCCACTGTCCCTGCGGTTGTTCAGGATGGATGACACCTGTCTGATCGGACGATCGGGCTCTCTTCCCTCCGCTCTTTACTTCTGTCACTTCTTAATGAGCTCTTTCACCCGAGTTGTCATCATGAGTTTTGGTGGAAAGAACGAGCGAGCCAGCAGCAGGAGGAGAAAAGGGAGCAGGTGCCATCGATACGGCCGGGGAAGGTGAATTATTGATTGAAGCTCTGAAAGGAAAGGAGAAGGGGAACAGCCAGCTGCCCAATTAAGTGTGACGTGGACTCACACCTGAGGGGCCTCCAACTGTGGTGGAGCAAACGACCACTGAAAAACGGGAGATAATAAGACGTTTCTCTATAAACCAGAGGAAGAAACTGCCTTTTAAAATGATCTATGTTTGACTCTCTAAATGATTCTCTGTGTAATGAATGTATAACAGACATCAGGAACATGAGAAGAAGAAGAGCTCCTTCTCTGCGTCTGAATCGCTGATTGAAGCTACAGAGGATAACTGCAGCTTTCAGTCAAAGTTAGTCAAACAGATTTTGTGACAATAATGCAATTCAACATTTTGGAGGTTTTCCTAAAGTGTCTGTAATCCTACGACTCTTCAGTTGTTTACTTGATACACAAAGATCTCCGATGAGAGAAGTGCCCGAACAAGGACGCTGCTGTTGTTGTCGTCGTGTCAACAAGCCTCTCTGATTCAGTAAATACTCGAAGAAACTGGAAACTAAAACTGTGTGTTAGATTTCTGATCGCCTCCATCAGTCCATAAGTAAGACACTGCAGGCACAAATCAGCTGAGTGTGAGATAATGACATTATCATTTATTCAGCATTCAGCTCATTTAAGACCCACTACGATCTAAATCCTGTTTTTCTTGTTTCTTTCGTGTTCATATGTTCATTTTTTCGATGTTAAGGAGCATATCATGATAAAAATAAGTGCAAATTTGCATTTCTGAGTATTTCTGCATTAAAATCGCTGTGAATCTCTGTCAGACCCAAACGGCAGGTTCAGAAACAGTGAGAGTTCATATGTCACAAATCCAAGCTCCGCCCCCAAAGCTCCAATATGCAGGTCAGACTCAGAGAACAATCGTGGAACAGGCGTGTGTGTTAGCAGATTACAATAGTAGTAAGAAAGCTAATTATGATGATTAGCTTCTATGTTACCTGCTTCTTCTTCTACACCGGCAATGTTAGGCTATAAGCTAGCGTGAGGAGGAGTGTGCAGAGCAGCGCTGACTCCGCCCACAACTCAGAGGCGAATTGCTAATGAGCTACTGGAGCTCTGCAGAAGAAAAGACCTTAAAAATGACACAGGTAATGTGATTTTGACTAAAAACTGGCGAACACTTTTAGTAGTAGAAAAAAATATACAAATATATCGGAGTGGGACTTTGACTCTAAACCTTTAAATCTAAACCTTTTCAATAAGGGTCCCACAGGATTCTGTCTTTGACCCTCTTCTGTTCATCATCTGTGTGCTTCCTCTTCAACATATTTCATGTGAATTTAACGTTCATGTTCATTTCTGTGCAGATGATACCCAGTTCTACCTGGAGAGTTCTGGTTCTCCTGCAACTTTCTCAAATAAAACAGAGATTTTCCAGATCAACAATAACAACAGTTTTTCCTCCGTCTCCTCCCTCCCCTCAGAGAGTCTGGAGGTCGTCTCGTCCGCACAGACCAGCTCCCGGTCAAACACCGCACTGATTTGAAGACTTTGCTCCTCACCTTTAAGACCACAGATGACCTCGTACCTCGACACCTCTCTGAACTCCTTCATATCAACACACCCACCAGCACACTCAGGTCTTCTTCTTCACTTCACCTTACTGAATCGCCATCTGCCCGCTCCGTCACCATGGGAACAAGAGCCTTCATCGGCTCTGCCCCCTGCCTCCAACAGATATCCGTTACGACCGGTACGTTCACTCTGATCACACTTACTGTGTTATTTTGATTTTATATCATGTGTTTTGATTGTTTATATCTGAATATGTACATATAAATTTTTTTTAGTTTTCATTCTGTTTTGTCCTGTTATGTTTTCTTCAGTATTTTGAAGATATTTTATTGTTCTCATAATAATTATTGTGTGTCTCGTAGGTCCATGTGGGACGGACACTCTTTTGGTTCATTTTTGTATTTTGCATTTTTATATTTTCCATTACAAGTGTTATAATGGATTTAATAGAAGTCCATATCAATAAAGTTATCGATCAGCCTTCTGAACCTGTTTTTTTCCTTACTTTATTCAGCATGTCTTTCATCAGCAGGAGAAACCACACAGTTGTCAGCGCGTGTCAGAGTGACACATTTAAATATCATAAAATAAGTGAAGTCCGGTCCGTCCTACCCCGCAGGCGTGACCGTGTCTTTCAAGCTGACGAGGTCGTCGTAGAGTACCTCAGAACGACCAGCAGCGTTCTCCAGGCAGCGGTTCACGGTCTCCAGCACGGTCTTTAGGCGTCGATCCAGAGCAGCGAGGTGGGGCTCCGACAGCAGCGGAGCCACTTTGTGAAGGGGATCGTGGGATAGTGAGGCCCTCATGACGTCACTGAGTCGATACTGAGGCAAAGACAGCAGACGTAGGCGGAGCCAGGTAGAGCGCCGGATTCTACAGAGATGTCAAAAATGGAGGGATGAACCAGAGAACAGAACAGCACAGAACAAGAGGAGAGTCTGTGTGTGTTTGTTTACCTGCAGCACTGCTCCAGAGGGGCCAGGATAGTCGGCTCGTCTTTGGAGTGACGCCCAAACCTGCGATAAGAACAGATCCAGTATCAGTCAGGTTACATCACAACTACAATCATGGAAAAACACAAACTAACGAGCCCAGAAACACTCACGCTCTGCCGTTGTCGAGGTGGATCAGGAAAGTGTTGTTGCCAAACTTCTCAAAAGTTTCATAGTGGTGTCTGTCCATGTTACCTACAGGAGAAAAAGGCCGACTCAGACACTGGGAACTGGGTTTTATTTACACTATTTGATGCTTATTTAAAGTGTAAATTGTAAAAACAGGACTGTTTCTTAAACTGTTTGTTTTAGGGTATCATAAAAAAAGCATCAAATATGAATTTCAGTCTAAAAACCTCTTACAGGAGCTTTAAATGGAGCAGCTCTTAAATTATCTAAATCTATTATTTTGACTGAATCTTTGTTGAATAATGTTCATTGATGAGAAATGTGTTTGCTGTGTTTCTGCTCAGACCCTGAGAAAAACAGCTCTGCTAATAATGACTCAACACTGACCTGAGGATATCTGAAAGTTTACTCCAGGGACATTTTTGTGTTTCCAAAAGTAGATTTGTACGAGTATTTATCCGCAACTTAAAGCCGATATGAACATGAACCGCAAAGCATGACAGCAAATCACGGCATCACTGTTTGAGTCCGCGCTGACGTCTGGAGGATCAGCTGAGACGTATGAAAGGGCGACAGGTTTGCGGTGAGACACAGATTTTAATGAGAAAGTTAAACATATAAAAGTCAACTGCATGAAGGTATACACAGTTCACAACATTCATAATCAATCACAATATGATGACTATAATATATTCACAATAAATAATAAATGAATTGATCCTGACTGACCCAGAGTCGTGTGTCTCTGGTGAAAGTTTCAGTGTGGGCGAGCGGAGAAGGTTTGGTTAACTGAGCATGCTCACTAGCCTCACTCTCCTCAAACTACACAACACTGGACTGAGCCTGACATGCAGAGGAACTGTGGTGATAATGTTGATATCTGCCAGCCCACGGTTTCCACTCTCCTGGTTCTGGTCCAGATAGAGTGGGCAGTGATAGAGCGGTACCGTCTGTGTAACCTGAGCGCCCCTCACAGGTACGCTTTCACAGGAGAGATTCGTTTGGGTGCTATTTCTGCTTCTGACTGCAGCCTCAACACAAACACAGGGGAGAGCGCACGGCTGTGAGGAGAGCGTGTCCTGTACGCCGCCCAGCTGTGAATCCCACAATGCACCTCTGAGCTGCAGGCCACACAAACACACAGCACCCGCAGGAAGTGAGGCGAGGGACGGGCTGTCGCTCAGAACCTGCAGGAACAAAAACACTGTCAGTCGGTGATCAATGTGGAACTTAAAGGTCATTTTAATATGATTTCATTTATACGCTGTACCTGAAACTTCAAGGTTATATCACTGATGTTTTTACGATAGAGTCGAGCTGCCTCTCTCATGACTGCCGGGAGGAAGCCTCGGGCGTTTCTGAAAGCGGATAATCGATAGGCAGCAGGTGGATCTGAAGTGTTAAAGTGCGAGAGGTAAGCTCGGAGTAACTCTGCCCTCCTCTCCAGGCGAGACAGGTCGGTCAGCTCAAGGAGGAGAGTGAAGGCCGGCGTTCTGGACTGAATGGGGTGTTGGAGCTGTGAGAGGAGCAAGGACACCCGATCGATCAGCTCATCCCACTCAGCCTGGAGGAAGTCACGGAGGGGACCGAGAGAAACAGCTTCTGCATCTGAATCTGTGCCGTCCTTCTTCAGGAGAAGATTACTTTTCAGAGCACGAAGTCTGTCTCTGGTCTGGCTGTAGGCTGGAATGGAGGCAGACTGCTTTGGCCTGGGGCAGAGACTCCTTACTGCTCCTAAAGGAGTCTGAGAGGCCTGCAGTAGAATATTCAAATGATGATTATTGATCGTCCGGATCTCAGCTGCATCTTCGCCACTGAAGCCGAGTGTGAGGGGGTCGTTTATGTCCGCTGAATCCTGCTCCACAATCCGCTGTAGTCCTGAAAAATCTGAGACACAATCAATACTTGGTGCTGAACAGAACAAAAACACAAACATCTCCATGATTCATGTTTGAAACCAGTCAGAAAACAGTCACAGAAAACAGTCACAGAAAAGTCAGAAAAAACAGTCTGAGAAAACAGCCACAGAAAACAGTCAGGAAAAACAGTCTGTGAAAACATTTAGAAAACAGTCAGAAAAAACAGTCTCAGAAAAGTCAGGAAAAACAGTCAGGAAAAACAGTCTGAGAAAACAGTCAAAAGAAAACAGTCTGAGAAAACATTTAGAAAACAGTCAGGAAAAACTGTCAGGAAAAACAGTCACAGAAAACAGTCAGGAAAAACAGTCAGGAAAAACAGTCAGGAAAACAGTCACAGAAAACAGTCAGGAAAAACAGTCTCAGAAAAGTCAGAAAAAACAGTCACACAAAAGTCAGAAAAAACAGTCTCAGAAAACAGTCAGGAAAACAGTCACAGAAAACAGTCAGGAAAAACAGTCTCAGAAAACAGTCAGGAAAACAGTCTCAGAAAACAGTCACAGAAAACAGTCAGGAAAACAGTCTCAGAAAACAGTCAGGAAAACAGTCACAGAAAACAGTCAGGAAAACAGTCACAGAAAACAGTCAGGAAAAACAGTCTCAGAAAACAGTCAGGAAAAACAGTCAGGAAAAACAGTCAGGAAAACAGTCAGGAAAAACAGTCAGGAAAACAGTCAGGAAAACAGTCAGGAAAACAGTCAGGAAAAACAGTCAGGAAAACAGTCACAGAAAACAGTCAGGAAAAACAGTCTCAGAAAAGTCAGAAAAAACAGTCTCAGAAAACAGTCACAGAAAAGTCAGAAAAAACAGTCAGAAAAAAAGTCACAGAAAACAGTCAGAAAAAACAGTCAGGAAAAACAGTCTCAGAAAACAGTCAGGAAAAACAGTCAAGAAAAACAGTCAGGAAAACAGTCACAGAAAACAGTCAGGAAAAACAGTCTCAGAAAAGTCAGAAAAAACAGTCACACAAAAGTCAGAAAAAACAGTCAGAAAAAACAGTCTCAGAAAACAGTCAGGAAAACAGTCACAGAAAACAGTCAGGAAAAACAGTCTGAGAAAACAGCCACAGAAAACAGTCAGGAAAAACAGTCTGTGAAAACATTTAGAAAACAGTCAGAAAAAACAGTCTCAGAAAAGTCAGGAAAAACAGTCAGGAAAAACAGTCTGAGAAAACAGTCAAAAGAAAACAGTCTGAGAAAACATTTAGAAAACAGTCAGGAAAAACTGTCAGGAAAAACAGTCACAGAAAACAGTCAGGAAAAACAGTCAGGAAAAACAGTCAGGAAAACAGTCACAGAAAACAGTCAGGAAAAACAGTCTCAGAAAAGTCAGAAAAAACAGTCACACAAAAGTCAGAAAAAACAGTCTCAGAAAACAGTCAGGAAAACAGTCACAGAAAACAGTCAGGAAAAACAGTCTCAGAAAACAGTCAGGAAAACAGTCTCAGAAAACAGTCAGGAAAACAGTCACAGAAAACAGTCTCAGAAAACAGTCAGGAAAACAGTCACAGAAAACAGTCAGAAAAAACAGTCTCAGAAAAGGCAGGAAAAACAGTCAGGAAAAACAGTCTGAGAAAACAGTCAAAAGAAAACAGTCTGAGAAAACATTTAGAAAACAGTCAGGAAAAACTGTCAGGAAAAACAGTCACAGAAAACAGTCAGGAAAAACAGTCAGGAAAAACAGTCAGGAAAACAGTCACAGAAAACAGTCAGGAAAAACAGTCTCAGAAAAGTCAGAAAAAACAGTCACACAAAAGTCAGAAAAAACAGTCTCAGAAAACAGTCAGGAAAACAGTCACAGAAAACAGTCAGGAAAAACAGTCTCAGAAAACAGTCAGGAAAACAGTCTCAGAAAACAGTCAGGAAAACAGTCACAGAAAACAGTCAGGAAAACAGTCTCAGAAAACAGTCAGGAAAACAGTCACAGAAAACAGTCAGGAAAACAGTCACAGAAAACAGTCAGGAAAAACAGTCTCAGAAAACAGTCAGGAAAAACAGTCAGGAAAAACAGTCAGGAAAACAGTCAGGAAAAACAGTCAGGAAAACAGTCAGGAAAACAGTCAGGAAAAACAGTCAGGAAAACAGTCACAGAAAACACAGTCAGGAAAAACAGTCTCAGAAAAGTCAGAAAAAACAGTCTCAGAAAACAGTCACAGAAAAGTCAGAAAAAACAGTCAGAAAAAAAGTCACAGAAAACAGTCAGAAAAAACAGTCAGGAAAAACAGTCTCAGAAAACAGTCAGGAAAAACAGTCAAGAAAAACAGTCAGGAAAACAGTCACAGAAAACAGTCAGGAAAAACAGTCTCAGAAAAGTCAGAAAAAACAGTCACACAAAAGTCAGAAAAAACAGTCAGAAAAAACAGTCTCAGAAAACAGTCAGGAAAACAGTCACAGAAAACAGTCAGGAAAAACAGTCTCAGAAAACAGTCAGGAAAACAGTCTCAGAAAACAGTCAGGAAAACAGTCACAGAAAACAGTCAGGAAAAACAGTCTCAGAAAACAGTCAGGAAAAACAGTCAGGAAAAACAGTCAGGAAAACAGTCAGGAAAAACAGTCAGGAAAACAGTCAGGAAAACAGTCAGGAAAAACAGTCAGGAAAACAGTCACAGAAAACAGTCAGGAAAAACAGTCTCAGAAAAGTCAGAAAAAACAGTCTCAGAAAACAGTCAGAAAAAACAGTCACAGAAAAGTCAGAAAAAACAGTCAGAAAAAAAAGTCACAGAAAACAGTCAGAAAAAACAGTCAGGAAAAACAGTCTCAGAAAACAGTCAGGAAAAACAGTCAAGAAAAACAGTCAGGAAAAACAGTCAGGAAAACAGTCACAGAAAACAGTCAGGAAAAACAGTCTCAGAAAAGTCAGAAAAAACAGTCACACAAAAGTCAGAAAAAACAGTCAGAAAAAACAGTCTCAGAAAACAGTCAGGAAAACAGTCACAGAAAACAGTCAGGAAAAACAGTCTCAGAAAACAGTCAGGAAAACAGTCTCAGAAAACAGTCAGGAAAACAGTCACAGAAAACAGTCAGGAAAAACAGTCTCAGAAAACAGTCAGGAAAAACAGTCAGGAAAAACAGTCAGAAAAAACAGTCAGGAAAACAGTCAGGAAAACAGTCAGGAAAACAGTCAGGAAAACAGTCAGGAAAAACAGTCAGGAAAACAGTCACAGAAAACAGTCAGGAAAAACAGTCTCAGAAAAGTCAGAAAAAACAGTCTCAGTAAACAGTCAGAAAAAACAGTCCCAGAAAACAGTCAGAAAACAGTCAGAAAACAGTCAGAAAAAACAGTGCTCTAGTCATTTCTTTCTCTGCATGAAAAAACAGAAGTGTTCGGGAATGATTCGTTCAAAAGAACCGAATCTTTTCAGTGAACATACTGAACCGAATCACTTCCTATAGTGATTAGTTCCCAATCAGACAAACTTAAAATGTTAGTAAACTCTTGACAGGAGCGACAGAGGGAGGTAAGAGTGTGTTCAAGTCTACCTCAGAGAAAACTAACTTTTTTTTAAACTCTGCTAAATAACCACCACAACGACTCGTGTACAGGAGGACGCAGCATGTAACAAGTCGTGTATAAAACCCACAGGTTCATTCTTCACTGAATGGACTGTGGGGTAAATGCTCACTGAGCCCAGTTTACAGCCACATCACTCTCGTCTCCCTAAACCGTTTATCTGTGAATCAGTTCAGGAAGTCGGAGTCACAGGCTCCTCCCACCAAGCGCTGAATGATTCGGTGATTCAGTGAACGAATCTTTTGAACGAATCTCCTTAATGAACTGATTCTTGTGATTCAGTACATCTAAGAGAACTGCGCTGAGCTAAGTTTTAAAAGGTGAAGTCAAAGTGGTCCGTTTTCTTCAGCACACCGTCCAATCATTAGACTCATTAGAAGTGTGTTATGTTTGTTTTTGTTACCAAAGTTTCCCGTGTTTGTTAGAATATCCACTAAGACGTGAGGTCCGCTGCCCAAGAGGGGTGGTGATCTGCCCAAACAGGTCTCTGCGATGCCCTCCAACATATTCAGATCTCCGGAGTCCAGTACGTGGCCCCCGTGGACGAGGTTCACTGTAAATGAACACGCAGGTGAGAGGATGAAGTAGATGAAGCAGAGTGACCATGTTGTGTGTTAAAGCTCCATCACCTGCTGTGTATCGTAAAGCTTTATCCTCGTCATGACAGAGGCTGGAAATACTGGCGTGTGCGTCCATCAGAGCCTGCAGGTCGCTCTGATTCCTTCACATCAAACACAAACGTAATCATTTTTATATTATTATATTATTATTATTATATATTATTTTATTTTTATATTTTCCTTCACATCAAACACAAACGTATTTATTTTACTTCCTTCACGACACATCCAAGTTTTCTCCTCAGACTGTTATTTTAAAGACTGACACACTTATTCAGGTAGAAACTGTAAGTCCAACTGAACTTCAGGAACAGACAGCTCCACCACCACAAATCAACTCCTCACAGTACTTTGTCCTATTTCCTCACCAAGTGTAGCGTCCCCCCTGGCCCAAGTATTTATAGGCCTGTCTCTGCAGTAACACTGAGTGGAAGATGGCACAGCGGAGGAGGAGGAGGACTTCTTTCTTGTCTGCTGTGACACCAGGCGGTATTTTACTCGGTATGATGGACGATACTTCTCGGAAGGAGCTGCTCAGCTCCTGCGCCAGATCCCAGGGAGGGTCGCAGACCAGAGGCAGGGCGAGCGTCCGCACAGAGGCTGCCGGAGGATCAATCAGGACCAACCGTTAAACCTACTTTTTACTCTTAAACGTAACAGACGTAAAACTGAAGACTATGTTGAACTCATAAAGGCTGATAACCTTGAAGTTCTGAATATGAATCCATATAATGAGGTATTTTTTAAAGTCTGATAAACGTGATGAAAAACGCATCCATCCCACAGACTGCAGCCATGGTGACTGACCTTGAATAAAACAATAACAGTGACTGCATGATAATAAATATAAAACACCTACCTGGTATTGAGCAAAATGCATATTCTTGAGTTATAAACCATAAACGAAAGCCGGGGTGACTCAGGCTCCGCTCCTCTGTACGATCAGTGGGCAGGAAAGCAAAATGTCAGAGGAGACACAAACAAAAGAACCGGCTGAAAACTTTTGGTTTCAGTTTTGTAATGAGGCCAAAAAAAGTCGATTCTTGACGGGTCACCGACCTCTTGAAGCGGAGACGGACAGACTGAGGCGAGCCACGACTTCACGGTCCCATCGTTCCATCAGGTGACAGCCGTTAAAGACCAACCAGTGACCGTCAGCGACCGCTCGGTCCAGGGCGGAGAGAATCAGGTCTCTGTCACAAAGAGCTTCAAGAGAAACGACTTTCAGCTGGATCTGAAAAAAGAACGAACTTTCATCAACTTTTGTCTTTTACATTTAAAGTGACGGACTGATCATCCGCACAGAAAAGGAGGCCAGAAGTGAAACTTAGAAAAAATAATAAATAATACACCACAGGCCAAACGTTTGGAAACAAGATCAGATTTGTACAAAAAAGATCAGAGTTTCATTAATATAATTTGCAACACAAGAAACATGACTATATGAGCCACAAGTCTGAGTCCAGATGGAGCAGCATGGTGCTGGACGATGGAGTGGTACTGTTCCTTCTTCATGATACCCTTTACTTAAAACAAATCTCCTACTCCATCACCTGATAAACATCCCCATACCATGAACTACCACCTCCACGCAGCTCTTATATATATATATATATACATATACATATATATATATATTTATATATATATATATTTGTTGTACTAACTCTCTCCTGCTCTAAGACGTCTCCTCTGCCAACCTCACTGGACAAACGGCTGATTTCATTTTTCCATTATTATAGATTTGACTTCATATTAATAATTAATCTGAAAACTTGGTCAGTGAGACGACAGGATACATCACCAGACAAATATCGTGACTCTACGCTGTATCAGTTTCTTCTCCCACCCTGATCGTTCACAGATGTTTTAATCGACCAGCTGCACCTGACCTCACACAGACCACATCTGTGCTCAGAGGTCCTGACGAGTTTTACTGAGTAAAATCAAACGTTTCTTTTCTTCTTGAATCATTGTCTGTATTTTTTCCTTTCTTGTGATCTAACTCCAGATTTGTTTAAGTCTAAGCTGTGATATCAGATGATTATAGCTCCTGTGTGAATGAGTCAAAGTTTTTAATTAGTTTCAGCCCTTTAATCAGAACCACATGGAGAGGAGTGTCTTACCTCATTAGCTTGTGCTGCACAGAGGGCCAGTCTCTTTATTAAAGGAAGAGCTCGAACGCTCGTCCACGTCTCTCCTCTCTGACTGGGTAATGTGAGGATGATGGGTCCCTCGTGTTTGGAGAGAAACTGTAAGAGAGCTTCAGGATTCCTGACATGTGGGGCCTCAGACCTCCGTCTCTGTCCTAAAAGGAAAGGGTAGTAGGCCGCGACGGTTTCAGCGAGTCCCTCCAGACAGTTAGGGATCACAGTCTTAAAGAGGAGCGCTCGCTGAAGCAGAGACAGATGGGAATGAGAGGGACAGAGAACAGGTTCTGCTAAGATAGACGATGGGGACAGCAGGTACTCCTGCCACTGTGCAGAGTTACTGGAGAGAGAGGCAATCAAGCCTTCAAAACCAGACACCTGCTCCAGGAGGAGGAGCTCTTGGTGGGTATGGGGAGGTATCCAGCCAGGCAGAGCACTGGTGGATGAAGATGACGTGGAAGGAGGGACAACAGTCAGAGTGTGCCTCATATCCTGAAGGCCCCTGGTGAAAGCCGCTCTCTCAGCCTCGGAGCAGAGCTGGTCGTGTTGGAGCAGAGTCACAGACACCAGCAGCTTCAGGACGGCGGCGTGATTCTTGAAGAGCAGAGGTCGATACTGGAGCAGCAGCTGGTGAACCATCCTGTTCGTGACCTCTGCTATGACCTCCTTTGGCACGTTTGCAGTCCTGTACGGTACTATTGGCCTGCCCTCGATAACAAAGGCCTCTTGCATAACTGCAGAGAAGCTTTGTAGGGGAAAGTGGTAGGCGGGTGAGAGACGGGACACCCCCTGTAGAGCCTGGAAGAGGTCAGCAGCCAGCCTCATTAACTGTCGGGGCACAACCAGCAGAGACTCCTGGTCCTCCAGCGTGTCACTCAGCTGCTGGACCTCTGACTGCAGTTTCTTCATCTCTGTTTGACAAGCAGCCACAACAGAGAGGGAGTCGGAGTCCTTCAGCAGGAGGACGTTATTCTGCAGGATGAAGTCGATGAGATAATCCTGAAATAAGACGAGGATTATTATGACACCGACTGAAAACAAAGCAAAGGGCTGATCATTGATCTTTGAGCAGAAACAATTAGCAAAATAATAATTCCAATTAAAAAAACTCTGATTCATGTTTAAGACGAAACATCGATTTTTGCTCCAAACAGAGAGAAGTACGAACACCAACAGACGTTAACTCTTCTCCTGCGGCGTTTGCTTCCTATGATTATAAATCGGGGTCTCGTCACCTCTTTTGACACCAGCTTCTCATGCAGCAACTGTTTGTCATTCAGGATCCGCGAGTGCAGACTCAGCAGCTCTTTACATTCAGACTGCAGCAGCTGTGTCAGCATCAGCTCCTGGATCTCTTCTGAGCTGAGGGAGAGGTCAACCACGCCTACCTGAGCCAGGATGGATGGATGAATCGCTGCAGAGAAAAAAAACAACAACAACACAAAGTGAGCCGCTACTTTCAGATGAGTCAGAGGAGTTCATCTCAACACGCTTTTATACACACCCTGAAAAAGGATCAATACATCGTGCACTTCCAGTTGTGATCTAATCTGTTAAAGTTTTTGTGTATCCACCTTTTCTCAACAAGATTTCAACAACATGTGCGTGTATAAGACTCCACCACCGTTTCTTACCGTTACTCAGCATTTGGGCGGGCAGGTCTGTACTCAAGATGAGGCTGAAATCAGGGTGGGTTTTCTGGATATGTTGTTTACTCCCTGGAGAACAACATCCAGCATGACGTGTCAATCTGGACAGAAACAGTGGACCGGGGACGGCTCGCTCCACGTGGGTGACCAAAACTCTGAAACCTGCAAACACACGAGGCGGAGTAAGAGTTCGAGCTGCAGGATAAAAGACAGAATCTTCTCTCTGAAAACTCGATTTCAATTTTTTATTCAGTGACAACTTCAACGAACTTCACTTTAATAAAAAGTTTCTCTATCGTCTTTCAAAATGAAACCTCAAAAAACGATGTAGTTCATATGCCGAGTCAGTAAGTGGCAGTTTTCAAAAAGTACCGTTTACAGTCACCTGAAACGCCGATACGACAAAAACTTTAGTGTTTCCTCCTGAAACCGTTTCCATGGTGACGGGTTGATACCGCCTTCAGACAGACTTTACAGCGGGGAGTGGTTTACTCTTCATCTGAAACTGTGAAGTCGTACCAATTCAACACGACTGACTCGCTCTTGTCCTATTTAACCACGAAATTATCGCCTTCTTTAGCAAACGCCATGTTTGTTTACACTGGTGTGTGTGGGAGGAGGAGGAGCCTACGGTGGCCTGGAGGAGCGAGACATGATAGAGAGGAAAATGGATTTGAGGATTTTAATTTTTTTAACATCATCATGATTAGATAATCTGATAATGATTTAAAATCGATGAATCGTGCGGCCCTACCTCTAAGTGTAAAAGAAAAACAGACCTTAGAGACATCATAAATTTGTAATACATGTTTGTACGTAATTTTTAAAATGATAAGAGGTTAAATTAATTAATCTGGGCTGTCTGGGTTTTTTCTAATGGTCTGAGCTGCTTCTCACTTGTTTGCTCTAAGAGACGTAAACTGGGGATGTCTGAGTCACGAGTTTAATCCACGATAAACAGATAAAGACTTTTGGAGCAGACTGTCGGTGAGGACGCTTACAGCTCATCTCACAACACAATACGACGCAACAGTGGAGTAAACTGCACAGAGACAGTGAGGGTTGGTGTAACTAACAGAGAGTGTTGATAAGTTATAAACTGAGGTCACCTTCCACTGCAGCCTGGTTGAGCTTGCTCAGTAACTCAGGGTCATCTGCACGAACCACCATCCCACACTGTGTCTCCGTGTCGAGCGTGGAACTGTCACCTGCAGAGAAGGAACTGTTGGTTTACTCTACGAGTTTCACACAAGCTCTGCAGAGATTTTCTCGACAGACAAAAAGTGCACAAAGTTGTGTGACTGATGTGCTGTTTGCAAACTGGGCTGTACATCAAGATATCAGGGAAACAGCAGAAACAGTAGAGCGTCATGTTGTATATCTTTGCAGCAAGGGTTACCCTGACAACAGCAGCTTTGTTCTGGGACACGTCTGTCTGTCTGTCTGTCTGTCTGAGGACCTACCTAAGACCAGCCACCTCTGGGCGCTGATGTCCAAATGTTGCTGGACATCCACCAGTAAAGGCCAGTGCTGAACCCAGGTCCTCATGCAGCCCCACAGCAGCAGCTTTACAATCATCCTGTCCAGGGGGACATCCTCGTGGATCCCCAACGCCCGACTCACTGGCAGCTGCGTCCTCTGAGACACAGGGATGGGGAAGCCAGGAAGAGGATGGAGAGGTTCGCTGTCAGAGTGTGTGAATAAGGAAGCTCGAGGATCCTTGGGGTTTATTTTGATGCTTCCAGTCTGACATAGCTCCCCCCACTTGCTCAATAATTCTGCGCGCATATCAGGTGCAAAGGGGCCTAAATAAGAGATGACTGCAGCCAGGATAAGAGCATCGCCGAGCAGGGTCGGCTCCTCCTCCAGCTGGAAGATTTGAGACACAGTCAGAATAAAAACGATGAATTAAAAATCAGGATCTAAAAACACTGAGGGGTGTTTCTGATGTGTGTTACCTGAGCAGCAGTCCTCCACTCACTGACATTTGTCTCCAACAGCAGCGTCGCTCTGTCAGCTTCTTCCACCGATCTTTGAGCTGCACGCAGATCCACAATCTGCTCCTCCGATTCTTTTACAACAAACTGTAACTGATGCTCGGCGTCCTTCAGACACCTCTCCGCCTCGGCCTTTTGCTGTCTGGCTGGGTTCAGATGTAGGTGCGTCTCTCTTTTGAATTCCCGCAGATCACGTTGCGCGCGGTAGCCCCCGTACACAGCCGTGACCCATCGGCACAGAGACTCACAGGCCCTGCTCACCTCTCGCACAGACTCTGGTACAAACTGAGGGCTGTGAACTATTTCGCCGAGCTGCTGCAGCTGCTCGTCCGTCAAACTGTAGCGATCGAAAAATTCCAACTCCTAAGATGATAGAAGCAGGAAAGACATCAGCTAACGCTCTCTGAAGGAACCGTATAAAAGAGCAGTCTGACCCGGGATTACACCTCATCATACGATCCACACACACCTGGAAAAAGTTGGGCTGTCCAAGAAGCTGTTTAGCCGTCTCCCAGCCGGGTGGACGAGCAAACAACAAACAAATGGCGTCCATTATTTTCACCACTCCATCGGGTGGATCTCTGTAGTGGCGCACCTCCTCCAGGTCAGACGGGTTCAGATAAGACAGACTTTTGAGGGCCGGCGTGAAAACGGCGTTTATCTGGAGGGAGAGTTTATACACACTGAGATCATTCTCCTTTACGTCGTCTGAACTGTTCAGAGGGACATGACTGCTACAGATCTGAACCTCTGAGATTTTATGATTCTGTTTCTGACTCTTCTCGGTTAAATCGATCCGACTCGATGCAGATTTCAATAAAGCAGGGGCTCCGTGGAGCTGTTTCTGATCAGGACTCACCCTCTCCTCCAACTCCTCCAACTCCTCCTCCATCTCTTTCTCCTTTTGAGCGATCGTCTCTTCGGCTTCCTCAAGTCGGCGTTTCTGGTAACCGATCACTCCGAGGAGCTTTTCCATGCGCTGCAGGGCGGAGAGACACAGTTTCTACAAATCACTACATTTTCATTTTGCAAAGAGAGATTTTCACAGCAGTTGTTTCTGAACACCCCAGAGACACACGTTCTGTTCTATGACTTTAATTTCTCTACTTCAAAACTAAGTTGACGTTACTGTGTTACAGTGAGAACTGACCCCTCGTGGTCAGGTCAATGATTATACTAAGTATTGATTTTACTCGACTGCGTGTGTTAAATGTCTTTAATCACCTGCTGGGTCGCAGCGAGCTGTCGTTGAACTCCTAACATCTTTTGTTTGAACTCCAGAGCTGTTTTCTTCATGACGTCCAACTGAGACAGAACTTTGCTCTTACTGAAGAAAAATAAAGGAATTAAAACATCAGTATGTAGTTTTTAAAGCCATCAGGACAACAAATAAAAACTCCTGCTTATCAACTCGATGAAGAACTACCTGTTGGTCGAGATCTGCTTGCGCAGGTGTTCAAAGAGGTGACCAAAGTGGGCGATGAACTGGATATAAGTCTGAGGGCTGAACGGCTGAGCTGCTAGAAAGACGGACGCATACTGACACGCAGACTGGTGAATTCCTGCCATAACCACGGACAGGCTGACCTCTGATCCGTCTCTGTCCACTAGATACATAATAAAAGAAACGACAGGTATTGGTTCAGTCTTGAATTAACACTGACAGTTAAAGAAGGTCAAATTAAAGTGAGAAGGGTCCGAGCTTGACTCACTCTGGTCTTTGAGGCACTGAGCAGCAGCTTCCACTAAAGACTGACTGGACCAAGGCTGGTAGACCTCCACACAACAACAGCGACTCAAGGCTCTGGTCAGCTGGGCCTACGTCACAGATTTTACACTGAGCTGAAATACATGTTTTTTTCCTGCACTGTAGCAGATACAGGTGCAAAGAAACAATGACAAGTTTATGGAGCGTTCCAGTTACCTCGGAAGTCAGAAGTTGGAGCTGGGAATGACGTCACACCCGAGTTATCGGCGTTTCAGTTACAAAGTCGGAAAAAAGTAAAAAACGGCCAAAAACTGAAGCGGAAACAAGATGTTTACATCTACGAAAGTTATTCTCACGCTTGTCTTGTCCGTATATTAACAAATATGTCGTCCTTCTGCGACCTGCAAACACGGTGGATGAAGAGAAAACACAAAGGCGCAGAAAGTAGCCTCTCTTTTCTGTTACAGGACCTGCGCCGCCATCTTTGCGAGTCTGAAATCTGACCTCAGGGGTCATTCCAGTTGAAATGAGATCGGAAATCCCGACTTCCGAGTACAACTGGAACGCACCATTAGTTATCTGTAAGAGCAGATTTACGGTTAATTGTTGTGTGTCATAACTGTGACGGGTCAGCCTATATAGAGTGGGAACCTTCGGAGGCTCGTCAGGTGTTTCCTACCGGAGCGAGGGGAAACAGTTTTTGACCGCTGACGCTGCCGTATGTTTTGAAATGTTCGTTTGAGAGTGTGAATCAAAGCATTAGATGTCAAATAAATGGGCTTGTTTGCATCTTAAACACCGATCAACTGGACTCTCATTAATCCGCGAGGTGGAGTAACAGCGCGTCAAGAAGGTTTCCTGTATGAAATACCTCAGTAGCTTAAAGCGTGGCTTAGCTTCTACATTATCCAATAAAACACATTTACCTTCCATCTTTGGGTTTCCTTGTTTGAAGGAGTCTCACTACTGCCCCACATGGAGGAGGGGAGCAACAGGAACACATGGACATGTTTGTGGATTTGGTCCAAAGTCCTTTATAAAAGAACAAAAACATCATTCAATCATTAATATCTAAGTTTTATGGTAAATTAGTTTGAGTTACAGCGTTTCCAGTCTGTGTGATGACTTTCACTTGTCTTAACATGTCAAACTTCTCTGAGATATGAATCGAGTTTTCTTCTCTTACCTCTGAAACTTCCAACAGTCCATCAGATATCTTCTCGAGTTTTTCACCGCAGTCATTCTGGAGGCGAGATCCCTCAGCTCCTCCTCTGTGTGGCGCCCTGGATAGGCTCCGCAGGTCATTGCCGCCAAAAGTTCTTCTCGGACAGACGGCTGAATTCCTTCGTGGACCAGTATGACGACATTCACTCCTTCCTCTCTAGTTTGATTCTCAGCTTCTTTTAGGATTTTGTGTAGGTTGTTCTCATTACCAGGATGCACCTCCATCAACCGGTAACCCATGAGACTGGCAGCGAGGCGCACAGCGGTTTTACGGCCTGTGCCTCTCTCTGAGCTCATAAGCAACCCATGACCTGCAGGTATGAGTAATCCTCTGAGTATATGCAACAGCTGACTGACATTCTGCCTGTGTACAAGTACTCTGGTGGTAATACTGTCGTCACCTTTCTCCTCCTCTCTGTCCATGAGAGCACCAAGCTTCTGAAGCTCCTCCTGCAGCACTTCAACATTTTGGTCCTGATACGTCTGGTTCACAAACTTTCGGGCCTCCGAGAGCGCAGGACCGTAGACCAGCTTGGAGATGGCGTTCTCCGGCTGCAGAGGATGAGTTTCTGCGGGCAGCGTGTGAGGACTCGGGCCTTCGACGGTGTTTTTGCCATCCAAACTGATCTCATAATGTGCTGTCGCTGTCTGAGATATGAGTGAAACAAGAGTTTTTCGTTCCTCCTCGGTGCACAGCCTGTCACCGAACGTACGCATACACTCGTGCATCCACAGATGTGCGATGTTTGGTGGTGGTTCCTCCTTTCCCTGCATCAGTGTTGGGTTTTCTGGCCGCCACAGACACATTCCCGAGAACACTTTCTGCAGGTCATGATGGGAAAACATGAAATGAGGCCTGTGGGAAGTAGGCGGGAACTGCTCACATACGGCATCAAGCAGATTTGTGGTCGCAGCGATGATGCTGTGCGCCGCATCCTCAAGACTCCGCTTCAGGGGCGTTTTTTCCAGCCAGATTCTTAGCTGACGAGAATGTAGGGAGAATATGACGTCCACACCGAGGCCAGGCAGCACCAAGACTGAGAACAGGCGGGACAGTCTGGAGGATATTGAACTACCGAAAGTACAACAGGTAGCCATGTAGCGGATGCAACTGGAACTCATCAGCCTAAAATGGTAGCTATCACCCGTGAGGATTCCTCCAGTTGAAATCATCTGGCGCAGAGTCTCCTGGACCGTTGAAGTCCTCCCAAAGACGTCTGTGAACAGAAACAGAATATTAAAAACCTTCATACAGCCGACCTTCATTTGTTCTTTCAAAGGCGCGTTTTTCTCACTCACCACAAGGGGCTTCGTGCAAATCATCCACAAAAAGAAGGAGTTTGGGCTTTCTCTCCATGGACTGTTTGGTGTCTTCATTATTGATGCAGCTTATGATTGTGCGGAGGTCTCCAGAGCTCAGGAGAGGACTGCCTTGTAGGCTAACATGTGGCTTGTCAAAACTCAGCAGGGTTTTACAAAGTGCTGTTTTCCCGGAGCCAGGCTCTCCTGCCAGCAACACCGGCTGGTTCGTCTCCAACAGGAGGTTCAGGAGGAGTGTGTGTTTATCATACTGGGTCAAAAAAACAGGAAACGCTCATGAGTCAGAATGTTTGAAGGCAGTGATTCTTATTTCTATTAGTGATAGAGCGATAAGGACAAACCTTTGGAGGGATGTCACGGGTCAACAGCGTATTCTTGTGGCACATCCTTCTGTTGGTGTTGAAGAAGTGCTCGAACACACTCTCTCCATCAGGGACCACAATCTGGTACCGGCAATCATACAGGACTTGGCGGGTCAGTGAGTCAAACTGAGGCCAGTGACTAAAGTGGAGATTCAACAAACACAGCAAAGGAATTACTGACTGATGTGTGTGTGTGTGTGTGTGTGTGTGTGTGTGTGTGTGTGTGTGTGTGTGTACGGAGTGTCTTTTCCTAGAAAACAATCACATTAGGGCTCCGCGATTCATCGATTTTAAATCGTAATCGGATTATTGAATCATGATGATGTTAAAAAGATCAAAATTGTCAAATCAATTTTCCTCTCTATCAGGTCTCACACCTCCAGGCCACCGTAGGCTCCTCCTCCCTCACACACCAGTGTAAACAAACATGGCGTTTACTAAAGAAGGCGATAATTTGGTGGTTAAATAGGACAAGAGCGAGTCAGTCGTGTTGAATTGGTACGACTTCACAGTTTCAGATGAAGAGTAAACCACTCCCCGCTGTAAAGTCTGTCTGAAGGCGGTATCAACCCGTCACCATGGAAACTAATTCAGGAGGAAACGATAAAGTTTTTTGTCGTATCGGCGTTTCAGGTGACTGTAAACGGTACTTTTTAAAAACGGGTCAGAGAGTGAATAAATCTGTAAACGACGACCATTTCATCTCCGTGTGGATGTCTATCTGCATCTCTGGAAACGATCATGTGACACACAGAGGAACTCTTTTATGGCGCCAGAACAACCTTTATACACATGCTCTGTACTCTTCTTCTGTCTTTGTGCATTTCCTGAGCAGCGTTACAGCGCCACTCACTGGCTCGGCATATGTACTACATCGTTTTCAGTGGTTTAATTTTGAGAGACGATAGAAAAACTTTTTATTTATAAAGTGAAGTTTGGTGAAGTCGTCACTGAATATAATATCAAAGTCAAAAATCGAGTTTTCAGAGAATAAAAATCTGGATTTCGATTTTGGCCAAAGTCGAGCAGCCCTAGATCACACACTTACCAAGAATGCAGATGTCCACCGAATCCCCAGATGTAAGCTATAAGGAACAGGTTTCTACTGAGCAGGGACTGTTTGGGGTCAGGATCTGTGCCTGCTGCGCTGCTTTCTTCTATCAGATTATCTAGTGGGAGAAAAATGAATCAGAAATCCCAACAACTTTGTATCTCTGTAATAGTTCGTCACATTTTTACCTTTATCGCCCGTTTGTTGGTTTGCCTCAGCCTTCACCACTTCATTTCCATAACTCCATAAGAGGGCGCGGAGGATCCGGACGAATGACGTGATCTCTTGCAGACCATATGTGGAGGTGCTGAGAGATCCTTCTTTGCTTTGGACTGCAGAGGATAAAGAATTCTCCCTGATGAAACTCAGTGTTCTGGGGAAAAGATCTTCAGACAGACGACCCCACACTTTCAAGGTCTCTTGGCCCAGTTTGTGTTTGTAAGAGAGAGCATCCAGTTCACTCTTCCACACGGCTCTCCACAGATCAGACCCTCTGAAATACACCAGGCTGCAGCGGGTCACTGCAGAGGGACTCGCATCGCGTAGGTCTGAGGTCTCAATGAGAAGCTTCAGGTGTGAGTGGGAGCGCAGGACTTCACATGATGGAAGGAAAAGAAAAGGGTCGTCCGGACTGCAGAGCGTGGTCAGGTGATCTAACCACCCAGGCTGCCCTGCAGGTTCCCCATCCATCAGGAGCCACGTTGTTATTGGCGTGTGATCAGGTTTGTCAGAGGTGCAGATTTGACCTGTTTGCTCACGTTGTCCTACATCCCTCAGCACCCTTGAAACGGCACCATCCTGCCATCCTCTTCTTTCACAGAAAAATCCAAAGACCTCCTCATTAGACATGGTGTTAGGAAACAACACCACAGGGTCAACAGAGCTCCAGGTTAAAGACGAGGTCCTCGACTCGGCCTGCGGTGTATCTCCTCCAGTTTGTTCATCTTTTACAAACCTTGCAGAAGACACCAGAGAATTGAGAGCTCCAACTAAAGCAGTGAGGCAAGTGGTCTTTCCGCTGCCTGGCGGGCCCAGAAGAACGACTGCCTGAGAGACCTTCGTGGAGCGGTGGAGCGTGAGAGCGCTGTGCATCATCTCAGTGTCAAAGTGAAACCCAAGCCTTTGCACTTCTTCTGAGACCGCTTCTTTAATTTGGTTCTTCTCTTCATCCTCCATGTACTGTTGGAAAAAAGGGAACTGACAGACTAAAGGGAGGGTTTCCTTAAAGATTACGTTGAACTGTGAGGCCTTCTTCTCCTCAACGATCAGGGGTAATAAGATGGAGAGAACTGCTTTGACGATGGCTTCCTCCTCCATCAACCCCCGCACAACCAACAGATGGGATCTGCGCAGTCTGACGGGCTTCCCGGGTTCATTTATGTTCGGCTCGACGACAGTTTCTTTCTCATCTTGAGCTGATGTTTGATCAGGGTGCTCTGCAGCCAGTCCTGTAGGTTCATCTGATGTTCCACGTTGCCTTATAATTTGTTGTAAGTGTATTTCAGAGGCATGGATGATCCTCTGCAGGATATGAAGATAGCAGCTCTGGTTGACACCCATGAAATCAGGCAGACAATTGAAATCTTTGGCCAGGTTGATGAGGGTCACCAGACGTCGACTTAAATCCGTGGCTTCTGAGAAACCACTCGCCGTCAGCTGTGCTTCTGCGATGACCCTGTAATCAGGGTGGGTTAATGCTATGGGTCTGGTTGCACAACGCAGGCTTTCAGGAACCTCAGATTGATGTCCATTTGAAGAGATGAGAACACATCCAAAACTCAGTCTGGCAGAAAGGCTTTTCCCAGCAAGAACCATTGGACAACCTGAATCTGCAGTCCTCCCTCTGAGCTCCTCATTTACTTTTGGGTTCACAGTAAAGGTTTGGTGAATGTCCTCCAGATGCTGTCCTAGTGTTGACAGGAGACCTTGTTTTAGCAAGTCTACAGAGTCAAGCAGAAGCCAGGCTCCAGTCTGAAGAGCTCCCAACAGTACCCGCTCAACAACAATGGGTTTCATGAGTGGACTACACTGAATACTGACGACCTGTCGTCCCAGAGCTTTCCCCAGATGGTTAACAGTCTTCTTCTTTCCTGAGATGCGAGGTCCACTCAAGAACCCACATCTGTAAGTTGTCAGCGCAAGGAGGATCCCAAGTATTGCCCGATCTGTGGACGGGGTGTACACCATCCCCAAGTCCTCAGGACCAAAATATTCATATTCATATTGGAACTGATGGCCCAGAACATCTACGAAACATCTGAGGTCCTCATTGCTCTTCACAGTCATGTCCTCTGATACTAAATGGTACTTCATCATACTAAGCCACTCAAAAGATGAATCCAAAGGCGAATGTTGCACCTCCATTAGTTTACAGAGTTGGTCCGCATGATTCATTGTTAGTTGCACTAATCCACGCAGACACGTCATCATATATCTGGACAGAGGAGTCGCACTCCTCGCCCCTGTGACTCCATTCCTGATGAAACAGACGAGGTTTCCCAGTTTCACAGAGTTTCGCTCCTTTAGGGTTCTTAACTTCCCTGGACTCGACTCTTCGGAGGCTTGTTGAACAGACCTGCACCAAACCACCTCCTCAACAAACAGAAGACACTGAAGAGGATAGTCAGAGACCAGAGTGAGAACAGCCTCTCGACTTTTCCTCTTCATAACAAACTCAGACGGCTTATTCCCAGTTGTTTTATCACACAGATGTTGAATAGATGGTTCCAGCTGATTTCTAGCAGTTGCACACTTTTGCATGAGCTGTTTCATACACAGCTTGAGCTGTTCCTCAAAGACACAGAGCCAAGATGAGGCACTGAGGTTCGGTTCTACAGGAGACAGAAAGCTGATGTGTTCCTGGAGGCTGCCAAAGATCCCCAGAACCTTCGCCTGTCTGTGGTCCCGACATGTAGCCATGCTGCTCTGAACATTTTCTGCTCTGGAGGGTTTTTCACGATCCACTTCAAGCGAACGCACCCCTTTGAAGCACTTGGGTACAAAGGATTGCATTGTGGCAGGTGACGGCTGGATGGAAAGTAGTCGGACCACTTCACTGTCACTCAGGAACCAGAGTCTTGGAAAGTGTTCCCGGTGGAAGTCCAGTTGATCCGTTAACTGGTTTGAAATCGCCTCCATTGTAGACAGACCATCAGAGAGAACCTGGTAAAGGTGATCACCATGGAAACTGTTTTTTTCTCTTTTAGGATGAATCAAGTTCAACAGGTGAGGGTCACTGGAAAAGGCGTCCATCATCTCCTTAAATGTCTCATCTACAGGTCTGAACTGCTCCATCTGTGAAGAAAAACAACAACCGTTATCTGATCTTTAAACTTACTGATTTACCAGTTTCATGTGTTTATAGGACGGGCTAAGACAAACCAAATCATCTGTCTGAACACAAACGGGTGTTTCATGGGACATCTTGGCCAGGAAGGTCCACATATGCTGGTACCTTATGAGCAATCTGAGCAGCTTTCCTACAGAAAAACGACAAAACAGAACCGTACAGTTCAATGGTAAATCTTTAAAATCTTTTTTCATTTTAATTAATTAATCATTAATCATTTAATCTTCATTTAACCAGGAATGTCCAATTGAGATTAAAAACCTCTTTAAAAGTTAGTTTCAACCAATGACATACAAACCAGATAAAACAATTACAGGTTGAGGAGGCTGTCCTAAGTGCTCTCAGTTTGGATTGAAGAGAAAAGTTCTGATAGTTTCCGGTCCTTTAGCAGCAGAAGAGCAGAGAATACAAACGCCCTTTAACCCAGCTCAGTGCGGGCAAATGGAACCGTGAGCAACAAACTGCTGTGTTCCAGTTGTACTAAGAAGTCACGAATTCTGAGCTCCGAGCTGAAAATTCACCTGGAACGCCCCCCTGAAGTCAGACGATCCTCACCGACCCGACTAGACGACAACGTCATAATCCAAGATGGCAGCTTAGTGCATCAACAGTGAAGAGTAACAGGGAAAGCTCTCGTATTTTATCATTTATTAGCACTTCTGTTTTGTTTTTGTGAAATTAAATCAGTGGTTTATGTTGTTCTGCCCAACGTCTAACTGTGAACACGGTGCTGTGGTGTTTGTAAGAGTTAAATACTGTGTTATACGTTGTTTACAACTGGTATAGCTAACGGCTAACTACAGCTGACAACGGCTAACAGTAGGCATCCATCTTGGTTTTCCGACTTGTTTACAGGAACGCCGTAAACTCAGGTCTTAACGTCATTCTCAGCTCCGACATCCGACTTCCGAGGAAACTAGAACGCAGCAGAAGTTATAAATGTAAGAGGGCAGGAGTCGGAGCGAGCATGGCCTTGTAAATAAAAGTGTACCAGTGAGTCGACCTCCTGGTGGACAAAGAAGGCCATTACACTCTAAAATACAGTTCATTATGATTGGTCAAGGCCCAACAGTTAGTAGTAAACCTCAGAGAAGCATGATATACAGAGTCAGTCTTTCTCAGATGTTGAGCTGAAGCGTTCATATACAACAGGTCTCCATGATCTAAAACGGATAAAAAAGCTGCAGAGACAAAACGCTTTTTAACCTCGAGAGAAAAACGAAATTTATTTCAGAGGAAAAGACACAGTTTATCTTTTTTATTCATCTCACCAAGATCTTGTAGAGATCGTGTCCACTCCTCCATCTGCGTCTTGGAATCAACGACATGCAGAGAATTCATCATGGCGGACAGTGTCATCAAGTCGTTTTCTATGTCAGCCAAGTGTAATTCTGCACCTGAGAGCGATGATACACGTCTAATCTCAGAAACGTGTCAGCAGAACATCCTCTTCACCTATTACTGTCTTTGTGATGAACGTTACTGCAAACACCACCACCTGCTCTGCATACCTGTGATAATAACCCTGGAAACATCATCACAGGAGGGTTGACTAGTGCTGACAAGACTTGAATCTGTGTCCTCCCTGGGCTTCTCTGACTCTGATCCATGGTGGGGCTCACACTGATGCGGAACAGGCAGACTGAGTCGGTCCAGCTGGAAGAGTTTTTCTTCCCATCCCTGCTGAAGCTTCAGGAAGGTCTGCTCCATGTTCGACTCCGCCCGTGCAGCCCTGCACACCTGAGAGCGCAGAAAGCAGCAGGAGTATTTTAATAAGTTACAAAAGGGGGCAGCTGGTGTACATTTATGTTTTTATCGGATTTCAGAATCTTAATATACAGTATGACATCCCCCCAGCTCCAACCTTGGTTATCAATTTCTGGTCAATTTCATGCGCTCGAGACATCAACTCAGCAACCATCACCGTCTTCTCTGGGTCATGATGTAGGCCAATGCCTGCCAGATACAGAGCTCATCAAATCAAACATATGTTAGAGTTTAGGTCAAATTAAAACATACCATGTGTGCATAGATGTGTTTAAAAAAGCCAGTCTGATTTGCGTGTATGTTTGAAAGTTTGCCTTAAAAGATAAAAATAAAGTTAAAAAAATAAATAAATAAATAAATAAAAAAAATAAATTAAAAAAAGGATTTAAAATAAAAATAAAATAAAAATAAAAAAAAATAAAAAAAAAATTAAAATAAAATAAAATAAAATAAAAAAAAGCCAAGTCTGACCTTTGAAAAAGGCGTCCCAGTGTTTTTCTTTGAGCGTGGTCCTCTGCAGCTGAGCCAGGAGAACAAGCCGAGAAATGACGTCGTCCAAGAACTCCAAAGTCTCCTGGAGGACTGCATCCTGGCTGGGTATGGCATCAGTGAGTGACAGAGTCTGTTCCTTCCAGTTTGCGATTTTCTCCAGGCCGTGTGACACCGAGACCTAAAGGAAACGCCCACAAAGGTTTACTGGTTTATCTGAAGATTGTCGGAGTAGTGGCTGAGTGACGTGTCGTCACCTTCACCTCACTAAAAGGCAGATTTTTCCATTCTTCCATCCATGTTTTGCTCACGTCCTTCAGCTCCCATAAGTCTTTACGGGCCTCCAACTGAGTGATATGTGTTGTCAGAATAGTTGTATCCAACGGGCGCTCTGATTGGACATGAAAAGTTTTTGTAGGGAGTGTTTTTGCAGATTTACACCAGAAGACTGAATATTATTTACATCTTACCTTGTAGGTTCTGACTAGAAGAACTCATTTTTTGCATTTCTTCCCTGAGGTTGTGCACATGCCTACACATTAACTTCAGTTTGAAGACCATCTCTTTTTCATTCTGGGTCGGGTCAAGAAAAGGTCCTGATGTAGCCTTGGAGACCGTGTTTTTAAGGTCGCTGACCAAAGAGGAGAACATTCTGTCCAGCACATGGGACGCGATGGGAAGACGGTGGCACACAGAGTGATCCGCCTGCTTCAAGAGGGCGTCGTAGCGATCCCACACGGCCAGCACCTGGATGAAATACACAGCCACAAACGCCGCCATGATTACCAAACCATCGCTGAGATGTGATCAAACAGTTCATGAAACTCATTTCCTCCGTCATGGCTGCAGACCTTTTCTTTCAAAGCCGCCTCCTGTTCCATCATCTTCCTGTCGTTTATGCACAAAATATTCTGGAGGGAATGAATGTACTCCAAACGTTTCTGTGCATCAACCGACCATTTCACAGACTCCCTCACCTGAGGAGGGAAAAATGAGATTCAGCAGTTTTATGAAATTGACAAAGACTTAGGAATTCTGCTGAGAAAGCATATTCAGGACCCTATAAGGTCATCATGGGTCTGAAAGGTTTTCACTTTAAATTCAATGTGGAAAACTTATATGAGCGAGAGAAAATCTTTAAAAAGGATAGTTTTTTATTTGATCTGAGGAAAGATTTTTGTTTTAGGTCAGACGACAGTTAAACAGATATTACAGCATCAATTTAAGCAACTCTCCTCCAGCAGCCGCTTGTTTGCGGGGAAGCCCTGACAAGCCGATCACCGAGTGCAGCGAATCATTTCCTTGAAGTAATAATCACCATGGGTGTCACATAATCACCATATTAATCATTTTACAGATGCAGTAGTTCTTCTGCCTCAGTGTCTCGGTCTGATTGTATTTCCTTGAAGTAGTGATCATAAATTTTCCGCTGCACTCGATGATCGACTCGTCTGAGGTCTCTCTACAAACAAGCGTCTGCTGGAAGAGAGTAGGTGAGTTGTGTTTAGTCTCTTTGCTAAAGAAATGAGTCAAAGTTAAAAAGATGTTTGGTGTCTAGTACTATGTCTGTGACCCTATATGTACTAACCTCAGTAGAACACGATGTAGGTCTGTTCAGTAACAGAACCTCATTGGAAAATTAGCTGATTTAACTTTACTGTGCTCTTGTTCAAATATATTAACTCAACAGCACATAAATCCATACCTGTTAACAAAATCATGATTTTATTGATAATTCGGCTCAATAAAAACACCTTTACCTTTTCATTTTACTACAGTAGAAGTTTATTGGCCCAGCTTATAGACTACAGAGGTGGAGAAACGCCCCCGCTTAAGTTTGTTTTCTTAGGAGTTAGAACAACTCTGAATATAGTACTATGTCTGTGACCCTATATGTCCTGTTGATGAAGTTAGGTGCTGTTCTGAGCATTATTTGTGGCTATAGAGTGGCGTTTTGGTTGAGGGCGTGGCTCTCTGTATTGCTATCCTGCGGTCGTTACTAAAGTTGGTAAAACTAGAGAAGCAAGCGGTCGACAACATTCATCTCTGGAGGGGGGGTCTAACTCGGTGTTACGGTGGGTTTGACCCTAAATTAATTTTACATCGGAATACCCCATTAAATAACACAAGATGTCTTTGGTAATCTTTAAAATCCTGACCCCTGTGGAGGAAAAAAGTGTATATATAAGTCCTAAATGTTCTGTATGTATCTGATTTTTGGTTTGATCTGACATGACAGAGGCTTTGGGTTGAATTATTAACTTAAAATGAATTCCTTTAACTTTTATTTCAAGTTTGTCCCATCTCTAAGGTTTGGCATACCTTATCAGCGAGTTTTGAGATGTCATGTATGCCTATGGCCTCTGCTGTGAGTTCGGCAGCTGCTCCCTCCAGGTCTGAGATGAGGCTCTCTGAATGCAGCATTATCTGCTCCTCCAGCTGCTTCAGCACCTCCTCCTCAACAGACCTCAGCTGCTGACCTTCAAAAACGCAGACCAAGAGTACAGGTGCAGTTAGCACAGAGGCAGAATCTTAACCCTTCAGCTCACCAAACAAAAGATGTTTCACAAAAGTGCCATATTTTCTTTTCAACGCCTTGTTCCATTAACCGACTTGAAAACCCTTATTCAATACGTTCTTGAATAGGAACATTTTACTGAACCGTGGAGAGAATATCAATTTAATCTGCGGCAGGCGTACCAAGGCTTTCCTTTATGCCTCTGCACTTGATGATGAATAGGTCACTGGAAGTTGAAACTGAAGAGGGAAATGTGCCTATTTTTTCAGTCCATAAATGAAGCTCCTTCATGAGCTCCTCATAATGTACCGTTGGCTGACCCTTCAGAGACTCCAAAGAGGCTCTACTCCATTGAGAAGTAAACAAACGGACATCCAGCAGCCATGAGAAGCTCTCACACAGCGGCACAATTTCTGACTCAGCTTCCTGTGAAGAAACATGAGAATTACACATGAGCAGAGGTGTTCGTGTTTCATTAACATTTACTCCTATTAAGGTGTAGTCTAACCTGCATGATCTTTGACTGCTCTTTCTCAGCGTGTTTTGAAACATCACTGATGCTGATCTGCCACTCCAGCTGTCTCCTGCTGAGGGGAGGATAGCAGCCGTGCACTCCATCCCCTTTTATCAGCTCTGGCCTGCGAGACGTGACGCGTCCGGGACGGAGATACTGGCAGCAAAACTTCCAGGTTTGGTCATTCTCTAAGGATTCACAACACATGGACACCAAGAATGAAGAATGTTCTGTTCAGGCAAGCTTGGGGGAGGAGCTTCGACCAAATCGAATGTAGTCCGGAAACATGACATCACAGTACAGATGAGCATACCTGGAGTGGTGGGATTTTGAGTAAAACAGATGTCAGAGGCCAAATCGTGTTCGAAATCAGAGCTCGAAACATCGCTGTTACTCTCCAGGAAGAATCCACAACTCTCACACATCTGCTGAAGAAGAAGAAGAAACCTGTTAAAGTCTCTGATCAGGAGGGAGTTTACAACCGCACTGGGGTTTAAAGCTGAAATGAAAAGTTACTACAAGAAAGAGTTTCCAGTTAGATGAAGATATAGTTTAATAATCCAGTCAAACCCTAAAAATGACGTTAATATCAACTTTAGCCCATCACTGCTTTAATGAGTACTCCATCATTTCTAAATGAAATCATGTTTCAGTGCACATTTTACCTGAATTATAGTGTCTCCAACTGTCAGCAGTGCTTCACTCACGACTCTTTGGTACTGATGCACCGGTGGGTCCACAGTCAGCTGATTGTTGGCGTCAAAGCAGAGCTCAGTGCAGAGGGAAACGCCACGGTCAGACTGCTGCCTCTAAGAACAGATAAAATAAAACAGCTTGAAGCTCAAAGTTCTTCACAGATCTGCCTACACTGTACTGTATGCTGTAGTTTCTCATCTGCAGGATCATTTTGCAGCACAGGTGGAGTACTGACCTTCAAAACATTGGAGAGGAAAGACATCACATCTTCTCGGTAGAGTGTGACGAGACTCTGCACGGTCATCTGGTTGACGACGGCAGCAAAGTTGCCTAATTTCCTCATGACACTCTTAGACTGAGCCAACTCCTTCTTTAGACCCCTCTGGTGGGCCACATGGAGGTAGATGGGTCCGTTATTTGGCCTCTCAGCACACTCCAGGTGCAGCTGCAGCTCCCTGTTTGCAGTGCAGCAGTCCTCTTTAACCTGGAGGTCAGGTAACATCAGTGCAGTCAAGTATTAGAAGTATAGAAAGTGTAGGGGCCAAAATATATTTGTTGAAAGTCAGATTTCTAATCGGTCACTTCCCGGGATGGTCACTGAGGGGTGTGGTTCTGGGATGTTTGGCGGGTTATTGAAATCTCACCAGTCTAGTCAGATAACGGGTTTTTGGTCAGCTCTGATAATTTTCTGTTGACCGTTTCTCTCATCCTGTTTTAACCTCATTTCATCTTATCGCTTTTTCATTTAAAGGTAAAAGTTTTGGACCTGGATCAGTGATCAATCAATCACTTTTTCACACTCAAACCGGACTGATAATTAAACAAGTCAAAGATGAAGCGAACCTAAACCCCAGAGGCCTTTTCTGTTGAAGGAAACATGAAGTCTTTAATATCACGAGCTCAATATTAATGCTGTTTTTTGAGATTCTACTTATTATACCTTATAAGAAGTCATTCCCATTAAAAACACTTGGGCTGTGAAGTCGACTAGTCAACTTATTGATCGATACGTGCTGAGTCGAGCACATGTCAGTTTACAGTCTATGGTTAATTTCATCAAGAGGAACAGACTCGGTGCTGATGTGGGTGTTTTCAGAGCACCCCCGTTTCTCAGGTCATAGCCTGTCTCAGAACACCCCCCCTGTTTTCACCTTTTTAAACTCATCCAACCCACTGGAGACCGGCTGGAGACAGGAAGACTTAAAAAAAATTTGTACCTTGTTTAGGACAAAGGACCGGAACTGGGAAAGCCTCTTCAACATCTCCAAACCTTCTTGACTCATGGTTTTCAGAGCGTCTTTGAATTCCAGAAATGTGTAGGATTCAGATTTTTCCTGAGGCAGAAAATGCTTCCCCTTTAATTCTTCGATCGCTCTGTGAAAGATTCACATAATGTTCAAACTCAACATCTGCTCTGACCAAAGAGGTTCAAATGACCTCATCTGTCAAGCCTTCGTACTCGTCTTGTCGTATTTCACACTCCAGTATGACTTACCTGGTAAACAGAAGAAGAGCCTCTCCGAACTGAGGCACAGCCATCACCAGCTGACCCTGCAGATTCTTACACTTACGCTGAAAAATGATCCTTCGCACATTCTCACGCCACCTATCAGAGATGAGACAAATGAACAGGAAATGCTCCAAGAGGGAGGAAAGAAAGGGAGGATGGAATGAACAGACTGTATGTGACTACCGTCTGAATGTTTGCATCAGGATGAAGTTCTTAAAATATGGGATTTCCCGCAATTTTGTCCACAACACCGACTCTCTGTGCCACTCTGCCGGAGTGCCAATCTCCTCAGAACTGTCCCCGGTCACATGTATGACAGAATCAGGCGTGAACATGTAGTAATCAGGGCCAGTATTACCGGGTTCCACCACTTGTAAGTCATAAGGTCTGAAAAGTAACAGGCGATTAGCTGGATTGTGTGTAATGAGGGTTACTTATATTCATGGTACACAGTCTTTTTCACTCTACCTGTATGAGTCTCCATCCACTTCCTTCAGGAAATAATACCCGCAGGAAGAGCATGTTTGCTGGTTATAGATCTGAAGTACCTCTGTGGCAGTGAGCGGACCTTCACTACGTTTCAACACTCTCCTTTTTTTTACAGTGTTTTTCTTTTTATCGGCACAGATTCCGACGTCTTTGAATTCATCTTTTCCTGTAAGACTGAAACAATCACAACCGAGTGTCAACAAAGGAGCAACTATATCAGGTTTCAAACAGTGAAGGTAACAGACAGCTCATTTTACCAACATTTTACAGCTCCCCAAGCTTCTGAGGGAAGAGAGCGATTTAGTTTTACAGTGAACCAAAGGCTGGTCCACTTACAGAGCATCATCCTCTTCGTTGTTACCTCACCTTTATTCTGAAGAGGATGGAGAACATTAGGGTTCCTGATACCACAAATTAGCATGAGGAAATACATATATATATATATATATATACAAACTTCCAAGACGTCTGAGAGCCCTGCTTGTTGAAACAGCCAAACACAGAGAACTAGGTTAGAATAACTAATCCTTGTGTTTGCATACTCTGCAAAATGTGCTCAGTGAAGGCTGACATCTCAAATTGCTGATAATCAATAAAAAGGTCAAGATAAGATCATAAAGACCAGGATCGGGACAGTCCGACTGTGAAATTCAAAGCAGAACGATTTGATCCCAAATAAATTATTTATTAAAAAAATACCTTCAGGTAATACATTTTAAAACTATTGCAATACAGCTGTTTAAAAACCTTTTACAATGTGGTAATGTCACTGAGCAGACACCTTTATCCTAACTAATGTGAATACAAGATGGTACTGTGGTGGAAAAGCTAATGCACAATAAAGCAACCAATCAATCTAGACCTTTCGTCATCACCATCAATTCCTTCACCATAAAATGACCAAGTGCTGGATCACTCAAATGCTGAACATAAACCCCCGTAAATAAAGTCCTTGTACCTCAGTGCAGTCCACCCAGCAGCGGGTACGGGTGGGATGTGGGTTCCCTGTGCTGAGGCTGCTGGGCGAGGTTGTGCTGTCCATCTAGAATCATAGTTGGCTCCCCCAGGTTCTACCTCGGCCACAAGAGGAGGGAGCTGCACCACCCATGACGGAGGGCTGGCAAACAAAGACGCTGAGACAGAGGCTTTCTCTGGGGGTAGAAGTGGCAGTTTTGGAACTTTGGATCTGTTCCCAGAGGGGACTGTACCACTGCTCCGAGGAGCTTCAGGACAGGATTTTTTCTCTGTAAATGTTGAGGACATGTTGCTGACGTCTCCGTGAACACTACAGGCAGGTTCAGGTACTACTGACTCAGAGTTATAGATCTACTGTCCAACTTTGTTCAGATTTGTCTGGAAAAAAAAAAAGAGCGATGATGTTATGGACACATAATGAGAGCAAGATTTTCTTTATAGATGCATAAAAAAATGGAAATGAAATGTACAAAACCTCTTTAACTTTAATGTTTCTTTCTATAAACATCAATTAATCCTATAAATAAGGAATCAGGAAACACAGGTTATATGTAAAATGGTTATCTGTTAAAGAATCATCATCTTTTGATTGGGATAGATATCAGAAAACTGAAAATGCTGCAATTCTGGCGTAACTGCTTCGACATTAACCCGAGAACACCATCGCAGGGTGATTTTCATGATGTTGTGTTTGTCTGAGTATCATGAGTCCCTGGGTATCTTCAGCATTGACTTTGACATCTTTGAAGACATATTTGTTTCCCTGATCCAAAACCTGCTTTTTCCTACAGACACGTGTTCACAGGCTGATTTTCACTCAGCAATAGTGATAGAGGGTAAAGTAGGGTGTATGACTCACTCCCAACACCAACAAACTTGCACAAGTAGGGTTTGAGGGAGGACCCATTGTGCACGTTTTGTGGAGAGAGGGGTACCATGATACATATATGTTTATGAATTTTTTGTTGATGCTTCATTTCAGTTATTTTGTTGTATTTTTATCTGGTCCACTCATGGCACTTTTCCCCCTCCCTTTGGACATGACACAGTTAAAAATAAACGACTTTCATTTGTCATGTATTGTCCTATTTTGATATACTTTGATGCCAAGGACTTTTTCTTGGGTTTATTATTTCAGGTAAAAATCACCTGGCGATGGTGTTAGGAATTCAAACAGAGAAAATAACCTCAAACTGAAACTTTCTACTTTCCGTTAAACTATCTATAATCTATCTATCTATAATAACGGACCATTTCATGCAAATTAAAGTTAACGAAATCACGATTTAATCCCTTTTTTTTCTGACAGCATAACAAGTCCAGTTAAAAACAAACTCACTCGCTACGTTAGTTTGTCCGTGAACTTTAGTTTAGCTCTGGGTTCAAACGGTTAAAAACTGTCGTTAACTTGAGAAACTTCATTAAACCCGTTTATTCAGACACAGCTGCTCTATCTGCCGAAGCTCGATCACCTTAAACCTTACATTAGTTTGATAAAACAACTTTACAGCAGAGAACAGTGACAGGAAAACTCGGTGTTTGACTCTCTTACCTGCGTGCGGAGAGAAGTTGTCGTTGGCATGGTAACGCGCCGTAACTTTGGTTGAACTACGGAGCCGGTGAAGGTCAAAACGCTAAAACCAAACACGCGTTTCAAGTCTTCAGCCGCATTTCTATCCGATACAGCTGATCTGGGATACGCCACAGATAGTAGTGTGAAATCACAGCAGACCGTCTCAGTGAACCAAACACCTCAGACAGGTTAACAGAGAGACACTGTGGTCGGCAGCAGCAGAGGAAGTCAAGATGGAGGTTATGGAGTTATGTGCATTATGATAGACTGCTGGGATGGAATAATTAGTTGGTGTCTCTTCTAAGGGATATATGCCAACAAAACTGACTACACTATAGGGGAGACCGGGGCTTGTTGTCACACAGGTAAGTTGTCACGTTGCAGTTATCTTTGCCACCAGAGGGCGCAACTAAAAATTGGAATACTAGTTTTCTTCTCTCAGGGGTCGTGTCCTGAGCTGAGCGCCAATTAACCATTTCACACAACCCAAAGTAAAAAAAACAAAACAGCTTTAGATATTTTAAAAATAATCTTCTTCCAGATAAAAATCCAACTTACCTGATGGTGGGGCAACATGTCACATGATCACACTCTCTGTTTGAATGGTTATAACTCTGCTCTGACACAAGATATGAAAATGACATAAATATGAAATATATACCTGAGACTTTGGTCTGTAGTCTGGTACACATTTTGTTTATATATTTAATGGATTGATTGCAAGAAATATATAAGAGTGTAAAAAGTGTGACAACAAGCCCCGGTCTCCCCTAATGTTGAGGGTCAGAATTTTACAACTCTTGATTCTTGGAGATGGTTTTGTTCTTGAAAGTCAGAGACTACTGAGTTTAAAATGAACACAGCATCTTTGAAGTTCATTATAGCACCTTAAAGTTAGTTTATGATACGAGGTAGACCTTCTTGTTTAACTCTGTAAAATACTGTTTCCTTCTAAGACTATGAATGTCTGTGTATGAAGTCAAACTTATGCCGGACTGTTAACACCTCTATGACCACTATCACTATGATTTACTCATCAGGAAGTCCAGTATGACCATGTCCATGAAGTCCACCAGTCTTGTGCCTTTATCGTATGGTGCGGTCTTTTTCACTGATTCGCAGTAGTCCGGCTCCGTCTGCCACCTAAAAAACACAAACACAGTTCAGTCCTTGGAAAAGCACCATCCAGTCATTTCTTGGATTTCTCTTTATGTTGTACCAGTCAGAGTTTGCTTTGAGGGATCTCCACGAGGGAAAGTAAATATACAAACTGTCTTTCTGTGCAGCAACTTGCATTACATTGAGTTTTTGTGCTGCTGGACCGGTCCTCCTCACTTTGTGTCCAGCATGCTGCACCATCTTACGGACGACCAGTGATTTATCGGTCACACTTTATAGGACATAACTCAATTTTTTATGACAAAATAACGATTAAAAGTGTGTTTTATGACCAAGTTTTATGGCACATTATAACAGGTTTGAACCTAAATGATAATCTTTGACCTGACCTAGTACATTTTTCAGTACCAACAATGAAAAAAACTTTGATTGATTAGAAATGACCAAACTGGGACCATTTATTAAGGTTAGCATTGCTAAAAAGAAGTAAGAAATAAAAGCTAAATAAATAAATGAGAACATGACGTAAATACTAATAAGAGGATAAAATAGAAACCATCGCTTTTACCACAGGGAGAAAAAAAAGTTGACCTTTTCTTGATTGAACGCTTAATATTGACAACATTTCTTGCACCTGTTTTTTATCTATTTGAACATGCCTGCATTTTTAATTAAGGTGTCATTACAAAACTACGAGTAGCAGCCCGTTCTCCATGCTCTATTTTCATACTTCTTTTCATGTGGTATGTTTCTAATCTAGGTTAATAAATACATTTGAATGTTTTTGTACTATTTTTACAGTCTCTGGGTTTGGGAGTGTACTGGGGTGATATTTTTAGTTCCTCTGTTTCTTATTACTCCTCTATATCTACTAACTTCGCCAGCTTGCTGCGACTGTACGAGCGCCTCCAGGGGGATCTCCAGGTCCGGCGAGCTGCCAGAGACAGATCTGGCAACATGACAGCCAAGGAGGCCTCCAGGTCTCTCGGCCGTCCGCACACAGCATGCTCAGTGGAGCAGTAGTAGGAGCACTGACCGTAGAAACACACATTGCCCACTAGGGGGACCCAGAGGAACACACAGAGGAGAGAAGAAAGGGAATAATTTGGATGGAAAGAAAATTCAAAGGGATTCAATCAGCTGGTACAAAGGGGCATTTTTGAGCAGAGTAAATGAATAATGGAGAATAGCGGGAGCTGATACCGGGGGAGTTGAAAAAGGTTCTGGCCAGCTTGCGGTCAGTAGTGACGTCTTTGATCTCCTTGACCACATCAACCAGCCTTCCCACCACCGGAGGGATTCTCCTGTAGCCCAGAATCCTGCAGAGGGGAGGGGGGTTAGAGAAAGGAGCAATACAGAGAAGGAGACAAATGCAAGGACAGAGAGAGAGAGGGACAGAGAGAGAGAGAGAGAGAGAGAGAGAGAGAGAGTGAGAGAATCTTATCAGCACATTCTGAGCATTGCATTTGAAGCTGTAATACTCTCAGACTCGGTACCTGTCCAGGTGAAAAGCTGACACTTCTGCGTTGTGTCTCTCAAAGTCAGAGAAATAATACAGGTTGTAGTTGGTTTCTTCATCTCTTTCCTGCCTGCCACAGAGAGCAAAACCAAACAGCACATGATGGTTTTTTTTAGAGCTGAGGTTTCCATTTGACATTAAATAAATCTAAAAGCAGAGATGATGAAATATTAGAGATATCCCTCCAAATATTTACTCTAACAATACCTCCCAGTCGCCTGAATGCTTGAAAACCTCTCTCTGATCTCCAGCTACAGTTTCCCCTCGTGGTTTATCACATTAACATAATATCATTTATTGAGAGTATTTAATCTTGCAGCAAGTGGGACAGTGTCTGAGCGGCTCCAGGACTCACTTCATGGGTTTGAACATGGCTTGTCCGTAGTTGGGAAATGAGATCACCAGCTTCAGTTGCGTCCCTCCAGACTTCTGCACTAAAAACAGTACTGATAATGTTTCCATGGCAACAACACACATAGTGCAAACAAACACAGCGCGGTGGTAGTGGTAGAACACACAGGCCATTAATGGGGTAAGAACCACACACAAACACACACACACACACACACACACACACACACACACACACACACACACACACACTCATAGGTGAAAACAAAAAGAAGAGTGTGACAATGAGAGTGTGTGCGTCAGTGCCGAGGTATGACACAGCCCGAACACTTCCTGGATATACGGACGTTATTTTTATAACTTGTAGTCATTCAAACGAGTGTTACCCAGAAATCACATCACTATACAACATCGAAGATCATTTAAAGAGTCTATTGATCTTCATCATTCATCTATTATTCATTTAAGAAGCCAAAAGTGATCTGGATCATGATTATAATCACACTGAGCCATCATAGTCACAAACTCTTCTTTAATCAATCAGCCGATCAATTTTCATTAGGAAAGCACCCAATCATGACCCGAGTTTTCTTCTACTCTCGGTCAAAAGAGCAGGTCAGGATTTAGCAGGACCATAATCCACTTTAGCGAGACAAGAGTCGTGTTTACACAGACAACATTTCTAGATCTGATTGGAAATTTGAGGGATTGGTAAAATCTGAATCTACTGTTTATACGTTAACAAAATCAAATAATCTGATCATGACGTTTGTTTACATGCACCGAGGTTTATTCAGATTAGAAACATTCGGACATGCGCAGAGTTTTCTAATGTTGCTAAAACAACCACAGAAGAAGAAGAAGAAGAAGAAGAAGAAGAAGAAGAAGAAGAAGAAGATGAGTTGTATTTACGTCTGTGCCGTCAACAAACTAACAAACACAGTAGTGGATCACTCTGTCCAATTCAGGAGTTTTCCCTCCTGTTAAATGTTGTCTCTAGATGGCGCCCTTGCGTACTTATTTTACTGTTTTGTCAAAGGTTGCTCTGTGCGTGCAGATGTGACATCATCACGCTGTTTGTACGCCTCGTTATGTCATCAGAGGAAAAGGTTGTGTTAATACTGAAACCTCCTGAACTGACCTAAATAAATAAAGAGTGAAGATGGAGTCAGGTTAGAGAGTCACGATCAGGACAAGTGTTTACATGGACGTGTATCGGCATAACGATCGGCATAAACCACCCCTCTCGATCGGAATACAATTTCTGTCCGATTGACATGTTTACATGACACATTTTTGGTCCTTTCGGGTGTTTATTCCGATCATTTGTGACTGTGTAAACGCAGCTAGTGTGTCTGGTTCAATGATATAAATCCAATCCTTTATTTATCACATTTTAAAAAACATTCAAGTTTACCAAAGTGCAGCACAGTAAAATTAAAACAACAAACACTACAGAATTTAAAAAAAACATCAAGAAGAAATAAATTAAAGCAGGTAAAAAAAAATTTTGAAATGAAATAAAAACACAAAAAGAAGTAAAAGCGATAAAAGGACCAGAAAAGACGTAAAAGGACAGAGATCACATGACTCTCACGCCAAAGAATAAAAATGAGTTTTAAGACGAGATTTAAACGTAGTTAGAGTCGGGGTGTTTTAGGAGCCACAGCCGGGAAAGCTCGGTCACCTCGGGTTTACAAATGAGTTTTAGGGACGAGGAGTTGGAGCTGATCAGCTGACCTCAGGGAACATGGGGGGGCATAAACATTTGCAGATCACATTAAAATGATTTAAAAACAAACAATAAAACTTTAAAATGAATTCTAAACTGAAACGGACGCCAATGGAAGGACGACAGAATCGGAGTGATGTGGTTTTGTTTACATGTTATAAGACGAGCATTTTGGACGAACTGAGAGCGTTTGAGGGAAGCCTGATAAACACCGACCTAAAGAGCGTTACAGTCGTCAGAGCGGTCGTACAGTCGTAGTATAAAAGGGGTGAGGAACAGATAAAGACAAACACTAACAAACTTCTCACACCCTGTCAGCTGAGAGAGCGGCTCACACCAGTACAACCAGAAAGTTCCTCTGCAGCCCTTCAGTGCCTCATGTATTCCTGTCCATCCTCAGCTGGGTCTCTTCAAAGCTTCAAGTTACCTTTTATTTTGGGAGAACTTCAAAGAGAGCCAACGTTTGGAAGTCTAGAACTTCAGGTGTCACACGTCTCCCTTCATCTGCTCTCTCCCTGAATGAAACCCGTTCGTCTAAACCGTGGCAGGCTCCGATCCAGGGGCAAGAAGACATTAACTGAACACAGAAAGGTTCACTCCTCCTTCTTGTTCTTACTTATGAAGACTGAGTCACCTCCTCTGTCATCTCTCATGAGTTTGTTTTAGGAGGATGAGACTCTACAAGAAAACTGCACAGACTGATCTTAACAAAACTCAGAGTTTAATGTCACACCTGCACTGACGACGCGGTGCGTGGCGAGCTGTTCGGCCAGCGGCTCCATGTTGGGGTCACGGTGCGGGTACAGCTCCCAGCGGGTGATGCCCAGGTGAAAGCGCAGCCAGGGGGGATGGCTGTTACTGCTGCTGTTCCACTGGACGTCTTCATAGACCTCCTGACTGGCGCTCACCCTGAGGGGAGACGGAGGAGAGACGATGATGGATCAGAAGATCAAAGTGGATCAAAAAGGAACAAAAAAAGGGTTTTATAATGATGCTACGCTGTCAGAGTCACTCAGTGATACAGAAACAGACACGCTTGATAAAGATGGAGTAAGACATGGCGGAGTTAAAGGTGGAGTAGACAGGAATCTGTTAAGGAAGCATCTTTTTTTGTGGTGTAAATACAAAAACTCTTCTAATATCAGTCAATAGTTATTAGTTATTGATTATTTGGTAATATATCGATATCTCTGTGTTCTCTTATGTCTGTGTCGTCAACATTTGAACATTTTTGAGCGGTCCGCTCTTTCTGACTGTAAACAAAGCCGTTCTCCACCTCCTCTAACCTGATTGGTTGTGAGGCAGACGCTGCTCCCCCGTGTCGTTCAGGAGCCCAAACAAAGTTAGCGTGCTACAATATCGGACAGTAGAAACCAACCAGAAAGTTCGGAAAATTGCCTGAATCCTCCTTTGGCCACGACTGCCGACACAAGCAAGAAAACACTCAAACATAAACAGTCAGCAAGAAAACAGTCAACAAGAAAACAGTCAACAAGAAAACAGTCAACAAGAAAACGGTCAACACCAAAACAGTCAACAAAAAACAGTCAGCAAGAAAACAGTCAACAAGATAACAGTCAACAAAAAACAGTCAGCAAGAAAACAGTCAACAAGATAACAGTCAACAAGAAAACAGTCAACAAGAAAACAGTCAACAGGAAAACGGTCAACAAGAAAATGGTCAACACCAAAACAGTCAACAAAAAACAGTCAGCAAGAAAACACTCAACAAAAAACAGTCAACCATAAACAGTCAACAAGAAAACAGTCAACAAGAAAACAGTCAGCAAGAAAACAGTCAACCATAAACAGTCAACATCAAAACAGTCAACAAGAAAACAGTCAGCAAGATAACAGTCAGCAAGATAACAGTCAACAAAAAACAGTCAGCAAGAAAACAGTCAACAAGAAAACAGTCAACCATAAACAGTCAACAAGAAAACAGTCAACAAGAAAACAGTCAACAAGAAAACAGTCAACATCAAAACAGTCAACAAGAAAACAGTCAACCATAAACAGTCAACATCAAAACAGTCAACAAGAAAACAGTCAACAAGAAAACAGTCAGCAAGAAAACAGTCAACCATAAACAATCAAGAAAATAGTCAACAAGAAAACAGTCAGCAAGAAAACAGTCCACACCAAAACAGTCAACAAGAAAACAGTCAACAAGAAAATGCTGCTCCCCCGTGTCGTTCAGGAGCCCAAACAAAGTTAGCGTGCTACAATATCGGACAGTAGAAACCAACCAGAAAGTTCGGAAAATTGTCTGAATCCTCCTTTGGCCACGACTGCCGACACAAGCAAGAAAACAAAGTAAATACCGGAGACTCTGGAGGAATAACGGGCGCTTAAAACGGAGGTAGACCGGACAAGAGCTAAAAAGCCGGGTCAACATAAACGATGGGGGACGCTTGGGGATCTTGGTGACCCTGTAACCTTTCTGCTGGACAGGTAAACCGCTTTAACAAAGTAAGACAAGTGTCTGTAACAGAAGTGTTTCTTGTCAAACGGACCTGCTGTAGCGTGTTGTAGCTCCATCGCTAAACTGTCCTCCCTCGGGTCCTGGACTATGTCACTTTATCCTCGTTGTAGAAGTCCTGCAAACATTGTGTTTGCTGGTAGTCTGTTGGCATCTACAGTAGCACCAATGCTTTTGACTTTCACCTTGACTGGGCCCCATTTGTAATGATCTGAAGTATTTATCTGCATTATATCTGAATTTAATTGGAACGATACGAGCGAGCAGGAGCGTCTGTTTGTGGGCGGGGCTTAAGAGAGGGAGAGGAGGAGCTGAGGGGAAAACTGGTTGGAGGGGTAGAGTTTACATTCAAGATTTCTCCTAAAAACTGGAACTAACTCAGATCCTGAACTACAACACCTTTAAAGCTCCAGTGAGGAGTTTTTTTAACATTCATGTTTCTACCTGACTGGTATTTAAAGCTCCTCTCACCAGTGAATCACTCTCTCAGTGGGTGAATGTAAAAGTGCCTTAGCTGTTCAGAAGCCATGACAAAGCCTTATATACGTAAACATGCGCCATTCACTGTCTAGTGTTAAAGCTGCGACACGGTGACAGCACCAGGATCGTCTTTGACAACAGGACTTCATGTCCCTGCAGTCTGAACCACCTGCTCACAATATTTCCTGCATTTGACTTTCCTTTCAGGTGAATATACAAACAAACCTGAATATAATGTACATTCAGCCTTTGGTTTGGAGCCTCTTTAGAACAGCGTACTGCGTTTGTGTGAGAGTGTGTGTGTGTATGTAAAGATGTCCTTGGTAAAGAAGTGTTGAGAACATCAGGTTTCAGTGAGCGCTGAAAGATGGTGTTAAACGAAAAAGTGTCTTTGCTTTGGGAAAGGTATTTTTTTTATATAGAGAGGAGAAACGATGAGCTCTGATCTCAGAACACAAACACACACACACACACACACACACACACACACACACACACACACTCTGATACCTACAGAGACATTTTCACACTCTTTAGTCCCTCAGTTTCTGCACCTAAACCTCAGCAGAGAGAGATTTGTCACCGATAGATGAGTGCTGGTGTTACGAGTCGGGTTATGCATGATAATTAACTTAACGAGGACTGCTTAAATCCTCGCTGTAATAAAGTCAGATTTATAAGTCGTGTTCCTCAGCTTTAAATATGCTCCATGCATCTATAAAGACAGCAGTGGTTTATTTTTTTAGTGAAAAGTAAAAGTTTGTTATTTACTCACAGGGAGAAAACTGTGGAGGAAACAGAGAGAACTGAGGAGCATTAAAAAATAAACCTATTTTTATGTTCTTCTCACATTTATATGCACCCTGGAGGACAGCTGCAGAACACAATGTATTCTGCTAAAATGAGAAGGATGACATATGAGTTCATACTAATGAGAAGTATGTGAGAACTTCATGACAGCTGCAGATTATTGGTATTTGGAAACGATCAGTTTTGTGTTGTTATCTTCTCCTCTAAACGATAACACAGGATGATAACACTCCCTGACTTTATGCATGCTTCCTGCAGTGTTTGCACAAGAAGGGTGCAGTTTGCATAGTAGAATAAACATGCATGTTATTTAGGACTAAATGCATAAAACACAAACGTAACAGAGGGAGAAGTGAGTAGTATTTAGTAGTAGGGATAAAGGTATCTGGGGCTCAGGGATAAAGGTGGCTGTCACTGTTTAGAGGCAGTTTGTGGTTATTTCACACATGAAAAGTGGACTCTGTGTGGATTGATTAAAAATGATGAATTTTAGAGGACAGAAATCTGCAACACTAATGTGAAGTATGTACTTCTTCAGAGTCACTGTCATACATATACTGACCACATCTGGGAGCTCTTCTCACTGGCCTTGACCTTGGGCTTCACTCTGAGCAGCCAGTCCTCCTCTGGGATTGGAGGGCTGGGGATATTGTATAGAGGATGGTCAAACAGTGCTTCCAGTTTCAACAGACCAGCCTCCACAGGATCCTCTCTGCCGCTGCCATGGCGACCCACGTCGGCTGGCATGTTTATCGAATCCTTCTCTCCCTCCTTTCCTGCTAATCCCAAGTTGGAAAGTGTTTGCACATGACCTTTGGCTTCCTCGTTGGCATCTTTACTGGAAGAATCTCTGTGTGCGGTATCAGTTGGAGGCTCAGCTGGACCCCTGTTGCCTGTGGAGGTGTAGTTGGTGCGTGCCAGGTCCCTCAAGATGTGAGTCCTGGGTGGCAGCGGGGGGTCACAGGGCTGCTGGTAGATGGGAAGAGAGATAAACGCCAGGAGGAGGTGGAGGAAAATGGTGAGGGAGGCCAAGGACAGACAGATTGTCCTGGAGTGAAAGCGCATACGCCACTTCATCCTGCTGCGAGGAGGGAGACGCGGGGTCAGGAGCAAACACAAAGATGAAACAAAAGTCACATTGAATGTTAGAGATTTGAAAAGCAAAAATGCTAGAATGTCCAACACGACCTTGAGGAAGACATCCTGACATGTTTCTGCACTAAATACACACAGGTCTCAATACTCGGTCCTCCGTGTGCTGAAGTCACTACACTCATAATGATCCGTGTAAAATAAGATACTTACTCTCAGCTTCCTTCCTTTGAATTTTCAGCCACCCCTGCTGCTCCTGTTACTTTGCAGAGATAAAGAAAGAGCTCTATCCAGTATCCTGAGTTTATTCAGCTGTTTGTACCTTCACTCCCTCTGCTAATGGCTCAGGTAGGGAGTGCTGCCAGGTTAAAGTGATCTGGACACAGATCAATGTGTTTACTTTCCCTTTTTTTTAAAGTCACTCTGTTTTCAGTCTGTTTATTTGCCCTGTGAGTGGATTCCTCATTGAGACCTCTAAAAATCAGCATAGTGGGTCTACAACATCAACATCTATATACAGTCTATGGTCTTAACAGCATGCAACAAAAGAAAGATAGAGATGGAGTCAGCCAAATTTCATAGTTTCTTATTTCAGGATCCAAACAACAAATGAGGACCGTCTGTGTGATGACGACTCATTTCACAGCAACCTGAACAACCAGCAGAGAGAGAGCCGGGACTGTTCGGAGGAAAAATTATGTCTCGATTTCAGAGTCTGGAAGCTTTTACAATAATGTGGAAAAAGTGATAATTTCCTCTTCTGTGATTTAAATGCCGAGACTTGACAGACTTTAACTTTGCTCTGGCCATGTTGTTTTTCTGTTTATGAGGAGCAAACACAGGACTATTGTTGATTATATTTCACATGAGCAGTGAGCGTCCATTCGATCTGACGTGACGTATGACGCTTGCATGTCATTAGGACACGCTGCTACGGTGATACAGTGACCGTGAGTCACCAGTTAACAGTGGAAAAGAGTTAAAGACCCACTCTGATGAAAATCATGAGAAAATTAAGTGTATAATTGCATTTCTGAGTATTTCTGCATTCAAATTGCTGTGATTCTCTGGCAGACCCAAACGGCAGGTTCAGACGCAGTGAGATTTCCTACATCACAAATCCAAGCTCCGCCCCCGGAGTCCTACTATGCAGGCCGGACTCAGAGAAGTAGAGAGGACGATCACCGAACAAGTGTGTGCGTTGGCGGATTGCAATGCTTGTAAGAAAGCTAATCATGATATTAACTTTCATCAGACATTAGTGTTACCTGCCACTTCTTCTACACCAACAATGTTAGGCTGCAAGCTAGCATGAACGGCGCTGTCTCCGCCCACGACTCAGAGGTGAATTGCTAATGAGTGACTGGAGCTCTGCAGAAGAAAAGCCCTTGAAAATGACACGAGTAACGTGATTTTGGCTAAAAACTTCATAATCACAATTTAAAGACCACTGAGAACACTTTAAGGAGTAAAAAAATGGATCAGAGTGGGACTTTAATGAAATGTATTGGTGCAGATCCACTCTGGGTTTCTACATCAAACTCTCTAGTCAGGAACATCCACATACATGAGGAGCACTTCATACTAACTAACGAGATAGTGATGGGTGTGCTGCACTGCTGTTGTGTTTTGAATCTGAAACATGATCTCCAAACGACCCCTTCACAGCAAACTGAGACACTATTATGTTTTATTATGTAGAAACACAACAATGCAGGAAATCTGACTTCTGGCCTTCACTCGGAGGTTTCTGTTGGAGTTCAGCAACCTCCCCTGTGGGCAGAGAATTACCGTTAGTACAAGCCTTTGAGAGAAAACCTTCATTACTCTGATATTTCTAAACACGAGGTGAAGACCAGGAACTTTTCACGAGCTCGTGTTTGACCTGACTCAGCACAGAGGTTCAGAAGACAGACACAGGCTTTGAGACATCTCTCACCTTTTGACATCAATTTGCATCTGGTATAAGAAACTGAGTGGGGGGAAAAAACCTTCCCTCCTACACAAGTTTGAAGAAATAATACAAGGAATTATAAAAACATGACATTTTAACCTCTTTTTTAAAATGAAAGTTGAATTTTTTTTAAAATATTAAATAGAGGGTAACTTACATTTAAATCTTGGAGTGTGTGTAGAAAGTGAAGCTCTCCTTGAAAAACTCGTGAATGCTTTCAGCCTTCAAACAGGTGACAAAGGAGCATTTCATCTACTTTCACTGAAATGTATTTAAGAACAAAAGGCTTTGTCATCTGTTTTCACTGTTTCACAGACTTCTCTATAAATAAAGTTTTAGAAAAGTTCACGTTCACCACAGTGTTCCCAGCTGTTTACCACCTGACTTCATGACACTGCTGTGAAACTTTTGATCATAAAACTGAACAAAAAAGAACTTTATCGATCCCCAAAATGAAATTTGTTTGTCTGGAGTCTCGTGTACTATTTATAGAAGAATTGGGAAGTCCGACAGCTGTGGGTACAAAAGATCATCTGAATCCGAAGAGAGAGGAGTCGTCCACCACCGTTGTCTTTTGTTTTTTTTTGAAACAGGATATTGAGTTTGTATCCTCACAGTTGTTTCATGGAAAACATCACACAGAACTTCAGCCGTTGCCTTGGGTGGGATGTAAACAAGTATTATGTCAATGTCAATGTCAGCTTTATTTATATAGCACATTCAAAACCACCAGTGGTCTACCAAAGTGCTATCTGGTAAAGATGGGCAGAAACAATGAAAACAATAAAAGCTATAAAAAAATAAAAGCATTATACAGATTAAAAGATAAAACAACAATCAAGACAAACATAACAAATTAAATATATATATATATATGTCATGATATGACTGAACTCCCTTAGAACACAATATGGCTGGAGAGCAGCTGCCAACAGTTCTATATCCGGACCTCACATCGTCTCCTCCACGGTTATGTGTGAAAAATTGACACCATCTCTAGTTAACAAATAAGGTCAGACCTCCTCCTTTTTTCTTGGTTTAGCATCTGATGTAGCCACTCTTCCTTTCAGCACTGCCACATCAGTCATGATCGTAGACTATCCGAGTGATTTTTGAAGCCGATCTGCGGCGGTTGCAATATTGGAAATGCTGACTCAACATAACTTTTAAGCCTTTAGTGTCTTTGCAAACAGCCGTAGCACCATAAACCCTCTGATTCACAAATCCTGTATCATTAACATACTAAATAAATTCACTCCCTATACAGTAGAAAGAAAAAGACTTATTTGATTCATTTCCAGTGCACCCTGAATCGAGCACTCAGGGAACCGCAGCTTTCAGCCCTTTCACAGGGATGACCACATTCTGGATCCCCAAAAAGAGGACACAACTATGAGGGGCAAAATTACACACAAAATTTTGAGGGTTTTTCAGTGGGGTTGAGTGTTTTTTTACGCACTTCTACCTCAGATAGTCCATGCTACACAAACTCAAAACTACTTTTACATAATGTGAAAGTAAGGTGACCTACCAAGATAATGATGCCTCTTCCCAAGTCAGCAAATACCTGAAAATCTGAGTGATTTCTATTCCCTGCCGCGGCCCCCATGGATGATGATTGGAGCCTCCCTAACATCGAATCATAAATACTACGATGCTTTACGATTAGAAATCCTTAAGCGCGGGGGGAATCCTTGAGGATCATTGCCACATGGAACGACTATATAAGCCAATCAGAAAGCAAGCTATCTAGAGATGGAAGCTCAACAAATGCAACCATGGCAACGATACCAAAAGCAAAGCATAAACTTAGATGGATGTCTGAATTGTTGTCTCTCTTCTAACTTGAAGACTCAAAATAGATTTACTGAAAGTCTGGATACATGAGTAAAATAAGAATCACAGGTTCTGTTCAAACACTCAGAACAAAACATCTCCATTAAAAGCTTGTACTCTTCAAACAACGACCAGCTCCGGTTGTTATCCTACAGTAAAAAAATAAGATAGGTATGAAAAAAGCATCAGTCAGCATGTTACTGGTGCAGCATACTGTTTCATGCATAAGAAGTAAACTAGGTCTCACAACCGCAAGACATAAGTTTTATATTCGAGTGTGTGTGCTTGCAAAAAGACTTTCATTCAAACGCCTCAAACCTGCAGGAAAATCCCGCAGGAGACCCTGTTCCTGTGAAGCACGGGTCTTTAAAGTCTGGGTGTGTGCGTTCATCTACATAGCGCACATGTGTGTGTATGTCATGCAGGGCGATCCACGTGACAGATCTGAGACTCAGGCGACATAAAAGAGAAAACCTCGCGCAGTTGTCGGTATGGCGCCTGTCTCCCGATCACCCCCCTCAAAAATGACGAGTGACTCATCTCACGTTTTTTTACTGGACTCGTTCAGGTGGTCAGAGTCGTTTATTATTTATCAGCGCTCATAAAACATACATGATGTGGATTAAAACATGAGCTACATATAAATGAGAGGAATGAAGTTTTCTACAGAGGCCATAATTGGATTGAGAGCAGCTGGAGACAGAAGGAAGGAGCCGTAACTTTTCATGTGGTTTGTGATTTTAACGAGGATGCCTTTGTGCCTCAGCTCCGACGCCCGGCACAGATCTCTACTTGTTTCTCTTGCTCCTCTACATTTCTTAAACAATGAAAAAAAGAAAAAAACACATATTTTCTCTCCTTTTGTTTCACACTTGACAATATCTGGCATTCATAAGAGTGCGTCTTCCTGCTTTTCTTATTCATGTCCTCTCTCGAGTCTGTTTCAGTCTGTTTGCACTCAAGGCCCCTGCAACAATTGCCTGTGAAGCACGACTTCGCTGGGAGCTAAAGTAATAAAAGTGGAAAGAAATGAGATTTGAAGCATCTTTTCCGAAACCCAAGGACACTTGGAAGAAAGAAAGAGGCCCCTGGTTTTCCTTCTTGTACAGGAAGTCTTGACTTTGATAATGAAATATATTTTATCTGCATTATACTGAGTGTTGGAGAGATACCTCTTTGAATAAAAAACAGTGTGTGCTTGATTCATTATTTTATCTGTCTTTTAGTCATGTCTATATCAGGCTGGGCGATAAGGGGAAAAAGTTTATCATATATCTTTTTCATGTCCGTCCATGTTGATATCACAATACTGAAAAAATCACTTGTCAATCGTAAATGTTCCTAGGTATGATAACGATAACGGAAATTAATTTCCCTCAATATCAATATAAAACATGATCAATATTCTTTTCAATAGTCGTCATTCTGTCATGTTTTGGTCGACTATAAGAATAGCCAATGAAAAGGGGAGTTTCTCCGGGTCTGAACCAATCATGTTCTGAATTAGAACCAAGTATCAACCAACTGCAGCGTCGTAGCAGACAGCAGCTCCACCCAACCATAGCACTTTAACAGGTGAAGCCGACAGCACTGTTGGTGAGAAACAAAGAAAATGAGTGCTACCCCCGACAGAAATGACCATGAAGGCTCAACAGATGACCACATCAATGTCAACCACAACACTGGCGTTAGGAAAACGTCGGTGGTGTGGAGGTATTTTGGTTTTTGGAGGTCGGACATGAAGCAGAGTAATGTGGACTGTAAATTATGTCGAGTACATGTTCTCACAAAGTCGGGGAATACCTCAAATCTTTTTCACCACCTGAAGCAGCGCCACGCCGCAGAGCACGCGCAACGCAAAAGGTTACAAACCCCGAGAGGAGCGAGGAGCCCATGGCGCCTGAAACAGACGACCATTCAGTCGGCTTTCTCTAGAGCGACGCCTTACGACAAAACGCCAAAGAGACACAAAGACCTCACAGATGCAGGAGATTATTGTGTTGGAAAAGACATGAGACCAATAAACACTGTTAGATTTCATTTTATATCCTGATATTGATCGATATCGACTGATATGAAAATAATATTGTGATAAACTTTTCCCATATCGCCCAGCCCTAACTGCTTCACCTGTTAAAGTGCTATGGTTGGGTGTAGCTGCTGTCTGCTACGACGCAGTTGTTTGATACTTGGTTCTAATTCAGCTCATGATTGGTTCAGCGTGACCCCTTTTCATTGGCTATTCATATAGTTGACCAAAACATGTCAGAATTCATCTATTTAAAAGGATATTAATCATGTTTCATATCAGTATTGAGGGAAATTAATTTTTGATATGTATCATTATTGTTATGTGGTCCAGCCCTATGTATATATAATATTAACATCTTTAATTCATCAGTACCACGTTGTAAAGCAACCTTGGGTTCTTCGACATGCGCTATGTAAATTCAATTAATTCTTATTTTTATCATCGAGTCCTCCTGCCCTTTCGATTTTAGTCACATTCTTGTTCCTTGTATTCTTCAAGGCTGCCAGGACCAAGTGTAATTAACAAGCACCTCATCGTTGAACCCTCTGATCCGTTCAAAGATTTAATCTGGTTAAATTAAAGATGAGGCAGCAGCAGCAGCAGCATTCAAGGATATGTTTGTACCTGTCATCTCTCCATCTTTTCTCCAGAGTTTGTTTTTAACTTCCTCTTCGCGCCCCTTTTTCTCTTTTTCCTCTCACTTTTTTGTCTAATGCACTCTCTGTGTCTCTGTCTCTCTCTGATGTATTATAAACAAGCTGTTTCAGACCTCCATCCATTCATCTTTCATCCCTCTCTCCCTCTTTAATCTCGCTTCATTTCTCCTCGACTCCCCCCTCCCCAAAAATAAACTTGCGGTCCCTTTTTTTATGTCAGACTCAAAAAGAACTAATGAAACATGCCGCTACAGCTCATGGTCAAAGCGAGAGCTGCCTTGGACGCGCACGCTTATGTTAATATTGCATTGTGTTTCTCATTTGGGTATGAAAAAAGGACACTTGTGATGTTAAGATTAATTATTTATCCTCCCTCCTCTCGCTGTCCTCTGTCACCCTCCATCTCTAACTAACGTCTGCCCGACACACTTCACTCTCGCTCTACTCCTCTTCATCTTCTGTATCCTTCAGCGGCTGATGAAATCTCTGAATTTCAGTCTCTTCACTTCGAAAAAGAAACTTTCTCTCCTTCACTAAATCTCAGTTTTTACTCTCTATCAGCTACTGAACTTGGGAAGTTGTCAGTCACTGCATCTTAAACCTCCCCACCGATTGCTTCTGCCTTTTACCTTCTGTATCTTCCACACACACACACACACACACACACACACACACACACATGAGGCTCCAACCTTCCACCCATCATAGCAGGTGGTACAAAGGTTGCTAAGAGACAGCACTGTGAGCTTTTCCAGCACAGAGATGGTTTGAAAGAGGGCACATTAGGAAGCCACAAACTGCATTTCAACATCAGTTAAAGAGCGTCTCTTCATAAATATGGCTCAAGCTGTCAAAGTTATGCTAAACATTGTCCTATCCAAATGTAGGCATCATCATATTATAAAAGATCTAATAGAGATGAAATAGAGCCTTTAAAAGCCTACAATTGGATTTTTACAATCTAAAGCCTTCAAAGTGAGGTTGCGTGGGCAGATCTGAGTCGAGGTTCAATGAAGAGCTGATACGCCATAAAGAAATAATCATACTTCAGCCTCCCGTTAATAATTGACACCAACACTGATTTCTTCTTGATCAAACTTACTGGATTGAATTTTTCTTACTCCTTGTGTTTGATTTATAACATACGATCCAGAATATTCCCTTTCACATTCAAAATAACATACTCTTCACGTCCAAAAGTTATGTTCACCCTTAAGCCCAAAACATAAAGGATCGGCGTATTGAGCACGTTCCTTAGAGCAGCGTTGGGTTTCACATACAGGATCAGTGTGTTTGGAGCGTAGCAGCAGCGTAGTGCAGCAGAGGAAACAACATGCACACAACAGGTTGTTTTTCCTCTCTGTGGTCCATTTCCTGATAATGTGGATATAATTCAGTGACTGTTGATATTGAAGTGATTTTCCAGTTTGTGTTTTTGCAGGTTTCCTGGTGTTTAATAAAGTAAACTCTGTTCCTTTCTGCTGTTCCCTTCAGACAGAGTTAGCAGGTCAAAGTCCTGTTGGGGTCCACATGGATCAGGGATTGACCATCGGATTGTTCTGTGTTACTGATAAATCCAGAACCAGGAAGGATTTCTCATCTACACCAACTGATACACAGGCGGGAGTTCACATATGCTGTTTTTAGGGGTGGGCAAAAATATCGATATGGCGATATATCGCGATACTTTGACTTCCGATTCAATATCGATATTCAAAATATTAATATCGATTTTTTGTTCAAATAATAAATCAGGTTTCAGACGGGTTAACAAATCCAGTACGACTTCCGCACCTCCGCTCCGCTAGGTGTCGCTGTACCGCTACCTCACTTCTTCTTCTCTTTTTTCCCCCGCCGGTTGCAGTGAGGAAGAGGAGCCGGGAAAAAAACAATCAAGCATGGCTGGTAACGTTAAACTAGAAACGCCCTCGAACTTTAAGGCAGATGTTTGGAGATACTTTGGATTCCAAAGGAAAGGAGAAACACACAATGAGCTGGACAAAGAGTACGCGCTTTGCAAACTCTGTGTCGCTCCCATTAGATATTCGGGTAACACAACAAACTTGAGAACTCATTTAGCAAGACACCACCCCGACATATTAGCTCAGCCGGAGCCACCGAAACCTTCCGATCCAAAGCAAACTACACTGGACATCGCCAAAGTCCTCCCATCTACTTCAACCCGAGCCCGGGGGATCACAGAGGCGATGGTGCATTTTCTTTGTAAAGATTTGCGCCCATACAACGTTGTGGAAAACGTCGGCTTTCGGTGGATGCTTCATACTTTGGAGCCGCGCTATGTGATGCCGCAGCGTAAGTACATGGCTAACGTAGCTGTGCCAAAAATGTATGACGAGGTGAAGGAGACAATAAAAACAGTTCTTAGCTCTGCTCCGAGAGTCGCACTGTCCTGTGACGGTTGGACATCACGAGCCACCGAGTCCTACATTACAATTACGGCGCACCACATTAATGCCGAATGGGAGCTGGTAACACATGTGTTGCAGACGAGAGCCATGTACGAGAGCCACACTGGCAGCAACATTGCATATTTTATTTTTTACATACATTCAGTGAAGTGTTCAAACAGTGACACAGTTCTTGTCCAGGGAGACAACTGTGAATTAAATTTTGTCATTTAAGGTCAAAGGCAAGAAGCTGCACTTTATTTTGCATTTTCAATTTCAGTGTGTGTGAGACACTGCATTTTATTTTGAGTATTTACTCTAAATTCAGAAGAAACATAATCCACTGGGGTTTCAATTCAGTTTCAGTATGTGGACACTGACCCACACTGCAGTTTGTGTCATAATTGTGCTCAGGGAGACTAAGAATAATGCACACTGCACTTTTCAATGTGTTTCAGACAGTGTGTTGTTCACGCAAATATGTTGTAACTTGCACTTACAATAAAATGGCATCGATAATTTGAATTACATTGTTTTGACTGTTTGTCCCATGAATTATCACTATCATCTGATGTACATACAACTGGGATTTTAAGATGCATAATGCCTTTTACATTTTTCAGTGAACTATGTAGAATATCGCAATATATCGCAAACATTTGGATATCGCAATATCATATCGTATCGTGACTCAAGTATCGTGATGCGTATCGTATCGTGAGGTCCTTGGCAATACCCACCCCTAGCTGTTTTATTTTAAAATATCAGATGACATGCATGTTTTTTTGTGGTTGACTTCCTGTCTAGAACGATCTTCTCTGCAAAAATCGACTCGCTGTGTATCTTTAGCAGAACTGCTCTCGATGCGATGCTGCGACGGAGCTGATACTCATCCTGTACGCTTTGCTGCTTTGATTAGAATGGAAACCTATTTGCTGCGTGACACACAACCCTGCTGCCACGCTCCAAATACGCTGATCCTCTGTGTTTTAACCTTTAACCTCTGTTACAAGTGTAAACATCGACACATATGACCAAGAGATTAAATCAGTTTCCCAATAATATGAATCAGTTTGACTTAATCTACAGCTTGGTCAGAGTTCCTACCCAAACGTTAACCAGGTTAGAGTCCATCCTGATCCCAGAGGGGTGTCAGGAGAGGGGATGATGATGATGATGATGATGATGGGGAGATGAGGATGAATCAGGAGGCAGTATAATGGAGGGTACTTTGAATTTCTGGGTCAGTCTCACACAGCAACAACAAACCATCCTGTAACAGAGAAAACAAAGGTGTCAGAACAGTCAGTCATGTTTCTGTTTCACAGTTTCTTCCAGTTTCTCTTTTTAATCACTGTAATGTGACATTAAATTCTCAACATCAACTCAAAGTTCTGCTTTTTAACTACATTAAATATTAATAAAACCATATTTTTCGATATGTGTTACACAGAACATGAGGTATAAACTTTCTTATATCAGTCTGTCTGTAACCACTGAGGTAAACTTTGACTGAATCAACAAACATGAAATTCAACCTGTTAGCTAAGTTAGCTTAGCACCCTGTAGTAGCTAACTCGGTTAGCTAAATCACAATATGACGGTTTTAAAGTTAGACACTACTTCTTTAATAATCTCTTTCAGTTAAATCTTCCCGAATGTTTTTAGTAAACAACATTTAAGTCATAGTTACTTTAATATTGGTACAAACATTAGCAGTGCTAGGTCGCAGTTTTAGCTAGTTAGCTAACAACTCACCGGGAAAGTCCACAACAGACAGAGACACACAGGGAGGTCCACTCCGAATTCAGTCTTTATTTATCTATTTTACAAACAAACAGCGTGGTCTGCACTTATTCCTCATCTTTATCAATCAAAGAACGTCTTTCCTAATCTAATTATTAGTGTGTGTTCACTTTTACACGTCTGCTGTCACTCTCTCCTGTCTGAGTTTGGAGGAGAATCCATCAGGACCAAGTTATACCAGCAGGGGGAGCTGTAGCCTCACTAAATAAGTAAAATACACAAATTTATAAATGAAATCATAACATTTTGTGGCTTTTTTACTCTTCTAAATTGTTCTTATGAAAAAATAAATTCCTACAATAATAAATACCTGAAAGAGATAAAACTTTACTGTCTGCTCTGACTATGTGGGCTGTAGGTGGCTGTGGTGGGAGACCAGAAAAGACAGTTAACCTTCGTCCTGTGTTAGCTTTTACTACACACCCACCGTGTTAAGGGTCAGTTTTCACCTGTGTCTTAAATCTGCTGTACATTACACTAAAAACAGTTCTCTATCATCCAGTTTGGTTCTTACGGAGCCCCTCTGGTGACATTGGAGAAAAAAAATTAATGCGTGGCCTTGAAATAATTCAACTTAAGTAGTGGGGTCTGTCAGGGGGATTTAGAGGAAGTTTGTTTGATTCCTTCAGCTTTGGACCCTGATGACTCAGCCATCCGTCTATCCAGGACACTAAACCTCCCCTCATTCATTCAGCATTACCAACACTGACATGTCGGCTTTACGCAGTAACCTGATTAGTCCCCTTAGATCGACACCTGCATTAACTCAAGTACACAGGGACAGTGGACTACTTAAAGCCGGACATGTCAGTGTTGGTACTAAGAGTTTTCTTCTTTCGGCTCCTTTTCATTCACATGTTTTTAACTTGTTTGTATTGAATGTTTTAAATATTTACTGAATAAAATAAAGTATGAAAAATGAAAAATGAAAAAGATTTCAGCAGGACAGAGTGATCTGGTGTACAGGACGTGGTTAAAACCTGATTCTCACGAAAAGTGAACGTGTCTGTGACCTTGTGGTGAACTTCTCAGAAGTCACTCACAGCTTAGACAACCACACACAGGATATAATTAGGGGCTCGACAGTTTCTCCTTGTCAGTCAGCGTAGACCTGTAAAGACTTTGAACTCTTTGCTGCTCTGATCCCATCAAAAAGGTGCGAATGTTGGTAATAAACCTCCAAAATCCCATCTTTGTTTGAATTTTGTTTATTCAGGAATCCGTGCACAGTCTTCGTCTGGCTTAATTTGACTTCATGCTGGTTTTTCTTCTAAAGCTGCTGAAAAATTAAGATTGTGAAGACTTGTCTGCTGAGATGGAGGAACCCGAGAACGACGACCATTTCTTCTCCGTGTGGATGTCTATCTGCATCTCTGGAAACGATCATGTGACACACAGAGTAACTCTGTTATGGCGCCAAAACAACCTTTATACACATGCTCTGTACTCTTCTTCTGTCTTTTGTGCATTTCCTGTTACAGCGTTACAGCGCCACTTGGTATGTGAACTACATCGTTTTCAGTGTTTACATTTTGAGAGATGATAGAAAAACTTTGTATTTTTAAAGTGAAGTTTGGTGAAGTTTGGTGAAGTTGTCGCTGAATATAAAATCAAAATCAAAAAATAGATTTTTCAGGGAAAAAAAATCAGGGTTTTATTTTTGGCCAAACTCGTGCAGCCCTCATAAGAGGGTTAGACTTAAACTGGTACAACACTCCTGAAAATAAATATCCCTGAATTTGTTCGGATCCTTGGTGCAACAACCAGCAGCTGGAACCAAAAGAAACGCCCCACTTGGTGTAAGAGGGATGTTTGCCCATCATTTAACATTTTTGCCTCATGGGATTTTGTCCTTAACATCACTGAAAGTTCCTGTAAGCCCCTCGCTGAGTGATGAGCTGTCCTTAAGTGCACTGGGCAAAAACATTTCAGAGTTGGGATTGAGCAAACCAGCAGGCTTCGCTGTGACTCTGCGCCGCGGCTCCTCTGTATGAATATTTAACAACCAAGGAGACACAAGGAGAGGAGGAGATGAATAAGGAGTGTCTGAGGTGAATAATGAATGAGTTGCATGGCAGGGCGGAACCATGTTTACTGACACAGGACCCACCGGATTAATCAGAGGGTTGCTGGGATAACTGCTGACTGTGCAGGGCTGCGGTGCATAAATCAGGACGACCAAGTGAGCCCAGGTGAAAGTTATCAGTGTTTTCCAGATCAATCCAAATATAAAACTGTCACATTCATTTTCGGGCCTCGTAACCAAGTTTTACTCCAGCCTCTCTCCCAAAAACAGAAATCCAAGAAACGAATCAGTGTTGACGGGGACTTTCTCGCCACGGCTGGGTTTGAGATTTTTCTGGTAACATCGCTGTCAGTGCGGTGCTAACTCCTTCATCTGTTCTCTAAGATACTCGTGCACAGAGAGGATGCTGAAAATTCAGAAAAGGATTGGTGGTCTCTTCAGCAACCTTTCTTTTTAAAGAACTCGGGAACTCCTGGCTGACATCTTGGACTCATTACAGACCCACTCCGGTGAAAATCATGTTTTCTTGTTTTTTTTACAACAATTTTTCTGATGCTAAAAGACATATGAGAAAAATAAGTGTGAAATCGCATTTCTGAATGAAAATCACTGTGAATCTCTGTCAAGCCCAAACGGCAGGTTCAGATTCAGTGAGATTTCCTATGTAGCAAATCCAAGCTCCGCCCCCAAAGCCCTGACTCGCTGAAATAGAGAGGACGATCACAGAACAAGCGTGCATGTTAGGGGATTGCAATGTTCATAAGAAAGCTGATTATGATGTTAACTTTCATCATGTCCCCAAAGTCATTAGTGTGCAAGAGATAAATAGCTCCTATGCTACAAGCTAGCGTGAAGAGGAGCGCTGACTCTGCCTGAGAGGTGAACTGCTGATGAGCTACCGGAGCTCTGCAGAAGAAAAGTCCTTAAAAATGTTACAGGTAACATGATTTTGGCTAAAAACTTCATAATCACTATTAAAGACCACTGAGAACACTTTAAGGAGTAAAAAATAAAAACCCAACCCGAGTGGGACTTTAAGACATCAAAACCAAAAACATGAAAAGTTTTGGTTTAGGGAGGGCGGTGACGGGGTTAGGATTTGGGAGACTGTTAGGGGCTAAAACTTCCTCTGCGTACAACTAAAATTCCTTTCAAAGAAGTAACAACAAAATCTGTTTATAATAAACTCTAGTGCTAATATTTCCAAATATGTGTTTCTGTATGAGATATCATGTAAAGTGAGGATACTGCAGCGCGTTGAGACTTAAACTAAAGCTCCTGTGAGGATTTTTTTTTACGTTTATGAAATACTAAAATTTAAATAGTTTTTTCATGATCCTCAGAAGTGAACAAGATCACTGACTGAACTTTTTTATATTCTCATTTTTATGTTAGGAGGGGTTAGGACACCGTTTCCACCGAACATCTTTACAATAAATGACACATTAGAGTGTCCGAAATCAGCAGGATGAATCAAGACTCAAGATAAACAAGATGCTTTGTGCACAGGGGGCGCCAAAATTGACACAAATTAAAAGTTGTAAAGGGGCTTTAAACATGATTTTGTGTATTTTTTAATCATGCAAAATAATGAAGAAATAAAGGCAGCGGAAGGACTCAGAGTTATCGTCAATTCCAGGATAAGTCGCACAGATAAAGTTAACTCAGTTCTGAATGTATTTTTAACAAAGTGGACTTATGTTTGCAACCAAGCCAACAGTCAGAACAGACTCACTGTCTGGTACCGATTCACTGAGACTGCTGCCTCCTACCTCTGCTGGTCACTCTTTGGGGGTCACTTTAATTAAACCATTTTTTCCTTCATATCTACCCTCATTGTTTTTTGTCTGGGTACGTTTACATGCTTTGTGCAGCAGAGTGCTCCTTTGAGCTCCATCTTCTGGGTAAAATACCAAACTACACTGAAATACCTCTATCTTTGTGTGAATTTCACTGTTCATGTAAACTCTTCTGAGCCTTTCAGGGGAGCGAAAAAGGAGCTGTCATTAAACATCTGCAGATATACGATGAACCTGAACTATCAGGTGAAGACGGCCAGATCATCATCATTGTGACTTTTTCCTGCAAAGAAACAGAATTTCACTGCGAGTAAAAGGTGCTGACAGCAGTATGAGCTCAGGGAGCGTGTTGAAATGAACTCGTCTGAAGAGCTGCAGGACAGGCCGACCTGATTCAAGGTCATGACTTTTAGACACACAAAGCTGGGGTGAAAAGTTGCCAGATTCTGATCATGTGTCAATATTTCTTTTGACTGCAGGGTCAAAATGCCCTCAGTGCTGTCAGGGGCCAGAAGGCGAAGTTCATTACATCATGTGTTTATGGTTGTTTCTCCTGCGCAGACAGCTGTCTCAGCTTTGACTCAGCTCTGCTCTCTGATTCGTTGCTGCAGATTTCATCGGCTGTCTTTCTGGTCAGCTGTCAGCCGTTGGACATCGATGAAAAAGGATTTACTTCATGAAAATCCATCAACTTTACAATAAAAAGGAAAACAAACACTGACTTGGAGGATCGTGTTTGAAGGAATTCATTATCATGGTTATGATTTTAAAGTTAATCCAAAGAAATCTGGTTATAATGGATGATGAGAATCTTCTATCATCTCAGAGTTTCATCAGAGCATGTAAATGTGTTATTATGAGTTCATATATGGAAAGACACGGCTCTTCAAAGTGGATCAGGATAAGGCATCAGTATAAATACACATTCGCTCGCACATGAGACCAACAAAGTGGCAGTAATACAAACTCTGTTACCTGTGAGACTGAAATACAGGAAATAAATTATGACCCTGTGACTACCTGTGTTTTTACTGATAATTCAATGATACTGATGTACCTGTGATGTTTATGTATTTTGCAGGAACTGTGCGTGTTGGTCAACATTTCTGTGAATATACCAGAGTTAGCTGAGAGGCTAGTTTCCTTTTCTAGTTTTAATTTATTTCTGAGTTTCTGATCCTCAGTGTTCATCTGAAGGTCCTTTCACACCGGGATTGTATTTGTTGTGAGATTATTTCAGTAAGTCAATTATTATTTATTTTTTTTTCGGCTTGATGTGTATAGTCAGGCGCGACAAAATTCGCCTCCCAATATTTCGTGATTTCGCGTCATAAATTTGCGTCGTTCCCGGTGTGTAAGGACCTTAAGACTACGTTTACACATGCCCGGCTATTTTCATAAACAGACATTTCGCCCTCGTGCACACCACTATGTTTTCAGAAAAGTTTTTGTTTACACTTACCCGTGTGTATATGCCATCAAGAGCACGCCAAACCTGTAGGTGGCAGTGTAGCGAGAAGCTTAAGCCCACGTTAGCCAATCAGCTGCAACAACAACAACAACGTCACTTTCTTCTTTTGGAAAAGATGCACCTTCTGCCTGCGCTCGTTCATCCACTTTTGAGGTAAAATCAGCGACAAAATGAACGGTCATCGTTTTTACGACTCAATCGGTGATATCGGTGCAGCCGACCCGCTGGTTATTTTTTATTTGCCACGGGTAACGCTTCAGGAACCCCACAGTTAGTTAGTTAACTAGCTAACTAGCATTCGCGATAACACTCGCGGTAAAAGACAAACAGGTTACCTCACAAATATACCCAAAACGAAAAACAATAAAACTGAAAGCGCTTTGAGCACAGTTATATAAAAAAAAAAAAACAGCTGCCACTAAGAGCGTTTGTTTTTTTGACACAGGCCCTTACAGTCCGCTGTTGCTCCTCCTGATCCGCTCTGTAATCCCTCTGTCTCGACCAGAGCTCCATTGTTAGAGGATTTTGTAGATTTCAGGTTAGAGAAAATGTCCTTGAGATTCTTGCATCACTGACAGCAAACTGATGAGTCACAGGCTTCAAGCAAATTACCTTTAATTATTTTCTTATCTGGATATGATCCCGATCTTTTCCGTCACGACTTCGAGAATGATGAAACAGCAGGTAATATACATCCTTGACGTTTTGTATTCGTCCCCTTTTTTAATGTAGATTCCAGTTTACAGAGACTGGCGTTGTTATCTTCTGTTATTGATGCACTTAAAACCGGATTGCATCAACTGGGATATCTCTCAATGGAACTACAAAGCCGTGTGTTACTCCTCATGTTTGTTTCAGCGAGAAACTCTACAAAGACATTTCACCAAAACTGGCAGCTTGAGAAACTTTCCAAAAAATATGTCAATTGTCTTCAGAGGGAAAAAACGGCATCTGAATGTTAAAAGAAAAAACGGTTTCAACACTTTTCTGCAGTTCCTCTGGAGAAACCGATGCGTGCAGTTTTCATCATCCTCTGTGACAAGTCCCTCATGCGGCGCCGTTTACCTTCTCTCTGCGCTCGTTGGGTATTTTTGGACGCGTCTTTGTTAGCCTCCTCCTCTGTGTATTTCTTATCTATAAAAAGCGGTTTCAAAGGAAGATGCTCGCATGTTATTCCGCTGTGTGAAGAATGTACTCTGCTTCTACAAACATTTTAAATCAGGCGTTCGAATTCTGTTGCAACTTGAAACTCAAATCTCCAGCCGCCCACATGTTGACGTTTTCTCTCAACTTACCAGAAGCCTCTTGTTGAGTTTCCCTGTGATCAGATATATAAGAGTAATCTAAAACCATTATGTTGTTTCCAAAAAAGAGCCATTAGAATTGTTAACAAGGTAGGATACCTGGATCACACAAACATACTGTTTTTACAATCACATGTTATGAAGCTCATGGACCTTGTTGAATACAAAACTGCACTGATTATGTTTAGAGCAAGACACAGGCTTTTGCCAGGTAATATACAGAAGATGTTCAGTGATAAAGAGGGGGGTTACAATTTGAGACGAGAGCTTAATTTCAAGGTACAGTTTGCTGGTTCAACATTGAAAACGATGTGCATTTCAGTTTGTGGAGTGAGTTTGTGGAATGGACTGAGCATGGAGGTTCAGCGAAGTCCAAACCTGAATATTTACAAGAAGGCATATAAAAATATTATTTTCAAGAGGTATTCAGATGAGGAGGGTCTGTGTTGACCTATTGAGTCAAAACAGCCCTGTTTTCAGTTTTCAATCGGTTGGTCTGAATAATTTTATCCCTGATACTACTGCAGTCATTTAAACTATTGTATATGCAGTAAAGAAATTTGTGTTGGCAAAAGCGGGGTAGGAGCTCGATAAGTTTTAAACTTCATCCTACTCCTTTTCGGACATTGTTGTTGGTTTTCTTTTCTTCCTGATTTGTATTTTATTGTCGTATTTGATTAAATAATGTTCGAAATAAAATAAAAAGAAAGAAGAAAGAAAGAAATGGCCGTGCCTCAGACCCATCAGGTTTCATAACGCTTCATAACGATTTTAAAGAACACAGACTTTCATTTCCTATTTCACCACATTTCAGGATTTATTGTACAATCTGACACAAAATGGTCCATTTCACTGAATCGTTACAACTGGCATCACCATGAAAACAATCACATTGCTGACATCACCCAGCGCGAGGAAGCCATCCGGGTTTATTACAAACACCCTCACAGGGAGAAAAGGTGGACTGGGTTTAGTGGAGTTGGACTCAGGAGACTCTGAGCCGGTCGTTGTAAGAAGATGACTCTGGTATTTAAAAAGAAGTTTTTCAAATTGCTTCAAAGTATGTACAGATAAAAAATATTTAAAATTTTATTGAAAGACTAGTGCGCTTGGAGACAGAGAGAGAGAGAAAAGAAGACACGTGTGAAAGTGATGACGGTGCAGACAGGACGCTGACGATGAAATGTTTATTTCAAAAAAAGTGTGTGTCCAGCACACACGAACATTTGAGTCGCTCACGCACGCACGCTCTCCCTGCAGAGGAATGAGGAGAAAGGACTTTGGAGACCCTGGCTGGCTGTAGTGTTTGTAAAAGTGTTGACCGTTCGCTCTCACACGCTCACAGTTACGTTTAGGACCGTGGATCCGGCTTCAGAGACGGACAGGGTTGAAAACAAAGAGGAACGTAACAGACAGGGCAGGCGGCTATTTATACGCCTGCCTGATTTAGAATTCCCTTTCAGCTACTTTCCCTGCCAGCAACATTTTCTGACTTATAAGATCTCCACGCCACGATTTATTATCTGCCACGGAGGCTGGATGAGTGGACAAACTGACCTGCTGCAAACAAAGTGTGACCAGCGTCTGGCTGGTAGCTGGTGTTCGTTTCCAGCCCAGTGACAGCGTCAGAGGGGAGGAGGGACAACGAGGAGGAGGTGCTACGAGCACTTCCAGACACACACCGCCAGACTCCCCCCAAAGAACATGTAGAGCAGGTTCTTCACTTCGTGTGTGACCTCGAAGCCGAAGCCTTCGCCGATCACCACGTGCCACGAGCTGCCGAACTTCTTGTCCATGGACTCTTTGATCATCTTGGCTGCACTCTGGGACACAGAAAAAAAAAAACACATAATGACCCTTTAAAGACGAGGCGCTGACACGCTTCGGCTGAAAAGAGCCACGCAGGAAAACACACTCACCTCATTGTTAGTGGCGAACTTTTCACAGGCTGTAACACAAAGCTCCATTGTCTCGACCCTCATCTCCTCTGGCATGTCTGTATGCTGGAGACAAACACAACAGGTCAAAGTTCACATTTCCAGCTCTGCACTGTTCTTTTCCAACCTGAGTGGGCGACAGGCGAACAAAACCTCACTGCAAAACAGCAGGTGACAGCGGAGGAGTTCATCATCAGTGTCTGCAAATATGGAAGAACTGGTAACGCACGATAAATTTATTTATAATGCATTAATATCACGTTATAGCACTGAGTAACTATAGCTATAAACACTCATAAATGATCATAATGCTTTATAGCAATAGTCACAACACATTATAAATAGTGGTGCAACGGATCACAACACTCACGGATCGGATCATTTTTCGGATCAGCAAAAAGCAGTTTTGTCTGTATATTAAACACTTAAATGGTTGAATTAAAATATATAAAAGTAGTGCATACGGCATAATATCTTCTTTTCAACATAATTATTAATGAAAAACAACTTAAAGTGCAATATACAGGCATATCTCCTTCCTTTAAAATGTAACAATGAACCAAAAATGAAGTGTGTGCGCGGTGGGATATTGTAACGTGGCTCAAGCACTTTCAGCATGTTTTTAAAGCCCTCGTTTGCACAACTGAATACGGCCTCATGTCTGCAGCTATAAACACACCGATGGCGTTTGTGATAACTTTAACCCGGTCGGATTGCGCAGGAAGAGGCTGCTTAAATGCTGCGGTGATGAGCGGTTGCTGGCCAGCTTTCGTTTTATCTCAGGTGTTGTGACATAGAATGCACCCCTGCCGTAGAATGCACCCCCTGACGGGAGCGCGGTTTAAAGTACATAACGAGGCGAAATAATCCAAGTTTTTCTTACATTGGATGGATTCAAAAGCGTTTGCCTGTAATAATTTCATTCAGGCTATTCAAAGAAGCCAAAAACAACAGCCCTTGGAATATTGCTGTCCCGAAAATATAATGCTCTCTACCTGGACAGCTTTCTGTACAGTTTATACCCAAGTACACCTCCATATTTGCATTTTTGAGACACATAACAAGAAAATGAAAGTTTGCTGCTCCATTTGACATGTTGTCATGATCTAATACTGGTGTTTCTTTAAATATGAGATCATTATCTCCACTTTAAGAAGCTAACGAGTGGAGGGGATGCAGGGGTGCGTTCTACGGCAGGGGTGCAGTCTACGGCACAACACCTGTCATTAAAACACCCGGGTGATGTCGCTTTCAAATGCGTGAGCATGCTCGATGTGTTTCCACTGTCATATGGCTTTCTTATGCCACAGTGCCTACACACCTTCGCAGTTTTGTCCACTGACCTCTTTCCTTCCTCATCATAGTTGACAGGGAAGCCAAATTTTTTTTTTCAGAAATCGAACCGCGGGTAACGTGTGTGCCGAACCGATGACGTCGATCCGAACGGATCACTGATCAATGATGATCCGTTGCACCACTAATTATAAAGCATTTTATCATGACTCACAAGGTCAGGTATTATAATGTGTTTTAACTGTCAACAGTTGGAAAAAGGTCGATCATCTTCTCCAGGTCAGAGGGGCGGTCCTGCCTCAAGTGGAGGAGTTCAAGTATCTCAGGATCTTGTTCACGAGTGAGGGTAGGATGGAGCGGGAGATCGACAGGCGGATCAGGGCGGCGTCAGCAGTGATGCTGAAGACGCTTCGATAAGTCGTAATGAAGAAAGAGCTGAGCCGTAAGGAGAGACTCTGGATTTACCGGTCGATCTACGTGCCGATCCTCACCTATGGTCATGAACTTTGGGTAATGACCGAAAGAACAAGATCGCAGATACAAGCGGCTGAAATGGGTTTCTTCCTCAGGGTGTCCGGGCTCAGCCTTAGAGATAGGGTAAGGAGCTCGGACACTCGGGAGGCGCTCAGAGGAGAACCGCTGCTCCTCCACGTCCAGAGGAGTCAGCTGAGGTGGCTCGGGCATCTGGTTAGGACGCCTTCTGGACGCCTCCGTTAGAGGTGTTCCAGACATGTCCCACCGGGAGGAGACCTCGTGGTCGGCCCAGGACCAGGTTGAGGGATTATATCTCTCTCCTGGTCTGGGAGCGCCTGGGAATCCCCCCGGAGGAGCTGGTGGAAGTGGCCGGGGTGAGGGCCGTCTGGGCTTCCATCCTGAAGCTGCTGCCCCCACGACCCGGACCAGGATGAAGTGGAAGAAAACGACGACGATTATTGCTATAAAGCATTATGATCAATTATTAGTGTTTATAACAACAGTTATATAGTGCTGTAAAGTAGTGATGCACGATATGAAAAATTTCAACCGATACCGATAACCGATAAATTCATATTTTTACATTTATTATAATCTTCATATAATCTGCAGTTTGTGCAGGATGCAGCGATTGAAAACTGATGTTTTTGTTGCTCTGGCCTATCTAGAACAACAAACTAAAGTTTTTGGCTCTTCAAATGTGGTCATTTGCTATAAATAACAATAACAGAGCAAAAAGCAGAACTTCATTTGATCCCCTGAACTGTTCAACAGAACTGTAAACTGTAAAGGAGCCATTATGAGACGTTAGGCTTAGCATGCTGACCGGACTAACATCTGACGTCCATATGTCTGTGGTAAAACTCACGTGTAGTCCGTTCTTGTCGATCAGGTTGTGAATGTATGTGGCGACAATATCATAGAGTGCAGGAAGAGACACATCCGAGAAGAAGCGGCGGCTTGGGAGAGTGTAACGTGGCTCCAAGTGTGCTATTAACTTACGAAAACCCGGGTTCTCAACGACGGAAAAAGGCTGGTCGTCGACCGCTATGAACTCCATCACTTTGTCGTTAATGGCTTTAGCCTTTTCGCTGTCTCTTGAGAGGCTTTTGCAGTTTTTAAACGCCTGCTGAATGGGGACATCGATCCTCCGTAGTGTTGTTGTCTTAGCTTTAGTACCGCTAGCAGCTTCGGCGGCTGTCTCATAGTCCTTTAATACTGCTCCGCCGCGATGGCGACTTTTCAGATGAGCTATCAGATTCGTTGTGTTAAAACTTGACGTCTTCTTTCCTCCTCTCGGAATCCTCGCTGAACAGGTTTTGCATATAGCAGCTGTTGTCATCTTCTGCCACTGAGAGAAACGACCATGCTGGTGAAGACATTTTATCATCTGACAGGCAGTGACGGGGTCAGGCTTGGGACCTGCGAGTAAGGCGCGATAGACGACGTGACCAGCGCGTCTCGGACGGGCGGCTACTCCGCCTGCAAACGTTACTCGTAATTTCATTAATATATCGGATCTTTCTATCGGAAAAATGCACCTATCGGACCGATAAAAAAATGACGTAATTTCCCCCCAAATCGGCCGATATTTTATCGGTCCGATAAATATCGTGCATCCCTACTGTAAAGTGATTATAACACTTTATAAATATATTTATAGTGCGTTATAGAGATGGGCGTCAAGGAAAGTGTTAGTGAAGAATTTTGAAGTGTTGGAAACAGGCGGCAGAAATGTTGTTTCACATCATAATGAGAGTAACAGGTACATTCAAGTGTTCTTCTCAATGAAAACAAAAGTGAGTGAGAGTCTGAAAGCATCAACCAAAATGAGTTCAACAATAATATCAACAAAAATCAAATATCCTCATAAACACAACTGATCACAGACAGGGACAGATAACTAGACCGACTCCTGTCTGAGTATGGTTGATTTACTGCTGATACTAAAGACTGTTATGTATAGAGCAATCACCTCCTGGAATCAACCTCCACAATATCTGGTATCAATCACCAGCAGAGTGGGTTTAAAGAACAGACTGAGAGGAGAAGTTTTGCAGAAAGAGATTACTAACGTCATGACTGGTTCATTTATCTTCTTCTGACTTATTTTTTGCTTAAATTCATTTCAGTTTCTGGTTATTGTTTTTATATTGATATTATCTTGATTTTTATGTACTTTATGTCATATTTTATTCATTATGGTACTTTTTCATCACTGAGAATATTATTTGTCTTTAGGTACACCAATGTGTATATTGTAGGCCATTAGTTCTTTGTTTAATTTTTGCTAAAAATATATATCTGTTTTTATATTGCTCTTTTTATCTTTGGTACGAACATTATTGTGTAAACTCCAAGTTATTGTTTTTTTTATTTATTGTTTTTGCTATTTTTGCATTACAAGATTTTATTATTGATCATGCTGTACTGTATTGTATGAATTTTTTTGTGATTGTGTGATAAAGAATAGTCTCCACTGCGGTGTAGACTAATGGGGATCCTCAATAAACTAAACTAAACTAAACTACTGCGCTCTTGTTTGTTGCAGTTAAACCTATTCATTATTTATGTGTGCTTATTTGACGCTGTATGAAGCTCTGGATACTTACGAGTGTTTCTATTGCATGTGTTCTGATTTGACGAGTTTACATGGGTGTCTGGAAACTTTCTGGTTTGGACTGGTTTTTATTGGATTGGTCTGGAAACTGTCAGTTTGATCTGGGAACACTGGTTCCAGTTGAGGGTTTGACACTGCTCTCTCACACACTTTCACAGGAGACTGAAGAGTTTCATTTCTACACCAACACTCATCCTTCACAGCATTAGAGGATCATGTAAACTCTGTCCCAGCAGTGCTCAGGATGATGATCCTCCACCCTCAGACTCTGTCCTCCTCTCTCTCTCTTACCCTGATCAGAGGGAAACTGTGCATCCTCTTGTAGTCGGCCTCCTCCTTCTTCACCTCGGCAGTCCCAGCCATCCCGACTCCTGAAAAAGGAAACATAGGTTAGCAGAGATCTCTGAGAGTCAGCTCAGACAGTCTAGTGTTTCCAAACAGGCTAACATCTGCAGCTAACATCCATCTGAATCATGCAGAGCCTCAGAGGATACACCGGGGCGAACAGGCTCAAACATGGATGTGGCTCAGCTCTTCCTACCGTAAATAAATCACATATAAATGCACGTTTATCAATAAGACCCCGCAGGATGATATTTGAGAGCGTTAGCAGCCTTACAGGTTCCCGGCTAATTAGCCTAGCATCCATGATAGCAAACAGCTGATGCTACCGGCTGATGTTTCTCCTTCAAATCAACGTACTGAGAAAAGCAGACGGAATATGAAGAAAAGATCGTATCGGAGATGTCAAATAGACACAGCGACGAGGAGGTGGATGAATAAAAGTGTGTAACTTACGTGGCGTTTGTCCAAAATAAACTTGTGTTTGACTCTCAGTTCGGTTGTTAGGGAGACATTTTAAACAACTGATGTCTCCACAGAGGAAGACCCGCCCACCACAACACAACTCCACTCCTATTGGTTCACGAACCGTCAATCATTTGAAAGATGATATTTAAAGTGATAGTGCAACAACGTTTATCTTTTAATACAAATACCTTTATATCAAACATTTGGGTCTTTTTAGGTGATATATTCACAGAAGTCGCACTTTACCAGATAAAAATAGGAAAACTGGAGTTATTATAACGATTATTATGATTATGACTATTATTAGTAGTGTTATATATCACTGAATAATAAAAAAGTCTCACCGTATGTCTTGGTTTTAACTTTAGGTAATAATGTTAACAGAGAACTTCCTGAAAACCTGAGGACTCTACCTGACTCATAAGGTAAAAGCAGATCAGATAAATAAGAAGGCTCAAAGCCATTAAGAGCTTTAAAAACCAAGAAAACAAACATAAAATCTGTTCTAAAAGAGACAGGGAGCCAATGTAGAGACCTAAAAATCGGTGTAATGTGCTCTCTCTTTCTGCAGATGAATTTTGGAGTAATTGCAGGTGTAAAATGTTCTTTTAGGGCATTACAATAATCTATTCTACAAGTGATAAAAGCATGAATTCATGTCTCTGCATTGGCTTGAGAGAGAAACGGTCACACTCAGGTAATGTTTTTTAAATGATGATATCTCGTATGTGAGGCTCAAACCTCAGTTCTGAATCAAATAAAACACCTTCATTTTTGGCTTGTTGACTTGGATTCTAGGATAATGCTATAGGAGTTTGCTGACCAGTTTCTCTCTCGTCCCCTGTCCCAATGACTAAAACCTGAGTTTTGTCCTGGCTGAGCTGTAAAAGGTTCAGGATTTAATGTCTATAATGCAGTTAAAAAGGGCATCGAGTGGCCCTGTGTCATCAGGAGACACGGCAACATAAAGTTGTGTGTCATTAGCATAGCTGTGGAAATTGATGCCGTGCCTACATGAATAGTGTAATATATTACTAAATGTTCAATGTATAGCTGTTTAAAGAAATAAGTATCTCAGTACCCTCTTTCCTTACTGTGAGGAGCAGTGAGTACATGTTTGTTTGCAGGCATCCTTGGCCTTGGCCTCCTCCTGCTGCATGATTATCCCCTCCCTGATATAAGACTGTAAAAGGAGAGATGCTGCATCCTTGTGTATAACCTCCTCTGCATTTAAATGATTAGGTTCATATTCTCTTGATCATTGATCTTCACAATATTCTCATTTTCTGAGGTTCTGAATTTGGGGTTTTCATTACCTGTAAGACACAATCATTAAAACTAAAAGAAATAAACACTTGACGTGACAAAAAAGGCAAAAGTATATGATGCCAAAAACGGTGTATAGTTAAAGGGATATTCTGGCATAAAATTAATTTAGGGTCAAACACACCGTAACACCGAGTTAGACCCCCCCTCCAGAGATGAATGTTGTCGACCGCTTCCTTCTCTAGTTATACCAACTTTAGTAACGACCGCAGGATAGAAATACAGAGAGCCACGCCCTCAACCAAAACGCCACTCTATAGCCACAAATAATGCTCAGAACAGCACCTAACTTCATCAACAGGACATATAGGGTCACAGACATAGTACTAGACACCAAACATCTTTTTAACTTTGACTCATTTCTTTAGCAAAGAGACTAAACACAACTCACCTACTCTCTTCCAGCAGACACTTGTTTGTAGAGAGACCTCAGGCCAGTCCATTACGGACTACAGCGGGGTGCCGCAGCTCAAGGAAGAACATTTATGATCATTTCTTCATGGAAATACAATCAGACCGAGACGCTAAGACAGAAGAACTACCGCGTCTGTAAAATGATTAATATGGTGATTATTACTTCAAGGAAATGATAAAGAAAAGATGTTTGGTGTCTAGTACTATGTCTGTGACCCTATATGTCCTGTTGATGAAGTTAGGTGCTGTTCTGAGCATTATTTGTGGCTATAGAGTGGCGTTTTGGTTGAGCGCGTGGCTCTCTGTATTTCTATCGTGCGGTCATTACTAAAGTTGGTATAACTAGAGAATCAAGCGGTCGGTCATTAACTATTGTGTATTTGACCTCTTAATCTTAATTTTATGCTGGAATATCCCTTTAAGTTAAGTTTCACACTTCTGCAGCGTCGTGGACGTGACCATGATTTAATATGGAAACAGTCGAGTATCTAAATCCTCTCTTTAATCTGAACTGAACTGGACAGGTGTGGTTGGTTACTATACATCTCTCCCCTGTCTCTCTCTCTGTCTCTCTCTCCCTCTCTCTCTCTCTCTCTCTCTCTCTCTCTCTCTCTCTCTCTCTCTCTCTCTCTCCGCTCTAAAATTACACCACTATCTGTTATGCTCTCGTGAGTACTAACCCTTTTAATCCGTCCCTAATCAGCCCTCTTACTGGATCCGACCCACATTCAGCTGGAAACATCTGGGCGGTGGAATCCCCATGTGGAGAGTTTTGACCCAAAATTGTCAGTCTGTTTTACACACACACACACACACACACACACACACACACGCACACACACACACACACGTAAACCCAGTGTGGGAGTTCTGTCTGTTTGGCCGGGCTGTGCTTTTCACCTCACACGCCCGCTGGAATAACTCAGACTGAAACACCACCAGGAGCATCTGGATTGATTTTAAACACCGACTCTCCTCTGGATTAGAGCGGATTAGCAGCTCCTGTGAAGACAGACAAACAGATGATAATCTCTCTCTTTCTCTCTCTACCTTCAGTCATGCAGGAGAGATGAAACTTGTTGACCATAAATACGAAGAGCTCTCCTCTACCATCTCTCCTGTCGGTGTGCCAGCTTGGCGTACAGAGAGCCATTAACTAATCGCACATTAATAGATTATATTACGTAATATTTTGCATGTAATTAACCCATCTGACCTAGTTTGGTTGTAGTCAAACATGCGCTGTATCTCTCAGAATTCTGTGTTATTAAAATTGAATCCAATCCAGATTTAACACATAAACGATATTTTCTTTAAAGCGTCTGCGTGTATTTGACAGAATATTTCAAACATTTTCTCTTTATTTAAAGTCAGAAATGTAGAGAGAGATGAGAAGCTAAGGTGTGTAGGAGAGGGTATCTGCAGTTTGGTTGAATAAACCTTAAATCTTCGACTCTCAGAGCTCGTCTTAACTTTGTGTTTAAGGGGCCTCGATCGTAACTTTTCCTCAGCAGGATCATATATTCCTCAGGCCCTCTGTTGTCTTTTACTCCACAGAGGAGTATTAGAGCGTGAGATGAGAGAGTAAAACTGGAGAAGGAGGTTTTTCTTCATTATGTTTGAGGGAAAAAAAAGTCAAAATGTCAAGAAAGAAGTCGAAACTCAAAAAGTAAAAAGTTTAGTTATGAGAGAAAAGTTGAATTCCACGTTAATGTGCAGATCTGCTCGCTCACTTCAACAGTCGGTACGTTTACATGAACAGTTCAGTGCAGAGTTACAGTTAGAGGTCGACTCTTCTCATCCCAGTTTGCAGAAAATCCAGTTATATTGTCACGTCCACCTCCCCGACCATAGGTGGCAGCACGCCTCTTTTCAGCTTACATCCTGTTGACCTTTGACATACCAGCAAAAGGCGGCAGTCTTACGTTTCTTGTTCCTGGGGGGAGTTTTATGTATACATCATAGACTGTATATAGAATGGACGCCGTCTGCCTCCTCTCTGGGTGAAGCCACTGCAAGAACAGCGCCCTCTGGTGACGGGCTGCAGTATAGGTCATAAATCCCGCCTCCTTATGGAGCTGTGGACAAACTTTATAAATTTAATACAGAAAGAGCTGGAGTTGAGAAGGAAAAGGCTTAAAAGTTGTCTTCTTTTTTTTTTTGCATTCAGCAATGTGCAGTTCCGATGCGGACGTGTAGCTCCTTCTAGCTCGATCTTTTTTCTTCGTCCTGCTAGCTACTTTATGCTGCGTTTGAGTTACCTTGGAAGTCAGTTTCTAGCGTTTCAGTTACCTAGTCAAAAAAAGCAAAATCAGAGGCAAGTGCTAAAATAACATAAGTAGATGTAGCCATCTTGTTTCCACTTCTGATTTTGCTTTTTTTGACTTGGCGCTGGTAACTCAGGTGAAACGTCATTCCTAGCTCGCACATCTGACGTACCTCTAACGCAGCATTAAACTGTATAGAGAATGGACGCAGTCTGCCTCCTCGCTCCACTCCGAGAACAAATCAAATCAAATCGAAAAACAGAAATCAAAAGGTTCAAATCCCGGACGAGACCCCAATATGTGACTCCCCTGGTTCAGGGCGAAGCAACATAAAGGAGATGAGACCAGGAATGCAAACGATAATGTTTACTGATAAGAAAAGGATCTGGTCAAACGAAGGAGAAAAGATGTCCTGGCTGCAGGTAGAGAAAGAGTGGGAGGAGCTTCAGGTGAGAAAACAGAAAATCAGTTTGCCAGAAGGTGTGCTTTTTCTGGAGAAAACATCTACACCTGTGAGAGAGAGGGGAAAGCAGTGTTTACATTTAAAGCTCCTGTGAGGATTTTTTTGTTTGTGTCAGCTTTGGCGCCCCCTGTGGACAAAGCAGCTTTTGCATTTCTTGTCCTCTACATGCCTCAGCTGCATCTACTGACAAAATAATCTCATCTCCTGACCTTTGACAGTGAAATGCATCATTTATTGAGATCATTTCATGTGGAAACTTTAAAAACAAAAGCGTTTCTGCAGTTTGACAAACACCTCAAACCAGTTTAAGGGATAATAAGACTGTACAGAAAGCATCAGTCTTATTGGTGAAGTCTTTGTTTGCTTCTCCATGTTATAAAGAGGAAAAAAAAAAACATTGAAATGATGTTTAGGACAATTAAATGCATTCAGGTGGTGCACGAATTTAAAGTTTGAATAATGTCAATCTGAGAAAACTTCAGTATTGACTTATAAGTGCTGGATGCTGCCACTCACCTTAGACCGAGACTGAAAAATGTTAAAGTACAGAGAAAAAGAGTGTGTTTTTTTTTCGGGGGTGGGGCTTTAATACCCCAGTGAGGGACTGACAAAGAAAAGAGCCGGAGGGCAGGAAGGGGAAGCTGAAATAAGAACGCCAAAACAAAGCAGAGGGGCTCATAGTGAGGGAGACGGAGGTGTTTTAGACAGGAGGAGAAGTTAAAAATAAAAGATGAAAAGATGCCGAGAGGTACAAAAGGTGTATGAAGGAGAGGAGGAAGAGGAGGAGGAGGAGGAGGAGGAGGAGTCAGCATGAAGACCTTGAGGACAGAATTCATCATAAGTGGATATATCCTGTAAACACTGTGTGATAAATTTACAATGAAGCTCAAGGTGAAGGACTGCTCCCTGCTGAAACTGCATGACGTGGATGAGGCTCAAGTGTGAAAACGGACTGAGAGTGGAGCTTGAATCCAAGTTTTAATCAGATTTTATCATCTGACTGACGTTATGAGCATCTATGCTGCAGGGGAAGAGGAAAAGTCCACAGAAATGAAGATTCTGAGTAAAATAATAACGTTTGAGTTGGCGTCTCCATGCCTCTGTGTGACAGTGGGGATGGTGGGTGGTGGTGGGTCACACAAGAATTTCATAACTCACTCCTGCCTCAGAGATGGTGATTAAGACAGATCTATAATTCAGCAGCAGAGGAAGCAGATTGTTGAGGAGGGGGAAGGAATAAGACCCCGAGTGACTCTGCTAACAAGCTGTGACAGAGATCAACAGAGAGATGAAGCGGAGAATCAGAGGAGGAGGAGGAGGAGGAGGAGGAGGAGATATCTACACAGACTGCATGATTCACTGACTGACTGTCAGGCCGACCGACTGTCTAATTGACTGGATGGTTGATGACTCAATCACTGACTCACTGACTCATTCAACCAGAGATGATTGATTCAGTGATTGATCCGGAGCTGCAGGGAGGCGAGCCAAATGAGAGCTGCCTCAGGTGAATATATCATCCTGCAGCCGGCGAGATCCCCCTCCATTTTTCAGAGCTGTTGTTCATCTTTGATGATGTGTGTGTTTTTAGAGAGAAACTGTTGAACTGAGCAGAAACGGAGGGATTAAGATGAACGCTGGAAAAAAACGGATTATCCACAGAAGACTACAGCCTCATTCGCTTCAGACAGGGGGCTGTTTCTGAGCTTTGTTTTCTCAGAGAAGAGAAGAGAGGAGAAGAGAAAACTAAGTATAGAATCGAAAAGAATAGAATAGAATAGAATAGAAAACTAAGTATAGAATAGAATAGAATAGAATAGTTATTCTTAGTATAGAATAGAATAGAATAGAATAGAAATCTTAGTACAGAATAGAATAGAAAACTTGCAATATAATAGAATAGAATAGAAAGGAATAGGATAGAATAGAATTGAAATGAATAGAACAGAATAGAATAGAATAGAAAACTTGGTATAGAATAGAATAGAATAGAATTGAATAGAATAGAATAGAAAACTCCTTGAATAAATGAGAATAGAGTAGAAAACTCAGAATAGAATAGATGAGAATAGAATGGAATATAAAACTTGTTATACAACAGAATAGAAATGAATAGAATACAATAGATAACTCAATAGAATTTGATAGAATAGAAAAGAAAACATGGAATAGAAAGAAATATTGAATTCCAATGGAATAAAAAAAGATAAAAGAAAAGACAAAATTTTATAGGTAAGAAAATTTAGGATAACAGAAGAGAATATAATAAAAATAAACATGGAATAGACTGGGTTTAGAAAATAAGAATGACATTAAATTAAAAAAGAATAGAACAGAATAAAAAAATGGAGATATAGAAAAGAATAGAGTAGAAAACAACAGAATTAGAGACAATTAAAACATGGAAAAAGCACAAGTAATAAAGATAAATAGAATTAAATAAATCATATTTTAACAGAATAACTTTAAAATAGCTTTGAATGAAATAGAAATGAAAATAAAATGCAACAGATTAGAACAAAACAGAAAAAGTAGAATAGTGTAGTATAGAAAAATGGATTAGAATAGAATAAGAAATAACAATGTTGACTGAAATATAAAAGAAATAGATTTGAAAAAAAAAAAGAATTAATATAGAAAAGGAAAAAAATGAAAACACAAAAGAATACCTTTGAACTTAATACAAGTGAAAGCAGAACAGACCAGACTAGACTAGACTAAAAATAGACCAGACTAGAGTAGACTAGAATAGAATAGAATAGACTAGAATGGAATAGAATGGAATAGAATAGCGTCTTCTAAAGCTCTGTCTTCAGTTTTGCTTGTTGGTCTTCCGTACCGTATCTGGAGGAATAAATCGTAAAACTTTGATCAGGTGTTTGATCCTCAAACAGAGTTTGTCCTCCGAGTAAAAGACAGGAAATCAAACCAAAGTCAGAAAAAACAACAATCGTCTAAAACATGATCTGTGGGAGGTTACAAATCAGATCACAGTTCATTCGAGCCGAACGCCAAGAAACGTGGGCGTGGGCAGATCAGCAGTCACGAATCAACCTGGTCTTCCTCAGAAGTATGAGTAATCTATTATGTCTACATCCAAGATCAGAGTCTCTGTACGTCTCTGCTGAATACGAGCACACACACACATACACACACACACACACGCACACACACACACACACACACACACACACACACACACACACACACAGTGATTCAGATGAGTTCTACGTGATCTCACATTAAAAAAAAAATAAAAACACATTTTTAAAACACACGAGCACACTCTGGTAAGGTTGTCATGACCATTTTATCTTTATTTTTTTTAATCCACCTATTTCACAATATCATAGAGGCTCAATAAAGATGCAAATAAGGACAAGCGCGACACTTTCACAGCCTTCAACAACCAAAAGCAAGAGAGACAGAAAGAGAGAGAGAGAGAGAGACAGAAGAAAGAGACGACGGAGAAAAAAAAACATTTCACTATCATCAGCGGGCGTCGGAGCCCAGGCAGGCACTTTACAAACAGGTGTGGAACCACAGGTGGGGGCTGATGTCTTGAGGTAATAAGTGGACAGAATATACGGACTGAAATTCACTTTACTGCACAGTGCTGCATGTGTGGTGTGGTGGGAATCAAACCCTCACCTCTGAGAGCCCATCCGGAGATTAAATACATCCTGTCTGAGTAAAACGACCTCCCCGTGTTATAAATCAGTTTCTTACAGGATATGACAGTATGTTGATTTTATTTCAGCAGCCCTGCTACATGAACAGCTGAGCTTCTCTCTGTGCGTTAATGTCTCGTCCTGTTTATGATCACAGATGGGATTGAGGCTCAGAAGAGAAATACTCGGGTCCATTCAAATGTCAAGAGTGTTCCCAGCACGGTAAACAAGGTCTAAATGGAGTCCCAGACTAAATTTAGACCCAGGTGAGTCACTGTTCTTGTATTTCTGAGAGCACAAACGTGCGGCTGTTTTAGAGGTAAGTGAAGAGACAATCTGGGTTTGGTTTGATATTAGTTTGTGGGACTTAAATTAAGGAGTTAAAGTGATTTTATAATCAAAATACAAGAAGGAACTACTATATTATATATTATTTAACACGGTAAAGTAGGACTGGGCGATTTTATGATCGTGGTTAATGATCGTGATAAATTTCAGTTTGATCACGGTGATCACAGAGTCAAGCTTGACATGATTGAACATGGAGTTAAACGTGGAGCTGAGGGCGGCAAAATAGATGTCAGACGTGACTTTGGGTCATCCCCTGAAGATGTTATTGTTGAGAAGAAAGAAAACAACGTTGTTTTTGTGGCGGTGGTTCGGGTATCTCCAGTGATGTCGAGCAGATCTGTTTAATCATTTGAAGAAGTTCTTCCTGAGTGATTATGAGGAAAACATTAAAATGTGGGCGGAGTCTGTACAGCCTGTCACTGCTGACGGTACGAGTAGCATTAGCAGTTTAGCTACAAGTAGCGGTGCAGCCACCAGACCAAAGTAATCAATCGTATCATCTACGTTTACATCATCTAATGTTTATATTTCAGGGCGTCTTCATGATCTCTGAGGGGACGTTTGTTTATTTTGGGTCTTTTTACCTGCAGAAACACTCAGACTGTGAACTAGTTCACTGTTTTATTTAGTATTTATCTACATTTGTTGTTCTGTTGAGTTTAAAAAGTTTTTATATTTTTCGATGTTTATCTTATTTAATTTGTTTTGTTATTTACTTTATATGTTGATAAAATCTTGAACTAATCTCTAGTTTCTTTAGTTTTTAGTTCAGATGCTTTAAAACTGGCAGTTTAAAAAAAAATCGTGATAATAATCGAGATCGGACGATATGAAAAAAATATATCATGATCATTTGTTTGGGGTCAAATTGCCCAGCCCTGAAGTTGGAAATGTCTCATCGGAGTAAAACCTCTTGTGTGGATTTCTTTGAATTGACCGGCCAGTCTGAACTATTCTTACACACGATATTTCATTTCTTAAAGGAAAGTAGTAAGCGCCCTCGGAGGAAGTCTTTCCCTCTGCTGTCTTCAAACCTACTTAAAATAACATTTTAGTAGGTTTAACATTTTAGCAGAGCTGAGGGCCGGGGAGCGTCCCACCACCAAACCATCTACAGTCCAATCTTTGTGCATTTATGTTGGTTTTTTCTGGAGCCAGAGGAACGGGGGTGAAACTCTTTTGTTTCTGTACCAAGTCTGATACTCAGTAGGAGAATCAACATATTCCAACGCCTCTCTGCTTGTATTCTGTGAGGATCTGATTCACCACAGAGGCATCTGTGCGATGATTCTTCGAGGACACAAACCCTTTAGTTCATACATTTAAAGCTTGTTTCGTCGACAGGGTGACTTTGCTCATGCAGATACATTTACACTCCATCTGTTTTTTTTTTACATTCCAGGAGAAAACACACATTTAAGAAAGAAAAGAAAAACTCTCTGGGGTTTGTCACAGTTGAAGTGTTTGAACGGTGCTTAAGTATACATGGAGTCAGTTGGGAGCGCTCCTGTTTAAGGACTGAGAGTGTTGTGTGAGGCTACAGTTATGTGGAGCAGACTGGCACAGAGCAACATTAGCAAAGATAGGTTACACATTATACACTTATAAGACCACTGGTTTACCACATCATGGTAATGTAAAAAACAAACAAACGTAGAAGTACACAGACGACTCTGAACAGGATCATTTACAGTTAAAACTTATCATTACGTGTTAAAATCAGCACAAACCATAATCACATCTCAGGACTCAGTTTTAGCGTCAAACTCGACCAGCTGGACACAGAAACGCTCCGTCACTCTGCCGATAGGAAACCTTTAGACATCTTTAAAGGCTCCTCTCTAAGCCTACATTCCCACTCTTGGATCACTTGTACCGCAGATCCTGATCACGACAGAAACTGATCCCTCCAGGTGATCCTACCGTGTCTCACTGCAGAAGTTAACACAAGAGCGTGGACACCAACACTAACGAACAAAACAGATAAAACTTCCCCTACAGCCTTTTAGCTCTGTGACATATGTCTGTCCACCAGCAAGCTTCCCTGTGATTCGCTGTTAAACATCTTCTAAATTGTCTCCTATATTGACCTATTGAACACGGACCTCCCTCAGTAACCTTTCACTGTTTGGAGCTGACGGGGTTGGACCGCTGAGCGGCGTGGCACGGGTCCAGGGACTCCTTGGTTGCGCCTCCGTAGACATCTACGTCGAGGTCAGTCCAGGGGGCGATGTTTCCCAGCGCTGAGGAGCTGCATTCAGCCAGAGCGGCCACCTCTGCTGGCTTCAACACTCGGTCCCACAGGTTGAACTGGGACAGCTCCCCGACCAGGGCCTGGGAGGCATCAAAGTGGCCGCCCAATGTATCCTTGGTCAGAAGAGTTGGAAAAAACAAATGGGTTGAATGTTAGAATGTGAAGTTTAATACCCAAGAGACCAAACTTCACCTAAACCAGTTTCAAGGGGACATACTCTCAACAAATCTCAAGATCTTCCTGAGAGACTCCAAATTAACGAAGAACCGAGGCAACGTCTACGCAACATCGTGTTAAATGTAACTGCAATGAAACACTTTGGCCGTCACTCTTGTGTCGACCTGTTTTACTCATATTTGCAGAGTGTTGAATACAATACAATTTTGGCTCCAAAGACTAGACGTCTCAACAGACCTAACTGCTTCCATGTGGGGTGCAAGAGGGTACTTTAGGCAGTGTTTTCCCTATAGAGTATTTGGCAGAGCGCCCACCCTGCCAATGCGATCCCATCCCAGAGACTGAAGTGGTAGTGTGGGGCAGCAGGAGCTCAGGAGGTAGAGCAGTTGTCCAATAACCGGAAGGTTGGCGGCTAAATTCCCCCCTATCCTGAGTCTGTCTGAACCCGCCTTCCTCCCAGTGTGTGTCCTCCACTGGTGTATGATTGTGAGTGTTGTGTGGTGGTGGTCGGAGAGGCCGTAGGCGCAGACAGTTTCCGTCAGTCTGCCCCAGGTCAGCTGGGAGTACTAAGGTAGTTTACTACCTCCAAGGTGTGACTGTGTGAGCGAATGAATGATGTATCCAATGTAAAGAACTTTAAGGGTCTCTGATAAAGCGCTATAAAAATCTGAAGCATTATTATTATACGATTAGTTTCTGTTTTTATCAAAACGGCCTCTCTTTCTATCTCACAACATACACCTCTGCTGACATGCCGCGCCGCATAGTTCAGAGGCCACACCCACTTATTCTGGGATTCTGGTCGTGAGCTCTTGTCACTCATACTCTGCCAGTTTTGCACAGGATGGTTTTGACATTCTTCAACAAGACGGTACGTAGTGAGGCGGACGCCGCACAGTCTCAGTCACAGACTCGTCTCCCGCCACCCCGTATGACGCATACATTAGGGATGGGCGATAAATTATTGTTCACGATATATCATCAGAAAATTCCTCCACGATAAATATTTGCTGTCTTACGATAAACGCAATAAATGCAGGTTGATGACTTAAGTGGGAGCGATGGACTCCCAGCTGTAGCCCACGCAGAGCAGAATAACAAACAAACATGGCTGAAGGTGGTGAAGAAGACGTTTCTGAGCAGCTTGTTCCTGAACGAGGCGCCACATGAGGGATTTCCTTCAAGATCGGGGATTAGACGAGCGCCATCAGGTCTGCCTGACATCGGACAGCGAATCTGCTAACGTTCACTCTGTTCGATAACATCAAATGTTGAAATTGTTTTGACATTTGAAACTTGTTTGATTTCGCTAGTTTTCTCCGTAACCTACCGCTCAAACTTCTGGTTAAATATCTTATTTTTTATTGTCTGCCAGCTGGTGTCCTCGAGACAAAATGAGTCAAAAATAAGATCGGAATTATAGTAATTTTTTTCATTATCCACACATCTCCCACCCCCTAGTGGACATACGTCGTATGAGGTGAGGTATGTCTACTTCATACCCCCCCCCACCATCACGCCAAAGTGAAAAAGGCGGGTAGGAACGTGTTTGTTTCTTCATTAGATGTCATCACCCCCATGTTTATAGCTGACTGATTGAGTGAATTATTAATACTTCAGGCCAAAATGAAAGTCAAATGTTATGTCAACACTCCAGCAAAGACACCCACCACTCCTGTCTGTGTGCTGTATACTTTCACCACAGAGGCTTCTCTCTGTAAGTGTGAATGTTTGTTTCTAAATAAGAGCCGCACACATTCAGACCTGAAATTAGACTCTGATCTCGAGCTTTTTTGGAAGTGATGCAGTTGGCGAACAGAAAATACCAGAGTGGACATCCTTCCTGGTTAGATAAAAATATAAGAATAGACAAAGCATGTTGTGTCTGGATGATTCCTCGTGTAAAGAGATTAAAAATGCTTATCTCACGTTTTGGAAACTTTCATAAAAAGGGACATCCTGTCATTTTCCCCGTTATATCAGATCAACACATCCGCGTAACAGCAATCGACCGCTTATCCTCTGCAGAGATTATGAAAGCAGTCGCTCTCGCTTTGTGAAAATGTCCATTAAATTGAGTCTTGTCGAATTGGACTCCTTGGCCCTGTGCTTTTCATCCCCTATGAAAGGACAAGCAGGCGGCAGAATGAGCTTTGGTTTGTTCCTCTGACACCAGGGAAGGAAGGAGGGAGAATGTCAGATTTCATAATGGTTATATAATGTGGGTGTCTTACTAATGAAGGGCAGAGGCGGCTCAGCATGAGGATGAACACAATTAGGTTTGCTGTCTGTTCATGTGTGAAAAGCTTGTAATTATAACCTTCAAATAGCACATCTTATGACTCCATATCCACAAATATACACTCGTCCAGTTATTGATCAGAGTCTCCATCACCTCTCTATTAAATAATTCATCCATTCATCCTCTAATCAAGTATGATCCATCTGTCCATCCATCCTCAAGGTTCATCAAATCTAACCCAAGTGTCCTTCCAGCATCATATTTGGTACAAGCGTCCATCTATCATTCATCAACCACCCCTTATATCATCCACCCATCCATCCATCATTTATCCATCTATCCATCATTTATCCATCCATCCAACCATCCATCAAATGATCTATCAATGCATCAGGTAACTTACCATCAGTCATTCCTTCTTCTAGTTTCATCTGTGTTCATTTGTTTTTCATTGGTCCATACAACCATTACTAAACCATCCATCCATCCATCCATCCATCCATCCATCCATCCATTCATCCATCCATCCATCCACTCACCCATCCATCCATCCATCCACCCATTCATCCATCCATTAAACCATCAATCCATCCCTCCATCCATCCACTCACCCATCCATCCATTAATCCATCCATCATCCATCCAGCCATTCATTCATTCATTTATCCATCCATTCACTCACCCACCCATCCATTCATCCATCCATCTATTAATTAATCCACTCATTCACTCAGTCATCCATCCATCCATCCATCCATCCATCCATCCATCCATCCATCCATCCATCCACCCAACCATCCATCCATCCATTCATTCATTTATCCATTAATTAATCCACTCACCCATCCATTCATCCACTCACCCACTCACCCACCCATCCATCCATGCATTCATCCATCCACCCACCCAACCATCCATACATCCATCCATCCATTCATCCATCCACTCACCCACTCACCTATCCATCCATCCACTCACCCACTCACCCATCCATCCATCCATCATCCATCCATCCATCCACCCAACCATCCATCCATCCATCCATCCATTCATCCACTCACCCATCCATCCATCCATGCATTCATCCATCCACCCAACCATCCATACATTCATCCATCCATCCGTCATCCATCCATATACTCACCCACTCACCCATCCATGCATTCATCCATTCACCCATATGTCTTACCTGTTCTTGTCCCAGTATGAGGACCCCCCCTGGTTTGATAGGATGCCATGCAGCCAGCCCCTCTCCCCTCCCCTTCATCTTCCCTCCTTGGTAGGCCTTCCACACCCCGTCCCTCAGGGTCCAGCTGACACAGATGTGCGCCCACTCATCCTGTGGCAGGGACAGAGGCAGCTGCGCCACCTACAGGTCAGACATGACAGTGATTTTGGTAACTGAGTGATCTGAGCTCCACCGATCCATCGCACATAAAGATTGTGTTATGATTGGAGATTGGACAAGTGTGGGCAGTAATCATGGCAGACCATGGAAGCAGCGGTGAGTTATGTTAGCTGAACAGCCCCCGCTGGACCCGGTATTACCTCCAATCCAGTTTCAAACCTCACTCCCCCACCTCCACTCCTCTCTGATGGGAGCTGTAAGTGTAAACCCCATAAAAAGGTACGCTTTAATGCACTTTGTGAGACGGCTGAAAAGTGTTTGCCTCTCTTGTCTCATTGCAATAACATTTGTTTGCTTTGGGCAAAAGCTTTATAAATGTGATAAATTAAACAAGAACGAGGGCCTCTTCTAAACTCAGAGCCATCAAAGTTTTTTATTATTCGGGAAGAAACAGAATATTTATCGTCCTACTTTACAATTCATGCTGGTCCACTGTTGGCTTTCGATTTTTGTTTCTTTCTTTTTGTAACTCTAAATTATTCATGCAGTGTTCAAGTGGAACGCCTGTTCTTAGTGCTGCCTTTCCTGTAGCGAGAAAACACAGAGCAGGTGGGTATTTAAGCCACGGTTCGACTAACTCCAAAGCAGCATGAACTGGGCTTTGTTAAAGAGAAGTACTTATGTTCACCCCAGGCTGGGCTGCTCCAGAGAGCTGAATGAAACATGACATTGACTGAAAAATAAAGCGCAGGGTTTGAAGAAACCTGCATGATTAAATTTCATTAGTCTGCATTTTAAAAATCCGTTTTTAAACCGTTATCAAGCAATTCTAACCAATGTCTTATTTTTGGACTGAAAGACTTTATTATTATTTGCTTTTGGATTCACGATTGAGAGAAACGCTGCACTGCCACATGAGTGCTGTATATTCAGAAATGTGCAGGAGTCAGTGCAAAGATGGCGTCGGTTATTCTAAAGGCTCATTTATACTCAACGTTACATACGGAGATACAGACGGAGCTCTCCGTCCGTGCTTCGCGTTCTTTTTGTCCGTATTTCTGCACGAATCCTTTAAGTTTAAGGATACGGGCCAGACGGAGCAGTACCGCCAGAAACCATGGGGGGCAGTGTTGCTGCTGTCACTACCACAAAGGCATCTCTAGAGAGAAACGAAGAAGACAATAGCGGGGCTTTTTGAAGATCGTCGTGGATTTCTCTAAAGAAAAGAATTCTCCGTCCTCCAACTACGAGGCGTTTAGCGGCCTGACCGACCACCGCCTCCCCCAACGCTGCCTCCGTTAACACCCATGCCGATGTAAAGGACGCATGGAAGTATGTGGGCAGTGACGGAACCAGCGTTTGAAACGGACGCTTAGATTTTCATATGTATGGCGAGCATAAATGAGCCTTACTTGGGATTTTAACCACATTCGGACAGCTCTGATCCACAACGGCGGCAATTTTCGCCATACGCCAATTCCAATCGGATCCGTTTGCGAGGCTAATTTTGTGGCGGATTACAGACAGCAGTAATCGCAAAAACTCACAAGATCCCTCAGATTCACGTTCAATCGCGCGATAACAAGTTGTCTCTCTAAAGACAGACACATAGACATATAAGCAGTAGATTGTGTCCTTCCAGAGGAGGAAATCTACTTCTAGACTTCTAGAATCAGCATCTCCTCATCCATGGTGTCATCGGGGTGAAATGACGTCTAAAAACCTTTCACTTGTTCGTCTCCGCCCGTTTGCATGGTGTGAAATACGATCCTCCTGAAACACGGAGTGTTTTATTTTGAAAAGAAGCAGGATGTTTTATTTTGAAAAGAAGCAGGATGTTTTATTTTGAAAAGAAGCCGGATGTTTTATTTTGTGTCTGTGCCCGACTTCCTTTCCAGCACGGGTTAATCTGTGCTGAATTTATCCGCCATGCTCCGGCGTCCAGAAAAAATAGAACTCTTGTGATCAGCTGAGGAGTCCAGCGATCCGCAGAGGAACGGAAAGAAGTCGGTGTAAATTGACACGTTAACTTGAATGGTTACGATCAGCTACGATCGGAGGATACGACCTTTTAGGAGACGATCAGGATGAAGGTGGAGGTCGGGGGTCATGACGCTTTAGGCACTTTTTAGGAGTTCCAGTTTGTTTGTTTTTCAGCGTCTTTAACGAAGTTTCATCCTCAGGTCTGAGGTAATTTGCTCGGCCGCCCTTTGTGACACTCACATCAGTCTGTTTCGCACCTGTTCGCAGTGAGTGCATATTACTTTTGACTTGTCGCCTCTTAGAGTGTCATTCAAAAGCACAGTGGCGCTCTAATTTCCAATCACAGCTGCAGCAGCAGGAAGAGGCTCCAGAGGCTTAACGAAGGTGTATGTGATTAGAAAACTTAATCACATCATGATTAACACGTTAGCACCGTCGCTGAAAGCCCTACAGATTTTTTTCTTCATTTGCAACCAGCTTGAAGTGTTTTGCTGAATGATTTCCCCTGCAGGATATTTTGCTTAATTAAAAAGTAAGAAACCCACAAAGTACAAAATGATGATTTGTTCTTGTAGACGCTATTAATTTTAAAAAAGGAGAAAAAGTTCATTCGTGCTTGAACCGTCTCATCAGGCTTTCCAGGAGAAAAGACTCGGTCATCTACCTTGTCATTGATGAGCAGCTCCACGGGGTTGTGGACTCCCTGCAGCAGCACCAGCTCGTTAGGCTGCCCGGGCACGGAGTACGAGAAGGGGGTCCCGATCCCCCCTTCTTTAGCCTTCAACCACACGCAGGCGGTGAAGGCGTACATCTCTGTAATCTCTTTCCTCACCAGACCGTACATGTAGTTGGTCCTCATGGGGAAGGAGAGGACGAAGCCATCGGGGAACGACGGCTCTGTCAGCGCTTTAGAGACACAGATGAAGAAGAAGAAATCAGACGGAGATGAAGATGAGGCAGACGAAGAACGAGACAAGGGAGTACAGAGACGCAGTCGAGGCAAATCTAAACAAAGACCGTTTCTCTTCTTCTCATTTGTGCACATACAGAGTCAGGCTGAAGTTAATGATCATCCTCTTTAACTGGAGGCCACGCTGCTGCTCTGAAAACAGAGATGTTGTTCAGACACTCGCAGAAGTTTGGAGAAAGAATAAATAGAGAATACAGAAGTGCTCCTTCTCTCCTTTTTAACCTTCCTCTCGGCGCCTCATGAATTCTCCATTTTCTCATCTCGACTTCTTCTCTGTAGTTTCACTCCTCTCACCTACTTCAAGTCTCGTTTCTCTGTCTGCCTCCTTTAAGAGAAGGCTCCTGGAGAAACCTTTGTTGTTACACCCTGAAGTTTTCACCGAATTTATGGGTATGAAGATGAAAAGGTTACGCTTAAAAGGTAGGGCTGCACGATTAATCGATTTTAGACTGTAATCAGATTATTTCATTATGACGATGTTAGAAAAATTTAAATGACCAAATCCATTTTCCTCTCTATCATGTCTCGCGTCTCCAGGCCACCGTAGGCTCCTCCTTCCTGTGTAAACAAACATGGCGTTTGCTAAAGAAGGCGATAATTTCGTGGTTAAATAGGACAGGAGCGAGTCAGTCGTGTTGAATTGGTACGACTTCACAGTTTCAGATGAAGAGTAAACCACTCCCCGCTGTAAAGTCTGTCTGAAGGCGGTATCAATCCGTCACCACGGAAACTAATTCAGGAGGAAACGCTAAAGTTTTTTGTCGTATCGGCGTTTCAGGTGACTGTAAACGGTACTTTTTGAAAACGGGTCAGAGAGTGAATAAATCTGTAAACGACGACCATTTCATCTCCGTGTGGATGTCTATCTGCATCTCTGGAAACGATCATGTGACACACAGAGTAACTCTTTTATGGCGCCAAAACAACCTTTATACACATGCTCTGTACTCTTCTTCTGTCTTTGTGCGTTTCCTGTTACAGCGTTACAGCGCCACTCACTGGCTCGGCATATGAACTACATCGTTTTCAGTGGTTTGGTTTTGAGAGACGATAGAAAAACTTTTTATTTATAAAGTGAAGTTTGATGAAGTTGTTGCTGAATATAATATCGAATTTAAAAAATTTTTGCAGAGTTTTCAGAGAATAAAAATCTGGATTTTATTTTTGGCCACCATCGCTCAGCCCTCATGTTACTGTTTGAGGAAGTTTGGCCCCTGTAGAGGAAGAGTCATGTCACCATGACAACCCCGGAGTTTGAATCAGATGTATGGATACGGAGATTAAAGGGTTACACCTAAAAGCAGCAGAGAGTTTGTTTGTGTAAATCCGTCTTTGCCTCCAGTCCTGTTTGACGTTTCACAACCTCCGCTCTCATTAATCATCTTATCTTAATGGCTCACTCTCTCCTGCTGTGATGATGACCCACTTCATGTTCTCCTGCTCTGCTCTCATGTTCACCACCTTCCTGATGAAGCTGTTTACCTCCCTGCGTGCGCCACTTCAGCCATACATCCCTTCTTCTACTTCTAACCGCCCCTCAGCGCGTCCTCCGCCCTGCCCTGCAGACTCACTGTGTTCCAGCTCAGTGACGCGGTGGCTGACCGTATCGATGCCCTGGTTGATCTTCTCATGCTGGCCCTGCGTCTCCTTCCTCATGGCTTGACGCTCCTTCTCCAACATCTTTATCTTCCGCTCCAGCTCCCCTTCTAGGTCCTCCACCCTCCAGGTGCCCTTTCCGCGGCCAGGGGAGGCCTTGGATGGGGGCTTGGGAGCAGGGGAAGCAGGGGAGGCAGGGCGGCGACCTCCTGGAGGAGGAGGCGCCACAGGTGGGGAGGAAGCACTGCCCGTGGGTGGAGCAGGAGCTTTGCTGTTGCTGTTTCCAGTCGGGCTGCTGCTGCTGCTGCTGCTGCCTGTACTTGAAGGTGTTTCTGTGAGGTTCAAAGCAGCAGGTCCAATCTCCGCCTGCAGAAGAAGCAGAGGAGACAAATGATGGGAAAATATTTGGGATATAAAAGACAAAGACCAACAAAGAGAGACTGTCAGAGAGACGAGATCAGGAGTGCTGTGAAGAACAACTAATCTGCTTATCAGAGATCGATGACGGCTCGGCCCAGGCAGAAAACACGGTCTGCTCTCAGAGGGTTTTGGAGTTGTGGTGGAGGAAATGGTGGATAATCGTTTTCTGAGCAGCACTTTGAAGCATTATCATGAAATATTGCACAGATGCCCATTTTTCTTTGTGCATTTCAAGCTTCTGATGTTTCTGAATCTCGACTTCACCTCACCTTCATCACCTGCAGCACTAATGATGGTTTTACTGAGACCGCTCTGTGCTGATTTAAAATCCTCATTTTTATACTTAAAGCTCCTGTGAGGAACTTTTTGGTTTATATCTGATTTGGCGCCCCCTGTGGACAAAGTAGTCACTGCACATCTGCTGGCACCTACCTCCTCGTAGTTTTAAAATGAGAGTAAATAAATGATCAGTTCTTGTTCCTGATGATCTTGTTTTCTTTTGGATACCATGAAAAAGCACCTGTCAGGTACTTTTTAATCTGGTATCTAACTTTATTGTTCGTACACTCTGGCTGCTCTGGGAGGTTCATATAATAGGAACTACATTTCCCTTATGTACCAGCATTAAAGAGCACTGTGTGCTATTGAAATGTCATTATCCACTCTGAGTTCCTCTTTATTACTCGGCTTTAATGAAGGTCCAAAGACCAAATACTCGACATTTAAACTAAGTAAATGGATTTCTTCTTCTTCTTGGGATAAAAGCAAACACTCGACTTTATTAAACACACTCTCTGGGCTCTGCTATCCTGAATGAGTGTTGACCAGGTGTCCACTGTCAATAATATTGATCAATTTGATGAAGTATATTCCCTCAAATACATTGACTGGTAGTTAAAGGGCAGAACGGGGTCAATAAAATGTTGGAAATTGAAAATCTGGCGCACAGGCTGCCTCCCTGGAGGACAGGATAGAAGGTCTGTCCTGAGATGTTAGTGAGTTAGTGTTAACAGGTAAACAGGAGGACACACACACACACACACACACACACACACACACACACACACACACACTGTAACATCTGGTGTTTAGGACACAGTTTTATAAATTTTCTATCGGCTAAAAAAATGAGCTGCATGCGACGCATATTTAACGAGATTTAAAGGAAACAAGAAGAAAGGACTAAGACAACTCAGTGATAAAATCAGATTAGTGCAAATCTGTACCAGCTAACTGTCAGTGCTAATGTAGGCTGAGCTAACCGACTGTACCAGTAGCTAACATCGACTGGATATACCGTAGAAAAATTTGGCTCCGCCTTCTGTCATTGTACGAATAGACGGGTTTCTTGTGTACAAACAACACTGTGCACGAACAACCGTGGGGCAGAAGTCTGCCTCAGAGTGAACTGATATCAATGAAGATGCCGGATCGTTCTCCAGTTCTCCCCGACACAATCGCAGTAAAATGTCCTTTCATTGAAAAATCACTTTGTCTTTGATCACATCAAAATACCAGGTTGTGACGTTGTTCAAGATGTTTCTAATATCAGGAGCAGGTCGGAATGTTTGCCGATTGTTTTGCTGATTTGGGAAGTTTACAGCACAACAGCTCCTTGTCAGTAAACAAATAAGAAACGTCCCGCTTTCTGCGCGTGCAAACCTGCGATGACGTTGCACAGAAACCCGTCTATTTGAATCGGGATTTCCAGGATTTTCTCCACTTTCTGGAACCACCACTTGTGATGACGCTCGGCTCAAACAGCGTATCCCCCGGTGATCTACTCAATCTCTGTCCTCCCATAGGCTGTATCAGCTGTCAATCATCGAAAACATGAACCCCCTGGACTGTTCCAGTATGTTTCCAAAATTCCAAAATTTTCTGAAACATTCCGGAATCTTACTGATCTTTTAGAATGTCTTTGATGTTATAGAATGTTATTGATCTTTTAGAATGTCTTTGATGTTACGGAATGTTCGGTGATATTCCAGAATGTTCTACATCCTCCAGAGCGTCACCACCACAGACTGTATTTACTCATTCAGCAGGAGAGTTGCTGTGATGACGCTCGGCTCAAACAGCGTATCCCCCTGTGAGCTACACAATCTCTGTCCTCCCATTGGCTGTATCAGCTGTCAATCATAGAAAACATGAACCCCCTAATAACTTTAAAAAATGGAGCTGTACAGAAAAAAGAGGACTTGAGCACAAACCAGTCTGACAGTAACTACATGTCAACATCACAACCAGGGGGGAGAAACATTTATATTCTGTGTCATTCATTTATAAAGTTTGTCCACAGCTCCATAAGGAGGCGGGGTTTAGGACCTATACTGCAGCCCGTCACCAGAGGGCGCTGTTCTCACGGTAGCGTCACCAAGCAAGGAGGCAGACGGCGTCTATTCTATGTACAGTCTCTGGTAGCAGGCAGGATGGAGAAAAAGATGGAGCTGGAAGGAGCTACACGTCTGCATCATAACTAAACGTTGCTAATTGGAAAAAAAGAGACGACTTTACGGCCTTTTCCTCCTCGACTTCAGCTCCTTCTTTTTACTCTGTTCTGTTTTTTGGGGTCTTTGCTGCTCTAGTGGTTAACACTGTCGCCTCACAGCAAGAAGGTCCTGGGTTTGAATCTGGGTCAGGGTGTTTCTGTGTGGAGTTTGTATGTTCTCCCTGTGTCTGTGTGGGTTTACTCCGGGTTCTCCTGTTTCCTCCCACATCCCTAAAACTTGCAGTAGTGCGGTTAGGTTAACTGGCCACTTTCATATTGCCCATAGGTGTGAATGTGAGCGTGGACGGTTGTTCGTCTCTGTATGTCAGCCCTGAGATGAACTGGCGACTTGTCCAGGGCGTCCCCTGCCTTCACCCAAAGATGCTGAGATAGACTCCAGCCCCCCTGCGACCCCCCAAAGGGAACAAGCGGTAGAAAATGGATGGATGGATGGATGCTGCTCTTCCATCCTTGGCTTTTTATCCGTTAACATGAACGGGAAAGGAGGAGTGCTCTGCTGTCTTCAGGCTTTTTTACCCCACATGGAGGGAGCTCTCAGAGCGCAGCAATACCAACAAACAGAACTTAAAGCAAAACCATCTGACACGAATAAAACTCGAGACAAATGCGAAGTTTCTCATCTGGTTTGAAAAAACGTCCACACACACCCTGGAGTCGCCCCCTACTGGCTTTTCTGAAGCTTGACTTTCACATACAAACACACGCGTCTCTCAAGCTTCTTCTTCTTCATGAATCGGGAATATTTTTGTTTTCACACTCCATTGAGGAGAAACCCGAACATTCAAGCAAAGAGCGAATCTCATTCCTGTTTCTCTTGCACTTTAATAAAAAGCCTTTTACTATCATGTCATCAGGAAAAATCAGTAAAATGATACGGCAGCATCACAGCAGGAGGTTTCTGTACTGATGATGTGAGCAGAAGATCCAGTTTTCAGAGCAGAAGTTGTAAAAATAAGGTGTTAGTGGAGCGGCAGTAAAAAGAGAGATTGGTACATTTAGTGAAGACGAGACGCTGCGAGGGCGATATATAATATGGAGAGAGCTGCTGAGGCAGTGGTGGATCTGGACGTCCAGGATATAAATTCACACCGGCAGAGACAACCTTGTAACTGAGCGTGCTTGGAAGGAGCCGGCAATGATGCAGCACTGTGAGTGTGAGTGTGTGTATGTGTGTGTGTGTGTGTGTGTGTGTGCGGTTGTAACAATCCCTCATGCCTCACTCTCAGCACACACGCACACATAAACATAGAACCTGACTCCCCCCACCCACACCTCACCCTCTTCCTGTCCAACTTCATCTTTTATTTATGTCTCTATCCTGCTGTCTTCTGCAGAGGTAGAGGCTGGACCAGCAGGTGGAAAGATTTCCCAGGGGTGCGGTGTGTGTGTGTGTGTGTGTGTGTGTGTGTGTGTGTGTGTGAGGCATGAGGAGCGCTTGTCAGCAGAGAGGTAAGGTGAAGATAAAAGAGGGAGGGATAGATAAAGAGGGGGAGGGATGGAGATGTGAACATGATTGGGGGCATCCGGATGATGAATTGACACTGCAGGCCTTGAAATCATCTCTCTGACTCTGTTCTTACTGCCTGATCGAACTGAATCCTTTGACTTTTGTGAATAAATGAGGGTTTCTGTAAAGATGAAGTCTCACTCTGTTTACAGGACAGGTGTCAAAGTTGAGTCCAGCTCAGAGAGCAGGCAGCACATGGCTGCTTTTGTCAGTTTGTGTAATTCATCGTTTTGGTTTGCAGAGTGAACAACAAGCCGACTTTGTGTGTTTCCACTTACCTCGAGTTTCTCAATGCGGTCCTTCAGGTCCATGATAGCCCGGGCCAGCTCCTCCACAGCCCGGGCCGTCTGCAGCTGCGCCGCGGTGGAGGAGCTCACATCGTCCCCGGCCATAACGCGCCGGTTCCCGCTCCAGACCCCGAGGCTCCACTCCGGGACGTTTCTCTCGTCCTCCAGGCCGCTCTCGCACTCACTCAGCTTCCCCGTGAGCTCCCGGATGGTCCTGTGGTCCATGAGGATCTGGTCGTTCTGCTGCAGGACAGTCTGCCGGAGCTCCTCCGCGGTGGTCCGGAGATAAGTCCAGTCTTCATCCCCTCCTGCGTACGGGTCGTCCGCCTGCTGCTGCTCCTGCTGCTCCTGCTGCTCCCGCCGCTGCCTCAGGTCTTTGGTGTTGCATTCCCCGACAGGTACAGGTGTACAGATGAGCCGACTGAAGCTGAACTGTTTTGGAGACCCTCCCCCGGTTTCTTCACCCAGGTTGAGCTCGTTCAGAGTCGGAACCTCCAAGCCGATGCCGCCGAGTCCGTTCCCCCCTCCTCCGAAGGACTCGGAGCCGTGCAGAGCGCCCAGCGGGCCGGCGTGAGCCACCGACCCGGGCTCCAGCGGCTGGAGGAGGCTCTCGGATGTCAGGGTGCCGTTGTCGCTGAGAGGCGCGGCGCGTTTCCGGGGATAAACACTGGCGATGATGCAGATGACCGCGCCGAGAAAGGCCAGGGTGCCCGCTCCGACCAGAACCACCACGAACTTCATCCCGACTGAAGAGAGAGAGAGAGGGGGAAAAAAAGAAGCAGACTTTAACTGGAAACACGGAAATATCTTCTTCCTAAAGACGGACCAGGCTCGGAGGAAGAAGACTGCATCAACTCATCAGGATCCACTTGATCGATAAACCGAGCCCGGTCTGACTCAGGCTCGGAGGAAGTACCGGAGCTCTTCAGCACCGTCCAAAGGTGAAGATGTGTCACTTACCTGCTGAGGTTGAGCCTGAGGCGCCGCCGCTGCTGCTGCTGCTGCTGCTGCTTCTCTCTCTCTGTAATATTGATGGCTCCGCGCTGTCTGGACCACAGACGCTCTCTCCTCCGGCTCCGTGTTGCTAAGCTGCTCTCTCCTCCGTGCGTTACCATGGGGACCGCGCGCGAGAGGAGGAGCGAGGCTGTGGGCATGCGTCAGTCAGAGCGCGAGAGGTGAAGCTCGAGCAGCAGCGTGAACAAACAAGGCAGTGATGGATCGATACGTGCTGTTTGTGTGTGAGGGAGAGACAGGAGGAAGAGGAGGACAAGGTGAGTGAGGAAGGTTAAAGACAACAAGGGGGAGTCATGTGTCTGTGGTGTGTTTACATTATGTACATTCTATTCTAGTTTACTGTCAAGTGCTGTTGTACGGTGGCCCTAAAGGTCAACTAGAAAAACGTTTAATCAAACTTTTAAATGATTAATTAAACACAAACATTTCCACATAACATGATATTTAAGAAGACATATTTTAAATACACAAAAACAATTTCCTGTAGGTGATAAATTTTTGCCAATTTAAAAAAAAACATTTAACATATTAAATTGTTATGAAAAGTAAAAATAAATAAAATTAAATTAACAGAAAAAAGATGAGTTATGTGTCTGTGGTATGTGAACATGATGTATTCCCTTTTGTGTTTTTAGCCTACAGTCAAGCGCAAATGTACGGTGGCCCTGAAGGTCAACTAGAAATATGTTTCAAAACAGTTTAATCAAACTTTTAAATAATAAATTCAACACAAAATATATCTACATAACATAATATTCCATGAGACACACAAAAAACAATGTCTCGTAGACTAAAAACTTCTGCCAATCAAAAAAACATTTGATCAAACATAGAAATTGTTATGAAAATTTAAAAAAAATGTTAGCTTCTGCAAAAACATTTAAATTAACAGAAAAAATATTATTTAAAAATAGGAAAAATTCTCAAGATAAAGTAGAGCTAAATTTTTGAATTTTTTGTGTTTTCCAAATTCTAGCATGTTCAAAAATATTTTCCATTTGTAATTTTCTTTTGGGTTTTGATTGGTTGATGTTTATCGGTTGCTGGTCAGGAGAACCACATGTAGAAACCCGTGGGTTCCTCCTGTCCGGGTCGATAACTCTTGCCAAAATCAACACCTGTATTTCACCTATTGTGAGGTAAACTGTGAGCCACAACCTGTTTTTATCAGAGCGAGGCGACCTGTGAACCGGTCAATTTACAGAGAAGTCTTGGCACAGCAGGGAGCGACTCCATGTAGGGGGGACCAAAAGAGACAAAAATACCCGACAACTTCATCCTGGAAAGGTGCCATTTGAACAAAACCACTACATGTCTGTTGGTTATGATTTCACCAATAAACTCGTGAATAATGTTTAATAAATGAGAGAAATATCACCACCCTAATCCAGTATTTAACACTTGGAATACATTTTCAATAAAGACATTTTTACCAGAGTAGTTTTAGTGATCTTTGTAAAACTACTTTGTGTTTTATGAAATATTTATGAGTTAAATGAAAAGATTTTGAATCAAGTGAAATTTTTGCATCATAAAATATTTGCACTGTTGACCTTCCAGGCTGCCATACTAAAGTATTCATAATTGTGAATAAAAGCGGTTGGTTTTGGCTTAAACTGAGTTTTTTTACTCTTTGATTCCTCATGAAAATTCATCACAGACACAGCAATAATAAAAAATGTGAGGGGAAAAAAGATTTTTTTTATGACAGCATCCGAAGACATCCAAGAGACAGTAGTGCAGAGACGAAAAAAGATAAAATGACAGAAAGTGATCTTTTATTTTGGTTCTTTTTTATGACTAAGACATCAATGCAGAGATATAAAATTAGGAGAAGTCTAAGTGGCATTTAAATTTTAATGAACCTCTTATAAAATCAGTCTCACAGACATCAATACTGTAAGTTTGGGAAGAATGTGCTCAAGAAACAGCTTGCAATTCCTGCAAATGCAAGCCGCCACTCATGCATAATACATGCACCCCTTTGCACTGATATAACTCAACATACCTGGTGTTAAAATAGTCGTGTCTGCCCAAGCATACAATATGTGCAGCAGCTTGCATGAAGAAACAATCAGATATATTTGCATGTGTGAGGAGGAGATGCAGAAGAGAAAAAGAAAAGCAGAAGGAGGAAAAAAAAACTGTGACTCTCAAGCTTCTGACTGAGTGGGTGGAAGTTGTTTTGCCCAAGAGATGCGGCAAACTAAAACTTCCCACTGACGCCAACAGAAATGATCCGACCCTGACACCGGAGTCCTCTGTGGCCTTGTTCAACAAACAAACATCCTCTCTCAAAAGCTTTTCTTCAAAGAGTTGATAAACCACTTTTTGGATGTTCGCTCTTGATATCAGTCCAAATTCAACGAACGCATACAATACAGCTCCGATATTTCTGAGCACAGGTTTGCCTTGAAAAGGCGTCTGACAGCCGCGCTTACTTATTAGGGAGGTGAGTCTGCTAACTGGCTTCACTTTAAAAGAAAACTCCATCCTCACACAACCCCGGCTATGAATCTGCGTTATTAGATTAATTAAAACATCCTCTTCTCCTCTGTGATGAGGCGCCAAAATTCATTTTGTCTAATGAACTTTCCATCAACTTGTAGCTCTCTCCCTATACACTTCCAAAGCTTGGATGAACAAGCAAACAGCTGTCTACATACACAATACTAACGCTCACATAAGCTAATGCTGTGAACAATGGTAACCATGGTCACCAATGTTGTATTAGCATTTCCATACCTGCTAATTAGCTGCTTAAAAATGCACCTTTGAATAAAAACAGTAGAAGATGGTGTTACAGGTGGAGTGAGGCTACCAGGCATGCTAGCAGGTGAGCCAACGCCATTGTCAGCGTGCTATACGGTATATTTATGATAATGTACAGGGCTTGACACTTACTTTGTTCACATGTGCTCCTAAGTTAAAAAAGTAAGGAGCACACAAAGGACTTCAGGGGCATGATGAAAATTGATCAAATAATGTTTGTCTTATTGGTGGACCTTAATACTATTATTAGAAATCAATTTTAGGTCTTTTGGTCACATGACATGGAAGCTATTGAAGAAAATGTTCAAAATTTGCCTTTTAATTTAACACAAAAATTTTTTAGAGGACAATGAGGGAAATAAAGAGGGGTGTCTTTTTGTCCGACCTTAGTACTTTAATTTGAAATCAATTTTAGGTCAATAAGTCACATGACATGGAAGCTTTTGAAAGAAAACAGCCTTTTTTAAGAACATCAACCAGTAATTTACTGACGGTCCCTTATTCAACACCGATGTTGACAGTGAGGGTGTCGAGTAGATTTAACCACGCTGCTGTTGTTATTCCCGGTTATGGAGAGAGAGAAGACACCGGTAGATCCTCAGAGAACGTCTGTCAGATATCCAACCTGAAACTAACTTCACCGCCGTATTTACAGGAAAATATATCCAACCTAAAACTAACTTCACCGCCGTATTTACAGGAAAATATATCCAACCTAAAACTAACTTCACCGCCATATTTACAGGAAAAAACATCCAACCTAAAACTAACTTCACCACCATATTTATAGGAAAAAACATCCAACCTAAAACTAACTTCACCGTCATATTTACAGGAAAATATATCCAACCTAAAACTAACTTCACCGCCGTATTTACAGGAAAATATATCCAACCTAAAACTAACTTCACCGCCATATTTACATGAAAATATATCCAACCTAAAACTAACTTCACCGCCGTATTTACAGGAAAATATATCCAACCTAAAACTAACTTCACCGCCGTATTTATAAGAAAATATATCCAACCTAAAACTAACTTCACCGCCGTATTTACAGGAAAATATATCCAACCTAAAACTAACTTCACCGCCGTATTTACAGGAAAATATATCCAACCTAAAACTAACTTCACCACCATATTTACAGGAAAAAACATCCAACCTAAAACTAACTTCACCGTCATATTTACAGGAAAATATATCCAACCTAAAACTAACTTCACCGCCGTATTTACAGGAAAATATATCCAACCTAAAACTAACTTCACCGCCATATTTACAGGAAAAAACATCCAACCTAAAACTAACTTCACCACCATATTTACAGGAAAAAACATCCAACCTAAAACTAACTTCACCGTCATATTTACAGGAAAATATATCCAACCTAAAACTAACTTCACCGCCGTATTTACAGGAAAATATATCCAACCTAAAACTAACTTCACCGCCATATTTACATGAAAATATATCCAACCTAAAACTAACTTCACCGCCGTATTTACAGGAAAATATATCCAACCTAAAACTAACTTCACCGCCGTATTTACAGGAGAATATATCCAACCTGAAACTAACTTCACCACCGTATTTACAGGAAAAAACATCCAACCTAAAACTAACTTCACCGTCATATTTACAGGAAAATATATCCAACCTAAAACTAACTTCACCGCCGTATTTATAAGAAAATATATCCAACCTAAAACTAACTTCACCGCCGTATTTACAGGAAAATATATCCAACCTAAAACTAACTTCACCGCCGTATTTACAGGAAAATATATCCAACCTAAAACTAACTTCACCGCCGTATTTACAGGAAAATATATACAACCTAAAACTAACTTCACCGCCATATTTACAGGGAAATATATCCAACCTAAAACTAACTTCACCACCGTATTTACAGGAGAATATATCCAACCTAAAACTAACTTCACCACCGTATTTACAGGAGAATATATCCAACCTGAAACTAACTTCACCGTCATATTTACAGGAAAATACTAATAGGGCGGTGAAGTTAGTTTTAGGTTGGATGTTTTTTCCTGTAAATATAGTGGTGAAGTTAGTTTTAGGTTGGATATATTCTCCTGTAAATACGGCGGTTTGGCCCAGAAGTAGGATAGTGTAAATTTGTTGCTAGGTAGCCAGGGAGTAAATGAACCGTCGACAGACAAAACTGAGCTGTAAAAGAGCTGGGGTTTTTATCGTTGGACATGTTTTGTTCTATTCTTTTGGTGTGTAACAGGTCAACCGATGACCGGATAGAAATTAGCTGAAACGAGGCATGTTTGTTCACAGGGGGCGCCAAAATCGACACTAATTATAGGTTTCTCACAGAATAGAATGACTATCGTACTCAAAGCTTTGCGTCACACTGCAGCTTTAAATATAAATATAAATACCAGTGTTGATGTTTGCAGTGGGAAACAAGTCGGCAGCTGGTTCAGGCAGTGAAAATAACAGTATAGAAACAGCCAGTCTTGTTGTCTGCGGTCTGGTTTGCTTTTGAAGGTCATGAAGAAGAAAAGCATCTCTGTTAATCTCAGTCCATTTAAAACACAGTAGAGGAAAAACTCCTCACAGGGGCTTTTGGGTTTAGTGAATAATTTTGTACAACTTAAAAAAACGTCTGTCATGCAGGGGTGGTTTCGGTCGAGGAAGTCAGGGTGAATTAACAACATTTCCTTAAATGAAAGGCTCAAATTGAACGTCATCTGTAAGGAGACACTCCTGTGTTAGAAATAGTTTAAAATAGCATCAGTGTGTCAGTAAGTAACGGACACTCCTTGATCTGAACCCTTTGGTTTAATTTAGCTTCTCCTGCTGTCAGGACATCATCTAAAAAAGGCTGATATGACACTTCTGAGCGTCCCAGTTCGAAAAAATACTTTATATTTTCTTTGGTAGATGACTGATCCTCTAATCCAAATGAATTCCAATGATATAACACTCACATTTGCCTCGGAGCTGTATAGAAAGTCAGATTCAATCAGCGCCAAGGTCACTATATGTGTCAGTGTTAATATCACGACAATTAATTGAATAGTTGTTGAATAATTTATTACAAACTGTAAATGTCAACCTGTTGATGACTCCAGAGAAATGTCAGAGGATCACTGAAGTCGTTAATGTCGACTCTCGGGGAGTCGCTTCTGCCCGCGATGGATTTCAAACGGATTCCTATCGTGTCTCAAATGCTGGACAAGCTAAATGACTGACTGGTCGACCTCCCTACGGAGCGACACGGCCATCATCCAGAGGAGAGGAACAAAAAAAAGAAACGCCTTGTCACTGCTTTACATTTCTAACTCTTAGCGGATAAATTCTCTTCATCTTCTCTGATTCATTTTTACCCTTTTCAAGCAAAGATGAAAGCTCTTTGATTTTTGAAGGACAGGTATTTTAGAAAGCAGAGCTATGTTCCTGCGCAGCCTAACCTCCTGAGCAAGACTGAATGTTTCAGTGTGAGGCATCTGATCAAACTTGACATGGTGTTTGAGAGTGGAGAGGCTGTCACATAAAACCGTAGATAAAAGGACCTTTTCATCTTGATTAATTCAAACTTTATTTCTCCTCCGAGGTCTGAAGGACGATGTTCCTCTTGTTACCTGGTCAGTGTGAGTCAGACATTTTTAAAGGGATTAGATGAGATGAGGGTCTCACTTTTGGAGTGAATATGTAGATGATTGTTCAGTTTTGTCGGTAATATATGCAGGCAGTGGGTCCGCTCATGTCTCATAAATAGGGATAGAAGGGGCTAACGGGGTGATCTGAGACAGTTTTGCTTTTTTTTTGGTTATGTTTCCAACTTTAACTGACTCACAAACTTCAGTCACTTCAAAACAGGTTTATAACTCATAATGACCGCCCATGTTCAGTCAAGCAGGTGTACAAATGACCTCATCCCAGCTCCATCAGTCGTCTTCAGACACACTAACACCTACAGGTCTATAGATGACTCTTTAAGGAAGTTTGATCACATGACCAACTGCGTCTACAGGTCTAAGGTCACTCTAGTCCTCAGAAACTTCCACTGGCTTCCTGTTCACCAACACATCCAGGTCCAAATCCTCCAAAGTCAGGCCCCCTCCTTCCTCTCTGACCTGCTCCACCTCTACACTCCTTACAGACTCTGACCTTCTCACCCCTGCTCTGAGGACCAAGCAACAAACCTGGAGGGACCGGGCTTTCTCTGTAGCTGCCCTCTCTCCCCAAACACATCCAGGACTGTACTGATCTACCAAAGCCAAATCTGTCATCGAAGCCCACCTGCTTAAATGTGCTACTTAAACAACTGACACAACTATTTTGACCCGTCTTCTTAATCTGTTTTGTACGACTGTGTTGTAAAAAAACAAAAAAGTTTGTAATATCAGTCAATAGTTATTAGTTATTGATGACATTTGGGAATATAAAGATATCTCTGTGTTTTATACGTTATACTGATTATTATTATCAATATTATTAAAGATGAGGCTCAAATTAACCCCTCTCCTTCACAGTTGCACAAAAATGGTTCATTGTGGACTTAATAGATCGTCAGATTTTAAAATCAGTAAAACAGTAGGAAGAGGAGTCAATGCCACACTGACACTAAAGAGGTAAAACCGTCCGTATGTTCATTTTCACAACATGTTTTGCAAACAGGACATTAATACCCATGTGAAAAAAATACCTCCTGTCACTTGGTCCATGATAATGTTTCCACAGTCCTATTTTCCCACATTTGAGATTTTCACTATACAAATCCCATGAATTATATTATTATTGTTATAATTATTACTTGCCATTGGATACTGGCTAAAAGGTTTGGTATAATTGGCTACCAAATAGGGAAGAAAGGGAATTAAATCAGTCTCAAATTCACAAAAAAGGAAATACGGGAGCATAGGGACTAATTTTCAGTGGGAAAAAAATGTCAGAAATGTGGAAACATAGGAAGGACCCCCTGTCACTTCACTGACTTTCTCCTGTTCTCACACTAGTTGTGTTTTCTAATAATTGAAAATAGTTTAAAGTGATGAATTTTGTTGATTTTGGTCTTATTTGCTTCTGCAAGCCTTAACAGAATTAAAAAGTCGATCTCAAAATGAGAGGAAAACTTTTATTGGAGGTTTAAGATTTCTATGAAATGACCCAATTATCACAGCGAATATTGATCAAGTAAAGTTTATGAAAGGATGTCCACTTAGGGTGTGAAGTTCTTACATACTAGTTCCAAATTAACTTTCAATTAAAGCAGCATATTTGTCTAAAATTCACAGCCTGGCCAACGAACACCGAATATGTTTCCTTTTGTTTGTTCTTTATGCCAATCCATGTGAACAAAACAAGCGCTGTTGACATACAAGACAGAATATTATGCTGAGTTGGTGGTAAAATTGGGTGGATGGACCTTTGACCGTGCACTCTGCGAGAAATTAAAAAGCAAAATCTAATGTGGGCGTGTGAGTCAGAGGTGATTTAGCGTGGATTTTGTGGTGGAAGAATGATAGCAAAGGTAACAAAGAGATCGTGTTCGTTTTCAGAGGAGGAAGAAACACACACACACACACACACACACACACACACACACACACACACACACACACAGACTCACAAACGCTTCAAATATTCACCACAGACATCCAGAAGCTCTAACTCCATTCAGGCCTCCCTGCAGAGACCTGTAGCCCAGATTGCGGATTAATCTCCAGAGGTGGCTGATGTTTCATGCCCAAACGCACACAGATGTGGGCCACTTACACCGAGCCACTGTGAGTATTTCAGCTCCATCTGTCTCATAAGCTCGATGGTAACCTACTAGACAGATAAAGAGAGGAGGAAAATCGAACAATACCCCCCCTCCTGCATCACCTCTCTGTGTGTCAGCTTTCTACTTTAACATCAGCGGCGTGAACAGAGAAATCTGAATAAATCGCAGTCTCAGAGGAGAGCTGTACGAACCGCATGTATGTGTTTATCTCAGCATTAAAGCTGTTAGACATAAAAACCAGGGCATGATGACCTGAATATCACCCTGGCCTTTTCAGCCCACCGGAAAACACAGGTTTCTCTGCTCGGGTACAGTGACCACAGGAGGAAAGCTCAACAGCTCCTCCCTGTGGCACAAATTGGAAGTACAAAAGGAGTTTCACAGGGAAAGAGAAGTAGACTTGAGGCCTGAGGAGAGTCATTTCTAAATTTAACTCTGGGTTCCTGTTCATTTTAAGCTCCATCCAGTCTACTTTGTCCTCAAAACGGACATGCAGATAAGTATAATAAGAAAAATAATTATTTTTTAACATCTTTTTTTTACTTTTAGCGATTAGACCGGGAAGTACATATTTTTTGTCTTGTGTGAATATCATTTTTTTTCTTGGGGCTTTATTTTATGTCTATAATATAACTACGATTTTTTTGTTTATTCATGTGTTCGACAAAGACAAAATACAAAATGGGATGACCACTTCAAACAAACTGGAGCACGTGAGAAATAACGTTACCTCGGGGCCTCTCAGTGGAGGTCTGCAGCCAGACCCCTCTCAATATTGACAGGCCTACAGTAGTTCAGAGTATTAAGTGAGAGACAAACAGACAATGAGTCAGAGCGCTTTTAAGGAGCTTTTAATTAAAAGCCTTGTACAAGAAACATACAGAAAGCAACAACAGTAACAGTTAACATGACACTGGATACATAATCTGTACAATAGGGGTTCGCAAAACATGCTTCAGAAGTTCAGATACATTACAACGTCATCATTATCCTCCTCCTTATTACCATCAATACAATGTACATAATTAATAATAGCATGAAAGCAGACCTAACTGCAGTCTTAACACATTAAAATCTGTTTGCCTTTTAATCAAACCCGTTATGGACTTTTGAAAAATGGCGCTCAAATGACAGCATCATATCAACATCATTATGCGTATAGAATAGAATATTCCTTTATTGATCCCCCATGAGGGAAATTTTTTAAAGCAGGGCTCGTCCGGGATTTGAACCCGGGACCTCTCGCACCCTAAGCGAGAATCATACCCCTAGACCAACGAGCCATATTTCAAAATAAATATTAAAGTACAGTACAAATAGCCTGGCCTGGGTACAGTACAAAGGCTTTGATTTTTGAGATGAAGAGTGACAGCAAGTTTTGCCATCACTGTACCAAATATTATCTGTGTAGAGTGAAGTGAGTTGCCACAATCCTTTTGTAAAGACAAAGTTTTGAGGATCAATTTTCAGCCCCTCTCACTCTAGCGATGATGTCACACACTCTAGCTGCCAACATTCCGTGCAATACACACTAATGTTAAAACCTGAAGAGGTCAGAAAATCCTGTGACTGTTTGAACTGTCACTGTGAGAAAAGTATGAATGCCATGAAGATGGTGAATGACTGAGTGAATGTCTGAAGATGTGTGAATATTTTAAAGTTTGAATGAAGTTTCTAGGTGAAAGCATGAATGAATGAGAAGAGGTGGAAGTTGAAGCACCACTCAGGTTCAGATCAGGGGAGCCGTTCCTCCCAATCACGCTCCTCTGGGTATCACTGTCGTTGGCAACATGGGCGTTGAGGTCCCCCAGCAGAACAAGGGAGTCCTCCGAAGGAGCACTCTCCAGCACCCCTTCCAAGGACTCCAAGAAAGGTGGACACTCTGAGCTGCTGTTTGGAGCGCAGGTACAAACAACAGTCAGGATCCGTCCCCACACCCGGCGAAGGGAGGCTACCCTCTCGTCCACCGGGGTAAACCCCAACACACAGACACAGAGCCAAGGAGCAATAAGTATTGCCACCCCTGCCCGGCACCTCTCACCAGTGGCAACTCCAGAGAAGAAGAGAGTCCAGCCCCTCTCGAGGGGTCTGGTTCCAGAGCCAACACTAGGTGTCGAGGTGAGTCCAATTATATCTAGCTGGAACTTCTTCGGGCGAGAGAAACTCGGTGCCAAATATTTGTCCATCATAAGGAGTCTGTTTGAGCTACCCTTAGTCTGATCCCTCCCCAGGACCTGTTTGCCATGGGTGACCCTCCAGAGGCATAAAGCTCCAGGGATCATTGGGACACACAAACCCCTCCACCACGGTAAGGTGGTAGCTCGAGGAGGGGATATACATATATATATATATACATATATATACTGTATATATATATATACATAATTTTTTTTTGTTTTGTTTTTTGTTTTTTTTAAAAGTGGCTAATTAACCTAATTAACCTGTGGGAGGAAAATGGAGCACCCGGGGTAAACCCATACAGCACAGGGAGATCATGCAAACTCCACACAGAAATGCCCTGACCTAGATTTGAACCCAGGACATATGGCATAAAGCTCCTGGGATCATTGGGACACACAAACCCCTCCACCACGGTAAGGTGGTAGCTGGAGGAGGAGTTTATTTTGGGGGTTTTTGTTTTGTTATGTTTTTAAAGGTTTTTTTTAAAGTGGTTAATTAACCTAATTAACCTGTGGGAGGAAACCGGAGCACCCGGAGTAAACCCATATGGCACAGGGAGAACATGCAAACTCCACACAAAAACGCCCTGACCCAGATTTGAACCCAGGACCTTCTAGCTGTGAGGCTAGAAGTCACTAGCATGAAGTACTTTTGGTCTTTTTCTCATTGTCCTTGTCCTTTTTGAAGAGGTTGCGGAGGTAACGCCAGCAGAAACAGCCGGAATCAGGAGCGTGAGAAGGATGTTCTTGCTCGCCATTCGACATAACTGGGAAGTTGGCATGGGACGGGCGAACAGCTATATTTGGTTCTGGCGCTTGAACAGGGCTGACTTTTTTCTTTCGCCAAGCAGTCAAACGTTTCCAAAAGCTTGCCTTCTTCGGGATGTGTTCATCTCTGGCCGTACTGTCTTCTTCTGGGTCAATCTCTGAACTTTTCTTATATGTCTTCATTTTGATGGCCATGGCTCGGCCCGTGAGGGTGGACCGCATGGTTGCAATAGCCAAGGCCAAAGTCGTTTCGTTTATTGACAACTTGCTACTGGCTGGAGAAGTGTCACAGAGGTTCTCTGCCAGTGGAGCTTGAAATGGGACAGTGTTCACTTCTTGGAGGACCTCTGCTGCTGATGCATTGCCTAATTCTGGTGAAATCGTTACTTGGGTGTCAACACCAAGAGCATCAAGGAAAACTTGTTTGAAGATCCTGTCAAAATCACTCTGTCTGATGACTGAGTCTGCGCTGTACTGCAGGACATCAGTGCACATCTTGACCAGCTGCTCCTTCCCAGGAATGTTGAACACTCCTTCACGGACTTCTCTACATTGCCTGAAAATACAAAAACACAGGGTTAGACACAGATGTTCATGCACACAGATGCCAATAATAGATCCAAGTGTATATTATAAGTTTTACATAAGACACGATCAATGATAACTTACTCGTCACTGAGACTTTGGAAGAATCTTGTTATGATGGCAGCAATATCCAAATGTTCAAGGTCAATTACTACGTCTGCTGCTGCTTCATGTGGTTTGGCTTCTTTAGCTTCTTCCAGGCACTGGTCAGGTTTGGTTGAAGCTTGTCTTTCATCCTCACTGTCTTTTTTGACAGAATCTGGATCCATAGAGCTCTTTGTTGGCTGTCCTCCAGCTTCGGACTCCTCACTCTCTTCTGCTATGAAGGGTGAGACCTGAATTCGCAGGATGGTTGGTGTTGAATCCACCCTGGCAAAATCAGTTTCATCGGTATTAGAAGCAAACGTCACCTCCTCTGGCAACACCTCTGAACTTTCAGATGCTGATGCACATTCTTCGGGTTTTCTCGGATGGGCATAGCGCTGCGCAGGTTCGGTTGAGGCTTCCTTTTCAGATTGAGGGACATTTTGCTTCTTCTCACCAATGCAGGTCTCCTGAACCCCCTTGTAAGAGGAGAGTCTTTCATCCTCACTGTCTGTTTTGACAGAATCTGGATCCATGGGGCTCTTTGTTGGCTGTCCTCCAGCTTCGGACTCCTCACTCTCTTCTGCTATGTGGGGTGAGACTTGAATTCGCAGGATGGTTGGTGTTGGATCCACCCTGGCAAAATCAGTTTCATCGGTATAAGAAGCAAACTTCACCTCCTCTGGCAACACCTCTGAACTTTCAGATGCTGATGCGCATTCTTTGGGTTTTCCTGGGTGGGCATAGCTCTGCACAGGTTTGGTTGACGCTTCCTCCTCAGATTGAGGGACATTTTGCTTCTTCTCAGCAATGCAGGTCTCATGTACCCCCTTGTAAGAGGAGAGTCTTTCATCCTCACTGTCTGTTTTGACGGAATCTGGATCCATGGGGCTCTTTGTTGGCTGTCCTCCAGCTCCGGACTCCTCACTCTCTTCTGCTATGAAGGGTGAGACCTGAATTCGCAGGATGGTTGGTGTTGGATCCACCCTGGCAAAATCAGTTTCATCGGTATAAGAAGCAAACTTCACCTCCTCTGGCAACACCTCTGAATAGAGGTGGGAATAGCGCTGTGCAGGTTTGGTTGAAGCTCCCCCCCCGTATTTAGGGACATTTTGCTTCTTCTCACCAATGCAGGTCTCCTTCACCCCGTGGAAAAATGGTACCCATGGTGGCTTCTTTTGTTCCAGGTCAGATTTAGTTCTCCTCAGAGGAATGACATTCCTAGAGGTCTGCAGAGTATTCAGACTTCTGCTAACCACATCACAGGTTTTGTCTGTCTTGGTGGCCTGTGATGGGCCCTTTGACTTCTGAGTGTCTCTGCCTGCCTGTTTAGATGTTGATACGCCTTCTTTGGGTTTTCTCGGGTGGGAATAGCGCTGCGCACTTTTGGTTGAAACTTCCCCCTCAGATTTAGGGACATTGTTCTTCTTCTTCACAGCATTTTTTTTGGCAGTCTTGGTTGCCTGTGATGTGCCCTTTGACTTCTGAGTGAGTCTGCCTGCCTGGTCAGATGCTGAAGCACCTTGCTCTCCGAGAGTTTGAGCTGTGCATTCCAGCACCTCTGGGGTGAGCTCCTTGAGAAGCACATCGGGCATCTCACTGTCAATCACACATCTACCTCTGTCTTGTGGACTTGAAGTTGGAGCCTAGAGAAAAAACACAAAGTTTTAATCACTGAAACCCTTCCATCAAATAAAATAAATATCTACTTTTTCATATCATGCCATAAGCCGTGTCTAATGCTGCATTCGAGTTACCTCGGAAGTCAAATGTCGGAGCTGAAATGACGTCACACCCAAGTTCCCAAGGTTTCGTTACAAAGTCAGAAAAAAGCAAAATTGGAGGACTGAAACAAGATGGCTACATCTACAAAAGTTATTGAAGTGCTTGCCTTATATTCGGACAAGGCAAGCGATGAAATAAGTTTCGTAGATGTAGCCATCTTGTTACCGCCTCCGATTTTGTTTTTTTCCAACTGAAACACTGGGAACTCGTGACGTTGTTTTTAACGCTGACTTCCAAGTTAACTCGAACGCAGCATAAGTCCTGAATCAGAAATTTTCTTTTTGCATAGGTTGTAACAACACATTTACTGTTTTTGCCTTCCCTCTGTTATTAAATGTTTTTAATTTAGGGTGTTTTGGCAGTTGAGAACAATGTTTTAATGTGATTTTTTTTTCTAAATGAAATCGCCTTATCCTCAGACTATTATAACTTTTTAAAAATATACGATTTTTTCCTGTTGTGTAAGGCAGGGAGGATAAGCATCAATTCATCTCGCTAAACCACAGATTTACACTATAAATGTAATTTTATAAAAGCAATAACAACCTAAGTTTTTAAAAAATCCTATCAGACAAATGGTTTCACTTTTAAACTAACATAAAGTTAATGGTTTTCATGGAGCATTCATAAACTTACCAGTCTTTGTGCACTCATTTTCAATTGTCTTGTGTTCTTCTTGGATTAAAATGTCTATTTAAACTCTGAGGTTCTCTCTCAGTATGAGGTTCTGTCTCAGGATATTCTCTCTCAGCAGTTGAATAGGTCTGTGGAAGTGACGTCACCGTCACGTCTTTGATCAAAGGCGGTGACGTCACCACCTTCGATTAAAAGGCGGTGACGTCACATTCCTAGGTGACGTCACGCAGTGCACTGAGGGGAATCCCCTCGACGTTCCATCCATACGTGCCGTTGAGCTGTGGACCCGCCCCCTTTTCAGTGAAACCTGTCAATCAAAATCAGCAAATGGAAACTCCAGAGTATTTGGCAGTTTAATGGTTTAAAATAACAAAACTTGATTTTGAAATAGTGATTGAGAGTCCAAATCCAGCTGCCAGTCTGGCACATTTTAATCTATTTCATTACAGCCTTTAACCCTTAAACAATCAAACTTTATTTGTAAAGCACTTTTCATATAATTTAGCACAAAATGCTGTCCGTTCAAGCAGGATATTAAAAACAATGACACAACAATCCCCCCACTAGGGAAACACCGGAGAAAGGCAATAAAAACAGACTAAATCAGCTAAAAACATCAAACTAGATAAAATTTTAAAATACTGATTAATAGCTAAAATACCATTTAAAAATAAGCGAACAAATATAATAAACATAACATGTAAAATGAGGACTAAAATATATAAATGAAATAAAATAAGATAAAAATAGGATAAAAATCTAGATTAGAAATAAGACATTAGTTAAAAGCCATTAGTTAAAACAATCGCAGTTCCTCCGGCAGGTTATTCCAAAGACGGAGGCCATAGTGCTGGAAAGATGCCTCACCGTAAGTTCGTGTTCTGACTTTGAGTATTATTAAAAGACCAGTGCCAGAGGATCTCAGGGTCTGCGGGGGTTCATATTGTAAAAGCAATTCTGAAAGATAAGAAGGTCCAAGACCCCTAAGACATTTAAAAACCATTAAAAGGACCTTAAAATCAATCCTAAAGCACACAGGGAGCCAATGCAGTGATTTTAAAACCAGTGGAATATTTGCCCGCCTTCTGGTCCTCGTCAGCACACGTGCTGCTGAGTTTTGTAACAGTTGTAGACTTGAGAGGTTTCTTTTTGGAAGACCAGAAAGCAGGGCGTTACAATAGTCAAGACGACTGGAGATAAAAGCATGCATTAGCATCTCTGTTAGCCCTGGAGAGAAAGGGGCAGACTCTGGCTATATTCTTTAAATGATAAAACCCTGTTTTTGTTATATTTTTAATATGTGGACTAAAAGTCGGCTCAGAGTCAAAGATGACGCCCTGATTCTTTACCTGATTTGATGGAATTAAAGACAGGGTTTTCAGTTTTGTTAAAAGTTTCCCTCCCTGAGCCTTAGGATCGATAATTAAAACCTCAGTTTTGTCCTGGTTGAGCTGTAGGAAGTTTTCTGCCATCCAGGATTTAATGTCTAGGATACAGCTAAAAAGGGCATCAATTGGCCCTGTGTCATCAGGAGACATGGATATGTAGAGCTGTGTGTCATCAGTATAGCTGTGAAAAGTGATACCATGCCCCTGATGACATCTCCCAGTGGGAGCATATATAAATCAAATAGTATGGGGCCTAAACTGAGCCTTGGGGCACACCATATTGATTGCTATGAATCTTTGAAGAGCATGTATCCAAACATACAAGAAACTTTCGATCTGTGAGATAGGAGTTAAACCATTGAAAGGCAGTACCACAGAGGCCTACAAATGTCCTGCTGAACTCAATGACTACTGACCAGAGGCCCTCACTCCATGCATCATGAAAACCCTGGAGTGGTTGATTCCATGCCTTCTGAGGTCTGAGGTCAAAGACAAACTGGACTCCCTGCAGTTTGCATACAAAGAACACATTGGAGTGGATGATGCTGTCCTCTACATGCTTCACCGTGCCCTGTCTCATCTGGAGGAACCTGGGGTTTATATGAGGATCATGTTCTTCGACTTTTCAAATGAATTCAACACCATCCAACCCACCATACTCAAAGACAAGCTCACAGAGATGGGAGTGGATCCTTCCTGTGTTTCCTGGATCACAGATTACCTGACAGGAAGGTCACAGTTTGTCAGGCTGGGGAGCTGTGTTTCTGGGACATTAATGAGCAGTACAGGGGCTCCACAAGGGACAGTGCTGGCGCCATTCCTGTTCACACTGCATACGTCAGACTTCAAATACAGCACTGAGTCCTGCCACATCCAGAAATATTCTGTTGACACCGCTATTGTGGCTTCTATACTTCTGTAGATCCTAACCCCCTCTTCAGCCAGTGAACACCTGTGTAAAAGTTCAACTTAAAAGTCAGCAAACTCTTAAAATGCAGTCTTAAAAGTTGTTTAAAACCAGTTAAATTGGTTAAAAAGTTGGTCACAGGAGAGAGAAATGGCTGGGTATCTGAAAGACCAATGGGCAGAATCTCTGCCCCATTTGGACTGTTGGTACACACAGATACACACACAAAAGACCACGACTCTTCAACTTGCCACAGATGACTGAGGAGTTAAGAAAGATGAGGAAACATTGGGTCCAGGACTAAAACAACAAAACCATAATAAAAAAATAATACAGGTGATAAAGCATTAAAAGTTAAATAAATAAAACAGTCTTAAAATCAAAAAACAAAAGAAAGTACACTAAGAAAAAGAGGTAATAAAACACAGAATTGTTACTCTACAACTAAAATAGGGTACAATCAGATAATGCAGATTAAAAGATTAAAACAAAATTTAACTAAAAGCCAGACTAAAAAGGAAGGTCTTGAGTTTACTTTTAAAAATATGATCGTTCCTTTTTCTAAATGTTAATCCCCTTATCACTAATCAAAAAGTCATGATTTCTGTGCATTAGATTTGGGCTCTCAATAGTTAGTAAAAAATAACTATTATATTAACTACATATATTATGTAATTATATTATTATATTATATTATAATATATATTATATTATAATTAACAATCCCCCGCCCCTAAGTTTAGCAAGTGGATCACCAAAGACCTTGGAATTTACTGTTGCATTTGAACTGCTTTCACCCAAGAGGGTCATGATCCAACAGCTTTTTGCGTAAATCCACTGTTAGAAAAACAAAGAGAGAGAAAAAAGACAGACAAAAATGCGCTTTTTTACTGTTATTACATTTAACATAATACTGTGCCACCCAGAATGGAAAGACATTGCAGCTTGTGAGGCTTATGTGCTATGAGGAGTTCAAAGTTCTCTAGTTAATATATATAAAACACATAAGTAGCAGCTGCAAATGAGTTGATCATTAAAATATTTTTTTAATTGGTTCTTGTACAGGTACAAATACAATGAAACTATTTTGCACTGCCATGCCAAAACTGAGGCATGAATAAAGTTAAGTACAAAAAGATATGTACATGCATACTCTTATACATAAACACACAAGTTCACAAATCTTTAAATGGGCCCCCTACCCACACGGATAATTTAATCCTTAAACAACATCTGTTCTAACTGTTAACACCTGATTGAACTCCAAAAAACTCCAGTGGTTAGAAAAAGTATTGTTACTGAAGTTATTCTGAATCAACACCATTCCTGGGTTTCATTTAAAAGCAGACTGATACATGATAAAAAATGATTTGCACTGGCTCCCTGTCCACCTCCACATCGAATTCAAAATCCTCCTCCGTACCCACCACTGTCTTCACAGCGCAGTCCCCACCCACCTCACCGGACACCTCACCCCACACACCTCAATAAAACCACCGACTCTGATGATACAAGGAGAAACTCCAAACCCTTTCTTTTGGAAAATCTGTATTTCAGCGCCACCTTGTGGATGGTTGTTTTTGTGAAAACGTACAACAAGGCATGGATATATATACATACATACACTAGATGTCTTACGCACACTGTTGGCCAATGGCTACCGACATCCTAGCATGGCGGCCATTTTGCTACGGGACACTCCCCCACTCCTAACATTCCAGTCTACGGTTCATGTAACATTTAAATAACCGTAGATTGATTCATTTTAAACCGATTTTCAAACGGTTTGGTTTGTAACAAACCTCAGAGTTTTAGTTATGTTCCTGCATACTCAAGAATAATTTTAACCATGGATTTACATAAATAAACATTAAACAGATAGATAGAGTAATAGCTATAGGCCTACACACACACGGCAGTTATATTAAATCATTTATATATAAAACATTTAATCATTCCATGTATGTTATATTAGTAATATTTCTGTTATAGGGATAACTATAATAACATATAGCAATAACATTTAAAAATATTTATTTTCAACATAAATTTCTGCTTCATGTTGTCATTTTAGATTTTTTAACAAACCAAACAGCAGAAATCATATGCAACTTAGTTAGTTAGATAGACAGATAGATTAGATAGATAGATAGAATTTATTGATCCCAAACTGTGAAATTCACATAGCTAGCTGATAGCTGAGAAACACAAGAACATCCACAAAGACTGGCACTTAGTCTAAAAATATAGACTGTCACACTCATATCTCTTAAACAACTTTAGCCCTGACCATTAAAGCTGAATATTTATTCCAATAATTTGGGAATTAAACATTTCTTATGCTTTTAACCAGATAAATTTTATAACTCACTGATGCCCCACAAAAAATTAGACCAAACTTAGTAAGAGTAAATAGTTTAGTTTAAACTACAGGAACTCAAGCTAGAGTGTTTTAGATTGGATTGTTCAAATAGAAAAAGAATTCATCTGCTGACTTTAGAGCTAAAACAGCGAAGAATGTGAAAATTCACAGAAGTCTAGTGAAGGGAAGAGTATGATGTTTGTCTCTCGAATTTAGGAGTAAAAGTCAAACATTTACCTTGAAAATAATCCTCGTGTTTGGCACTGATGCTCAGAAACGTCTGCAAGGAGTAAAATTAACGCAAAGTCATGTGTCCAGTGAGAAATATGTCATGGTCTCAAAACCAACTCACATTTTCTTCCTTTGTTCTTCCTGGTGTGTTTTGGAGGGAAAAGTCACAAGCCTGGGGGCAGGGCTTTATAATCTTGGGGGCGTGGCTTATCCTGCACTGGCAACAGGAGAATTTCCACCTAACTAGGTTTCTGATCTTTTTTACCACTCTGTCTGTCTGGTAGTCGTGTTTTGGTCTTATTTTGGTTAATTAAAAGATGTATGATGACCTTATCCCAGGCCAGAGCTGTTTCATTAAATTGCCTGTCTTTCAGGAAACTCATGAATACAACACCAACACATCACCACCCCTTTGAGTTATTAATTTAGGAAGCCTCAATGAGCAGGAGTAAGTTTGTGATTGAACCCTGATATCATAATGAACAGGAGAGCTCTGATAAACCTTCTCACCACACTGCTCAGCACCATAAATGGCCCACAGACACAGTCTGAGCAGAGTCTTGCTGGATGTCTCCCTGGAGAGACCTTTGGATGTTGTTTAAGAACAACAGAGCAGAAAGGAGATAAACGTTGGACTTACTTGCCTGCAGCACAGTTCTTCAGAGATACTCCTACCGCTGTGCAAACACATTTCCTTTCAGTCTATATTAAGTGTTAATCAGGGGCTATGAGAGTCCCTGGTCCTGGATTTGGGAGAATTAGTGATCTGATCCCCTTTTTACAAGCTCTTTATCTTGAGATACCTGGGAAAGCTGCTGAATTTCTCCCTGATGTTTAAATAAAGAGAAAAATACGTCCTAATGAGCAGTTTGTCTGTTTTCATGAAAATGTCGGTCGAGTTTTTCTTCACTCAGTAAATTTTCACTGCTTTTGGGTATCATGGAAAGTAATAAGTACAAATTTCAGTCAATTTTAAGCTTTAATACACCGAAATACTGATATTTAAATACTAATATTTTATATACTGTCTGTTTTAACGTTTAGGTCATGAGGATCTACCAAAGTCTTCCCCAGGGAATGAATTCAGCACCCATCCGCTTCGTTACTTATCAATCTGTCAACAGAGTCATGGACTTTAGAGCGATTCTTATCTGTGATGGATGGACCGATATTGGACCGATATCAATATCAGATCGGGACACCCCTAATATTGACAAGACAGTCTAGCTGCAGACCTCCACCTCCACTGAGCGAATCGGAAGTTATTTGAAGCCTTTCAAAATAAAAGCACATATACCGGGAGTACGTTTCTTTTTTTTTTTTACATCCAAAGTTTACTCAAAGCCTTTTGAATTAAAAGCGATTAGACCGGGAAGTACATATTTTTTGTTTTGTGTGAATATCATTTTTTTTCTTGGGACTTTATTTTATGTTTATAATATAACTACGATTTTTTTGTTTATTCATGTGTTCGACAAAGACAAAATACAAAATGGGATGACCACTTCAAACAAACTGGAGCACGTGAGAAATAACGTTACCTCGGGGCCTCTCAGTGGAGGTCTGCAGCCAGACCCCTCTCAATATTGACAGGCCTACAGTAGTTCAGAGTATTAAGTGAGAGACAAACAGACAATGAGTCAGAGCGCTTTTAAGGAGCTTTTAATTAAAAGCCTTGTACAAGAAACACACAGAAAGCAACAACAGTAACAGTTAACATGACACTGGATACATAATCTGTACAATAGGGGTTCGCAAAACATGCTTCAGAAGTTCAGATACATTACAACGTCATCATTATCCTCCTCCTTATTACCATCAATACAATGTACATAATTCATATTAGCATGAAAGCAGACCTAACTGCAGTCTTAACACATTAAAATCAGTTTGCCTTTTAATCAAACCCGTTATGGACTTTTGAAAAATGGCGCTCAAATGACAGCATCATATCAACATCATTATGCGTATTTCAAAATAAGTATTAAAGTACAGTACAAAGGAACCGAAGCCTTAAAAAGCACAATTTTCAATTCATCAAGCATCTTTTGCCACACGTTGAAATGAGGATCCTTCCTTTTTTCCTATTTGTGCCAAAATAAATCCAGCACTCAAAATCACATCACGTTATCAATGTCAAACGATTCGAAAAGGACAAACAAAGAGGTTTTTAAAAAAGTCAAATAATAAAATCAAGAGCCCTATTTGGTTGAAAGATAGGCCACTAAGTTGAGTTGTGCTACCCCACATGAGAACAAACAAAAAAAAGAGAAAACATTGCTATCAACTGTTGGACACACGGCCGAACAGCCTAATACCTCACACATCTACCAACTGCAAGAGTCACTTCTATCCACCACTTAAATATTAAAGATACAGTAGGTGAAAAAGTCTATTCCAAAACGACATCGATCCATCCAAAGAAGAGCTGTCAGAAAATATAATCCCGTTTTTTCTCACTTTGTCGCAAAAGTTTTACAAACTTTTTCTAAGAACCTTGATTTGAATTTGGCAACTACACAAGTGCAACTCGCTGTTTTCTTCAGATAATGGATGCTCCGCTTTGGAATAAATCTTTCCACGTGTAACCTATGAGAGCAGTACAGTAATGACGACAACTAGAGGAACCATCCAGTACATGACAGGAGAGGAGGCGACATCTTCCTCAAGAGAGAAAGGCGTGTTTGTAACTGGGAAATGAGACGCCACAAGCCCATCCGGGACATTACTGTAAGCAGTAACATCTATTTTTTCTACACCATTGCAGTCACGGCAGGTAAGGAAGGTTGGATTAATTGTTTAAGACGAGGTAAAAGTCGCCTCGGTTGAACGGAGCAGCTATAAGGCAACACATGCGGAAGATTTTTAAATATTGTAACACAAGGGTGCACCAGATGAAGAACCAAGATCCGAACAGGTCGACACAGAACAGGCAGCACCAGGAAAGGGTTTACAGCTCGTGTATAAAGGGCTTCGTTTCTTTCGATGTATGCAAGATGCACTTGAAGGCTGAAAAATTTCAATGCTCTGGATTTTTTTAGGCAAGTAGCTGAAAGCAAACTACGGTGACCTAGCTTGGCGGTGAGATAACAGTCAAAAACACAAATGCACCTTTTGATTCTGAGAGTCTATCCAACCATGATGACTTAAAATCACTTAAACGCCAAATCTAAAATAGAGAAAGACAAAAACCAGAATTTGAAACTGGAAACAGTTTTATGATAAATACATGCTCATTTTAGACTCGATGGGTGTTTGGGCCGAGACAACAAAGCACTGAAGGTACAGATAAGTCACCTGGAGGAACATCTACCCACTTATTAGTTTCATTAAAAGCCTTAAAGGGATATTTCAGCGTAAGGGTCCCAGCCATAGTACCAGCCACCAAACATCTTATTAGCTTTGCCTGATTTCTTTAGCAAAGAGACTAAACACAACTCACCCACTCTCCTCCAGCAGCCACTTGTTTGTGGGGGAGCCCTGAAGAGTCGAAAACCGAGTGCAGCGGATCATTTCCATGAAGTACTAATCACCATATTAATCATTTTACAGACGCGGTAGTTCTTCTGTCTTAGCGTCTCGGTCTGATTGTATTTCCATGAAGAAATGATCATAAATGTTCTTCCTTGAGCTGCGAAACTCCGCTGCACTTGGCGATCATCTGGTCAGGGCTTCCCCACAAACAAGCGTCTGCTGGAAGAGAGTAGGTGAGTTGTGTTTCGTCTCTTTGCTAAAGAAATGAGTCAAAGTTAAAAAGATGTTTGGTGTCTAGTACTATGTCTGTGACCCTATATGTCCTGTTGATGAAGTTAGGTGCTGTTCTGAGCATTATTTGTGGCTATAGAGTGGCGTTTTGGTTGAGGTTTGTATTTCTATCCTGCGGTCGTTACTAAAGTTGGTATAACTAGAGAAGCAAGCGGTTGACAACATTCATCTCAAACTCGGTGTGATGTTGTTTTGACTATCACTTATTTTACGCCCAAATATCACTTTAAGGGGATCTGGAGAAACCACTTTGACCCTCAGGTGGCACTACATTTAAAAACAGATGGTACTCTGTAGTGGAAATCATCACATGGTCTCAAAATCGCACCCTAAAACCAATTTGTTGCTGCATCTACAAATAGATGTTGAAACAGCACACAGCAAAGAGGAAACCGTATGCTCACATGATACAGGCATCTCCTCTGGACCTGTTTAAGGTGGACTGAGATTACTGTAAGTGGTTTCAGTTTCATCATTTGATATTTTGTCTCTGCACTATTTTTGATTAAATACAAGTTTTCAACGGTTTTAAACCATCAACATTTGTTTTAATCAACTTCTTTTGGATTTAGATTCGCGCTTGACAAGCTTTCCAACTGTACCGCGATGACTCTAGAAGACAGCAAACTGGATATTTGTATTTAAAAAGATGTGTGCCAGCTGTTTACTATGTAGTCAGAAAGCACCAGGTCCTAGTTGTTATGGGCAGCAAATCAGGAACAACGCTTCGTAAACTACAAAAGAGACATCTTATCGATGGCGACCTCTTAACAGAACAACATATAATTTGTCTGGAGGCAGTTTTCAACGAGAAAGACCAGCAGCAAGAAAGGGTATTGTTCTTCACTGGGCTTTTGGGTCAAGTCCAAGAACCAGCTGGTCCTCGTCTTGGAGGCAATTTTATTCTGGTTTCCTGTCTAGTCTATAGTGGAAGTCGCAGTCCAGCAAACAACTCAAGAGGTCAAAATGGAGCTAAGAGGGCTGGCAACAAGACTGGCATCCTCACAGGTCTGCACTCATAGCAGTCGGGCTCTTGGTTCCAGGGTTGCACTTCATAATTTGGACACAACAAAAGCTTCTTAAAATGCCAGTAAAGGAGAACCAGAAGGCAACACAAGAATATTCTGTCTCTTGTGACTTTAAACTGCAACAGTCGGGAAAGTACCAGTTTTAAGATCGGGGTCTAAAGCGGGACATGGTGCCTCACATCCAGAGAACAAGTGTAGTCTCTCTACTCGACTTTATGTAAGCACTTCAGGCTAAAACTTGATGCAAAAGGGTTGAAGAGTAAATCTGGCTCAAACTTTAAAGAAACAGAGAAGGGCACAGTTTATGCTGCAAGGAGCACTGCTACAGACATTGGCTGACTCTCCGGAAGGCGTATCTGCACGTTTTTACTCAATGGAAAGAAAAAGACGATCGGCAGCAGCTTGAATGGTGATCTTTCAAATATTTCAACAGCATAATAAAGATCCAGTGAGTACTTTTTTAACTGGACAGAGTTCAGTCAACACTAGAAGATTAACTAAGAGCAAATGTGGGACGATGCCTGTTGCCGTGAACTACCAACAACAACAACAAAAGCACTCATTCATCAGTTTTCTTCAGCTTATCCTCAGCCTCGTGAAAGTGGTGGCACACCAAGTCAGCCCAAATTTCCTCTCCCCTGGCAATGATTTCCAAACCCCCTTGGGAAATCCCCAAGCAACCCCCCAGACCAAATAAGGTTTTACAATCCTCCAAGCTACTTCAGGTCATCTCGAGGTCACTTCTCTGCTGGAAACCTCTGAAGATAACGGCCACAAATGTGCAAACGACCTCAGCTGCCCCCCTTTCAGGCCGAAGAGCAATGGCTCTCCTCCAAACTCACTTTGAGCGTCTTCCCTACATCTGAGTCACCCACCACGAGGAGGAAACTCCATTTGTTTCTTGTTTCTGTTTTCCCAATCTTTTCGTCACCGGCTCAAGACCAGGATCAGGAGTCAGAACTGTAGACTCTGCCTTCTGGATCAGCTCCAGAACACAGAAACCTCCATTTTCCTCTCACTCCTGAGCGAGTCCCAGGATAGCGGACCTCCTCTGCTGGAGGCTGTGGAACCATGGCCTCAGAGTTGAAGTCACCGACCCTTCTACCAGACACTCCACATTCAGCTACAACCCAACCTGATAACTGCCTGAGGTCTAACTGACAGACTTTTATCTCCTCCAAAAACCTTCAGTAGTTCAGAGAATTAAAATTCCAACCACAGTTCTGTGACTGACAGACCTTAAGGGTTGGCAGAGCGGCCTGTTACCAAATCCTAACGCACCGTTGGGTTTCTCTGAGCCTATGCAGCTGAAAACTTATCAGTGCTACAAAAACTGCTAAAAAGAAATAAGCCTGTTAGCTAAACATAAACATCCAGAAGGAACAAGACGGGGTGAGAAGCTGTTACAACCAGGCAGGGAAACAAACAAACAAACTCCTCAACTGTTATTGATTTTTACAAACTCAAACTGCCCCGGTACATATTCCACTTCCTGCCAAGTCGCTCAGGGGTTCAACACACTTCTATTCTTAGCTGCAAATAGTTGTTTGCTTCAGCCTGAACTGTGTTCAGCTCATGGACCTTCAAGACTTTTGAGAAGTTGAGATGTTATCAGGCAGGGAGGAGAACTTTCACATCAGTTTAGAGTCTTAGAGGACGTCACGGAGTTAAAGACGGCGAGTTCGTGAGAAAAGAAGGCAAGCGGGGAAAGACGGAAAGAACGGCAATAACTTAAAACTACTGTTTCTGTATATTCGTTTGCAGCTTCAAGGTTGTGCGTGCATATAAATACTTACTCATACCGTATGTATATGCATGTGCGTTCAAGAGAGCAAGAGGAAAAGGCCTTGAAAAATTGATGAACTACATAACATAGGTCATTTTTCGATGCAGTCAAGTGCATTGCATTTACCTCGCTGTATTGATGCAATATATGAGAGTCCAACTGTGTTAAGTGCAAAAACACATCACCTCATTTATCATTAACAAGCTGGACCTCCAATCAGACAAGAGGGCAGGAAATTGGCAAAACACCTGGAGGCTGTCGTATCAGCCTCCACAGCAGGGTCTGAATCAGAGAGGTATTTCTTTCTTTCTCCTGTACCGAGTCCGCTCGATGGAAATGTCGGCTAACACCCAGGAACTGAGGGGTTTTCATTTCACTTCTTGGGGAACTTTTCGTCGCACCCAACAAGCTAAACTCGGCAGGCGAAAGCAAGCGAATACCATGTGGATTCAGGTCTGCTTTAAAGGAGTCAGTGCTGTGCAAGTGGACAAAAATATGGCAATTTAAGTGGCAAAAAAGAGCGTATTAGCTGCCCTCTTTTCAAATTTACACAATTCTTCAAAAAAATATGCTTTAGTATAATTCAATGGCTGGGCGGCTTTAAGTTACATTACATTTCATTTGACAAATATGCACGAAGGGGGCTAAGGTGGCAACGCTGGCCAAATATCTTTTTCATCATTTATGGCAATCAGCTTCACAACATCTGATCTTCTATGGCTTAGGGGCAGAGGAGTCGTCAGAGGTGGAGCCGGGGGGAGGGGAGGAGGGGGTTTCCTCAGGGCCAGCAGAGGGTGAGGCAGGGCAGGAGGCGGGAGAGGGGAACTCTTTTATGGTGACGGTGACCAGGTTGGTGGTGACGTCGGTGACCACCACATCCTTGCAGCTTGGAGCCATTTCAGGATGCCAGTCAGGGTCTCCCTCCGCAGGCACCCTTTTGGGTTCGGGGGAGGTCTGGTCTCCGGGGGTAGCAGCAGAAGAGGTGGCGGGCAGATGGTGCTTAGCCCCGTGTTGGCGAGGATTCCTTCTGCCTCCCTTTGAATGATCTAGAGCGCCCTCCTCTTCTTCATCCTCCAACGAGGAAGAGGGTGAGGAAGGGAGGAAAGGGGACCCCGATGCTGTGGGGTCTGGTTGGGTGGGTGGCTTGGTGCTCTGGCCCGTCTGAGTCTCTGTGTAAGGTGTAGTCGACTTTGGACCTTCAGTGGGAGGAGAAGCTTCTGCAGGTGCCTTCGATTTCGCAGCTGAGGCGCTGGTCGGAGATTTGCCTTCAGAGCCGCTGGAGCTGGAAGGAGAAGGAGGGGACTGGTACTGGGAGGAGGAGGAGTGGGTGTCCCTGGCCCCTCTGCTGGAGCATGACCCTGGGTGGGAGGGGAAGGGCAGAGGACCTCCACATTGCAGCCCAAACGGCTTCCCATACATGGGGAAGCCCAGCATCTTCATGGGGGGCTGGAAAGGTCTGTAAGGTGCTTCGCCCTTCTTCCCAATGATGCGATTGCGTGAAGGGATGTTTTGGTGTCCCGCTGCGACGTTCCTGCCGCCCGCAGCTGCGCCACCCCGACCTGCCTTGTCAATCACCTTCAAGTTGAGGATGATCCGACCCCTCTTGACCTCCCGGGGTTTGACTCTGCGGTTGAGGATGCGGACGGTTTCAGAGAAAGGAGAGACGTGAGGGCGGGAGGGGAAGCCACCGGGATTGGAGAACGAGGGCGCCAAGGGGTCTGAGCGGGGCAAGGGGCGCCTGGACATCCGGTGGCAGCGGTGAATGTCTTTCTTCAGCTTGTGGGTGGCCGCGAGGGAATTGAGTTTAGGGGAGGGCGCTACAGCAGAGGAAGAGGAGGAAGAAGACGCTAAGTGGCGAGGCGAGGTGGATGCAGAGGCGGAGGAGGAGGGAGTTGCTCGGCTGGAAGTTGCTGCAGCGGTCTGGCGGGTGTTCGAGGCTCTGCTGCTGTTCCCTCCTTTTGGAGCACGGGTCTGCTGGAGATGGTGAAGAATCAGAAAACCATTTATTGCCTTTTGAACCACATCTAATCTGACAAGTGTGAACGGTAGATCCATCTTAATCTGCAAGTCTTTCTTCAAACACCAAAATCAGTACCTTCATTACAAAGTTTTTGGGTTTCGGTCCCCGTTTCTTCGGCCCGTGCAGTTCCCTTTCTCGTTCCCTGCGAAAACCAAACGACAGTTAAAACCGTACAAACTGCAAAAGCAAAGCAAGTCTCGAAAAAATGAGGACAGCAGTGAAAGCTGAGTGAGAATGAAAGTAGAGCAGTCAGACACGGGGAGCGTTTGAAGCCACATTTGAACACAGCCAGATCCGCACGTGTCCGTTTCGGTTTCCGTTTGATGCGGCGTCAGTTTTTGTCTGTTTTATTGTGTCCGTTTTAGTTTCCTGCCCATTTTTAATTCTCTGTAAACACTCGCTCTCTGTGAGCGGCACGAAGCTTTCAAGTGGCCTGGCAGCAGACATAAAAGACCTCGGCTCACATGGCCGCTTATAAAAGAAGAGGAAGAGATGAGCTGAGGAAATGTAAAGACTCTAAAAGGTTAAAAAGTAAGTCAGACAGTAAGATGCATTTGTGCTTAAAATGATCTGGAGTTAAAATAAGAGAATCAAACTCAACAAAATACTCGGGTGTCTCATCAGTTAGGGGTAGACTACCTAAAACTTTGCACTTCCAACATTAGGCTTCGTGATAATCGATAATTCGTACTTACTTTTGCTCAAAGCCCAAAATCAGCCTGTCATCCAGAATGTTCTCCTCCGGCTCCCAAGTGCTGTGCCTAAAAACAACGGAGTAACATTAAAAATACAATATATGGAAACATGTAAACGTAGTCAAACAGGTTTATCACTTACTTCATCGCCCATCCTTTCCACTTTACCAAGTATTCAAGTCTTCCCTGCAAACAGACGACATGGCAGATTAACACAAACGACATTTTTAAATCTTCAGTCTTTTGTAAATCAACTTTAAGGAGTTATATGTTTAGTCGTGTCATTACAAAATCCTCAGTTCTTGCAACACAACCCTGTCTTATTAATTCAGCCTTGCATCCTCCACGATGACTCGATCTGTTGTCTGGCATATCTCACGCTATAATCTGATTATGTTTCCAAGAACATATTATTCTGCAAGTTTGAGATTTCTCCTTATTTGATCAGACAGGCAGATCTGGTCTTAATGTGTGCCTATCCTTGCAGAAAAATCCCATATATAACAGTGAACATGGTGCGTTCAAACAAGTGTTCTCCAGAGAAGGAAACAATAATCATCATATGGCATCATTTTCAGAAAGGATGAGTCATTCAGCTGCTGTGTGAGAGGAGCCAATCCTTATAACCTGAGCCTGCTTTTAAGAGAGAGGACATGTGTAAGGGAGGTGCAACTATGAAGTTTAAGCATGCAATAGGGGAGAGCGGGGTAAGATGAACCATTTTTCATATTTGGGATCACTACATCAAGTCAGTCCTAGTTTTGTCTCAAACTCGTGTATCTGCAGATATTTCAGGATGTTGTTAATCCCTGCAAACCAACAGAATGACTGTAAACAGAACTGTCATCTTCAGAATATAGCAGGACAAAAAAAGGGGTCTCCTATGGTCAACTTACCCCGTGTATGGGGTAAGTTGACCATAGGAGCGGGGTAAGTTGAGCCGTATCACTCTCCCTCCCAGCCCTCCCTCACCTTCTCTCTCCCTAAATAACAGTCACTTCTTAATAATAATAATAATAATAATAATAATTTATTTTATTTGTATAGCACTTTTCATGATACTCAAAGACACTTTACATAAAGCACACAATTTGAAAATAGCAATAAAATAAAATAAATAAATATAAATAAGTAAAATAGTCACATGTTAAAAGCAATTTTAAAAAGATGGGTTTTCAGAAGCGATTTGAAGGAGGGCAAGTCAGTGCAGGATCTGATCTGGACGGGGAGAGAGTTCCAGAGGGAGGGTGCGGCAATAGAAAAGGCCCTGTCCCCCCCAGGTTCGATGAGTCGTTCGGAGGGGTGGGGACAGGAGGTTGGCATCGGAGGAGCGGAGGTTGCGGGGGGGGGGGGGGGGGGGGTTGTGGCGGTGGAACAGGGTGCTGATGTAGGAGGGGGCCCTGATTGTGAAGAGCTTCACATTTATGCGTATTTTTATCTATTATACTCTATTCAACTGGTACAATCATTCTTTTTATTATTATTATTGTATATAACTGCTAAAAAGCTGTTTTGTAAAAAAAAAACATTTGAACATGAGAATGCCTTTAAGCCAGTTGTCCCAAACTTTTTCTGCCGGGCCCCTCTTTTGCAGATTAAAGTTGTTTCAGCCAAATGTGTAACCCCTTCACCCATGTGCTTCTCACAGACTCCATGAATTGATGCCCATCTCCTAAATATTTGGTCAGATGAACTTACCCCACTCTCCCCTATTGTTAAAAACTGAGAATGCAGCATCTATGATTTCCAATTCTTCATTGAAAGGACAACTGGACTTACTTGAGACGTTTCGCGAAACGTCTCAAGTAAGTCCAGTTGTCCTTTCCAAAAGAGAGTTAGATTAAGATTCATCAGACCTCAAGTGATATTCTGACCATGCGGTGACTCCAACTACAGAGTCCTGATGCTCCTAAACTTGTAGATTGGACTCTAGTGATCCCCAGACCATCAGGACTAATTCCAACTTACCCTTTGGCTCAACTTACCCCACTCTCCCCTATTTGTGAAAACATGAATAATGACCTCATGTTGTAGTTCATAGATACCAGAATTGATGGTAAAACAGATTTAAAATGATCTGTTTTGGTCTGAACACATTTCTAATCAAACTGATGACAAACTAAATTCACTTTAAATGTCTAACCTCTTCACCCATGAGCTTCTAACCTTCACAGACTCCATGAATTGATGCCCATCTCCTCAATATTTGGTCACATGATCAATTTATTTTACCATTTCCAAGCAACAGGGGGTGGCTCAACTTACCCCACTCTCCCCTACCAGCCAATTAAGATACAGCCCTGTGATTAACATACAGAAACTTTTCTGTTGAGGACTGAGCCAAAACAGACCAAACCAAAGTGTGGTAGCTTTTTAAAAACAAACATTATAAGGAGGTTCATGCAGATATTTGTGTTTCCCCTTGTAGTCAGTCTCTAATGTGGTAGTTTACAGACTCCTGCACACACTGTGGTCGTATAGCTTTGGCTACCATTAGCTGGCAGAGAAAACGGGCCCCTCCATTTCATAGCTCTCCTCCATCGACTGCCTTGTTCTGCAGCTAGCCCCTTCTTTCTTTGTGTTGCTGTTTTTATTGCCCTGCTAATGCCTCAACATACCAGCCATGATTGGTTAGCCTCGCTACTTAGCTTCTGGCTAACTCTGGCTTCAAAGCAAAGGCATCCGCCAGTCAACAAGGCCTACATAAGCTCGCAGAAGGCAGCCCTGAGCCTGTGTGTGCTGACCGCGGACAACATCTGTGGGAAAGTCACAACACGCGGGACGGCGGCGGCGGCGGTTCTTCCTCACCTTACGGACGCGGCGTTTGAGTATCGCTTCCGCGGCGAAAACGCGATCACCCACCGCCGAGAGCTCCATCTTTCATGCCCGGAATAAGCTACCTGTCTGTGTTTCCCTTCCTCCAGACGTCAGGCTCTGCTGCTGTGAGCTCAGGCCGACCACACAACCCAACTGTGAGAAACACAGCACACACACACTCACACACTCTCACACACACACACCGCTACAGCAGCAGCAGCAGCAGAGCAGCGGCGGAGTAGTTAGTTGTCACGTGGCCGGGGTCAGCCCCCTTCGGTTGTCCTGGCAACGGCGAAGACACTCACGAGGGATGCAAAGAACCGCGCGCCACTTCACGCTCTCATCCCTTGTTTGATAACGGGCGGCGCCATGATGCCTCAGGAAACACGGTAAAGTTTACGTTGAACTGGAAAATACAGAAAAACGTCGACTTAAAAGGTTAACCTGACATTCAAATTCACATATAAACTCTATAATAATTTTGATATTTTGTAATTTCATCATTTTTCTATTTTAGTCCTTTATTGAATCGACAACACATGACTTTTCACTCATCACGGGAAACCTTTGACCTGCCTTAATGTGTAGTAAGTAAACTTTATTTGTATAGCACGTTTCACAGACAAAAGAGTCACAAAGTGCTTCACATAGACTAAAATAAAAAGATGTACAATAAATTAAAAGACCAAGACAACAACATTTAAACAACCATATCAGCCCCCAAAAACAATTAAACAAATGCCTGAGCAAATAAATCAGTTTTGAGTTGGTTTTTAAAGGAGTCAACAGAATCAATTAAGCGCAGAGAGAGAGAGAAAGGTCATTAAAATTAACATTTGCAATAAGAGAAATATAAAAAAGCAATTAATGAAAGCCTGGCTAAAAAGGTGAGTCTTGAGTCTATTGTAAAAGAAATTATGTTACCAGTACGTGTTATATAAACAAAACAACAGTTTGCTTTGTACAGAATATTTTGTGCATGATTTTGTTTTTTACTTTTGGATAGGCACATGTTTTTTTTCTTTGCTGGTGGGACTTTCCAGTATAAAAAAACACACTATAACCTTCATTTGTGTCGCCCCACCCCTTGTCCCCCAGCAAGGATCTGTGATTGGTTGAAGTCACGTCAGTCAAGCTTTTCATCAAGTGTGGTTGCGGTGTGTGGGTTGTTGATGTCGCTGTCAGAAGTCACTGTCCACAGAGGGAAGAGCTAGCAGGTAAGGATGACTCTTTACTGCTTTTATACGAGTTAATGCGATTAGCTATACAAGAGAAGGAGCTACCGCTACTATAGACAGAAGGCTTAGTATTTAAACGATAAAATAAACGCATTTTGTCGTCGGTGTGGTTTGCCCCGAGCTCGACACGATGGTGTCAAGTCACGGATTGAGAGTGAAACTCGTGAGCGAAATGAATGGAGCCGCTTGTTTATCAGTTTGAAGGAGGATAAGAGTCGTTTCAGCTGAAAATTACAAGGTCTGTGAGTGTTGTAGGATATAGAAAGTTAACATAAGAGTGATGTGGCAGCTCTAAGGTCACAACTGTTGTATAATATGTTATAATGACAGTGAATTACTCTAATAATATCAGCACTCATATACTGGAGGCTAACATGGTGAATATCAGGGAGACTTTACCTGTTGCTATTCTGTAGGAGTTACATCCTGTCCGGGAGATGTCATAAATCATTCATTAATGTTGAAAGCAATCCTACAGGCTTCCAAACAGAGCAGCCACAGACAGGCAGTGCTGAACATTTCTACAGAAGTTTGAGGTCTATGGAAGCCCAAAGCAGACATGCAGACATGTGTTTACTCACTCTTTTTTTTCTTCACAACTTAATTTTTCCAGTTGTTTCCTCAAGAGCTCAGTTGAACATTAGATGATGTGACCTTGTATTCTCAGATCTGCAAAAAACAAATTATGTAGGAATAAACTTTGGAGATACCAACTTTAGTAACGACCACAGGATAGCAATACACAGCGGTCTGAGGAGCCACACACAAACCATGCCACTCTGTAGCCACAAATAATGCTCAGAACAGCACCTAACTTCATCAACAGGACATATAGGGTCACAGACATAGTACTATATTCAGAGTTGTTCTAACTCCTAAGAAAACAAACTTAAGCGGGGGCGTTTCTTCACTTCTGTAGTCTATAAGCTGGGCCAATAAACTTCTACTGTAGTAAAATAAAAAGGTAAAGGTGTTTTTATTGAGCCGAATTATCAATAAAATCATGATTTTGTTAACAGGTATGAATTTATGTGCTGTCGAGTTAATATATTTGAACAAGAGCACAGTAAAGTTAAATCAGCTAATTTTCCAATGAGGTTCTGTTACTGAACGGAACTACACCATGATCTACTGAGGTTAGTACATATAGGGTCACAGCCATAATACTAGACACCAAACATCTTTTTAACTTTGACTCATTTCTTTAGCAAAGAGACTAACAAAACTCACCTACTCTCTTCCAGCAGCCGCTTGTTTGAAGCGAGACCTAGTGGGCCAGTCCATTACAGACTGCTGGGGGCAGGATTGTGTATCGTTTGATTTTGAACGATTCCGATTCCTCCGGCGAAGTCAGTTGAAGCGCATCAAAGACGAGCACTCGGGTATTTCTCCTCCATGAATCCTGAGGTGTTTAATAATGTTGGTCATTCACCTTCCTTTGCATTATATAACTGTGTTGCTAATGTTGCACTGAGATAAGAGTTCATTCTTCCTGCTAAAGTAAGCGTTTTGGCGGCTTCTTCTTCGTTGGTTTTCGGCAGCTATTTCTCCCGGTCGGCGGACTCCAGCATCGAAACTTGGAATTGAAATTTTAAAATTTGAACAGTTCTATGAGAATCGAAATGTTAGTCCCGGTCCCCATCGATGCTCAACACTGGATGCCCAACCCTCGCTGCGGGTTGACGCAGCTCAAGGAAGAACATTTATGATCATTTCTTTATTGAAGTAATCATCACCATATTAATCATTTTACAGACGCGGTAGTTCTTTTGCCTTAGCGTCTCGGTCTGATTGTATTTCCATGAAGAAATGATCATAAATGTTCTTCCTTGAGCTGCGGCACCCCGCTGTAGTCCCGAATGGACTGGTCTGAGGTCTGACTACAAACAAGCGGCTGCTGGAAGAGAGTAGGTGAGTTGTGTTTAGTCTCTTTGCTAAAGAAATGAGTCAAAGTTAAAAAGATGTTTGGTGTCTAGTACTATGTCTGTGACCCTATATGTCCTGTTGATGAAGTTAGGTGCTGTTCTGAGCATTATTTGTGGCTATAGAGTGGCGTTTTGGTTGAGGGCGTGGCTCTCTGTATTACTATCCTGCGGTCGTTACTAAAGTTGGTATAACTAGAGAATCAAGCGGTCGACAACATTCATCTCTGGAGGGGGGGTCTAACTTGGTGTTACAGTGGGTTTGACCCTAAATTAATTTTACACCAGAATATCCCTTTAATTTATCCAGTTGTTTCCTCAAGAGCTCAGTTAAACATCAGATGATGTGAACGTGTCCTCAGAGCTGCAAAACCAAAATACGTAGGAGTAACCTTCAGAGATGGCACGTCCTGACCGGGCCTGTTGTTTAGTTTTCTAGACCGATGGAAAATTATCACGAGATCATTTGACGAAATAATCAAAGTAGGTCGAGGGTTCAAGAAGACAACTGGAAAATACTTATCATATAAAAACTGTACAAACGAGAAGTATGGATGCACATTGTCCAGGCCCTCCTCAAGCTCTCTTTTCATTGTTTCAGGTGGTCACGATGCAGTTCCTGGGCAGACTGTTGGACACTGTGTCCTCTGTGTCAACCCTCTTCACCAACCCCTACAGGGTCCGGGATGTACCGCTGGCTGATTACAGTGGAGGAGGCAAAGTCCTGTTGAAAGAGGAGGGACGCATAGTCCTGTACAAAAACACCCAGTGTCAGTCATGGGACTGTCTGCTCATGTGTCCTGAGACTCCTACTGTGACCCTGAGGTCAGACAAAAACTCCTGTTATTGTGTAATACTGAAACTTACAGAAAGAACACAATCACACATATTTGCACGTAGACATTTTAGGGAAGAGATGCAAGTGTGATGAGTTTATCTTAATTCTTACAGAAGTACATGTTGTTTGCAGGTTATTGTGAAGTGTATCCCATAAAAATAAAGAAAGTTAAAACACTCCTGCAGACAAATAAAGTCCAGATATTGACCTCCAAAGTTCTTGCCATGTCTGTATGTAACATAAACACGAGTGCCTGTGACTTTCAGTAACTGATCGTTGTTTCTGCTGAAATTAAACTGTGTGCTCATTTCACCGTCCAAACCAGGCTCTTTCAGGTGGGGTCAGAGGAAGACGCCATGAACTGGTTCCCACAGTATGCCCTCAAGCTTCGGCCCTTCTATGAGACACTTACTCTAAAGGCGGAAACCATGCAGCCAATCGTGGACTGTATTCGCAGCCACCCAGACTGGAGCTCCGCCCACATTGCCGTGGAGACAGGGTTAAGAGAATGCCTCAAACATAACTATGTGCAGAGGTATTATTTCTATAAGTATTATTTCTATTTATGTCTGCAGTTGTTTTACTTCCTGAAAGATTTTATTAATCAAGGATAAATTAGAGGAAATCACTCAAAGACGAAGAAGAATCGCAGTTTTAGTTTCTGGCTCCAGGCAGAGATTAGTGCGCTGGGATAAAGCTGAATGAAGGGTGGATTATTGTATGTAAGCCGCTTCTGCAGAGGCATTAATTATGAGGCATTCAGAGTGAGTGACAGTTTAATGTACACACTGAGAGAAAACACACTTTAATTAGCACACAACAGAGGTCTAAAACCTCCTGTTTGGTTCGAGGGTTTGATTCTACTAATGCTAATCGGTGTCATTAATCGATCCATTTTCCATTCAGCATTTAGTTTCATTGATCTGAGTGCTACATGAGAATCAGTGTGTGTTTCCTTTTACAGCTGATTGATCAACAGACTGATTTTTCATTGTTTAGAGGCTGTTTTTGAGGGTTAGACGCCCAATATGTGAGTCCTCCATTGATGCAGTTAAAAAAGTTCATCCTCTGACGTTTTAGGAAAAACACATGAAGTGAAATTTAATATTTTTTTTCACTGGAGAAGCTTGTGGTTTGCAGCCAAGTCTGAGATCTTGGAAAGTGGAGTTACTCAGTGAGCTAACGACAAAAAGATGGTGTGTTCATTGTCCCTGCTTGAACCCCATTTCATCAAAACAACCAGAGAGAGAGAACCAGCGGTGTTCCTGTTCATTTATGTATCCCAAGTGACTCTCTGGCCTTTTCAAGTTCACTTTTATCCTGCGGTGATTTGAGTGAAAATCAATCGGTGCCTCAAAGGAACCGAAACAATAAAATCAGGCAGTAAAATCGTCTAAATGAGGTTAAACCTGTGAGGTGACTTTATCTCTATGTCTCCAGTCAGATTAATGCTCGGGATGCTTCAGGTCAGACGCCGCTGCACCTGGCGTGTGAACGCGGCGACACTGCGTGTGTGACGGAGCTGCTGGACGAAAGCCAGGCTCGCACAGACATCAGAAACCGCAACGGGGAGACGCCGATGCACTGTGCTGCCAAGCAGGACTCGTCCACCATCATCCAGGTGAGACTCAGCCGGAGGGAGGTCAAAGAAATACTTCGTCTCATCAGATGTTGACCACGCCGTCCTCTCATCATTCAGGTCCTGTGCTCTCGCCTCTGCCCGGGTGTTAATGAGCTGAATAACAACGGGGAGACGCCGCTTCACGTGGCCTGCCGTCTGGGACGTGTGGAGTCTGTGAAAGCTCTGTTAGGGGGTGGGGCCAAGTGTGACGTCATGGGTGGCGTTGGCTACCCCATCCACAGTGCCATGAAGTACAGCGAGAAGGGGTGAGTCAGAGGAGAGACACGGGGAAGTTTGGCAGAAAAGGATGGTCGTTTTTTTTAGATGGTTCAAGGTCAAGTCCTTTCGGTCCCTCAAACTCAAACTAAAAACTAATAAAAGAAACTTAAAATCGACTCTTAAAGACACAGGTAGCCACTTTCAGCCTATTTCACAAACACAGAAAAATTCCTTACTGGAGTTTTAAGTCCATATATGTCTCATTAAAAATCTGTTTTCTTCTGTTTTTGTGTGTCAGCTGTGTGGAGGAGATCCTCAAAGCAGACAGGAACCAGCTCCAGGCTGAGGACTCTCTGTACGGGGGGACGCCTCTCCACTGGTCCAAAACAGCAGAGGTGGGAGATGTTACACTGATTCATAAGCTAAATTTTTGTTGCTAAAAGAATTTTGTCTCAGAGACGAAGACGGTCATGTCAGGAGCTCGATGTTTGAAGGCAGATGTTCAGTTCAGTCCTCCATCTCTCTTCGCCAGATGTGCCGCGTGCTGCTCGATCACGGCTGTGCGGTGAACTACCTCAGTAAGACCGGAGAGAGCGCCCTCCATATTCTGACCAAGAGGGGGCGCTTCGAGGCGGCCATGGTGCTGCTCACTCATGGAGCCAATGCTAACCTAAAGGGCCACGATGGAAACACCGCCCTCCACCTGGCTATGAAGGTATGTGAACAAAACAAAGAAGAAGAACAAACTTTGATCGTTGTGTCCGTACAGTTTAACTTTGATTCTTCTCTCACCAGCTGGACCACATAGAGTTGATCAAAGCTCTGATCGTGTTTGGAGCTGACGTGGAGATCCATAACGACCTGGGAGAAACACCGGGGCTCATCGCTGCTCGCACCAGTAAAGGTAAGAGAGACAGAAGAATGAGCTTCAAACAAAAGAGAGGAGGAAAACAGAGCGATGGGAGGTCTGAAACAAGAAAAACAAGAATCCAGTGATTCACGGCGTCTGAGTGGGACTCAAACTAAACTACGTATGTGTGACCTAACCGGCCAGTGTTACTTCAACTCATCTGAATGCATGTGAATTACATTAACTGTGGTTAATGGTTGGGCATGGAATAAGAGAAAATCACAGACTAATAATATTTCTGTCTCAATACTTTGATTCTCGGTTTGAAATGACTAATACAGCGGTCGGTGTTTTGAATGCTAAGAAGCAGCATGGTTTGTCTGAATACAACTTAAACTCTGGTCCCTGATTCGCTGAAGTTGAGTCGCCGCTCTGGTAAACATGTTTTCAGCAGACTCATTACTACAGTGATGGGGTAACTCGTGCCGGAGAAATAAACAACAATCAGGATGACCTGAAGCTTCTCACTGAATGATGAGATGAAACTTTACCGTTTTGATCATCCAACAGGTTAGACACAGTTTGTGGATCGTGAAAGGTTTTGACTAAACTCACAGGTAGGAGTCGACCCATGTTGATTTGTCAGGGCCGATACCAATACCAATTATTATTGTTTCATGAGACTGATGACAGATATTAGGCTGCTGCTCTTCACACAGACATGAAGACCGACAGATGAAACTCGGACCAGAAAAGGTCTTTTTTTAGCTTCATATCCCATGGTGCTTCAGCGTTAAGTGGGCGTGACAGAGACCAGCACAGCGGGGAACATGGTGAAGTGGGTTGAACTGAAACTTGTTGACTTATTGTGTTTTTCACAAACTGGTTTATTTACCGTTGAGGTGGACCACTCTCCTCCGTGCGTCCCTGAGCTGCTGCTTCAGATCCGTCACTCTGCTGTGCTGTGAGGGAGTTAGTGGATGAAGATTGGCATGAGGTCGCTGTAGCGCCATCTACAGGATAAGTCGGGGAACTTTTCAAATGGCCGAACATTTTCAAAGTGAAACTGAATTGTATTCTCCGCATTTTATTTCTGAAAATATCTGCGAATTTTGGCCGATTACCGTTCATGTTTTCTATGATTGACACCTGATACAGCCTGTGGGTGTACAGAGATTATGTAACTCACCCCGGGGGAGACGCTGTTTGAGCCGAGTGTCATCACAGCGACTCTCCTGCGTACAAAGTTACTGCGCAAGTGGAGAAAATCCCAGAAATACAGAGAGAAATTCAGCATCAAATTCATTTAATGGCGGAAGGCGGAGCCAAGTTGTCCACAGTATGATAATAATGATAATGATAATAACAATAAATAATAATAAATTTTATTTATAAGGTGCTTTTACAGGGGCTCAAAGACGCCTTACAAAGAAAAAACAAACAATAGACACAATATGAGAAGACAATAAAAGAACAGTTCACAGGTTAAAGCTGATTTACAAAGGTTTGTTTATATACAGTCTAAGATTCTTATCTGTTAAAAACAGAATCTGTTATTTTTTTTATTATGTTACTTCTGTTTGGTTTTCACCATGATGCTCTGAAACAGAAGAGGTGGTAAAAAGAAGTTGTTGCTATTTATCGATTCTGCATGAAGATAATTTCTAACAGCTCGATCATGTTCTCGCGCTCTCTCTCTCTCTCTCTCTGTCTCTCTGTCTCTCTCTCTCTCTGTCTTTTCTTCCTCACTGCTGTCTACGGTGTGTTTGCATGTCTAACATGATGACTCGCATGTGTGTGTGTTTGTGTGTGTGTGTGTTAACATGAAAGGTCCCAATAGAAAGATACTCCTGGACATGCTGTGTAGTGTAGGGGTCCAGCGCTGCCTCCCACCCTCTCCCGGCAGTCCTCCCCCAATCTCCAACACGGCCAAGCCTGCAGGCATAGGTAACACCTCCATCCCTCCTCCTGCCCTCCTTAAACTCGGCTCCTCTCCTCTATATTTTATTTATTTTATTCATCCTAGTGTCGGATATAAAACACACAGCGATGCTTTGGTCGCTGAGACTGTCATCAAACCGAACTTTTACTCTAATTAAACCTGTTTTTGAATCTTAAAGGTACAGTGTGTGTTTTTAGTGGCACTGAGCTGGTAGAAATGGAATATCATTTATCGCCCAGCTCTATGACAATCAGAAAGATTTATCTGTTCTGGTCTCATTTCCAAAAGATTATCAGAACATTTTGACGAAGAGATCTTCCCTAAATCCTGCCCAAGAGTTGCATTTTGCTATTTTTACAAACCTATCTTTGTAGAAAACTCTCCCAGATTTTCAGATTTTTCATCCTCAGACAGTGAAACTATAATCAGTGTATAAACTCCTCCTTTTCGTTTCCTCCTCGGCTTGTAGAGAGCACACTTCTCCCTTGTCTCCCCCGTCCTTTTACACATGATTTTGGAGATGCGTCCATTAAACACCAGTAACTGTTCCTCTTGGCCAACAGGGTTCGAGGACGTCATGTACATGGGGGCTGCAATCGGTGCAATGAGCAGAGGCAGGTCTGAAGTGGACGGCAGCAAAATGGGGAAGAAAAAGTACGAAATGTTGTCGTATTTATGAAAATATCAAACTCCAACAGCTCCAGTAAACACGTCTCTGTATCCTGTCCTCTGTAGGATGGACAGACTGCTGTGTCTGGATGGCGGAGGTATAAAAGGCCTGGTGTTGATCCAGCTGTTGATCGCGCTGGAGAGAGAGGCTGGTCGACCCACTAGAGAGCTCTTTGACTGGGTCGCCGGCACCAGCACCGGTGGCATCCTGGCCCTCGCTATAATCCATGGTGCGTCTCTTTCTCTCCTCTTTTTTCTTGTTTTTTTAAATCTATAATTTACAGAAAAATAACGATGATTTTCCTCCACCTGAAGGGAAGTCCATGGAGTACCTGCGCTGCCTGTACTTTAGGATGAAGGAGCAGGTGTTCAAGGGGTCACGACCTTATGAATCCGCACCGCTTGAAGATTTCCTAAAGAAAGAATTTGGAGAAAACACAAAGATGGCAGATGTCCAGTATCCCAGGTAAATATTTATACTTAAAAACAAGGTGACAGATGGGTAAATTTCCTGCTTTGACCTGATCCAGGAGTGAAAAACATTCTGCAGGTTTCTCTTATTCTCATGAAGCACTGCTCACGTTTCAGTTCTCCACCTCTCTTCTTCCTCGTTCCTGTGCAGGGTGATGGTGACCAGCGTTCTTGCAGACAGACATCCAGGCGAGCTGCACATCTTCAGGAACTATGACCCTCCCTCCGTCCACAGAGAGCCCCCGTACGCCACCACTGCCACATTCAAGCCCCTCACTGTCCCACAAGGTACAGTGTACAGTATACTTTATTCTACCACTAGGTGGCAGTATTATACAATGTTAGGTGAAGCCCTGCAAGTGAAGCTCTGTGTGGCTGAATTTGTTTGTCACGTCCAGTCCTGCCGTGTCGTCTGAGTGTCAGCCATGTTGTTGTTGTTGTTGTTGTTGTTGCAGGATGGGAGGATGAGGATGTGTTGATAGTAGGATACACAGAGGAGCCAGCCAGAAAGCGTAGGAAGGTGACAGATGAAGGTGTGTGTGTCTGAGTGAGACCATTTTGAATGGAGCACAAACCTTTTCATTCCATCACTCACGTCACGAGTCACAGTTTTACGTGTTTGAAGGAACGGCTTGATGGAGGTTCGGTGAGGAGATGATCACCAGTGGCGTCTGTTTCTGAGGGTTCAGCTTTCAAAGTGTTGTTGGCTTTTGCTCTGAACACGCTCAGTTTCGAGATGCATGCTACTCTTCACCTCAACAACAACAACAGCCTCAGCTTCTTTCAGCACGAATGAGTGTGTCCGCTCTGTGAGCTCGAACCCCGACCCCGTTAGTCCGTCTCTACAACCTGCAGTCAGAATTAACTGTTCCTCTTTCTCTCCCACAGAACAACTGGTGTGGCGAGCCGCCCGCTCCAGCGGTGCTGCCCCCACCTACTTTCGACCAATGGGACGCTTTCTGGATGGGGGTCTCCTGGCTAACAACCCGACGCTCGATGCCATGTCAGAAATCCATCAGTACAATAAAGCCTTGAGAGCAGAGGTGAGGCTTCGTCTCATCTGTTCTACCTTTGCCCAACTTTAGGTCTGCATGGTCCCAAAAAGATGTTTTTGTCTTTGGATCATATTTTTATTAATCTCCACCTTTTACTCTTTTCAGGGCAAAGAGAGGGAGATTAAGAAGTTGGGTGTTGTGGTCTCTCTGGGGACAGGTAAACCACATCATGGTGTCTGCACTTGACAAATTCTGTATTTACAGCCTCTCTGAATTATTCTGAAGACTTATGTGGCGTTCAAACCAAGCGAAAGTAAAATCCTCCACTCACTTAATTCGCGCCCACGACTCGCTCTATTCGCGACAATCATATTACGCGTTAACAAAGTGCTTCAAAGTCGTGGATAGTCGTTAATGCTAACTTCAACAGTGATCCCCGCCAATTCAACTGGCGGGATCAAACGATAGAGAACGACAGTTTTTCACAATTAAGCAGATAATCCGACCTCCTCACTCTCTTTCCTCCAGACGAGCTCCTTTTTATTCCTGTTTTTTATTTAAAAAGTCGTGGATACGAGAGAGAGAGGGAGAGTCTCCGTCAAGCCTGGTCGGAGTGAACCACGTTCAGACCCACAACCGTCGGAAATGTTGGCGTCCCCATGTCAGGGTCTCCTCCAATAGCTGTGCCCGGGTGACGGTCGTTTTTAGTGGTATTTTCGGTTACCTGAACACAATTGACGACCTGTTGGTGAGGGTCGGAGCCAGAATATCCTCAGGATACTGATTTCAGACACTCTATCCCAGCTGCAGAGCGTCTGTCCGTCTGTCTACTGTGAGGAAAAGGATTTATGTTTCTATTTTGACACCAGTCAACATCTCCAGGTCCATTTCCACACGTCACCTGGGAATCTTCATGCTGATTGATGATCATGATGCGAATATACATTTGAGTTGAGATATTTTCAACTCCCGTGAATTTGTGTCATTCACGCCGCCAGAGTAGTACAAGCGTCTAATCACGTCTTTGCATCGATTTTACATGTAATTCATTCACACCAATGATTTTACTCGTGCTTGTTCTGAACGTCCCATTCATCTCTGAACCTGAATGTGGCGTATATCCATTAAATCCACCCATGCACGAGCATTTTGTGCACACACATGATGACATACCTCTGACTGAAACTTCTTCTGAGAGGACACTTCCTCATATAAAAATCTGTCTTATGCTTTTATTTTGAAAAAAATCTGTCTTCATCTTGGGTTCCTTCGTCTATCACATCACAAGACTGCTTTTATTTTGAAGTTTACTACATCTGGTAGATTATTAGTCGCAGACCTAAATGAAAACAGACAGTTGATCAGATTTCTTCACGTTGTTTTTGGATTCAGGATAAATCTTTGAAGGTCCGTTTTTTAAAAGTACATAATCAGGTCTGAGGGCTGCTACAGCGAGGTCTCTAGCAGCTGCTCCTCCTCCTTCTTCTTCTTCTTCTTCTTCTTCTTCTTCTTCTTCTTCTTCTTCTGTATCTTTAGGAGGTGAGGCATCATTTTGAACGCCTCATACTAACTCACACTATATTACGACTTGTAATGTCCTCCTGTGTTTCTGCAGGTAAACCCCCTCAGGTGGTGGTGAGCTCTGTGGATGTTTTTCGACCCTCCAACCCTCTGGAACTGGCCAAGTCGTTCGTCGGAGCTAAAGAGCTGGGCAAAATGCTCGTGGACTGCGTGAGTAACAACAACACCAGATCCAAATTCATTCCTGCAGTTTAAACTTTGTTTGGAGCTGCTTTTACCACTTTTTTTGGCGCCTTTCAGTATCTCTGATACACGGGATATAAAAATAATAAACAAATGCATCGAGAAAATATAATCCTCTTGGTTTCTAGTTCTTAAACTCACTTTCTTTTTCTCTTTTCTGACGGGACAGTGTACGGACTCTGATGGCTGTGCAGTGGACAGAGCCAGCGCCTGGTGTGAAATGATCGACACCATCTATTACAGGTCGGCAAACTACGACACAAACATGTTAACATGAGGAGGGATGACAGCTTTGTCTGTCTGTGTGGGTGCAGGAGGAGGTTTCTGACATCTTTGTTTGAGGGTCAAAACGACAGAAGATGGATGGATAATTCGTCTCTGAACTTGCTGCACTTTTTTATTTTTATTTACTTCTGTTTCTGCTAAAACCTCCTGAGTTTTTTTTTTTTAAATCCAAGCGTCTCGGTCTCTCGCAGCTTTGTCCAAGTCCTCTCTGCGTCTCTTCTCAGCTACCAGGTTTAATAAGTTCATGACTCTAACGATCAAAAAGCTCTTGTTCGTACTGCTCCTTGTTCTAAGACTGATATTCCAGGATTGAGGTAAATTTAGTTTGAGTGAAATGAATGAATAACTTAGTTTAAAATTAATCTAATATTTTCTTTCTTGTAAATTTTCCACTTTATTACCTAAAAAAAGTGAATTTTTTCCTCAATTTTTTTGTTTTTTCACAAATTTTCTACTTTATTCTCACAAATTTATAACATATTTCTTTTATTCTTGTTTTGTGTGCAGTGGCCTCGATATGCGATCAAACTTAAACACTAGATTGAATTTTCCCAGCTTTTATTAATCCCTCTTTCTCTTCCTTGTAATTTCGTGCAGATTGAGTCCTCAGCTGTCCCAGGAGGTGATGCTGGATGAGGTGAGCGACGCCGTCCTGGTGGACATGCTGTGGGAAACTCAGATGTACCTGTATGAGAAGAGGGAAAACCTCCAATCTCTAGCAAAACTGTTACTGGACAACTGAAAGGACTGGAAAAACCTCACCGGGACAATGAAGGAAAGCAGACGGCGTGGAGGACGTGAGCGCGGAGAGGAGCTGAAGATGAGACGCAAAGATTAGAAAGCCATGTGTTTGTAAAAGGCTGTGACGTTAGTGTTGGTGTGCGCTCTTTCCTAAGATTATTTAAAGCAACGTGACGACAATAACCGTCATATTTATGCTAACATGACGTGGAAAAAGACCGGACAGGTTCTGTAGCGTCGTATGACCTTATCACTGACTTAATCACTGTCGTCGTTCTGTACGTTAGATGTCGTTTATAAACCACTTGGAGTAAAATTTAAACAAAGACAGAAACAGTTTCATCCTCATTCAACTAAAATTATCACAGATTAACTCTCAATCCAACTTCCTCGAGTCTGTTAGCGACAGACTCTCAACCAGCTCATCTGTTCACGCCGGTATTCTCTGTCAGGACGAGGACTCTAACATCTACTGCAGTGGATGATTAATGACAGACCATGCTGCCTTATATATCCGGGACCCAAATCTGTACCTCCTGTTTACTCTTCACATCTGTCCGCGCCTTTACTGTCAACGTTATTTATGCTTAATTTTAGGGCAGTATTCGATCCAGCACATAACCTGCTTGCACACTTGACGATGTACGACCTCTCTGTCTTTTTACGTCGGGTTTGTTTATTTTTACATGTGAAGTTAAAACTGGACTTGAATGAAGACTTGAACTGTTTACTTGAAAGACACTGAAATAATGAGTTCCTCTTATACTTGCACAACATAAACTGGAGGTTTAAAATCGTTTCCTATGTTTTTTTTTTTGTATTTGGATTAATTATTAAAGTGTGAACAATTATGACAATAAAATATATTAATGTGGATTAACATCAGAATAAATTTGTGTTTTTCTTTGTTTGAGCAATCACACGCTTTTATGAGAAAAAAACTATTTACATGAGGCGATGTTGGACTATGTGGCTCTACAGGTAGTGTACAGAGCTGTTTTAAGCATTTTCAGGTAGGGTCACCAAGATCGGACTGTTGTACATCGAAAAACACAGAGAGAGCCAAGAGTCATAATGAAAATATGATAAAGCCATCTATTTCATTCATAAATAATGATGTCAGGAGTTATTATTTTGATGACACTTTCATCGACATGAAGACTTGCTTTTGAGGAATCGAATATTCATTTTGAGCTAGTGACGTGCTTTTGCAGGAAAAATGCACCAACTGTTGAGCAAATGTTCATAGTGATGTGAGAAATGCACCAAAGCGACTGAGAAGAACTGTAAACCAAGTACAGTGTGAGAGGTGTGAGAGGCCGCCACCCTTCTCTCTGCTCCTCCAGAGGGCGCTAAACGACAGCACATGAGATTATAGAGTCAGTAAACAAAATCAGATTCTAACAGGTGGACAGATTTACAGCTTTGAAACTGTGAAAAAAGGAAGCTCCTGGTGTCTCAGGGTAGTGGTGCGTGTGTGTGTGTGTGTGTGTGTGTGTGTGTGTGTGTGTGTGTGTGTGTGTGAGGTTTTCACTGTTTCATGAATGAGGTTTGTGTCTTGCTAAAGTATGAAAGGTCTTCGGTGAACACGTCATTATCTGGGTCTCAGCGTCCCCAAACTCGTATTTAAGCGTTAATGGATCCTTCCTCGTGTGTCAGCTCCCCACTTATTCACGGTGGTCTGTCTCTTTTTAAAGGTGGAGCAAAAAGCATCCATGATTTCCTCTGGATAGTTTCCTTCTTCACCTTCTCTTCTGGATCTTCTTCACTTCGTACAGTTTTATCCTTCATTTGTGAAAGCAGTCATGGACTTTATTTACAGTTAGTGGGTTTTGGAAGTGATTTTAAACCCATGCAGTGACTTCCACTTCAGAGTCATACTGATTTTAACTCCTAGTATCGGTTATCAGCTTTATCCCTTTAATACACAGTTTTCTTCATATTCTCAAAACCCTTAAATGTTGTAATTTCACAGTAAAGCACATTATTTTGAAACTATTTGCTCACTCAGTCTCTCACAGAATAATGAACCTCTCTCCATCTTCTCTCAGTCTCTGATGTTTCACTAATTTTCTACAAATTAAACTAATTAGTGAAGAAATATTCCTCCGAGTGTTTTTTTTAGCAACTCTTTCAGTGTCTGGATGTCTGCTCTGACTGTTTTTGGCACCAAATTTAAAATAAGAAGTCGAAATAATTTTCATAAAACACTAATTTGTATGACGGAGTATTAGGGCCACATTAAGAAAAAAAATTAAGACTTAGTACTTATGAGAATAAAGTCGTAGCTGATGGCTATTCTAACCTGTTGTTGGTTGTTTAAATGAGCGCAAATGTCTGTACAGAGGTTAAATCCCTCAATGCAGCCGTTTAGATCAATAGCAGATGACTTTAATTGATCGTATGATTCTATTCGCCATAATAAGGTGTTAGTGTCTCTGCAGGTGGAGGTCAGAGACAGACGCGGAGCTCGTCGGAGCTCGACTTCCTCTGAATCGTAAATGTTGATCATCAGTTGGATTAATTCTTGAGAAACAACAAAAACTCTCTGAATGACCCGCTGATGAACCCACAGATAACCCTGCAGTCGACCAGTTCAGACATTTCCTCCTCCTCTAAAGCAGCTTTAAGACGAAATTTACTGTAAAACTTTATTCTCAAAGTAATGATTTTATTACGACTTTATTCTTGTAGATAAGGATTTTCCTACGACTTTGCATTATTTTAATTAAATAAAAGTTTTAAATGCTAACTTTTGGGTGAGGACAAAAACTGCAGACACGTTATTTCTGAAGCTACCTCTTTCTTTTTTCTTCTCCAGAATAAAATACCTTTTTAGGGGCAACAAAAAAGTACACACCAGTTAAAAATTGTGGAAAATTATATTTGTTTTTGTACATGTTTGTGAGGGCCGCTCAGAAAAAGTTAAAACATCATATTTCCAGAGTGACTCTCACAGCCTTGAGTCTTAGGAGGCAGGACATGATGTGAAAAGGACTCAGATCCAAGATGGCCGGTTGCCCACTGAAGGGTTATCTGACGACCTTCGTCATCAACACTGAAAGGAAAACGACAAAAATGTGAACATGTCTGTTGAGTCAAATACCGAGGTTACAAAAAGAATGGATCACAGGCTTTAATGCAGATTATCAGCTGATCAGCTGATCGTCATGTTTGACCAGTCAGCCTTCATAAGCCTGCTGCTGTTTTGACACGACTCAAGTGTTTTCAGTGAAACCCATTAGCACGCCTGACATCCTCTAACAGCGCTGAGGTGGGACTAAGAGCTCTGAGTGAGACGATCTTTAATTTTAGTCCATTTCAGTAAATCGTAATTGTACGACATTTATGAACAGTCCAAGTGCTTCTCCATGACGTGTCTCATTCACTCACACACTGATGGAGGGACCACTGTGTGCACTTTGGAGTCAAGTGTTTTGCCCAAGGTCACTGCTTCATGTTGAGCCTTCGTTTCATTGGTCAGACCTTATGTTTTAAAGTCTGATCTGTGGTCAGGGTGTCCGTCCTGAAAATCAATCATTAAGTAAAGAGTGTGATCACAGTGATTGACAGTCGAGGCTACGTCTGCTTGAAGACAGCGGCGTGTTGAAGGTTGTCCCGTTTCGTTGGCTCCATAGACTGTATATAGAATGGACGCCGTCTGCCTCCTCTCGCCGAGAACAGCGCCCTCTGGTGACGGGCTGCAGTATAGGTCATAAACCCCGCCTCCTTATGGAGCTGTGGACAAACTTTATAAATGAATGACACAGAATATAAATGTTTCTCCCCCCTGGTTGTGATGCTGACATGTAGTTACTGTCAGACTGGTTTGTGCTCAAGTCCTCTTTTTTCTGTACAGCTCCATTTTTAAAAGTTATTAGGGGGTTCATGTTTTCTATGATTGACACCTGATACAGCCTATGGGAGGACAGAGATTGTGTAGATCACCGGGGGATACGCTGTTTGAGCCGAGCGTCATCACAGCATCAGTCAAGTCTACCATCAAACTCCGTAGAGGCCCGCTCTCAGCGCAGCTCTCTGTGCCAACCACTGCCAGACAGATTAATAAGACAAAACAGTAATTGTTCCTCTTAATACCGAGGCAAATCCTCATCAGGCTTTATAACTTTTCCCTCCGTGGTTCCCCCTCCTCCCGCTCATGTTCAGCCCCTCCGGCTCGGGCTTGTTGAGCTCTCGTCTCCGCCTTTTCCAACAGTTTAATGACTTTTCCCCGCGCTGATATGGAGGCTAGAAACGAGGGTTACTTCATGTCTCAACACAGGAGAGAGAGAGAGAGTCTCCTGTTTTCCCGCCATCGCCTGCTGGCGAGTTGGCACGCAGGTAATAAGAATGCTGTATAATAATTAACACATAAAGACACACACACGTTTGCTGCTTTGGTGTCTTTGCCAGAAAATGCAGTCGGAATAAAACCGTGTCTGCCAGTGAATTCCAGTGTCAATGTCGGCGTTTTCTGCACTTCAGTGAAGTCAGTGAAGCTTTGAACGTGACACATGATGCAGAGGGAGTTTGTTATTCATTACAGAGAATGAATAACAAACAGCCTCTTATCGGCCATTATCCTCTGTCATTCATTTGCAAAAACCACAAAACCACAAAATAAAAAGATGCTTCTTTAACAGATTCCTGTCTACTCCACCTTTAAGTCGGTTTTCTTCTTGTGGACCAGACTTCTTTCCTTAGACTAGAGATCAGCTGGACTCTCTCATATGAACACTGAGTTCGTGTTGCTGATGTGGATCTGTGTGAGTCTGAGTGTGTTTGTTTTTTGCTGCCATTCTTGGTCTGAAAAAGAGATTGATGATCTCAACAGGACTAGTCTGGTTAAATCAAATCAAAAAGACACACAACCTGCCTCCTGTCTTTGTCCTCTACAGAAAACCTGATCCAGCTGCAGGACTCACATCTGGGACATGTAAGACCACATGGATCCATGACCCAGACGGAGCGGTAACATGACATCCAGCAGAAACAGACACAATAAAGACAAACAGACGAGGTGATTTCAGTGACTCAGTTTGAGGATTTTTATGATTTTTTTACCCACAATCAGAGACTTGACCACAATCTGAGCTGAGTCAGAAACATCCAAACAGTCGGACTAATAAATGTGATTATTATTATTAGAGTGATTGAAAAGCTCATAACAACATGTAGATCTGTCCAAAGTCTGATTCTAGATGTCTTTACAAACACACTGATCCAACAGAAGCAGACAGAAATATCCATCGATCACATGAACACAAATATTCAGCAAACAGAGAAAGAAACAGATCATCTGAAGAGTTTTTGGGGACGACTGGAAAGACTTTAGACGCTTGGATTTGGGACAGGAAATAAGGTCGTCCTTTTTCTGTGATTTTGACCTCACTTTTTTCTAAAGTCTCAGACCTTCAACATCTGCACCAACTGAAGGTGATTTGAACAAACCATCATCTTGATGTTGTTGATATCAAACTTGATGAAGATTTTTCAACATGAGAAATACAAACAATCAAAGTTCTCCACAATCACTGTCCTTAAAGCTGCGACCAAATCAGCATCTTTAGAAAAGAATCAAAAAGCTGAAATGAAGAACTAAACCCAGAGTTTTTGGTGAGACTGATCCACAAACATTTACAAACCAGAACATTTCAAGAGTTCAAGGATCTCAGTCCATGATTTTGGTCTGATGGACTCAAAATTCTCTTTACTTCACTTCTATAAACTCAGCAGAGTCTCCATAACAGCCTAACCTCAGTCCAGCATGTAGAGGTTCAGTGAATGTGGTCTGGACTCTGTGGAGGAGAGTCATGGTTTCAGAGACGCTGTAGAAGGACAGAATACCTGCTCTGTGGTCCAGGTACACTCCTACTCTGGAGGACTGAGGACCTGGGACATCAGTGCCGACTTTGTTGTGACCAAATTTATACCTGTCTTTATAACATTCTAACATCCAAGATTTGTCATTGAATCCAAATCTACAATCCTCTGAGCCCCCGTCTCTCCTGATAGTCTTGTATGCGACTGCTACACCAACCCAGTACCCTCTCCGCTCCACCTCCCAGTAACAACGTCCAGTCAGACTCTCTCTACTCAGGACCTGATTCCAAACAGTGAATCTGTCTGGATGTTCAGGATAAGACTGTCGTTGTTTTGTCAATGTTGCTCTTCTGTTTCCATCAGATAATAACAGATGTCTGTTTACTGTGTTTGGATCCAGTGTGATTCTTTGTGAATATCTTAAGAAACCAGCTCTGGTCTTGGGTTCTGGTTCTGGTTCTAACAGTAAAACATCCACTTCAGTCACTGCCTGTGAGACGTTTGTCCACGTCTCTGTCAGAAGATCCTGGAGTTTCTCTCTGACCTCTGACACAGCTGCTGTCACCTCCTCAAAGTATCTCAGAGGACGGATGTTGATTCTGGATGAGTCTGCAGGTTGACCCGGTTCTGACAGTGAGGGGTAGCTGTGCAGAAACTGGTTGTGGTCCTCTGTGAGTGAGAGCTTCTGCAGATCAGCGTCTTTCCTCTTCAGCTCAGTGATCTCCTGCTCCAGTTTCTCCTTAAGGTCTTTGACTCGACTCACTTCACGTTCCTGCTGGGATCTGACCTGCTGCTCCACCTCAGAGCGGCGTTTCTCCATCAGACGGATCAGCTGGCTGAAGATCTCCTGGCTGTGGTCCACAGCTTTATCAGCAGAGCCGTTGATAGCCTCCACCTCCTGTTGGAGCAGCTTCACATCTTCTTCTCTGTCCTGGATTCTCTGCTGGATGTTTTCTCGACTCTCCTCCAGATCTTTCTGCCTCTCAGTCCTTTCTGCTGCAGCTGAGACTGTGTCGTGACCTTTGTGTTGGTCCAAACAGCAGAGATGACAGATGGACTTCTGATCAGTGCGGCAGAAGATCTTCATCACCTCATCATGACGAGAGCAGATGTTCTCCTGGAGCTTCTTGGAGGGCTCCACCAGCTTGTGTTTCTTTAAATGTAGGAGATTCAAAATGAGGCTGGAGGTGAATCTGACAGTAAGAAGCCAGACATTGAAGACAGGACTTGACAGCTTTCAGTTTTCTCCCACTGCAGAAATCACAGGCCACATCTTCAGGTCCAGCCTCAGAGGAACCATCAGGAGCAGCTTGGAGTCCGCTCTTCTTCAGTTCCTCCACTAAACCTGCTAACATGGTGTTTTTCTTCAGGACAGGCCTCTGTATGAAGGTCTCTCTGCACTGAGGACAGCTGTAGATCATCCTCTCAACCTCAGTATCCCAGTAGGATTGAATACAGCTCATGCAGAAGCTGTGTCCACAGGAAACAGCCACCGGATCCTTCAGAAGATCCAAACAGATGGAACAAGAGAAAGACCCACGGTCCAGATGAACTCCTTTCTGCGCCATTTCAACACTCGCTGTCGACGACGACTGACTGAGTTTCATTTCCTGAGAAGTCAAACTAGTCTGAGCTCTGATCTCTACAACATGTGAGTCAGCAGGATCAAGTCAGCACACGGTGGTTACACCCAACCAAGACTGTAGATCTGAGGGGGAGGGAGCAAGGAAGGGAAGGAAACAAGGAAGTGAGAGTGAGCTGTGTGAGAGACGAGGGAGGGGGGGGATCCAGTTTGTCTACAATCCAGGATGAGGAGTGTCTCTGTGAACTTTAGACTCTCAAACTCCAACAAGCAGAAGTTCTTAAAGCTGCAGCCGTCCTGAAGATCAACTGAACCAACATTTATTCACCTCATAGAAACCTCATCGAGCAGAAACACACTTCAACTGTTTTAGAGCCACAGAGTTAAAGATACAACACAGAGAAACACTCTCTCTCTCTCTCTCTCTCTCTCTCTCTCTCTCTCTCTCTCTCTCTCTCTCTCTCTCTCTCTCTCTCTCTCTCTCTCTCTCTCTCTCTCTCTCTCTCTCTCTCTCTCTCTCTCTCTCTCTCTCTGTCTCTCTCTCTCTCTCTCCCCTCCCTCTCTGCTCCAGAAAGCCCCGCCCACAAACAGACGCTCCTGCTCGCTCGTATCGTTCCAGTTAAATTCAGATATAATGCAGATAAATCCTTCAGATCATTACAAATGGGGCCCAGTCAAGGTGAAAGTCAAAAGCATTGGTGCTACTGTAGATGCCAACAGACTACCAGCAAACACAATGTTTGCAGGACTTCTACAACGAGGATAAAGTGACATAGTCCAGGACCCGAGGGAGGACAGTTTAGCGATGGCGCTACAACACGCTACAGCAGGTCCGTTTGACAAGAAACACTTCTGTTACAGACACTTGTCTTACTTTGTTAAAGCGGTTTACCTGTCCAGCAGAAAGGTTACAGGGTCACCAAGATCCCCAAGCGTCCCCCATCGTTTATGTTGACCCGGCTTTTTAGCTCTTGTCCGGTCTACCTCCGTTTTAAGCGCCCGTTATTCCTCCAGAGTCTCTGGTATTTACTTTGTTTTCTTGCTTGTGTCGGCAGTCGTGGCCAAAGGAGGATTCAGACAATTTTCCGAACTTTCTGGTTGGTTTCTACTGTCCGATATTGTAGCACGCTAACTTTGTTTGGGCTCCTGAACGACACGGGGGAGCAGCATTTTCTTGTTGACTGTTTTCTTGTTGCCTGTTTTGGTGTGGACTGTTTTCTTGCTGACTGTTTTCTTGTTGACTGTTTTGGTGTTGACTGTTTGTGGTTGACTGTTTTCTTGTTGACTGTTTTCTTGTTGACTGTTTTCTTGTTGACTGTGGTTGACTGTTTTCTTGCTGACTGTTTTCTTGTTGACTGTTTTCTTGTTGATTGTGGTTGACTGTTATCTTGTTGACTGTTTTCTTGTTGACTGTTTTCTTGTTGATTGTGGTTGACTGTTTTCTTGCTGACTGTTTTCTTGCTGACTGTTTTCTTGTTGACTGTTTTGGTGTTGACTGTTTGTGGTTGACTGTTTTCTTGTTGACTGTTTTCTTGTTGACTGTTTTCTTGTTGACTGTGGTTGACTGTTTTCTTGCTGACTGTTTTCTTGTTGACTGTTTTCTTGTTGATTGTGGTTGACTGTTATCTTGTTGACTGTTTTCTTGTTGACTGTTTTCTTGTTGATTGTGGTTGACTGTTTTCTTGCTGACTGTTTTCTTGCTGACTGTTTTCTTGTTGACTGTTTTGGTGTTGACTGTTTGTGGTTGACTGTTTTCTTGTTGACTGTTTTCTTGTTGATTGTGGTTGACTGTTTTCTTGTTGACTGTTTTCTTGCTGACTGTTTTCTTGTTGACTGTTTTGGTGTTGACTGTTTTCTTGTTGACTGTTTTCTTGTTGACTGTTTTCTTGCTGACTGTTTTCTTGTTGACTGTTTTTTGTTGACTGTTTATGGTTGACTGTTTTCTTGTTGACTGTTTTCTTTTTGACCGGTTTGGTGTTGACTGTTTTCTTGTTGACTGTTTTGGTGTTGACTGTTTGTGGTTGACTGTTTTCTTGTTGACTGTGGTTGACTGTTTTCTTGCTGACTGTTTTCTTGTTGATTGTGGTTGACTGTTATCTTGTTGACTGTTTTCTTGTTGACTGTTTTCTTGTTGATTGTGGTTGACTGTTTTCTTGTTGACTGTTTTCTTGTTGATTGTGGTTGACTGTTATCTTGTTGACTGTTTTCTTGTTGACTGTTTTCTTGTTGATTGTGGTTGACTGTTTTCTTGTTGACTGTTTTGGTGTTGACTGTTTGTGGTTGACTGTTTTCTTGTTGACTGTTTTCTTGTTGATTGTGGTTGACTGTTATCTTGTTGACTGTTTTCTTGCTGACTGTTTTCCTGCTGACTGTTTTCTTGTTGACTGTTTTCTTGCTGACTGTTTTGGTGTTGACTGTTTTCTTGTTGACTGTTATCTTGCTGACTGTTTTCTTGTTGACTGTTTTGGTGTTGACTGTTTATGGTTGACTGTTTTCTTGTTGACTGTTTTCTTGTTGACTGTTTTGGTGTTGACTGTTTTATGGTTGACTGTTTTCTTGTTGACTGATTATAGTTGACGTTTTCTTGCTGACTGTTTTCTTGTTGACTGTTTTCTTGCTGACTGTTTTCTTGTTGACTGTTTTCTTGTTGACTGATTATGGATGACTGTTTTCTTGTTGACTGTTTTCTTTTTGACCGGTTTGGTGTTGACTGTTTTCTTGTTGACTGTTTTGGTGTTGACTGTTTATGGTTGACTGTTTTCTTGCTGACCTGTTGACCGGTTTGGTGTTGACTGGTTTGGTGTTGACTGTTTTCTTGCTGACTGTTTATGTTTGAGTGTTTTCTTGCTTGTGTCGGCAGTCGTGGCCAAAGGAGGATTCGGACAATTTTCCGAACTTTCTGGTTGGTTTCTACTGTCCGATATTGTAGCACGCTAACTTTGTTTGGGCTCCTGAACGACACGGGGGAGCAGCGTCTGCCTCACAACCAATCAGGTTAGAGGAGGTGGAGAACGGCTTTGTTTACAGTCAGAAAGAGCGGACCGCTCAAAAATGTTCAAATGTTGACGACACAGACATAAGAGAACACAGAGATATCGATATATTACCAAATGTCATCAATAACTAATAATTATTGACTGATAAAAATGATGCTTCTTTAACAGATTCCCACCTTTAAGATCCTTCTCCTAAAACACGCGAACTCTGAGCTCCTCCACTGCGTCATTTTTAGAGAAACAAAAAGAAAGTGATGTCCTAATATACTAACTGTGTGTACAGATACAAACGAGTGAGGCGTGTTTCCCCTCCATGGTTACTCAAACACACTGACACAGAAACAGCCTCTCTCTCTGTTCCACTCTGTCCTTCCTGCTGCTCATTAACAGACACACAAAGCGTCTGTGTCATCGTCCTGATTAGGAGTTAATACGAAGCTTCCTCCTTCATCTGGAGGCTAGCGTGGCCTTCAGAGTGATGCCATGATGTCACCTCACTGTTTGTGTTGCTGCAGCTTGGGTATCACACTCACACACACACACACACACACACACAAGGCAAACACGACCTCGGCTACTTCCCTCCATTACCCGTCTTTAGACAGCGCAGCATTGTTTCCGAGCCAAAATTACCACATCAGCAGCCCTCCAAATACACCCCACATCCTTCTCTCCCAACACGGCGACAATGAGGGAGAAATCCTTCTTTTGGACGAGGAGAGAGGGGGATTTCTTCTCCCTCCAGTTTCCCAGCGTGGTAATAACTGCCGTGAGAGCTTTACTAATTGGCCTCTTAATCTTTTGAAATGGCAGAGGAATCAAGCAACGGAGAGGGTGAGAGAGGTTGGAAAGAGGGACGAGAGTAATCCTCAGTCTCAGATTGTACTGGAGGATGAAGGATCTGGACCTGGGGGTCTGGGATGTGGTATAAAAAGGGTTCTGGTTTCAGTCGTATGCAGGGAACTGTCCTCATGGAGAGCAAAAGCAGGCAGCTCTCAATCCGCCTTTCTTTGATTTTCTCCAACAAGGTACAAACATTTAGTATCAGCTGAATATAATGACATGGAAAATACAGCATGGCTACGTAGTCCATCAATGAGTCAAGTTATCTTAAAGTGAGGTCTCCATACTATCTCATATACATCCTGACTTATCTGTCAGTTTAAAGCACAGCGGATATTTTGGCCGTGTCATCCATTCGCTCATTACAGTTCTCCCCTGAACCTGTCCAATCCAGACCCCAGTACTCTGAGTGAGGGGTCCAATAAAATCTGTTGATGATCTTCTAGTTGATCAGTCCAGTCTGAACTTTTCTTAATACCTTGAATTATGAGTCAGTTATTTTCACACAGGTTTTCTCACCATCTCTTTAGGCCTTACAACTTAAGTGGCTGAGACTGCCTCAGAACAGAAGTTCTCTTCATCTTCTTCTTCTACTTTTTCTTCTTCTTCTTCTTCTTCTTCTTCTGTCCTCGTCCCAGTTTGGACTTCCAGGTCAAAGCCTCCTGTGCGAACGCTGGAGCAGAACACTTAGCCCCGTTCCAGTCCGACTGAGCCGTGGAAGAGCTAATTGATCCCCAACGGCATTATCCAGCTGTGTTACTCTGAGAAGATTTCAGTGGTTATGTGTTTTTAAAAGTCCAATTAGGTCATTACAAACCATTAGTGAAGTGGTGCGAAAAAGCGACACGACAACGTGAAACTTTCTTTGTCCGATCACTTTTTATGTTGAAAAAAGGTCATTTTGTGCGAATTTTTCCATATCAGTGACTTTCTTTTTTCAATTGGCATTCAAAGGGTTAAAACTTTGAATTATTTTTTAATATTTAGTGGTTTTGATCAAGACTGAGGTAGATTTACAGATTTATGCAAAAAAATATATATTTATATATATTTATCAGATATATTTTTGCTGTTGTTAAAGTTAGTGGCTGAAAATAGCCACTAATACCTCTAAAGGAAGTTCTTTTGAAAATCTGTTGCTGCACAATAACTAAATATGCATCAAAACCAATAATGTTACTACTCT